CATCGCCCTCCTCGCCATCATCACCCTCATCCCCCTCCTCCGGCGAAGAGACCGACCTCTCCTCCGCCGAGGACTCATACAGCCCAAAGCACAACCACCTCTCAACATACTTCTCCCCCTCCGCCATCCCCACGCCCCCGCCCCGCCGCAGCCACAGCACAAAGTCCAGCAGCGCCAGCGGCTCCTCGTCGCGGCGGCAGCGCCCCAGCATCGACACCTCCACCTCCCCCGCACCGCTCGCCAGAAACCCCTCGCGCAACAGGTCGGCCCCGCTGGCGTCGGCGACGATGCGCAGCGGCGGTAGCCGCGCCTCGCGTTCGAACTCTAACCCGTTCGGTGCGGAATTGGCGAAGGTGGCGGAGATTGCGGAGGAGATGGGAACGGATATTCGCGACGCGGAGGAGGAGTTTATGTATATGCACGGCCTGCACAAGTTCTCGGCGGTCGACTATGCGAGCGAGATTGGAGGCGTGTTTGAGGATGAGCTGCCGGTGATGAACGCTGGGTGGATATGAAAAGAAAAAAAAAAAAATTCGCGATCGACCCTGAATATCAAATCGGGGTTTTTTTTCGTTTATTTTTCATTTTTCCATTTGGTGTTTTTCTAATTATGGCGCTATTGTGTGGGGTTCATGTCTATTTTTTTTAAGGTTCGGTTAGATGTGGTTCTTTTGCGATCACTTACCCCTGGCGAGCGGTGGCGGCAGAAACGGCATCTCTTTGCTTCTTTTTGCTGCCGTCCCGATCATTGGCGGAAAAAGCGACTCTTCGTGATTGGTTGGAATTATTCTTTTGACACTCATTTTTACCCCTTCTGTTTCTTTGAGTTGATCTCTACACTTTTTTTTTTCTTCCTCTTTTTGGCGGCATTAGCTTTTGCTGCCCTGACTTTTGCTTTTTCGCTTTTTTGTTTTCTGTTCCGGGGGGAGAATTCCGAGTAATTGTTTTTTTTACTCAGCGAAACACCCCCCGGTTTTGTACTTTACTCAACCCGTTTTACCCCAGAGCTGAAGAGGAAGAGGAAGAAGAAGAAAAAAACATCGATTTACGGCTGGCTTGGGGAGTGGGGGGAAACTTATTACCCCTTGTTCACGTTTGGACGAGCGATGCCGGTTTTTGGGAAGGGGGGGTTTTTTGTCTTTTTTTCGTTTGCCTTTTTTTTTTTTTCTCCATACCCGCAAGTTAATCCTTCTTCTTGGATGGGAAAAACGGGATGTCTAGCTAGCCTCTGGGTTCTCTAGTTCATCTCGCTTTTCCCTTTCTTTTCTTTCTTTACCAGTGCGGTAATCGATCGACGATTTTGATACGTCTTCTTTTTTTTTAGCGGGTTTTTTTTTCGCGTTTTTGTTTATTTTACTTACTTCACCCACTCTCATTGATATACCTTATTTTTTATGTCCTTAGCGATGATATTTTATTTTTTTCACTGCTACCTGGAGTGCAGCATCTAGGAGCCCGAAGGGAGGAACGGGAGGGGAAGATGAGGGGTCTGCAGAGGGCTATTTGTAGTACACTGTATATATGCATATAGCTATTATAGCAGATCCGCCATTAGTTTAGTTTAGGTTAGGCTCAGGCATTCCCGTAGCAAGAATATATACCCGTTTTATCTTACATCTTTGTGCATCTAGGGTCGGGGCTGGCGGTGGTGGTGCATTGTGGTGAGGAATATATTGCGTGTTGTATACCTACCCGTCGAGCTGCATACAATCAGTCAGGCCTTGGTGCTGCACCAGCTGAGAATCAGGAGCAGGATCGTTGAGGATCAGCCCATGGGCTGAGAGCGCTGAGGTGAGAATTTGTCAGTAGGGGCATAGTACTCGTTTACCACGAAAAGAACCAGAAAATGCAAGTGACGGAAACAGGAATAGTTTGTATGAGAGATCACCACCACTCCATACAAATAATCCTTGCCCTGAGCAACTGCATTTTCTGGTTCTTTTCGTGGTAAACAAGTAGTATGTATGTATACTGCAGCAATAATAACAAATAATGTATGTACTCGGCCGCCTCATTCAATCTGCGGGGTGGGGGCCGTGCTATTGGTTCCCTGGGCGACTATCGACGACGTCTTGTCTCGTCTCGTTTCATTAATGTCCGCGGACGGGCAGATGAACGAACGGTCGGACGGTCGGACGGACGTTAGGTAGATCCCCCAGTGTTTCGCGCTCGGGCCGAGTGGGCATGAGCGCAGGGCATCTGACACGTGCAGCGATGTAGCTTGTATGTACATGTAGGGACAAACATGTACATACATGTAGCGTTTTGCTTGGTTTACGCTACTCCCTGAGCTAAGCCGAGATTGGCGAGCCCGGGGCCGAGTGCGATGCTTTCGGCGTTTGGCGGGGTGTTTCGGGTTTGAGCTTGAACGGGTGGCAGTTAACGTAGGGGAGTAGTGGGAGATGTAGTCGGCGAAGAGGCAGCGTGGGAGAGAGAGCCAGATAGTGGGGATTCGGGATGTAAGGAGAGAAACTGGTACGAACGTACGGACGTGACTACGATGTAGGTAAGGGGAGGCCCCAACGTCTAACCCACAGCTGCGAGTTTATTTTTTATTCGGGACCGATGCAAGGAGGACTTTGCTCTAGGCCGTGATGTTTAGTAGTGGGGGCATAGAGGGGTAGCAGGAGTGGAGTGTTGGAATGGTAGGGCTAGGGGCGGAGTGGCAAGATCGGCAGACGGTAGTGATTCATGGTGTATCACTCGGTGTCCGTTTGTGGCGTAGGCTGACTAGCTGCATAAGTTCTTGGTCTGGACCCTGCGCATGACATGACCCGCGCGTAAAAAAACAATGCGCATGCTTATTTCTACCCGAAGAAATAAAGCCTTAATTTTCCTGCCCTGTGCTTGTATGTAGGAGAGCGCGTGTGCTGTGGTAGTGAGAATTCGTGGTGGTGGTGGCCGTGGTAGGTGTTTAATATATATCTATCAGCGCAGCCTTAGGATTACAGTGAGAACTTACACGTTGTCACACCTAGACAACCCGAGAGGACTCATCTAACTCTACCGGTAGAGGGTGCTCTGCTCCGTTAACAACTGCAAGCTCAACTGGCTAGCCAGCAGAGTTCGCAGACCACCAATGGTGCAGATTTTAATCCTCGAACATGGATGAGTTCATATAAAACTAAGTAGATTAGTGTCTTTCTTTCTTCATTAATAGATTAATGTCTTTATCTAGAGTAGAAAAGAAGCGATGAGCGGTGCTTGTTAGTTGGGTGAAAAGAAAATGAGAGAAGCAGAAGAAGATCCTATTTATAGCTCGCTGTCGCGTTAGAGAACAACTTGCTTCTATAACAAAAGTATAACTGGCCAGAAAAGATGACAGTTGTAAAGTACACGTAGTTATCCCTAATAACAATACCACAAATAACAAATATCCTCATGATCACGAGCAAGACGCACGACCAATCCCCTCCATCGGAGGCCATCCGCGGATATGCAATCCCCGATCATGAGTATGTCAGAGTAGCTATCTATCGATCTAGAACTCTTACCACCCCTCCACCTCTTCCAGCCGATTTAGAGACCCGGGTATCCATATATAGCTAGCCATCGCATGTATGTGGCCAGTGGTTAATCATGAAATATCACTCGACGCCGACAACGCAACAAAAAAAATGGACCAAATAGAAAAATGCCCTGTATACCCCGGCGGTGTACACTCTCCAGTATTACTCTTAGCTACCCTTCTTCTGTAATTTTCAAAGGTACCTCCTATAAGAATCATCACCCTATATGGGTACAACTTCTCGGTCCTTAGTGGGCCCTTTTATGCATAAAACAAGATACAAGTACTACATTCAATTTTATTACAATTAACATTTAATTTCTTGCTCTTTTACTTTTATCTATATACCTACATCCCCGTAAGCGGCCCAAAAAAATATTTCTAAGCAGAAATGGAGCAACAGGCCTCGGGGGGAATCGATCGAACCCCGTCTCCTCTGGCAAACATCCTACTAATACCCGATCGGGCGCATTATTTAATTATGCTACCGGAACTGTTGCGGGTATAGCGGCTACTGGAGCGGATGGTAATGGCATATCTAGAGAGATAAAGAGATCGAGCTGGTGTCACTCCGTCTCGGCGTCTGCTTTAGGGTGGGCGGTATTTTTTCGAAGATGAGGCTTAGTAGCCATAGTGAATGTGAGGTCAGCTAGATCTAATCAGTCAATCTGCATATATCTATCGATATCAATCAATCAATAACGCGCCATGCATATCTTATCGGCCAACCAACCAATCAATTAACCAAGCTAGCTAGATCTGATTTACCAGCCGTACGATCGCGAGTGATGGCGTGTGACGATAAGCAACCCTACATATCTATGAGTAGTATTGAGAAACTCTCTTTTCTTTTCCGAATAAGGATAGCCAGAGAGACAATCAAACCTGGTGTTAACGACAAGTACGTGTGCTAAATAGGGTTAATATTAATTTAAAGAGGCAAGCTGTGAATTTTGTTATGGTTGGGAAAGCTATTAGAATATATGTCAAGACACGTCACAACGGCTACGTGGTTGTAACCGGTTCAGCATATGTGTTAGTTTTGGGCCCCTATAAAGCTAAGCTGCGGCACCGACTTGATCCAACCATCATCATCATCATCACTCGATCTCTCATATTCTTGCATCTACAATTTAAAGCAATAGAGCGTCCAGACCCCAGAAAGCGCGACCTCGATCACAAACAGCCTGAAACAGTGTCACCCGTGTAAGGGATACTGGTTGATATGTGGCGCGTCATGAGTGATCACTCGGCACCGAAGAAGGAGACGGCCCGTACCCTCATGGCCAGCTACTACATATATTTGGATTGTGTCAATGGCGTTATATGTCTCTTCTTTTTTAGTGAGTGTGCTCCATAGGATTGTAATGCAATTACTAAAAATAAGAACCTGTATGCACGAATGCCAGAATATTGGATAAAGTGATTAATAACTATAATTTAAAACTACAGCTATTATACATTCCTTATGTGCACCCGCTCAAACTACCACCTAATATCCCGTCCCAAAAACGCCCCTCAGCTTCACCGCCACCAGCTCCCTCGCGACCCTCGCCACCGGCGTCTGCCTCAAAGCGTTTACCGACCAAAACCCATGGAACGTTCCCTGTGCCCTCAGCTCCGTTGTGTCGACTCCAGCCGCGGCCAAATGCTGCGCAAACACCTCGCCCTCATCCCTCAGCGGATCCAACTCCGCCGTGATCACCAGCGTCGGCGGGAACCCCTCCAGCTGGTTTATCGGCGCCAGCAGCGGGGATGCAAGAATCTCGCTGCGGCGGGAGACGTCCGGGGTCCATGCGTCAATCATCCAGCGGATAAGCGCAGCAGTAAGGAACGGCCCGTCGTGGAAGAGTGTGTAGCTGTCGGACTCGCAGGCGAGGTTGGTGACGGGGTAGATGAGGGCCTGGTAGAGGGGGAGGGTTGTGTTGCGCTGGAGGGATAGCAGGGAGAGCCCGATTGCCATGTGGCCTGCGTATAAATGTTAGCCCAACTCACCCACTTCTATCCTGGGGGAGTGAGAGATACCTCCGACACTGTCGCCAACAAACGCAACCTTCTTAGCATCCATCCCGTACTCTCCCGCATGCGCATACAGCCACTGCAGTGCCGAATACGCCTCCTCAATTGCAACCGGATAAACCGCTTCTGGCGCCCGCGTGTAGTTCACAAACACCACTCCCGCACCTGTGTCGTGAACTAAGCTCACGACCGCCTGTTGGTATACCACCGGGTCGCCTAGAATCCACCCACCGCCTATAATACACAACCAATGATCAGCAATCCACTTCTATACCAACAACTTAATTTGTAGTGATCAACCTAAAACTCACCATGTAGATATAAAATCGCCGGCACCAACTTCCTCCCTCTGTGCTTCGGGAGGTAGATATGCAGATTTAGGTTCCCCGTGGGGCCCTGCGGGACGTTGAGCTCCGTGTATACGACCGAGCTGAGGCCCGGGTTCGTGGGGATGTTGAAAGCGTCAAAGGCATCGCGGGCGGCGGAGTAGCTGAGGTTGTTCAGCGGGGTTTGAGAGCCGAGGTTATCTGCGACTGCCTGAGTTGACGGCTCGAGAGGGGGGACAGGCCCGAGGCAGGAGGCGGGGAGGGTGTTGTTGCATTGGAGGGCGGTGGTGGGAGAGAGGAGGAAGGACAGGAGGGGGAGGGAGAGGAGGAAGAGGAGCTGCATGGTGGAGATTGTTAATGGGTAGGTTTGGATTGTAGGTTGGATTAATTGGAGCTCTGATTAGTTGAAGCTGGAGATAGCTGCAACTGATGGGGAGACAATAACAGCGGGATAAGCAGCTTCTTAAGTACTTCGGGGCCCACCACTCACCGTACCTGCATCCTTCCAAGTAATAAATTATCAATCAATCAATTTACCTATGTACAACTATACAAATCCATCCATCCATCCATCCATCCATACACCCTCCTTCCCCGCCCCCCTCCACACAGCCCGCGGAGAACTTACGAAATAGCTAACCAACAACCCAATCAAACCTGTACCACAGAACGCCATACATACAAACCGTGCCGCAATGACTCTGTTCCCCCCTTCAATTTCCTCTTCCCATACATCTGATGTACCTTCCGCAATCAACATTCTTTTGGATTTTCTTGGGCTGCAGTTGTAATAGGCAATTAGATCCTACGATGAATTGAGAAGTATATCGAGGCCTAGATTTTGTCTAGATGTTTGAGTTGTTTCTAATAGCACAGCACACAGTACACAGTTCATAGTACATAGTACACAGAGTAACACTAAGTACACTAAGTAAATGTACATACTCGCACTTGCATGACGGGGCTGATATTGCATTGTATACATCGACTTGGCACGTTCTGCAACACCGCCAAACTCGAAGAACTGGCTATCTCCGTCTAGGGATTACCACTTGGGTGATTGGTTGAATGGCATCAATCTGCTTTAGAAATTTCCCATACATATAAGTAATTTTAACCTAGCCAATTTTTCGTTATGGAGGTGGCTTACTGCTGTGTTCACAACCGTCAGTATTTGTTGTATGTACACGCACATCACATACATACACGATTGGCCGTTCTCTATATGTAACAAGTAGTAGAGGCACGTCATATCATACATGTACAGTGATCCTCGATTGAGCCTCGGGATATATTTCTTTGATTACAATTACAACTACAATTACAATTCCACTAATCACAATTATCTGGTTCTGAGCATTAATAATTCACAACCCCTCCATTCCCATTCCCATTCCCATGCGCAATATCTCGGCAATCTACATCTAGCCATGTATGTACATAACGTCTCACTCTCCCAAGGCGTGCTGCTATAGGAGTCACTGATATCGTAATCACCCGCCCGCCCGCCCGCAACGCTCACTTTTTTTCCTGTGCGACAAGCCTGTTCCGAAGCGGCGCGGGTACCTACAGACGGTGCCGTCATTGTGCATGTACGGATTGAGGGGGAGGGGAGCGAGTGAGTGGATTTGTAATTGGGTATTGGTTTGTTGTTGCTGCGCCAGAAAACACTAGCTTGGATTTGGTTGGGGTGGTAATGATAATAATGCCTTGAAAAAAACGGTAATGATAATGGCGCTAGGCCCTAGGTATATTGGCGCTTTAACTAACTCCCCACCTCTCCCCATCCCTCCCCACCCCACCCCACCTCTCACCCTCCCACCCAACCCAACCCTACCCCTACCCCGCCGCTCCCGCCCCCTGCAACCTCTCCAACGTCTCCTCCGCAACCCTAATCGCACTCTCTGGAATCCCTACGCCGCCCCAACGTCAGCACTCTCCCCACCCCACCCCCTCCCTCTCCCCAGGGTCAAAAAACCTACCCGCCAACAACGCAACCTTCAGCGCATGCGACTGCGTATTCACGCCCTTTCGCAGCTTGTGTATATACTCAAACGACCCGTCCTCGGCCTCCTCGAGGTCCGTACAGTAACACCCGACACTCTCGAACCCGGGCCCGCGCACCATCTCTGCCAGCTGGTGGAAGTGCGTGGCGAAGAGTGCGCGCGAGCGGTTGATGGTGTAGAGGTGGTGCAGGCAGGCGTAGGCGACGGCGAGGCCGTCGGCGGGGGTGGTGCCCCGGCCGACTTCGTCCATGATTACCTGCCAGGGTTAGGGCGCAGCTTATAAATCGGATATGGGAGAAATGGTGGAAATGATATATATGGTGGTATATGGGAGTGGGGATGGAATGTGAGGGCTTTTGGGGGATCGGCAGACGTCATGCGTGCCCTGTATGCAGGGGATAGACTGCCGCACCCATCTTGACAGTTCCCCCATCCGGGTATGCAAACACCTCCAACTACACCGTGCTTACAATACCCTCGGTCAAGGGGGGTGGGGGTAGGCGAGCGAGAAAAAAAAAAGAAAAAAAAAGATGGAGGTTTTAATCAAACTCACAAAAGACCTCGGCGTCGCCTGCTTCAATATCTGCGCCGTCTCCAGCATCTCAACCATAAACGTTGACTGATCCCTAAACAGATTATCTGCGCTCCCTACCTGTACTAGGTTAGAGTCATATCATACCCCCCCCCCCCCCCCGCTGCCGCCTCCAACATAGAAGAGAAAACATACCCTACTGAATATCCTATCCACGATGCCAATCTCGGCGTACTCGGCAGGTACAAACGAGCCCGTCTGTGCCAGAATCGAGATGAGCGCGTTCTGGCGCAGAAATGTGCTTTTTCCCGCCATATTCGGCCTGGTGATGTCATTCGAGTCAGACGACGACAATGATGAAGAAGAAGAAGATGAAGATGAAGTAATAATCGGGGTAAAGGGTTTTCAAACCCAGTCACGATCCAAAGTCGCTCTTTATCACCGACAAAACAGTCATTGGGCGTAAACGTCCTTCCCTTCGCCCGGAGCCCGGCCTGGACCATCGTATGTCGACCGCCAACAATGTTATGGGTCACCCTAGAACCTATTAGACCAGATACACGGAAAGAGAACGACAAAGTGGGAGGAGTTGAAAGATATCGAACCCAAGATTCAAGATAGGCCTGACGAGGCTCTGCTCTTGCGCCAGCGCTGCAAAGGAACATGCGATATCAAGCTCATCTAGTACGGTTGCATTCCTACGCAGTTTCAGGAGAACTTTGATTACCTACTCTCCTCCCCCGCCGCGCGGTCAGACTGATAGCCAGGAGCATAAAGAGTGGGCGGGTGGGACATACAGCTTCACGGAGGTTCTTGAAAACGTTCTGTTCCTCGCCTCTGATCTGTTGGCGGAGTATGTCCATATCGCGGCCGAGTTCTGTCCATTCCTACATGGCCGGATATTTTTGTCAATGATGATTATGATGCTTACGATATGGGTGGGCGGTTGGGTGGGTTGTACCGGTAGGTGGAACGAGCGAGTGCTCTTGCTGATACTGACTGATTTGGCGTTTTTGAGGATTTCGTGGGCTGCGTCGACGTCTTTACCTTTCACGTGGCAGATGTGGCCGTATCCGGGATTCCATCGCAAGGTCAATGATGGAACATCTACGGTCCGAATCAGCACATGCACATGTGAATGGAGCAAGTAGTAGTGTGGTGTGGTACTCAGAGAGTTGCGTAGGTTCTCCTCCATTTCATCTCGCTGTTTGTCCAGTTTCTCCAGCGTCTTATGGAGCTTCGCCAGTGTAGGTGAGGCACTGAGACATCACAAAAATTACTACTGAAAAGGGGGGGCAGGGCACCACCCCCCTCAGAGCACAAGATTGAATAAGCCAATTTGATACGATAAAAAGACGTGATGGGAAAGAAACAAAAACAATATATCTCTCTAACACAAATGATTTCTCTCGCAGTAACAACAATAACAAGGCTATGGCTTTCAATGGCAAACCTTTTCTTCATAATCCACGCCTCCTGCCGCTCCTGATCCTTCCCCGATAACATCCTGCGTTTCCTCAGCCCCGCGGCCGCAGAGCTCAGGATCTCCTTGGTCTCAGTAGTGCATGGGTCCTCTAGGGCACTTCCACTGCCCTCCTCGTCTTTGATGTCTCCAATAACCTCCTGAACCCTCGCAATCATCTCTGCAGCCTCCGATTGCTCATTGCGCTGCTGCTGCATTAGCCCTTCCTCGTCTATAGATCTAGTGATCTTCTTGGCAAGTGTTAGCGGGATATCCAGTCTTTTGAGAAGCGCCCCCATACTCGCCCGATGCAGGCGGTTGGTATCGGATTTGTCTGAGTCTATGTTGGAGGTTAGTAGCTCCTTAAGGTCGTTAGTAATATGTATGGTTGTTGCCAGGGCTATCAGGTCGTCCGCATCTCCTCTCCCTAGAGTAAACTTCTGGACGATTCTTTGCGAGTCATGGCTCTTTTTGAGAAGATGGGTTACTTTTTCCCGGAGCGTGGGGTTGTACCGGAATGTTTCAACTAGGTTGAGGCGGCTGTCAATTATGTTGATGGATGTGACAGGGGAAGCTGTGATGGTGGTCAGGGATTGGAAATGGAAATGATTGAAATGCCGGTTATTGAGGAAGGGGTGTGTGTACTTAGCCTGTTGCTTAATAACCGGGTTCCGGATTTTGTTACTGTTCTTTTGACGGTGTGCAGCAAGCTGCCGACTTGTAGATTATCTCTTAGAGTCGTTTTGATTTCCAGGCCCTTCATTGACCTAGAATCAATCAACATTGTGTCTTCAACGGTCTTCCTAATTGGAGGTTGAAGCTTCATATACATGCCCGGCAGCCGAGCCTGAGCATAACCCAATAGAATATTTCCAGCTTCAACCTCAGGGACACTCATAGATGCCTGTACATCCCTCGGAACAGGTGCTTCCAGCATCTGGTTCCAGTCCTCCACAGAGTTTAGAGGAACCACATCACTGCCCGGAAATTTTGGTTCCGAGTAATAGGTTATAAGGTTCCCCTCTCTCCCAAGTTCCTGCAGTAGATCTCTCTGCCCCTCATTACCGCTCTCCATAGGATCCCTTTCAGGAACCACAATCTCGCGGGGGCCAATCCTGGCAATATCACCACTGAGCATGCCAACGGTACTCTGCTGCGTGAAGAAGTCACCGGTGGATAGATCTAACCAGGCAAGCCCTACTTCCGTACTGAGTGATGAGATTAGGTCAGGCAGCGGGGGCATTGACACCGCGAGGAGGAAGTTGTTTTCGTAGGGGTTCATGAACTTTTCGTCAATCAGTGTTCCGGGGGTAATGATTCGTGATACTTTCCTGTCCCAATCGAGACCGCCCTGATCCGGGTTCTTAAACTCCTCACTGATCGCGACATAGCGCTCATGTTCCTGTACCAGAGCCTTCAAGTACCGGTCCAGCTGATACAACGGAAACCCAGCCTGCCACACCACCGCACACCTCATCAGCATCCCATCCCACCACCATACCAAACACCCACCACCACTACACACACAAACCTACCATAGAAACCAGCACCTTTCCCCCTCCCGCCTTCTTCTTCCCCACCTTGAGCCCCAACAACGGCCCCACTTCCTCCGCATGCTCAAAATACAGCTCATAGAACCCACCAACCCTAGTCAGCAGCACGCACTGTGGAAACTGCCTCATATTATTCCTCGCCTGTTGTATGACCGTTGAGTAGCTCTCCCCGCCCTTCTCGCCCTCGCTCTCCGGCAGCGGTGGTAGCCCACCCGCGCCCAGGAGGCCCTGTGGGAGCTCATCGAAGCGCACCGTCGACTTCCGCCTCGCGCCGCGTGACTGCGGCGGCTTCCGCAGCGGTGCTAGTGGTTGCCATTGCAATTGACGCGCCTGTGGGGTGATATTGCTGTCCGTAGTGCTGGAGGTGAAGAATCTGTAGCAGTGTTGTGAAGGGCGCAGATGTGGTGCCCGGGGACGCGAGGAGGCCAGTATCGAACGCATGGCGTGTGGTGGGGTGCGTTGGTAGGGTTTTGGTACCTGCGCTCAGGCTGCGTGTGGAAAAAGCCAATTGCGGGAGTGCCCTGTGTTGAAGCCAAGTTTTGCAACCCTAACCCTTGAGATATAGGATGTTGTTTTATTGATCACGGCTTTGGCCGTCTGGGGGCAGCGCAGAGCTAGAGTGAAGTGACTACAGTCTCCAATAGACTTGCAGAGAAGGAAGAACGGGGTTTGCGGAATGAAAGGTTGTTTTGCGTAGCTTGAAGCTTGGTTTGTGTGGTGGTATTGAGGATTCGGAGTCTAGTCCACGAATGTTTCCAGAGTGCTTCCTTCTTGACGCATCGTACACAGTGATGAAGTTAACAAGAGTAAAGAATACCTCAGTAGTTTGGTTTAGACAATTGGTCACTTGGTGTTGATAATTCGTCTAGGATAAAACGCTCAAAGGCTTTAAAAAACAATCGAAGAAGACAACATGTCAAGACAACTACATACAAGTATGTAGGCAGATTGGTTGGGAAAAAAGCGACAAGCAATATAAACAAGCTTAATAAATTAAACTTCTGCGCCTCTCCACCACAATACCCCACAACCACAATCAAACTATTCACACGCCCCATCCAGCCCGCTAAAACCTCCAAATAGGTCTAAAACACCAAACCACGCCATCCATCAATTCCTCCCACATCTCCCATACCCGCAAAAAATATTCTTGATCACATCCTATCACTCGACTTCTTACACCTCACACAAAAAAGAACTCGCCCCACCAAACACACCCCCTCCCCCCACAATCTGCACACACCACCCAACCCGTCTAAACCAACCGACATCATGCATACCTGCATATCTCCCTACCTACAGCTACTCTTCCCTACTTGCTCTACGCCATGATGCAGCCGCCAATCACACGTTTTCGTGCCGAAACCCCGAGAATATCGCGATCTTGCGAGCAATTGCGAGATACGATGCCCTTCCCACCTAGAGTAGAGATTCGATTCAGGCCCGGTTCGGTCCGGAAATATGTGGAATGGATGTGTGGATGCATCCCTGTCGTTGGGCTGTTTTTGGCGGGGTGCTGGTCGGGCGGAAAGGCTTCGCTTAGGGGTCTGCTGCTATCTTGGTTGCTTATGGGAGGCGTAGGTCTGGATCTGAGGTGGAGATTTTACGACTACTAGCTTTCCGTTGTAGGCTGTTTCCTCTAAGACATGCTAGAGTTGAGCAGGCAGAGAAAGTAGAGTAAGCAGACTAGCAGTGTCGCACATAACTAATGGAGGTCCGACCACATATAATTCATCACTCAAACAGGAACACACTTCTTGAAAGTTACTTTAATTGGTATCAACAGTAAAAGACGCTACGCTATTAAACAAAAACAAAAACAAAAAGCCAGCAATTACCAATGCCCGAAAAGACCAAAGGGAAGCAAAAAGTTTACATCAGAAGGGAAAAAAGATAAGAGTTATACACCCCTTCTGCAACACCTGTACATTATGAATTATTGCTCTTATTTTTATCCCCTTTAGATGATGTTGCACTTGGCAGGAAGCCCGCAAGGGCCACCCTCCTCATCAACATCTCTCTTCTTCTTCTCTGGGACGACATCCTTCTTTTCTGTGTTTTCTGCTTTTGTTGTTGATGCTGATGCTGCTGGTACGGCGGTTACTGACTTTTCGGGGGTGCCATGCAGTCAGGCGAAGTTGACACGAGCGACAGTCTCGTAGAAGGACTTGCCATGGATCTGAGCAATCTCGAGCTCCTTCGCTGAGGGCTGGCGGGAACCATCGGCACCCTGTAACAGACGCAATCAGTAATCTGAAGGGGAAAACTTAAACCTCACAAACAAAGAGAAAACTTACAGCAAAGGTACCAGCACCCCATGGGGATCCACCGCGGACCTCCTCGTTGGAGGCAAGGATGGGGAAAGCGTGCTTGTATCCGAAGGGAACGTAGATGATTCCGTGGTGGGCGAGGGTGGACATGGCGTTCAAGGCAGTAATCTCCTGTCCACCGCCCTGGGTGCCGGTAGAGATAAAGAGACCGGCGTACTTTCCGGAGAGAGCACCCTCACCCCAGAGGCCACCAGTGGTGTCGATGAAGGCCTTCCACTGGCCGGGGAAGTTTCCGTAACGAGTGGGGATACCGAAGAGGAAGGCATCGTAGTTCTTCAGTTCCGGGGCGGTAATAATGGGGTAGTTAGGCTTGGGGACAGCGTGCATCTTTCCAAGAACCTCCTCAGGAAGAGTCTCAGGAACCCTGAAGAAAGAAAAGATTGTAAGTATTAGGAGATCAATCGACTTTTGAGTAGCTTGCAAGCAATGCTTCAATAGTAGGAATTGAGCATAACTCACTGGAGGATGGTAGCAGAACCACCAGCAGCCTCGATACCAGCCTTCTCGGCCTCAGCAAGCTGAGTAATGTGCCCGTACATGGAGTAGATAATGATAGCGACGCGGGGAGCCATTGTATTAATTTGGTGTTTTCAAAGACTAATTAACTTTCTGGCGAAATGGTGAAAGAGATGAAAGATCAAAGATGGATGATCGAGATTGAGAGCTTGGTGAGTTGGATAGAGAACTGTCGAGGACGGGGGAATAGAGAGATCTTTATATATGGGAATTCCATTGGGGCCACCGCCATACCGGCCGACACTAATAATTGACTTTTTGCCCCGCTGTCCTCTAGATCCCCCTTCCGGGATCCAATAGTAGTGCTAAGAGGCTAAATTTCCCACACGTGTAAGGTGCCAGAAATTTCTGTTTGATCGCTATACTATTTGCATACTGGTTTCTGGTTTGCAGAAATTGTTGATTACGGTCTGCTTAGCAGAGTCTTGATGATCAGGAAGGGGGACTAGTCTTGGCGCACCTCCCGGACGCACGTGCAAGGGTCCTAGTGGGTTTTTTTTTTCGGTGGGGAGCAGCCGATTTGTCACGGTTGCCAATCATTTCATCAGTGCCTACCAAGCCAGCCGCCTTAGAATTTTTTTTAGACAGTGGGGCCCCTCTCCCCAAGGGACTCAACTTTAGTGGGTGGTCCCTGGCGCCAGCGCCGCTTACCTGTGGTTTGGTTGACAAGTACTTTGTAAAGAGCGAAAGATTGCAGCAAAAGCTTTTTTTCCGAGACGTCTGTCTCATGTGGTTCTGGCCGGGATTCGAGAGCGCGCAAATTGATTGCGTGACAGCTTTTTTGCTGCCTGCCCGCCAGCTTAGGTATCATGTCGTAATCAGCCTCTTTTGTTTGAAATTGGGGGGGTGCGATTTGAGAAGCTTGGTATGCGGGCCAGTGTCTCGAATGGCTTACGAAAATATGTCCGTTTCTTACAAACACTCAGAAAGCCAAGCCCTTGCATACACAAATGCTCTACTTGCCGACGACATGGGATCTAAAGATATCGTTTTCACATGGGGGTACGGCGGTACCTAGAGTGCTCTACCTCAACACTGCCAGAGCTTGTCGTCTCGCTTGTCGATAGAGGAAATAGAGAAGGTAGAGCAAGTACATGCATCTAGATAGCGAAACCGAAGGCAGCGGATGAGGGGCCGTACCCCCTCCCCGCACTCATGAATTGATGATGCTTACGCTGTATCAATAATTCATTACCATACCACGGAGAGGCCCAAGAGACAGAGCAGAGACGTCATTCAAGCTGCAACTCGAACCGAAGGGTGCTGATCCCTGCAAATCGACTGGTTATCAATCTGCCTCCTGGTCAATGATATCTACCAACCAGATCTTGGCTCCCCCATTCTCCCTCCCTCTCTCTCTCGCTCAACCGGGGATTCCATCTCTCTCTACACCCTCACTCCACTTTCGATACACACATCTCCGTTCCTACCCATCGGCGCATATATACATCCTGCGTCTACGTTTTGCCTGAGGGACACCAGATAGACAGACAGACAGTATCACACTCTCTCTAGGCAGCAGCAGTATACTAGCAACAGAAGTGCACATAAAAATATGAAGCTCCTCTCCAGATACTTATCAGAGTTCGCCCTCGCCTCACCATTACAGCACACATGAAGACTCGTGTCTACCACTTCTACCTACATATAAATTGGTGACATTTCTAAACACGAGCAAATTTGCGTATGGGCCAAATCCTGCATGAGACCCTTAATTTCGGCGGTATGCAGACCCAGTTGTGTTTAGAAATGTTACGAGCCCACGAATACTCCATCAAGCACACAAATCGTGAATAATCCACACACCCCGTCAGGTATTGTCACATAGAAAGTGTGCTGCAAGCATTACAACCTCAGGTCATGCACAACCACACACCCACAGCCTAATTTAAGCATAAAGTGCATATATAAGCCGACAACATCCGCGACTAAACTGTATGTTTGATATCCGCCCGTTGAAGATATATAGAATGGGGATATCCGGCTGCGGCGGCAGCGTATTTGATGGTGCGGCAGGTTGGTTTCGAATAGCGAGTCTGTGTGGGAGAGGGGTAGTTATGCTACACGCGTTGAGGGAATTCTAGTATTGCCCTTATCGATGCCAGTGCTGTTAATTACTCTGACTGCTCAGTCGCTTTTTGTGACTTTTGGAAACTGAAAATATAGGTTTACAGTACCTCCAGGCCTAGCCCGGAAGATAAATACCACACCGTACCCTCCCTTCGTACAGAAGCGTTCATCACGGAGGAGCTCCTTATGCGGTTTTTACAATACGAATCATCATCAGGAACATTCAATTGCATATATACCATAAAGCTCCTAGCTCTGTATTCAAGCCCACCGGAAGCTTAGACTAAGTCCGCTACTGACAAACCATCGCCTTCAACCTCCGATACTAACATTCTAAGGATTGAAGCTAATCATACCAGTTCTACAATTTAATTTCTCGGCGCTCAATATATCACTTTTCAACAGTGAGCTACTACATGTATTCATGTTAAAACTCACGGTATCAGAGATTTAGAGAGATAGTAAAGAATCCAACATGCGAAAAAGAAAGAGGAAAATTCAATTGTTTTTACTAGGAATCAGAATGTTTACGTTTCCACAGGATATCCGATGGCTCGAATTACTTAGGTACGAGTGATATGTCAATGCGTTTACTTCGATCGTCTATTTGATCCAACAGTGCCGGTATTACTATATGTATACTTATATATATGTGGTCGGCCCGTGGATCCAGCGGCCCAATATCTACACGTAGCTAGCACTAAGATCCTCATTCTCTCATTCCTGAACATTGATGTGGTTTATCGTGACGTCGAAAGACCGCCGAGCTATACGTAAGAGAGGACTTATTACTCAGAGATCACCGTCATACGCCCTTACTGTCAAGATATATCCGCACCATTAATCTCCCACAATTATGTTGGCTAACTTGGCAACAACCCCCATCCACCGCCCTGGTTGGGCCAAATTATATTTCACATGTCAATGATGCCATTACAGATCCATACATAAATAATAATAAAAAATACTTGGCAACGCCTGGGCACCTAGAAATAATTGGCTGTCGTAAAATAGTAGGGACACAGACCCTTTGAGGTTGTGCGAATCACCATCTATGACTCGGCCATCAAACTCAAATTTTGATTCGTTAATAAACTAAAGATTCTGCACTTTCCCCCTCCCATTTTTATCAGGCACTACCGCCGCCGTTACTAGTGCACTGTGGTCGTTGCGTGATTGCGGTGGCCAATTGAAGATAATGGCTGGTGTTGATCATTTACCTTTCGTGGGGGTTGTTACTTCTGAATATAAGAATATTAAATGATGTAACCAACCAGATCTATGCGTAAAACAGGCGATCCTACTCACACCTTTGACATATATCGAGTGATGACTTGTGACTGCCTATAATAAACAAATATATGTGGTTGCCCGAATTGGATCAGAATAGTAAGCCTGGTTATAATAATCGATACTGTTTCGATGGGTTGCATTATTTGAGTATTGGTATGATGAATTGAGATTATCTAGCTACATTTTAATTTCGACCTCTTACGTACTGTAAAGCAATGTTGGTTGAGGCTTCTGGGATTTTCTTTGGAAAAGATTCAGCAGAGCATATGACACGGAAATTATAGAAAAATAGTCATTCATCAATTTATTATTTGAATTATTTACTCTATCAGGTGTTGCCGATTCAACGCTCTTTATGTTAAGTGATTTGGATATCGGAATTATAATAATCATTTTCAACTCCATCTATAGAGTGCCTAGACAACGAACATTGCCCGACGGTTGCACTTCACGTATCTTGACAATAGTTATTCAGCATGGGACTGGGTGTTTTCGAGTGATATGGTCGGACAGCTTTCTGCGGGGGAATCTATTTCACTATTCATCAATTAGCATGTTTCCAACAAGAACTGCGGAAAAATTGTAAATGAGAAGAGGTTATGGAGGCGTCATGAAAAAATTAGAGTGTTGTTGCGTTTTTATCTTCAACAGATTTGTAAAACCCTCAGGGTTAAAAATATTATAATCCTTCGCCATGGTTGGGTGTAGGGTATAGGGAAATGGATGATAGAAAATAAAAGAGTAAATGACTAACCTTTTAGCATGGGCATATATTAATGCTACATGTTAGTGTTAGTGTTATAGGTTACGTATCATATCACAAAATTGTATAGTGAAATAATCGGGCCCAAAACATGATTTGTTTCCATTGGTCGATATATTATTTTAAAACGTTTAAATGTTTAGTCGAACATATCACCGAAACCACCTATTGATTGTTAATTACTAGTCAACTTATCAGAGAGGGATTTGGATAGATTACCCTCGTCAGACTCCTCAGCCTCCTCCTCGGGCTCATCAGCCTTGGCGGCGGCAGGGGCATCGCTGGAAGAAGCGGCAGCGGCGGCCGGAGCGGCAGCAGCGTATGCATCAGGGTTGGCAATGCGGTCCTTGAGCTCATCAATTGCCTCCCAAGAGTACTCGGTTCCAAGAGCTACAGCAATAAGCTTCTTGTAGCTGTTGACAAGGGAGTGGGCAACTGAGGGAAGAGTTGGGTAGTTGGCTGCCAAAGAGATGGTGGCAATGGTGTTGACAGCAGACAAGAAAGTCTTGAGAAGCTGGCTCTCCTCAATGTCCAAGACAGAAGGGGCGAAAACCTGACCCTGGTCGTAAACCTGGGCAATACCCATTCCGTAAGTGAAGGGGGAGATGTTCAACATGTTCAACAAGGTAGCCTCGGAAGCTCCGACCTTTGAACCAGCTTCGACAAGCTTGAGGTCGTTGGTGATTTCAATGGTACCACGGGCAATCTTGGTTGGGATACCGAGAGCCTGGAAGAAGGAGGTCTTTCCGGGTTCCATACCAGTGTTACCGGCAGGGACATAGACATCTCCGGGGGCAATGGCACCGGCACGAGCGGGGGCAGCGACCTTGTTGGCGAAGATCTTCTCACGAATGGTCTTGAGGTCTTCGTTGGTGAAAACGAAACCAACATTGCCTGTAATTGATTACTGTATTAGGAGAGATCGAAAATTTGTAGAATGGGGGGGAGGCTGACCCTTGACGTGGGGAAGAAGACGCTCGTACTCGGGGTAGTCGGCCATCAAGATACGGAGGGCACGGCGGACCATGGTGTTCTTGCCCATAAGGACAACACCCTCGCCTCTCAAGGAGCTACGAATCTCGTGCATCTGCTGGGAAGAGACCTAGATCGAAGAAAATAAAGAATTAGACATCTCCGAATAGACATGTGAATTTTTGGATTGATTGAGAAATGCTTACATTGTCGACGGTAACGATGAAAATACTTTTGTTGTCTTCGAGGAGACCCTTCAACTTCTCGAAGTATTCCTGCTTGTTAGTCTTGACCCCCATTTCTTCTTATTTGATGAAGAGAGGATATTTAAGGTTCAAGATAGTGGTTTTGTGTATGTATTTGGTGTCGATTACCGAAGATGAAATTTCGTCACATCGGTTTGACTACCTGTAGTTGTGGTGTGTGGTCCCGTGGAGGACTGCCGAGGAGGGAAAGTCTTAGGGCAGGCCCTAAATACAACCCTGACCCTGATCGGGGCTTAGTAATCTGACAGGTGACGAGGATCCTTGGGCTGTGGATGGCGGCGCCCAAACAAGAGCCACAGGGACCCGATCGGGGCCAGCCTGGGCAGAGCCGCTGCGTGTAGAACTACAGGCTCCCGCAGAAGAGGCAGAACATCATTATCCCTGTAATATCATAAAACACCCTTGATTTACATCGTGGGAGACTGTTATCGTGTTGTTCAGGAAAATAATTATTATGCACGAAGCTGTCAACACTCTCGTCTTGAGTCTAACAGTGTCGTTTTGTCCTGTCCTTGAAATTTCGCAAGGTGAAGTTATGTTAGTGTGTGTCTCTCCCGGGGACCTTAGCGTGTAACATCGGAGTTCAGGTTGCTTTCTCTGGGCGTCCGCCGATCTTGGACGACAGGTGTTCCAGGGCGCAGAACGTCCCAATTCTGACTGAATAAACTCATTATTTTACGACGGACTTCGATTCAGCGCTGATTCATGACTAGATATCTCGATTTCTTCTGTCGTGTTTGAGCAGTTGAATTCTGTTGGTGTTTAGCATTATGTCGCGTCCGAGGTGGCACGTCGATATATGTAAACCGAGTCGCAGCAGCAGATCCCTTATTACTCTACTGTCTTGATGGTAGTGAATGTTGCATTACACAATTGCACGCGACTTGAAAACCTCAAGATGTAAACTACACCTCACTTATCTTAACAATAATGAAGACATTGTAACGGTTTTTATACTCCGTCTGAGTAAATACATGTAATATCTGACATTGTTCTTTCCAGCTCGCATGGGCATCTGGCCGATTCCCGCGACTCCCTGACGTGTGGCCGGGCCTGAATTCTCTCTCTCTCTCTCTCACTCTCTCTCAACGCCTCCCCACCCACACCCTCTCTACCACATATATCTCACTCCTTCCTCGTGTTCTCCGCCCCCCCTCACATTCCTTTCTCACCCCTCTGTTTCCCTTCCATTCATCGAACGACCTCAATTTCACCCAACCCACAACCAATAGTTTATAGGTCTTATGCTTGAAGTGCGATACTGAAACTGTTAGAGATACAAACTATTGAGCCTGGGCACATTAGTTTGGTTCGTCTCTAGGACTTTCCACCTTTCGCTTGGGGGGGTGCCATAGCCCTATAGCTGGAAGGGACGTATCTAGTCCGTTTTCTTTGCTTTGCATCATTTGACTGGGCAAAAGGCACTACTGTTTCTATAACTTCCCTCTAGTCCCCCCTCCTCTTACATAAACCACACGCATTGCTTTCTTTCCCTTGAAGAACGCTTTACTTTGCATCTTTGTTATAGACCTATAACCTCACATATTCTGCGCACATCTCTTGGGCTTTCTTATTTCCGCTATTGCCTTACTATTTTATCATCTCTCCTTTGGATCTAGCCCCACTCCCACATAGTCGTTCATTAATACGGCAAATCCGCCGGGTTGGTACAGCAGCACCTGCCTGGCCCAACCCAACTGGCCCACTTACTTCCTTTACTTCTTCTCCCTCACTACATCCATCTTCCTCTTCCCAACAGTCAAACATTCTACTTTTCCATTTGACTGTTGTTTCTTTGATCTCAAGCCTCGATGGCCGATCGTAAGTCGTCAACGACTTCCCGCGCTCCCGCTGGCAATGGCGCATCTACAGAAGCACCGAATTCAACTTCAGCCACCCAGACCCCGAGCGCTTCCAATATTCGGTCCACGTCTCCCTATGGCACACGTTCTCGGAATCGTGGATCACGCGTGAACTATGCCGAGGATAAAGATAATGATATGGACTACGAGTACACAACCACACCTGCGTCCTCTAGTAAATCACCTGCTGGGGCGGTTGCTGAGATTGTTGTGCCCACAACTACCTCATCCAGGAGGGCATCGGCTGTGGGGGGAAGTTCAAGCAAGGATAAGGAAGGGGCGAAGGAGATCACTGCGGTAGTCGCAACCACAACAGCAACGAGTAGTAAGAAAAGAAAGAAAGAATATATTGCGCCCGTAATGCCGAAGGATATGGGGTTGTCAAATATGCTTAGCTTTGATAGCCCAAAGTTGAAAAACGGGCAGTTAATTGCAGACGACGGTACAACACTGTCGGTAAATGGTTCGAGCCTCAGTTCTTTAAACCCAAAAGCCTGTTTTTCCGCAGAGAGTTTCAAGATTGCTACCGCATCTATGATTTTTATTCAACTATGAAGCTCTTTGGTTAACCCATTCAATGTGTTGCAGATCATATTTACCTCGTCTGCGAACCTCCAGGCGAGCCCTACTATCTCGCAAGAATCATGGAGTTTCTTCATACAAACAATGATCCTACCCAGCCCATTGATTCTATCCGTGTCAACTGGTACTACAGACCAAAAGACATTCAACGGAAAGTTACCGACACGCGCGTCCTTTTCTCGTCAATGCATTCTGATAGCTGCCCACTTGCCGCCATTCGTGGCAAGTGCTACATTCTCCATCGATCGGAGGTCGAAGATGTCGACGAATTCCGCAAACGCCGGGATAGCTTCTATTTCGAAAAGATGTTTGACCGGTATATTCACCGTTACTACGACGTCATACCGACCAACCAGGTCCGCAACGTCCCTGAGAAGGTACGGAAAGTATTGGTCGATCGGTGGAAGTATCTCTTAGTGGAACCACAAAGAGCGAAAGAGCTCTGTAGTCAAATGAAGGAGTGCAAACGATGCGCAGGGTTTTGTGCTAGGTACAATTCAATTATCAATTCTAGCTTGGGGTGCTAACTGTACGGAAATGCTGATTTTATTGATCTTTAGCAATGATTCTGTGCATTGTGCAGTTTGTGGAAACACGTACCATATGAATTGTGTACGACCGCCGTTGTTAAAGAAACCTAGCAGGGGCTTTGCTTGGGCATGCGGACCTTGTAACCGAGCACAGGAACGAAAGCTTGAGCAGCGGAATACTCCGACTTTGACGAATTCCGCCAACGGCGACGCTGATGAAGAAAACTTTGACGACGAAGATGAAGACATGTCCCCCGGTGGAGGAGGAGGTTGCAGTAGCGGTGGAATTGAGACAGAAACTGCCTCCGAATCAGCAGATATCGAAAGGGTTCCGACTGCCGAGCAGGCACATTGGGCGCAAATGTGGCCGATGAGGTACCTTGGCCAGCATTGCCGCGTTGAAGATGCACTCGACCCGGACGATCGTATTTTTCCCAGAGCGGCGTCGCGAATTGGCCCTCGGCATCAAGCAAATGTTAACGTATGGCATGGCCGACCCGTTGAATACGTGAAACCAGTGGAAATTAAAAAGAAGTACGTGAAAGGTGGCAGTAAGAATGCCAAGAGCGCAGCTGCAGCGGCGGAAGCGGAAGCTGCTGCTAAGGAAAAACGGCCTAAATGGGTTATGGATGAACCTCCTGGATATATCAGAAGAGGTGAAGATGATGGAACAACTTCAACATTACTATTCAAGATTCCCGAGGACGAATCGAAAGAGGAAAAGCTCCAGATTGTAGACGAATACATGAAAACTACCCGCGATATTAGTCGCAGTCTACCCGGTTCGACTATAGCAGGCCCTGGGTGCGATGGATCATCGGTAAACTTCCAGGATAAGGCCATCGAATTGCTCTATGAACATGATTTTGATGCAGACACGTCTCTGGATTTATTGAAGAAGGTTCATGTCAACAAAGAGCTAAGAGAACCAAAGCTGAAGCCAGATGAGCTGAAAAGATTTGAGGAAGGTGTGGCGAGGTATGGAAGTGAACTTCATAGTGTTGCAAAATACGTGAAAACAAGAAAAGAAGCAGAGATAGTCAGGTTTTACTACGTTTGGAAAAAGACCGAAAAGGGAAAGCAAATTTGGGGAAATTTTGAGGGACGGAAGGGCAAGAAGGAGGCGAAGATGAAAGACAAGGATACCGGAACGAAGCTTGTGGACGATGTTGCTGATGATGAAGACGATTCCGCTTTCGACGGTAATAAAGCCATCGATAAGAAGCGTGGATTTGAATGCAAGTTCTGCAGCACGAGGAGTAGTAGGCAATGGAGGCGAGCACCGGGAGTGCCACCGGGGACATTAATACCGGCCGACAAAGGTGGGAGCAGCAAAAAGAAACAAGGAGAGGAGAAATTTCTTATCAGCGCGCTATGCCGACGCTGTGCAGAGTTATGGAGACGTTATGGTATCCAATGGGAGGATCCCGATGAAATACAAAAGAAGGTCAGCGCTGGAGGCGGTAGGGCCTGGAAGCGGAGAATCGACGAAGAACTCCTCAAGGAGCTCAATGCAGCCCAAGAGGACGCGAAAGCCGAAGCCGCAGCAATTGCAGCAAGGACAGCTAGTCCGCAACCCGTTGCCTTCGGAATTGCACCCATTCCGGAAACACCAGAAGAAAAGAAAGAACCTCCGCGTAAGAAGCTAAAGGTTGAGACAAACGGTACCAATAAGAAGGGTAAAGAAAAGGAAAAGGTAGAGAAGCCAAAGGAGCCGCCCCCACCGCCGCCGGAGCCGCCCAAACCGAAGCTTTTGCCATGTGCAGTATGTGGAGACCTCGAGCCACTCGGAAATGCACATCTCGTATGTAGAGATTGTAGGATGACTGTCCACAGGGGTTGTTATGGGGTTGGTGAAGTTAGAAGTGCCAACAAATGGGTTTGTGAGATGTGTGCCAACGATAAAAACCCCACTGTATCAACGGTATATTACACCTTAAAACTTCGATGTTTGTTAGATGTGTTTGCTGATCATGACTTAGAACTACGAATGTGTTTTGTGCCCCTGTCATGGCATCCCAGAACCGGAGGAGGTTACTGATCAGAAAAAAGAAGAGCCACAGCCTAAAACCTCTGATAAGAAGAAAGGGAAGACTGGAAATGAAAAGGAGAAGGAGAAGGAGAAGGAGAAACAGGTCGTTATTACTAGTAATCATCATGAGGATGGCCGGAAGACCAAAGAGGCCGATAAACGTCGTCCTCAACATCCTAGAGAACCACTGAAAAAGACTTCCGGGAATAATTGGGCACATGTCATCTGTGCGGTTTGGACGCCGGAAGTCAAATTTTCAGATGCAAAATCAATGAAGACAGTTGAAGGGGTTGGGACGATCCCGGCATCGAAGTGGACTCAGACATGTAGGGTTTGCAAGGGTAAAGACAACGGTGCCTGCGTTGGATGCCAAGTCTGCTACGCTAGTGGTAAGTCTTTTGCTTTTTCACGGGTGAGAGGTGGCGACTGATGGTAAATATAGTACACGTTGGATGTGCACATAAAGCTGGATGGCATATGGGATTCGACGTTCAACCAGTCAAGAGTTCTAGGAGGGACATGAAGGAGATTGTCAAGTTGGGAAGTGAAACGGGTGCTATGACCGCTGCGGTATGGTGTCCAGAGCATGATGTCAAGTCTACTATTCATCCAATTGGTGAATTCGTAGAGGAGACTGGACAGGTACGAGTTAACCTTCAAATACATGATCAATTGATCCGGCTGACAGTCTTGTTATAGAATGCTCTTCAGCTCTATGTTACCACTTATAAACAGGCTGATTTGGGGCTCACTGGAACCGTTAGAAAAGCCAATCTCATGACAATCTCAACCAAGGCGTCTCAATCCCACCGAAGAAACAGTGCCGGGGGTTCTTCCGCTGCGGGTATAAGTGGCAAAGAGATCACTTGTTCGCCCACCACTGTTTATATTAAAACCGAGGGTCTGGAGGATAAGATTGGCGGAATAGAGGGTCTCCTCAACGATCACGTGGGCGGAGATGGACCCAAAAGGTGTTTCAGTTGTCAAACTGATATCAGTCCGTTATGGTGGAAAATGCCAGTTCCATGCCCCAAAGAGAATGGCATTGCACACTTGACGAACGGGAGCGCTTCCCCAGCAACTAACGGAGTTTTGATCAACGGTGATGCTACTGCGCACGATAATACCCACCCAATCCCCCACTCCCGTTCTCACGCCGTGGGGCTTCTGTGCAATCGATGCCATTGCAAGGAGGTGTCAAGGCCTGAATCAGAACGACAATCTCCGTTTGGAGGGATTAATGGGCAACAGGAACAAAGCAGGTACACGCCTTTACCTCCTCTACATGTATTTTTGGCCGCACAGCAACCCGCGCCGCCTCCCCCGCCTCCCCCGCAGCCTATTCCTCCTGTTAGTGCTATACCAAGCCCTATACACCCTGTCCATATGCAGTCGGGGATGCCTTCTCAGATCGGACAACCACAAATGGCTCAGATGCCACCGATCCCGCAACAGATCCCTCACCCGGGCCCCCAACCCCATCCTCTGTCACACCATTCAATACCCCACCAGTCTCCTCATCCCCACCCCCATATGTCGCCGCTTCAACCACCGCCGCACATATCGCCGCACTTGGCACAAAGTCACATTTCTGTGCTGCAGCACCATGCTGCCCCGCCCCCGCCTCCCAACCATGTCTCCCCACATATTCAACATATGTCGCCCCACCAACCACATGTTTCTCCCCGGCAGCCACAACATGTATCGCCGCACCAACCGCATGTGACCCCCCATCAAACCCATGTGACCCCTCATCAGGCGCACCAACCGCTTCAGCCACAGCATGTTCCGCATGTTCCAAATCACCAACCCTCCTTGATGTCTCCACGAAATCCTCTGCCTCAGCAGATGCCCTTACAACATATGGTAGCACATGCGCCACACGTATCGCCTCATTTGGGCCGTACGAATGCGGTCACTGTCACCATGCAACCGGTGCCAATGATGCAGCAGCAGCAGCAGCAGCATCAGCAGCATCAGCAGCAGCAACATCAGCAACATCAGCAACAGCAACAGCAGCAACACCAGCAGCAGCAGCAGCAGCAACAGCAACACCCACAACACCAACAGCAGCATCAGCATCAGCAACACCAACAGCAGCAAGGGCTACCGCCGGTAATATCTCAGGGGAGACCACAGGAGCCTCCTCCCCAACCACATCCACCCCAGAGAGTCATGTCGGGGGCTTCAGGAAGCCCGGCATTGGCAAATCTCTTGCATTAATTTTGATCCTAGATTCTTGTTCTGAGAGTAATAAATGGGGTGTGTTTTTTATTTAGTATGTTCTATTCTCGGGGGTTTTTCTTCTCGGTTTATTATTCATGATTTGGTTTTTTTTCCCTCTTTTTCAATTTCGAATTTTGATGCGCGTATTATTACCCTTCTTCCCTCTGTAATTTTATTCGAAACGAGACTGGTTGCGAAGGGGGCCATGGGGTCATTTTTTTCCTTTCTACTTTTCATGGGATCTGTTTGGATGGAGCTGCTGTGAGTTTGAATTTATTTTTAGGTCGGAATTTATATTCCCCTCTTTTTTTTCTTTCTCGGTTTATTGCCTCTTCTTGATATCTACTTTTTTTGCGTGCGAAGAGTCAAGTCTTCTTTGTCTTTTTACCTATTGGAGTATAAGGAGCTAGATCGTACCTACCTACCTACCACTATCACCGCCGTTCGCGTTCATAAATTCACCACTTTCTATATATCGAGGCGATATATTTGATCACAGCTCATCCATCATCGGGGCCACGGGGGGGGGGGGGGAGCAAAAAAGTTTTTAAAAAGAGAATTTGGGTCTATTTTCTTTTTTTTCTTTTTTTTACTTTCTTTGTACCTGGGTCTGTCCTTTTTATTTTTTATTATATGTACCCAGCTATAACAGCACAGCAAGTAACAACTACAACTTACCCCTTTGTACTTTTAGACTGAGCGGGAGAGAAACAGAAAAAAATTCACGTCATGTATGCTGTCACGTCAAACCCCAAACCCAAACCCAAACCCTGGTTTCTGGAAATGATCACTGAATAAAAAAGGTGGTTGAGATCCACCCCCATCTGACTCAGATGTGATGTAACGGCCCGCCGCCACGGGATATCGCAGATCCACGTGTGTGTGTGTGTGTGTGTGTGTGGGTTGGGTGGGGGGTGGGGGCGGCAGTGCGTGTGTGCGTTGCGTTAAATGTTACTACATACATACATGTAGTAACGCTTACTGCTGCCGCCCGCAGGTCACGCATATAAGTAGGGCCACAACGTCTTAGTAGGTTGGAAATATATACTTCTACATGCAGTCACGGTTGCAACAATCAATTAGTAGGATAAGGTACCCGTCCTCTAGATAGAGCACGTACTGTACGTATGCAATATTGCAACGTTTCTATATAGCCTAATAATAAACCGCCAAACAATGAACCCTACCTACCTACCTGGCTGCTATCTACCTACATAGCTAGCTAGCTAGTCAGCCAGGCAACCGTTGGTTACATGTATTCCCAGGCGCCGCTGCTCATAAATTAAGGGGCCGGCTTCAGCCCTGATAACGACAACGGGCATGTTTGCGGTGTGGATAGGTAGCTAAGTAGGTTAGTTAGCTACATGTAGTTGTGGTACAACGGTATGGTTGCCGTTAAGGTGACAGATATGACAGATAGTAGGGTGCAGGCAGTATAGTAGTAGATAGAGTAGATAGTGGTGACTCTAGGTATGTACTCTAGTTGTAACGATAGTTGGGTTGATCTACACGATATTAGGCATCAATGGGGTTACACAATCGCCCAACCCACAACCACACCGCTTGCGTGCTTGCTTGCTGTATATAAGGCGCCCACTTCCAGTGGGGCCTCGCATGGCATATACACAGCTGAGATAGAGCTCGAGCTTTGTGTTGGATGAACACTGCATGATGTTGACTGTCACGGGCGTAAAAGTTGTTGCCGGGCTGTGTTTGTGGAGTTTGTATGTTTCCCTCTCCCCCCTTCCCTCTATGTCTCTCTTTTTTCTCTACCTAGCTACTAGTTAGTGCACGTAGGTAGCAGTGCTGTGCTGACATCGAGACTCAAACACCAGCTTTGTCGCAGGCGTAGCAACAACAACAGGCCCAAAAGCGAAGCGGAAGGCGAAGGGGCAGCAGCTGTTTGTCAAGACACGGACACTCTCCGACAGGCCCGCGGGGAGGATCGTGTTTGGTACGTTAATACAAGTTCCAATCCAGGCGGTGGTAGGGCATAAGCTGATGGGCGAGTAACAGCAGCAGCAAGGTCTGGAACAACGGGTGCGAAGGAGAAGGAGAGTGTTCGGAATCGGGGCCGACGGTAGCGTAGCGATAGTGGGGCCTTGTTTTCCTAGCACGGCTGTTTTTGGTGGGGGTACATCGGGGGAGGCTCTTTGCGCGGTGGTAATGCATATGGGGGAGGCTCTTTTGCAGCGCGGCGGCGGTGGTGGTGGTGGTGGTAATTGCCGGGAGGGAAGAGGGAGGGAGGGATAGGCGTTAGGAGTTACCGTATTCTTATCATGGGGGTGCAGTTGGAAAGTTGCACTTGTAATCGATTGGGGGATGGGGATGGGATGGTTGCGGTTGCGATCATGGGGCGTCACTCGGTGGGATGTGCCAAGCTGGCGAGCTGGGGAGTTGAGGTTTGGGGAGGTGGCTTTTGGTTGGTTGGTTGGCTGGTTGTTGGTTGGGTCTGCGTTCTCGTGTGTTTACCTGTTAGGGAATAGCCCTGCATGGGGCTCTTTGGGGGTGGCCTTTTTTCTATCTAGCTACATAGCTTGGTATTTGAAGAGAAAGGCTATCGTGTATTCATTCTCATAAATAAAATAAAAAAATAAAAAAACCAAACGCTCCTAACATCCATCCCCTGCAGCGGGGTTTCAGGCTTGTACTCTAGTTCTTTCCCGGATCCCGATCAACAGAGCCCGTGCGGGTTGAGTGCGCACGTATTCGAGACATAACGTGCATGCCTACACGGCTGTCATGATTCGACAGCCTTGGCCCTACTGCAGGGCTGAAGTTAAGCCTTTAACCCAGCCGCGATCCGTGAGTCGATGGCTGACGAGCCTGAGCTCGATCGCAGGCGAACAAAACCCTGAGTCACGGAGTTTGAGTTCTTTCTTCTCGAGGCTCTGATAAAACGCTTGTTTCACTGCTCTAGACGTGACAGAACAAAATTGATGCAGCTCGCAGCCTTAAAGGAATTGTTTGAGACGTGGGTGAGATATAGAGGGTCTAGTATTCACCTGCCTATATGCGGGAGCCTACCCCTAACCCTAGTGAGTACCTGTCATAATTGAAGAGGCCAGTCTGGTTATAGGGCCACCGCATGTTGTCATCAGGATAGGTGGCCTAGACTGTAGTTATTAGTCTACGAAGAGCGAGAGCTTTCCTCTTCTCATCATCAACACAAACAGTTATTCGCTACACTTCATCTCCTTGCACTGCAGCTGGCTGGTCACGGCAGACAGACGCAGATCATCGCAACAAAAACACAACTAGGAGTGCTCCAAATGAAAGGGGATTACCGGCCTTGAGGACTGGGGGGGTTAGAATAGTGCCTGTTCAACTTATGTGGAGTTGTGCGTAGTTATGAGGTTGTTGATTGGATCAGTTCAGTCAGCAGCCTCCACCCCGAACACAGGGTTTATTATCCAAATCTTTAAATTGAATACTGCTAAGAATCATAGAAGCGGTGTCATTAGTGGTCGAGCTACAGAGCCATGTGGGGCTCTTTTCTCGGTGTTTCTTTTTACCTCCGATGGCTCTGTCTGCTTGTCAATTGGATATGTGGCTTTTCGAATGATGGCGGGTGCTGCCCTGTCTGCTCTGTCCTATCCAAACCGTGACGGTCATGTATAGACAGCTAGTAGACTCGCTTCTCTGCTAAAAAAGAAAAAATAAGTCATTCTACCATCTGCTTCTTTCACCATCTCATTATATTCGACACTACCGTGCTGGACAGTTCGTCGAGTGATGCCTCATGATTTAACCCTCATCATTATTAACTACTGCAGTGTCTGACAAGCTAACAAAAACTACACAGATTCACCACCACTGGGTATACTTAAACCCTGCATGTTCGAATCAAGAAGCTCAATACTCTGCACCGGCGCACAAAGGCCCTGCAGAAACACAACCGCATCATCCCCACCAACCCCCACCGCTAGGTCCAGCGCCGTCCTCCCAAATATATCCTTCAACCTATGGTCCACGCCGCTCTCCACCAACAACCTCAGCGCCGGCAAACAGCGCATATGCATCTTCGCCACCGCATAATGCAGCAACGACTGATTGCACGAATCCCTCACATTCACATCATCCGCATACTGCAAAAAGTACCTCAACGCACTCCACCAGCCCGCCCCAGTGCCCATGCCCATACTCACCCCCATCCCCGCCTCCCGCCCCAGCCTCGCAACAACACGGTGCAAAATCGACTCCCCAAACACCCTTACCCCCGTATCCGCCCCGCGCTCCACCAGCAGCCCCACCACGCCCTCACTAAACAACTTCGCCCCATCAACGGCCGTCCACAGCGGCGTGTGCCCATCGTTCCCAACCCCATTAGCATCATATCCATGGTCCAGCATCTTGCGCACAATCACGTCCGAGGGCTGCCGCGACTTGAGATGCGCCTGCAGCGCATTATCGCCCTCCGCATCCCCCACGTCCCGGTCCGCGCCATGGTCGAGGAGCGCGCCGACAATCTCCTCAGGCGGGTACGCAGTCAGGTACTTTGAGTACCCGACCGCATAGTGGAGCGCCGTGCCCGCGGGCTCGCTGCCGCGCGGGGCGGCGCACCAGCGGTGCGGCTCGGGATTGATGCGTGCGCCGCGCTGCAGCAGGAGCTCCACGATTTCGAGTCTGTGGCAGCAAACGGCCCACTGCAGGAGGTTCTGGCAGGGGTGGTGGCGCACGGCGCATTTGGCGAGGAGCCACGAGCGGTAGAAGTGCATGCGGTGGTGCGGGTCGGTGTGCATGCAGTCGGGGAGGCGCTCGCCGGGGTCCGGGTGGGAGTACATGTTTATTGTGTCGGCGGGGGTGCGGTCGAGGATGCGGGATACGAGCGGGGTGTTGCCGAGCATTGTGGCCCAGAAGATGATGGGGAGGTGGCCATTGACGTCGCGGATGGGCCGCTCGTAGAGGAGCGGGGTGAGGAGGTCGTTGCAGAGGTGGTTGGCGCGGACGAGGCGGGTGAGGGCGCGGAGGGTGAGGTGGCGGGCGATTTTGAGGAGGAGCTCGGTGGGGAGGTCGAGGAGGAGGGAGGAGGAGGAGGAGGACATTGTCGAGTAGGAGGAGGTAGGTAAGTAGGAGGGGGCAGAAGTAGGAGGTTGGGGGTAGGAGGTGAGTGCCTTTCTTTGCGTGGGTATCAAGACCTGTAAATTGTTATCTACGGCGGTTGGGTTAGGCAGCCAAAATAACCTACTCTAGACAGCTAGTCTATGATCTAGTCGACGGAGTTTACAGTGAACGTATCATATGTCCGGTCACCACCCCCAGCACCACTCCGCTCGATCGTGCAGCGATGTCTTGTGGGCAATTCTTCCTATTCGCCACCGGTCCACGACGAAAACCGGGAAACTGGGACTATGTATGTATCTACTCTAGTTGCATGTGAATGCATGGCACAGGATGTACTCGGGGCCGGTAAGAAGAACCTGAAAATGACTTTTGATGGTAACAACCTCTGATTCGCGGCTGGCGAAAAGCTACACCAAATTGAGCACCTGCTTGCAGCTTGCATTTTCAGGTTCTTATTGCCTGCCCCGAGTATCTACTCTTTCTATCTAGGGTTGATGTCGCAGCTAATATCTAATCTAATCTAATCTAATCTACTAATTACTGATCCACACACAGATGCAGCATAGCGGGGAGCGATTAGATTAGATCAGATGCACCAGGTTCGGTACATGAGTGACACACCATGATTTCTCCTCCTCTGGCCTCCCACCGAAAAACAACGGGCCCCGCCTTATCCTCCCTCTCCTCTGCTCCCAAACCTCTGGAACCACATGTCCACCATGACGTGTAACCAACCAGCCAACCCTACTCCAACCAACACGGGTCTAAATATGGAAACTTGCAACAATGACGATTACTGATCATCGACGTGGTGCAACCGTTGCGAAACGAATCAGGCGCTGCGAGTGAGGGACTGTGAGGCAGAGGCGTTCGTCGCATCATTGCGCCAGTAGTGTGAGAGTGCATGGTGTACTTAGTGTATGTAGGATGTATGTATGTAGGACGGATGGATGGATGTGGCGTGTGTACTCTAGTGTATCTAGTGTATGTAGGTACATGTATGATCTAGTGTATGTAGTTATATAAAGTGTATTTATTATATAGCATGGCAGACACCTTTCTCCCTCCCTCCCTCTCCCCATCCCTCCCTCCCGTCTCAGTCTCACTCTCGGGTGTAGAGGCCAGAAAAGAAAAAGAAAAGAAAAGAAAATTAAAAACAGGGTGGAAATATACAGTGGTTGGGTCGTGAAACTTCGTTAAAAGGGTGTGAGAATATATGAATTGAGTAGAGAGAAGAAAGAAGTGGAAGAGGAAGAGGAGAAGGAGGATTAAACGGAAACTAGTACAGAAAAAGAAAGTCGTAAATAGAATAAGAATAAGAAGAAGAAGAAGAAGAAGAAAAGAAATGTAAAAGAAAGAAATGTAAAAAGAAAAATATAAAAAGGTTTAAATAAAAATAAAAATAAAAAATAAAAAATAAAAAAACTTTCCCTCGCTCTGCTTAGTATCTACTACACGTGCACCACCCATAATCCATCATTATCATAAAAACGAAAGTAAAAAGAAAAAACTCCTCCCATAAAGAATGCTAAATCTCAAAAGTTAAAAAACGCCGCCGAAAATCCGAAAAAAATAAAAGAAAATAAAAAAATAAAAAGAAAAAGAAAAGCGAAAGAAAAAATTTCAAATCAATCTACCGGGCTCATTAGCAATGACGGTGATCATCTTCTTGAGTTCGTTCCTCCTTCGCTCCTCCGCCTTCTTCTTCGTATCCTTCACCATATACTTCTCAAACACATCCTTAAACCTCCTCGACCCAGGACTCGCCACCTCATCCCCACTCCCCGGACTCCCCACCTCCACCGTCGTCGTCGCCGTCGTTGCCGTCGTAGCCAACGGCGACGAGTCCGGCCGTCCGCGGATCGACCCGCGCTGCGTCGCCGTTGACACCGGCCTCGTGGCGGTCGATACCGGGCGTGACGAGCTTGGCGTGGGGGTGCCATGTGGCTGCGGGGCGGAGATGGACACCTTCTCGATGCGCGCAGACTCGGGGCGCAGAATGCTCTTGCTGCGGGAGAGCGTCACGATGGAGTCGGAGCGGCCCAAAGCGGTTCTGGAGCGGAAGATGCCGCCATTTGCGGATGTGTTGCCTTTGCTGTGTGAGGCAGCGGCGGAGTGCGAGTTGAGGGCCGGGTTGAAGGTGCCGGCTTCGCCGCTGCGTGGGCGGTTGCCGCCCCCCGGGGCGGCGTCTTCTTCTTTGATTTCGTGGATTTCCTTTGTGCCCATTTTGCGGATGCCCTCCTTTGCGGCTGCGACCGGGACGCGGAGGTCCAGTTTCCTGCGCACGCTCATGACGCTCGGGAGATGGAAGTGGTTGAGAACACTGCTGCGCCAGCTTTCCTTGATGCTGTCGGCCTCGGAGTAGTCGCTCCACCGGCTGTTTGGCCGCACGATGCTGGCGTGGTTGTTGGGGCTAGGCACCTCGAGGTTCCCGGAGTAGGCTGAGTCCATCGGGTACTTGCTGCGGAATGACATTGCCTGCTGCGACGACGGGTCCATCATCGCCGCCATAGCGTTAAGCTCTGCTTTGCGCGCTGCATCCGTGCTGGCGGCAACGGATTCGTCGAACTTGCTCCACGATGGGTGCATCGGCTGCACCGGCGGCGGCGATGGCGAGCGACTATCCGGTACAATAAACTCCGTCGGCACGATGTTGTAGGAGTCTGTTCCCTCCAGTGGCAGCGCACTAAACACTACCGGGAGCTCCGTCAGCTCGAAACTCTGCGCAGATGTCCTCGGCCCAATCGGTGCAGACGGTGACCGTTTCGGCAGTCTGATAGACGATGTTGACGAAGAGCGACTTGACGTTCCGCTCCCCTCGTTCGACTGCATCTTCCCCATTGTCTGTGCGCGTCGTGGCTTCGGCGGTAGTCGGATGTCTGCTGAGCTCTGTGAGTGCGTGGGGTGGTGGACGAGCTTGAATGCCACGCCGCTGTCGAGCGGGCTTCCTTTCCGCTTCATGTCATCGGCATCGTACCCCCGCATCTCCGAGAACCGTGCCCGCACCACATGCTTTGGCTGCGGGTTTTCAATCTTGGGTTTTACAAAGCGGCCGCTTGAGGAGCTGCTGCTACGTGCTGGTCTGCGGTCGAGGCTTCTGATGCTACCGATGCTTGGTACCTTTTTTGCGCTGACGGCAAGGGGACCCCAGGGCTTTAGAGAGATGGGCTTCGCGGGAGCCTCGTTGTCGGAGACGTCCCAGTTGTCAATAATTGGGTCTTTGTTTATTGGAGTGGAGACGCGGGAGCTGGCAATGGGTGGGTGGCCGATTCCGATGCCGAGGATTGCGTTGGCTTTGCCTCCGCCGGACTGCACAGAGTGGGTGGAATAGTTTTGTTTCACCGGAGGCCGTGGACGGCGGGAGTCCTGGGATGATGAAGTCGAAGAGGATGAAGATGACGAAGAAGACGATGTAGAATCACGTTTTAAGGAGTCACGCCTTGAGGAGTCACGTTTCGAGGTTGATGGTGGGCGGAAGCTCATTGATGGTTCGTATGGTGACTGCACAAAGAAAAATCAGCATTGCCTCACGATAATTGACCTCCAGCTACAATAGCCAGCAGTCAGGATCCAGAACCCACCATAGGCGTAACTGGCGTACTCGGCGTCTTTGTACTGTCCCTGCCATCCCTGCTATCCCGACTATTCCTCGCACTCCGCCTATCCCTCTCAACACTCAACCTCTTCAAACTCTCCCTCCTCTTCTGCCTTCCCACAAACACCACCCGCTCATTGTCCACCAAGCTCTCCGCCCTGGAGCTCGCCGCACTGCTGCTATCGCTTGTATCACTGTCGTCATCAAATAGGCCTGAGATGTCTGTCGGGCTCCCCACCCGGATATGCTGCTGCTCCTCGACCTCGTCGAACTCAGGCGAATAGACCGTTGCCGGCAGTGTATAGGGCTCCTCCTCCTCTTTTTCCGGGACCGTTAACGGCGTCGGCCGTGAGTATCGCTGGCGTCGTGACATTGTTCTGTTTCTGCACTGTTCTTACTGTGCTGGTCTGTTGATTCTGCCTCGACTCTGAAGGGCGTGAGGAGAATAAGTTATGAGTTGCCTGCGGGAAAAAAAAACGGTAGCGCGTGTCTTAGTCGAGTGGCTGGTTTTTTCTGGTATGTGAAGAAGTGGAGCTATGATGAGCAGTAGTAGTATCAGAAGGAAGCTATGTTTGTGTGGAACCGCGTAAATTAAATTAGCTTATGGGTCTGAGTCTGATGGTTATCTTTTTCTGGCGGGTCGTCGCTAAATTGCCGTGAGACAGTGCGTGTATCAGATCACACGAGCCGAATTAACCAGCTAGAGGAAGAAGAAATGAAGTAAGAAGAAAGTACCGACCTTTCTTTCAGTGCCCCAAAAGAGTTGCAAAGTTTTTGCGAAGTGTATGAGCAAAGGAAAGAAGTTAAAAGCCAGCAAGAGCAAGAAAACCTCACTCACACACCACGAGGGGGGCCCGGGGGGGGGGGGGGGTGGCAGAAGTAATCTCATTGAACAAAGAAGTCATTGGAGTAACATTTTCGCCAGCTCCACCCCCTCAATAAGAAAAAAGGAAAAAGGAAAAAGCGTGATTGACGTCCAATAGCCGGACGGTGGGGGGTGGAGATTGGCGAGCGGAGTGCTTCCCTATTCATGCCAACTGAGAATGATGATGGATTGGACGGACCGACAATTGACATTGGGGATTCAGGGTGGGAGGTACAGACAGACAGACGGGCAGGCAGGCAGGCAGGTGGATTAGGCAGGGTACATTGCAATTGTATTTAGCTTCTTGTAGTTATTGATGTTGATGTTGATCCAGAGCAGCGGGAGAGAGGGAGGGGAGCGACAGATAGACACAGACACAGACAGGTTCTTCCCTCCCTTCCCTCTCGCTTCCGTTCCCTGGTGATCGTCTACCTAGAGTAATGATCCTACCTCCCATTCTATTCTAATTGTTTTTCTCCTTCCTCCTCCTCTCCTCTCCCAATCCTCCCCCCCCCCCCCCTCTCTCCTCTCCTCTCCACCCTATCTCCTCACACTCACATCCTCCATCACAACTCCTCACACGGTAAATCCTCCCCAATCCACGGACCACCGCAAACCCGCAGATCCAGGCCTGGACACTGCACACCCACACACCCACCACCACACCACCATCTTGGCAAGCAAGCCATCCACACATCAGATCAGCCTCCGATCGGTTTTTCCGGTCGGTCACAATTCCCCCCCAGCAAGCGCATCTGATGGATGGCTCCACGATACCTGTTCTACTTCTATCTACATACCCGCTAGGTGCAAGTAGAGCAACTTTTTAATCGCTCTTTCGCCGTCGAGATCTGGATTTTATTTTTATTTTCTCCGGGGCCCCCGGAGGGTAGTTTGCTCTAGTTTGTTAATTACCCGCTCCAAAGAAACAAGTGCTATTAGATAGGATAGCTAGCTACTTAAGCTATAAGCTAGCATGGAACGCTATCATATCGTCCATCAGTAATAGGCAGACAGCGCAGGGAGGCAGACAAGACAGGACAGGGCAGAAGAAAGGAAGGTGGAATAACGGGCTTCCGTTATCTTTCCACCACATATCTACCGTTCTATCGAAGGACTCTACATGATGACGATGACCACTGGTGATGCTGGATCGCCGTCGGGAGGAGGGATGGATGAGCGAGTAGATGGGTAGACACCAGACCAGTGGTTAGATTTTTTTTTTTATCCCCGGCTCGGACAATTAGCATATGCTGGGTTTTTATCTATCCTCGATGTCGTGCTTGCGGATAGATGCCTGGATAGGGCGGGCATAGGCGAATATCTTGGATATCTGCCTTTGATATCTGTTTTTTGTGAGGATGGATGCTGACTCGAGTAGAGTTTTTTTCGTGATACTTAGGTGTATGTAGGGTACATATTCTCATATTCGAGCTTCCATAAAGGCAAGCTCCCATGAATTGAGCTTTCCACCCGTGCATCCAGGTAGCTAGATAGATACTTCCCCTAAGTATTGCTACATACGGGCTTGCATAATTCGAAATACTCACGTGCAGTGCACCCCAACCTCCCCGCATTTACACATCTTTAACAGGACTGGACCCTCCACGCTTGCCCGAGCTACAATCCCGTTTTTCAAGTATTTGTACTAGCTTTTAGATGATGGACTTTAGGGTGTGTAAAGGAAATTTAATGAGAATAAAAACTCTTTCGATCATTAGAATTTGTCAGGGTGTAGTTTGTTGAAGCTTTCCATGATGTCCCACAAAGAATTCTCCGTATCCTCAGGATCATCACGCACTCTGAAGTGTGTTCATGTATCCAAACTCACCATGTGGCCCATCTGCCAACACAACTGATTCAAGTCAAGTCAGTCAGTCTCAGTCTCAGTTGCCATTCCCACGTTGTTGTTCCGCACCCAAGCCCGTGCCCCCATTAATTCCCAGGTTGTCTCTCTTTAAGTCAGCAAGTGCCGGTTCTGTCAGTGTTGCGGCTCTCCTCCCCCACATGCAGCCCATCCATCTCTTCTCCCCTGTCACAGCTCTCTCCCTACATTACCTACCTCTCCGCCAAGCCACTTACCTACACTATCCACATCTCCACAACCCTACATCGCCCTAAACCACCCCTCCCATTATTACTACTCTGCCGGGCCGGCCGTTGTGTAATTGTCTCCCCACCCCTTGAATTCCCCGAAGCGAAGTTAAGCTGTGTGAGAGCGTGTGTGATTGTCTGTGTTTCTGTCTGTGTTCCGTGTGATGACCCTTTCGTTTCTTTCAATGTGCACAAACAACCCCTGAGCCCTTGAGGAGACGACAAGACGAAAGAGAGAGAGAGAGAGACAAGACAGACACTGATCATCGTCATCATCATATCATCACATCATCTCTTCTCTTGCTACTGCTGGTTGCTCCTGCAATTCAAAATACTCCCCAAAAAGGCCACGCAAGCCGTAAGCCCACCCAACCATCCCTGGGAGCTATTTACAGCTCCTTCAACAGTCAGCCAGTATAATACCTAAATCTAGCATCTAGCACAGACCACAAGTTAAAGTGGAAGTAAGGAGGACCTGCCTGCTCTCCAGACCCACCTTCCTATAGCCATGGACAAAGACGAATATGACGAGTTTGGTCTCCGAATACGTCGGACTCCCGCTCCCGCTCCCCAACCCGCTCAAATGAAGCCTACCACGCAAACCAGCGCTCCGATCTCCGCAACTCCACCTCCACCTCCGCCCCCGCCTCCACCTCCCCCGCCTCCACCTCCCCCGCCTCCACCACCTATCAGCGAGATCTCCGCTTCAGACAAGAAATGGAACGAGAAAAAGATGTTCTCGGAGGACCCGTCGGACCCAACGTCCACCATTGGTACTGGCGGCCCCGTCTCGGAATGGTCCCACCAGCAGATTGTCCGTCGCGCTGAAGACACAGACCATAAACCTGGGCCGGTAGAGGAGGATATCGAGTGGCAGGAGATGCCGGCCTTTGCGTCCCAAGATCTGTATGACGACGATGGGCGTCTGATTGCGAAAGCTGCAGTCGACTCGGACGACGAGGACGTTAAGGGCGGCGCGGCGAAGGGCTACACGCGTGTGTATGACGATGAGGACACCCAAAGTGTGACAAGCATGGATGAGAATACGAGTTATCTGTTTAAGGAGGGGACAGAAGACGACGAAGCGTCGCGCAACCCGCTCAGTCAGATGCAGGCGACAAAGGAGCTGCTAACGGAGGGACAGAGGATTGCCTATGTGGGTGTGTGTAAGCTGGCAGTGGAGGAAATGACAGCGGAGGTAGCGAAGCTCGAGGGAAGTAAGGGAAAGAACGTCAAGAAGGAGCTCAACGCGGCCAGGGAGAGTATGAAGATGTGGAGCCAGAAGATGATGGTGAGGTTGTATATGCACATGGATATATCTCCTGCTGGTGAGTTGTTGGGTAGCCGATGCTTAGGATTGTTGGTGCTGACGGTATACGACAGAGCAAATTATGATTGAACAACTTGCGGAGCACGGTGTGCTTTCGAGTGATCTTACGCCTACCCTTCTCAAGAACTCCCGAGTCTCTAATCCAATGGCTGCTGCTGCGGCAACTACACCGACTTCACCACGGCAGTCTGTACTATCGGACAGTAGCTCAATCCCGCCTCCGTATTCAGAGAAAGACCTTCCGTCCGTTCAGGACCCCTCGCAGCTGAACTCCCAGACCCTCGATATCGACATCCGCTGGACAGTCCTCTGCGATCTGTTCCTAGTCCTCATCGCCGACAGTGTTTACGATGCACGTTCTCGCGTTCTCCTTGAGCGCGTTGGCAACATGCTCGGTGTCCCATGGCTCGATATCTGCCGCTTCGAGAAGCGCGTAACAGACGCCCTCGAGATCCAGGAATCCACTGAGCAGAACTGGAGCGAGCAGGAGCACATGGATACGCGGATGAAGCGCGCCAGGAACATGCGATACATGATGATGGGTCTTGCGACTATTGGAGGAGGTTTGGTAATTGGGTTGAGTGGTGGGTTGCTGGCGCCTGTTATCGGCGCAGGTTTGGCTGCTGGGTTCACTACGATCGGAGTCGCAGGGACAGGCACATTCTTGGCCGGGGCCGGAGGTACGGCCATGATTGCGAGTACGATGGTTGCGTCAGGTGCGGCAATTGGCGGAAAGGCTAGTTATAATAGGACGAAGAGTGTGACGACTTTTGAGTACAGACCACTGCATAATGCAAAACGTGTCAATTTGATCATTACCATCTCAGGGTGAGTTTTTGTGACCTGACGGGGGAGCGCTAGGGCTGACAAGAGGGTAGTTGGATGAGTGGAAAGGTCGACGATGTGCGATTGCCGTACTCAACGATAGACCCGATTATGGGGGACCTTTTCTCTGTCCATTGGGAACCCGAGATGTTGACCTCCATGGGGAAGACCATCAATATCCTCGCCACAGAGGTATAAACCACCCGTCTCTCCCGCTCCATCCTAGCTAACCTTAGTAGGTCCTAACACAATCCCTCCAACAAATTCTTGGCTCTACTGTGCTCGTTGCACTCATGGCCTCTCTCCAACTTCCAGTCGTCCTTACAAAGCTCTCTTACCTCCTCGACAACCCCTGGTCTGTCTCTCTTGACCGTGCTAATGCCGCAGGCCTTATTCTTGCCGATTCACTCATCAATCGTAATCTCGGTGTGCGCCCTGTAACGCTCGTTGGTTACTCCCTTGGTGCCCGTGTGATTTTCTCTTGCCTCAAGGAGCTCCAGCGTCGCCGCGCTTTTGGCCTTGTCCAGAACGTATATATTTTCGGCTCCCCCGTCGTCGTCAAGAAGGACGAATACTCAAAGGCCGTCTCTGTCGTTGCAGGCCGATATGTTAATGGTTACGCTAGAAACGACTGGATCCTGGGCTATCTCTTCCGTGCGACATCAGGAGGAATCTTGCGTGTTGCTGGACTTGCGCCAGTGGAGGGCATCCCCGGTGTAGAGAACGTAGATGTCACAGACCTTGTTGACGGACACATGGCATATCGCACTGCGATACCGAAGCTCCTCCGAAAAGTTGGCTTCATTGTGCTCTCGGACGAGTTTACGGAGATTGAAGACCCGGATCCAGACCGTCATCGGGAGCGTCAGCGCGAACTAATCAGTGAGCTGGACGAGGCGCGGAAGGAGCTCGACAAGAAGAAGCGGTTTACCTTCTTTGGCCGCGGTAAAGAAGCCGCAAAGAAAAAAGAATGGGAAACCTACGAAGACCCCTCCGTCACCGCCGCCAAAGAGGCGGCCGCAAAAAAGAAAAAAGAGGGGGAGCAGGATCCCAACGCAGACGTCCTTTTCGACGTCGATGCCATCCGCGCAGAGCTGGCACGGTCAGGGCGCGAGGAGCTGTCAGTCAAAGAGCTGAATAGTACTCTTCCGACGCTTAAGACCGGCTCGGGGATGCTAGGTGCTCCCACGGCGAATCTGCGTCACTCAAAGAGCTTTGGGGATCATCGCTCGCCCGTTAGTGCTGGGTATAAGAGCTATGGCAGCAACCCGCAACATAATGGCTTCGGCTACGATAGCGACAGCGAAGACGAGTTTGGAAATCGTCGAAGGAAGCCTGGTGAGGAGGAGGCAACTATGACATTTGATACAGGCGGATACCAACCGCCCCCTAGGACGAACTCTGGCGGGTATGGTAATCTTGGGCTTGGACAGAGTAGCAGGGGCGCAAGTGCGTACAGACCTCCGCAGCGGAGCACGTCCATGTACACAACACCGAGCTATGCTGCTGCCGGGGCTGCAGGTGCGGGTGCAGCAGTGGGTTTCGGCGCCAGTATGGGCATGGAAAGCCGGAACGTGTGGGCAGACGACGATGAAGACGAGTTTGCGGGTGGGGAGGGCGAGATGACGATGACTTTTGCTTAAGGCGTGGTTTTTAGACGATCGGATTGGGATTTGGGTTCTGTGCTGATTGACTGGCTCTGGGTTGGGTGGGTTGGTGGATCGGTTGGTGAGAGGGATCGGGGGCCGGTTTTGCTATTTTATTGATTTGGTATTGGTGTTAGCGTCTCTCTGTATCTTTTCTTGTGATTGCTTACTTTTTTTTTACTGTCCATTTATTTCTTCTGCCTTCTGTCTTACTCTCTGTTCCTCTTTCCCTCTCTCCCGTTGTCCTGCATACCACTCGAGAGATGGCATGTCTGGACTCACTATCTGCGCTCCCCGATTCACTTATTCACTACTTGTGACGGTGGTGTTAGTGGTGGTATGTATTGCATAAGATCTGATCTGGATGTGGTTTACATTTCAATGGCGTTTTTCCTCCTCATATTCGTTTCCTATCCGTTTCTTGTCGTCTCTCTTCCGAGTCTTAAAGTGTAAATTACTGAAAGTTGAACAGAGTGCTGTTCCTGGCTTGGCCTCAAAATAAATACTAAAAAATAGAATAAAAAAATTAACTCGATTGAATGGTGTGAGAGCGGGCAGGGAAGACCATGAAGTTCTAGCTGATTACACGTAGACATAGGCTGTGAAATAGGGTGGTCACATCTGGAACTGAGTCTAAACACCTGTCTGTAATACTGGTAACATATTATTATGAAGTTGAGTATATGTTGTGCGTATTCCTGGACGTGTGTGGAGATGGGGTCATGATATGTCACTCGGACATTCCCCGCCAGCTATATCCCTGATAAAAAACAAAGTGCAAGTTTTGCACAATCTTTTAGTTAGGTTTTAACAGCCTATAACAGAATGAATACATATTCGTGAGGGGCCTTCCGGATGCTATGCGGTCGACTCATATATTCACACGCTATCACTCGATTTGGTCTCAGATCCTACATCGTATCCGCCGCTCCGTGGGGTCCACACCACGGTTATCACCAAGCCCCTTAGAATACCAAAATCGGCGAATCAAATAAACCCTTCCCACATCTATGGTAGAGGAAGGGTGTGAACCTCGTGCTCTCGAAGAAATGCTCCGCCAACCTTACCTCAGCATCCTTACCTTAGAATCCTCATCCGATATTGTGGGCAGAACCCTTAGGACCGGCGCCCTCACCTGGAGCTCGAACTGAGACATAATTCTGGGTTGCAAGTAAGCCTCAGAAGGATGACCACATTCAGCTGCTCTACGAGGTTTCCACGACAGGTAACAAGAATGATGGGCTACTTCTGCAGTCACAGACAAATACAAGCTTTATAGGAAACAGTGGATTGGACGGCGTGGGAGATTTTACAAGAGTCAGAAGAGCGCTCTAGTATTGGGTACGAAGGAGAGCCCAGAGTTCACTAGGTGGTCTGTTTTGCCATCTTCTTATCCCTTAAGCTGTCGCGAAAATGCTGACCCCCCCCCCCCCCCCAAAAAAAAAAAAAGCAAATTCGGTGTGGCTTTACTAACAGATCCCGTTATCTCACTTATCAAATAATAGATCTCTCATACAAATTTAATTCCTCTGTTATAGGGGGGTCAGCATCGACAGCTTAAGGGATACCCTCTTATGGATGGTTCAGAAGATACATGTAGTGGTTCTGCATGGAGGGGCCATGGGAGCCGCACCTACTAATGCTATTTAGAAAACATCTGTTCATACTTCAGTTCCATCGAACATGCTTAGCATGTGACTTGACAAACTCAATCAATATCAAAGAACATAATGAAAGCAGAACCATATACTCCCATCACAATCTCTAAAGCAATACAAAAACACTATCACTACAACTCTCGCCAGAGTCATTGTCTTCGGCGGATCAAGTGTGTCTCAATATCCCTCAAAGCTTATTCGATCAACAATAAATACTAATATGGTAATAGGGCCTATATTCCTATATTGCTATGGTATTTGGGTGCTCGGCCGACTATCAACCTCTGTGAAAATATCGTGGTATTAATAAACACCTCCACACACCTTTTGCGTCTCACCCAAGTTAACAAAGTTTTTGAATCTGTTTAAGTGTTTAGCTGTTGGTAAAGCAAGTAAAGGGTTATGTAGAAAGTGCTAACGTAGGTCGACACATGCATGCACTTACACAGCCTAGGTATATTAGTTTCATTGAGGTCTTTTTCATCAGGCCAAGGGCTATCATCCTCCAATCTTAGGAGACGGGAACTATGAACCAACAAGGATAGGCATCACTTCAGAGCCCATCTTTATATCTACATAAATTGTCCTACGTTTCTCGGTTCGCCATGCCCCATAGGATATATTTGAGTTCAACGAAAATTGATAAAGCCAAGACACCGCAACAGCGACACAATATTCATATTCCGTAAGGGTATCGCTGCTCAATACTCTAACCGCTTATAAATTAAAGATACATGTAGCTTCGGCTCTTCATCAACGATCACTCGGATATATAGCCTAGCCTAGTCAAGCTATCGCGATACTTGGTAATAGTTTTCGGGGTGTCAGCCTTGGCTGGTTGCCTATCTCAATAGTGCTACCTAGACCTATCAGCTGGGGCCCTATTACATTAATTGATCTATGCCTGTACCCAAAGGGAAACTGCCAAATTAATATTTAACTAAGCCACGATTCCAAACGACTGCGCAAGTAGGCTGTGGAGCATATTCTAGGTATTTCTCTATCACAGCCTTCACAGTAGGACAAACTACCATCTTTTATCCTAACACCAGGAGACAGTAATTTCTTATCTGATGTTTATAAAAGCTTTATAGGCAGTTCAAAACCCATCTTCGTCACTCATTATCACTCGTAGTTGGATACCTGGTCGACACAGTAGATCGTCATCATCGGCCCCGGCCCAGTATCTTGCAGATTTTTACCCTGAGTGGGTCGGGCAGACACACCAGCTGGTAAGCGATCCGCAAGGTTTTTCAGGGATTGCCAATTGTGGCAAATTCTTGACACCACTCCCGTGATACCCACATCTGCAGGGTCCAGAATCCAGATCCCTTTACCGGTGGATTGTAAGAATGAGGGAGTGAGCGAGCGGAGGGACATGAAGGTTAGATTGGCAAGTGGTTATTTCATTGGAGCATGGGAGGTCGGTTTTCAAAGGTTTGTAGGGCACTTTGTCAATGAAGATTGTCGTTGTCAGTGTCGGTTAAAGAGTTCCGTTATCAGTGCCGATATACATGTAGTTGTCTCAGATCTTGATTATGTGGCTTATCAGATGTGCCCAGGGCGAGAGACAACGATGTGAATCATGCAAAGGGAGCTACATAGGATCCTAGGAATTGGGAGCGCGGAGCAGATGAACAAACGACGTCGACCTAGAAAATTCTTTCACATCAAACCTGAAGTGCGGGGAGGATGGTTGGGATGACACATGTAAAAAAATACATATGTAGTTACACGTAAAATACAGAAAGGTACTGTAGTTACAGTAGACTATGTGATCTAACATAGAATTTTGTCACATATAACGCATTTGAGAGCTATTCGGAGCTGCTTATTATCAAAAGGCCAAAAGATGACGGAGAAAACAATCGACAGAATGATTGTTGATGAGGCTGATGGAACAGCAAAGAACGACTGGAGGTCTTTGGAAAGCGATGGAAAGTCTTGGGTAGCACACTAACCTCTTTCGGCACTCTGCCGGCTGCACTTCTCCCACCCGCCCCAAAGCCTCAAGTCGAGAGAGGAAGAGAAAGTCAAGGGCCCACTTCTTTTTTCTTTCACTTCTCTGCATACATAGGAAGGACACCTCTCCCCCCTCTCTTCTCTGCTTCTCTCAACCCCCCATTTGTCTTCTCAAGCTTCGTTTCGACACCCCTCACCTCTGTCTGCTTCTCCGCGACAACAACAACGTACATCTGAGCCAACCTCCCCACCATTCAATTCACCCCTCCCCCGCGCTACTCCTCCTATCGATAGAGCCTTCTATCCCCAACAAAAAGACGTTATCATATACTTGACGCACGTCGGAACCGAGAGATAGTTCTCAACCGACTTCAATACCATACATACTTTTTTTTTTTTTTATCTTAATCCCGTAACAACCACACACCATGTCGCAAAAGGCAGAGAAGAACCGACTCTACAAGGTCCTCGAGATCGAGGCCTCTGCAACAGAAACCGAAATCAAGAAGGCTTACCGAAAACTTGCTATGGTAAGTTTTTTTTCTTTCCCTATAATCCAGAGGGCTCAAGCCTCTCGTTTCATGTGACCCCGAAACCTCTCGAGGCTTGTTTACCCGGAAACTAATGTGGTACATGTTTTAGAAATATCATCCTGGTACGCGATAACACATCTTCCACCCTCACCCGTAGCACGACTACAGAGAAGAGAAGAAGAGAGGAGAAAAGGAAAAAGAGTTCTTTTCTCCCTCTTGCTTCATTTTCTTTCTTTCCTTCTTTACGAAGCACGGAGAACTAACTGTTGCAATGTTGTAGATAAAAACGCGCACAATCCTGAGGCAGCTGAAAAATTCAAAGAAATTGGTCATGCGTAAGCTAGCCCTTTTATTATCTTCTAATTTTTTGGGGGGTGAATATTTTGGGCCAACAAACTGTAATAGTTACGAAATTTTGTCCGACCCCCAGAAGCGAAGTGTCTACGACCAATATGGCGAGGAGGGCTTGTCTGGTGATGGCGGTATGGGGGGTGGAATGTCTGCTGAGGATTTATTCTCTCAGTTCTTCGGTGGTATGGGTGGTGGTATGGGCGGTATGTTCGGCGGAGGCGGAATGCAGCAGCAGGGTCCTAAGAGGGTGAGTGCCTTTCCCTATTTCCCCATTGATTTCGGAATCTATATATTGCGAAATAGGCAAGACTAATGTCGAACAGAGCCGGGATATCGTCCATGTTCACAAGGTATCTCTTGAAGATCTTTACAAGGGTAAGGTCTCAAAGCTCGCACTGCAAAAGAGTGTCTTGTGCTCCAAGTGCGAAGGTCGCGGCGGAAAGGAAGGCGCAGTCAAGAAGTGTACCGGTTGTAATGGTCAGGGTATGAAGACCATGATGCGCCAGATGGGACCAATGATCCAGAGGTTCCAGACTGTTTGCCCGGACTGCAACGGTGACGGAGAAATCATCAAGGAGAAGGATAAGTGCAAGGGCTGCCACGGAAAGAAGACTATCACCGAGCGCAAGGTTCTCCACGTACACGTTGATAAGGGTATGCAAGATGGGCAAAAGATTACCTTCAATGGGGAAGGAGATCAAGGCCCAGATATCATTCCCGGAGATGTCATCTTTGTCATCGAGCAAAAGCCTCACCCAAGATTCCAAAGAAAAGGAGATGATCTCTACTATCACGCCGAAATCGACCTACTCACCGCCTTGGCCGGTGGCTCTATCGCCGTTGAGCATCTTGACGAGCGTTGGTTGACAGTATCCATCACTCCTGGTGAAGTTATTAGTCCAGGTAAGCCCAACATTCCCTCAAATACCAGTCTTTCAGATAGCTAATTCACCCACCAGGTTCCGTCAAAGTAGTACGTGGCCAAGGTATGCCATCATACCGTCATCACGATCATGGTAACCTTTACATTCAATTCGATGTGAAATTCCCTCCGGACCACTTCAACACCCCAGAGCAAATTGCTCTTCTCGAAACTATCTTACCACCAAGGAATCTGCCTGAAATCCCACCGGATGCCATGGTAGACGATGTTGCCTTGGAGGAGGTTGATCAAAGCCAGCAAGCACGTGTGCAGGCTTCTGCGCAAGGTATGGACGAAGAGGACGATGGTCACCCGGGTGGTGAGAGAGTCCAGTGTGCGTCGCAGTAAATTGAAATGTACAATGAAATCTTTCTTTTTCTATTTCCTTTTTCTATTCTTTTCTTTTTGTTAGAGAAAATGGGGAATTATGATGCAACGGTTCTGGTCTATCTTGTCTATCTTGTATTTCGTGCTGGGTTTCATGGTGGCGTAGCTTGTCGTTGCAATAGTATTCCGGGGTGGGACGTTAAGAAGGGGTATCACAACAGCCTGGGGTCGGTTTACACTAAAAGCCAACTATGTTATTCCATGGGCCTCCTCCTCCGTTTATCATTTCATTTTCTGTAGGTTTTATTGTTTGGAATTGCTTTGATCTTGATACAGGTTTGGCCTGGTACTGGGTGGGGCAAGGTTCTTTATCTCTTTTTTTCTTTTCGGGTTCTATTTTATCTCTTATTTTTACTTTTAACTAGGTTCTTGCTTCTCATTTACCTTTCACCTCTTCTTCTGTTTAAAGGAACGGATCACAATAAACGGTTGCAGTCTTTTTTCTTTCTTTTTTTCTTATCGATAAACAGCAGGGAGAGACGAGTTCGGGTTTAACTATTATGAGATATTGTGTACTTAGTTGATTGTTAACATTGCGACGGTGTACGTCATACGTCATGTTTAACTAGTTATAATTCTGGTTCACAGTATGTCACTCGCATCCGCACTGTCAGCTTGTGAGAAATATGAACTGCTTAGTTGACATCTTAGATCCGTCGAGCGGCATACAGTACTACAGTAAAAATAAGTGCATGTGTCCTTATTCAAATATAACTCTTGATATACTAGACTACATATCCAGCTGTTGACATCATTTCCTATAGCTATTGACACCATAGTGACATATGATTGTCATTTAAATTTATTGTATGCAACAGAGTGACATAACTATGGTTTTTTTTCCCCCTCTTCTTTTCTCTTTTTCTTTGTTTAATTCATTAGTTGTATGCTATGCAGCCCTTAGGCTACGATAATGTGACATATGGTGGTTCGTAGTGATAACCACATTTAATCCTAGGCTCGGGAGCCATATTTCAACAGCTTAGCACAGGTGTTAAATAGATCCTTCGACCACTCATTTAAACATCTCCACTCTGATCAGGTGAATGGTCATTGGTGAAGGGTTTTAAGAGACAGAAATGATTTCATAACACAATTCCCATAGTAGCTATACTCGCACGTCAATAAGTCCTATAATTCTCAGGGCTTAATTAATGCGTGAGTATATATATGTCAAAAAAAAGGGACTTAAACGTTTTCGTGGACTCCATGGGAATACCTATATATGCTATATATATATGTGTGCGCCGAAACAAATTATATCTGGCCTAGGCAGGAGTTTGTGTTCCAGTATCGAGTATTCAGAGAAAACGGCCCGCAACACCTACCATGGCTCGATTCACTATAGTAGATAAGCATGCCAGCTTGAGTGACGTGAAAATAAGCAACTATAGAAAAGTCACAAGACCCTGAATCACCGCTTGCTTCGAGCTAAAAATCGATTTCTGCCAGAGAATTCAATGTTGATACACCTATCCGTCAGAGTGAGTTGAGCCATACTCTCAAAAAGAACTAAAAATGCCCCTGGCCGGGCCCAGTTGTACCAGTCATATCAAAGGCGTATGGTATAGCTCTATGTTGAGTATATGTAATATGTTTTAACTTGATTGTTTTATATCGAAATTATGCTCACGCTCAAGTTAGCATCCGTGCATCTACTATAAACACTGGGAATTCTAATCGAACTCGGAAGACCCAAAGGATAACTAGCAGCTTTAAACCCCGTGACCACATGTATATATATTGCACGTGCCCATGTAAAATATCATCTCGTATGAGAACTCCCCATTCATCTGTAGAGAAAAAAAGGTTTATAGGCTCGAATATATGCCAGGTTGTTGAATACATGTACGTATAGTTCGCGACATTTTCTATGAGGCTCATAGATTTACTCTTTTGCTGCGCTGTCGGATTGATTTTTGTTTAACTATACATTGGAGACCTAATGTACATCCAACGGTTTTAGGCAACCCACACTTGTACGAGGCCTGTGTTGTCTTTCTACATGTATTTAATTGTCTTGTCATACATATGTTGCGGGTGACATGACAGCGCACCTTCTTCAACCGGGTTGATTACCTGTACCATGCCATCTTCCTGAATTTTCGCATTGAGCTTTATATTATATACATCATGTACCACCCACAAAAAACATTTGTCTCATTATTAGATGAAAGCCAGCAGAAGTTTCTCGCTCAGATGCTCTCGAAGAAAGGGTTACTTAGCTAGCCAACGCATCAACTCGACACTTACAATTATGGGACCAAGCTTCCTTCAATTCATACAGAAACACAAACTTAAAATGACTGCCCCTATAAATGGGAAGAGGTACTATATTAGTTATGGCGGAGGATACATGTGAACGTTTGCTGTCTTGCGTATGTAGCTGACCTGGCTGGTGAAAATCTTTTGTTTGACGCTGCCTTGAGTAATATTCCAAACCTCAAATGGTCCACACAAAGTATATAAACAAGGCTGAATCAACGGCCTAAATCTTCTTTTCTAGTTTGAGATCAAGCTAAACAGTACTGAATGATAGCGTTGGTTATCATTTCCAACGTAATCCAACTGATCTAGGGCCATTTATATCAAGACCGGTACATGGGCCTGGTCTAGAATAAGATTGGTAGATCGTTCGCTATCGGAAAAAAGAATATGCTGAAGTCCCCTAACCTGCCAATAGTACTGGATTCTGGAAAGTTCCGCGCATAAGGGCTTCCCGGTAGAAATAACGCCCTGTGAATTCGAACTCACTTGCATGCACACCGAGCATTGGCACATAGACTAGTCAATCATACGCGTATAGTTTAGGGTGATTGGATCCCATAGATGGATATTTCAGCTGGTGGAGTGCATATAACGGCGCAGAGCATCAGCCCCGCGGCCGGACAGCTTGCAACTGGTACACGCTGTAATCTTGGTTAGTGATTTTATCCGTAGACATCATATATCACTCGGTTTGATTGATTACAAGTGAAGATCGGGATTGAAGGGTTCGAGGATATACTACATGAATCCATCCGCCACGCTTGTTTGGTGACAACACTGCGGCTTTGCTAAAAAGCCTCCTTCAAACTACGTAGCTGCCAGTCACCATGTATCACTGGCATGACACAGAACGATTTGATCCTTGCCAAGGCCAAGAAGCCAACTGGTAGGCGCCACATAACCCTGTCTACTATGCCACACTTTTAAAACGCAGGGTCCCAGACTAACTACATGGATCGATGATGGATTCGAGTCATGTCCACGGAGGACGTATCCTTTTGGTTTCTTTGTGGTCATGTCCTTAGTCCTCGCAAATCTATTGGAGGGGTTTTTTTTTTTTGGACTAGGTATGTAGGATACAGTCTGAGTAAGTACGGTCAACGTCGATTTGAGGCAAGGTATTGGGTACACATGCATGGAAAAAAAAGCCTACCTGTGTATACTAAAGCACCCCTGAGAATTGATGGCTGTCTTAGTATGCAGGTACACCATCTTACACAGGGTAGAAATACCGCAGTTTCCTATAGTCATTGCTAATAATAACCGGGAAAGATTTATGTAGGTACTCAGGCAACCTGAATATCCTTGTTAGGTTATGAAGTCTGCACGAAGACTTTGTATTTCAACATATTGTTTTCAAAGTACAAGCGGAGCAGGGGAAAGTTTAAAGTGATTATCATATAGTTGAATGAATATATAGTAGGGTACCTACAACAGTGAAAAGTTGGAGCGTGTGTATAATATAAGTATATAAAAAAAAAAAAAAAAAAAAAACAAGAAGAAAAGGCTCTAGCTAGTTAGATCTTTCATCGTTTTCCTTCTTCTCCTCTGTCTCAGGCCACAAAACAGCCATCAGGTCAGGTCTCGGCTCGTCCCTATAAAACATTTCTGACCTTACACCTACGCTCCCGATAAATATTTTAATTTTATACCTAGCATGATAATATTTGCTCGATTTGAAGGCAAAGGGATTCCCCTTCTTTTTCTTGATCTTTTCAAATTCACGAACTTGGCAACTAGTGAGGTCAGGGACCAGAGTACAGACTTGCGTAACACCTGCACACATTTGAAAGGACATGTAAGATTTTTGCAATAACGACCCACCGGAGAAGGATGCCTTACCAGGTTCAACACGGAACGGTGGATTGTCGTGGGAACATTCGACAATAACCTCCTTCCAACGGTAGCCGAGCTTTGAGGGGAGGAAGTCCCTCTTAAAAACCTTCTCGATACATTTTTCATTTGCACCGCTGAAGGACTCATTCTGTGTTTCAGTAAGCTTTTATACTCGACATGCCCCTATGGAAATAAATACTTTACGTATCAACCACTCAATTTGGTTTTTTGCAAGAACGTTCCCTGTCAACGGGTCCACATATCTTTCATAGTCAAAATGTGTTGTCTCACTGAAAGGCTTCATCGTGACCAGCCCATAATGTTTCCTGCAAAGCCGCGACTGCACAGGATCTTCAAGTTCCTTAAGCATCTGAATTTGCTTAGTAAGAGCTCCACGTACTACCGCTTGTTGTCTGTGCGTTGTAATCATTAGCATGCTTTAGGGCTAAGAGAATGTAGAGCACATACGCATCGGGGGGTTGATAAACCCGAATTTCAAAGTCAATTTCTTGGGCGTAATCTTCAGCCTGTTGTTTAGTATACGGCGAAGATCCGAGCCCGCCGACGAGGAAGATAGCCTTTGGTTATAATATCATATTAGTATAGATATTAAACCCATTATTTATACAAGAGAAAACTCTGAACATACGCCCACCCGGTAACCACCGGCCGCACATTGCTTAATGTGATTAGCAAGCAGACCTTTGGTTTCATTCAAGGATTTCGCAAAAAAGCCGTGCATTTGTGTTCTACAGCGCCTTCATCAGTTTATAGTTCCCCCCACCAACCACCCTTTATAAAAAAACACCTACCGAGAAATAGAAAGATAACCGTTTTTCAACTCAAGTTTAATCTTCTCGTCGCCGAAAACCCCCTTAAGTTGATCCTTGTTGCCGAAGAAAATGTGGAAAGACTCTTCATCAAGGCTATTGTTGAAACGCTCCTTTTCAATGATGAAATCTTTATTTAGACGCTCTATTAGCGGTCTAGTCTTGGCGTTATCGGCTATCTCCTGCTTTATATAAGAAGTGAATTCTCTATCAATAATTGTTGATCCGCAGTAGCTGCCTGTATATATTTAGCTTGAACTCGATTGTGTTTTCTTCTAGAGATGAGCGTAGGGAGAGATCAAACCTGATATTACACCAGTATGTGCAACCTGGATGCTTGGATTCAATCTTAGGACAGTATACGATGCAATGTCGACGGTTCCTCCGCCAGCATCACAAACGATAAAGCAGTCATTTTTCTATATAACTTTGTAAGATCCAAATGACCATGAATATTTGTGTGAGGTAAAAACATGTATTTTACCTTCCAACTAGGAATATCCTCGGGCCGTTTCAAACCCATTGACTCTACAGTGTAAAGAGCTGCCGCCTCCGGCTCCGTCAACCTGACCCCAAAAGTATGATTCCCAATTCCCGTAGTCGCCACAATCCTTCGAAAGTTCTCCACGGTAGAATTCGAATATGCCGCCGGAACAGTCAATAGGATATCCAACTTTGTATTATTTGGCGAATAGATGCGCTTCCCAGTGATGTGTTCAATCAGGTGATCATACAATCCTTGAATATAATCATGCACAACATCTTTCAGTGTGATGCCCGGCGGAGTTCGATAGTGGATCATAGAACTCGGCTCTATGAAGGGTTTGAAAATCCGAAACTTCGGGTACAGTTTGTCTTCAGAGTTCTCGGCTTCAAACCCCCAAACTGAGGGACCACCTTTGTCGGGGTAGACCACCACAGTGGGGACTGCGTAGCTGGTGCCTCCAGCAACCTGTCCTGGCCAGTCGCCAATTTGGATTGGTATGGGATTTTCCACATTGAGTTGTGCAAAGGCGACGGCTTGTTAGACCCAGTTAGCCTTTGTATTGGGTCGGGAAAGCCGTTACAAACCAGAGTATGTGGTGCCGAAGTCGATGGCTACAGCAATGACTTCGTTGGTCTGAGTGCCCATTTGGAGCGGGGGGTAGTGGGAAGTTCAACCTAAGGCCGTTAATGATACCGCCGCTTGGTGACAGCGACGTGACGACGTCAAGCTTAACTGTCTGATCAGCTCAGGGGGATTTGGCTGCCCCAGTTACCAGGCAAAGTCATGTAAATAAATATTTATATTTTCTTGGGGTTAAATGCGCATAATAGTGCGCATGGAGTTAGGCACTCCTAATTGCATGCTGATCATGATATAATTTCTTACTCACTATGCATATGAAAAAGAAAACATAATATGCACCTCAAGATTGACCGACAGCAAACAGCATATGCACATACAAGTGGAACCTCTTCAGATCGAAAATTCGCATTTTTACAGACTCTACCTGCAGCTGCATACGGAAAATTCCACGCTGCCGCCGCGTGATGTGACCGCAAAAAAGTTTTCGGTCTTAGACGTCGCATCAACGTCGCCTGGCTCTAAGAAGGGAGAGAGTTGTGCTGAGGTAAGTACAACCTACCACACAGAGCCTGAGGCCACTACAGCCCAGAGTATGAAACTTAGATAAAACACTTAGGTCAGCACATCGCGGTTTCGCGGTTTTGGGGACTGCCGCGCGCGCTTAACGTGACGTCTCGTGCTCTAAACGCTTGAAAACCAATCAGGCATAGTATGATACTTATTTCTAGATCAAACAATTGGAGGTTTCACAGAAAAGCGTGCCGGCACTAAGCGGATACCCAGCTTAGAAGACATCAGTCGGTGCCCATTCATTGGACAGACACTCGATCGACTCCGACACATATCCTAACGCAACTGAGCAAAATAGGTATTTTTACTTCTCTCCCAGCTTGGTCGATATCTATCTGCTGTGCTCATTTAGTTATCTGAAAAGTGCGAAACTTCTCATACTGCAGTGGTCAGGAACATCATCGAGTAGTGAATACTATCTACCGAGCCTAACTTAATAGTCAATACCCTGGATCTTGATGTGTTCGGGTTGGCCTATGGCATGGTGCATGCTAATATAATCGGACCTCAACTATCACAAGACAGATTTTTACGAAAACTGCATGATATACCTATGCATGCCCACAGTAGGTTGCGAGAAGTAGGTATTTAAGTTACACAGCCATGAAGGTAGAGTGCCTACAGTCCGGACGACGTCCGAATGGACCTCGAACTATGTATTCACAGCCTGCCTCTTTAAGCTAATAGCATCCTGATCAGGTTGACCTGGAAGTACATGTATGTAGCTAGTACCCAGTGTGTGCACAGGCCAGGCTGAGAATTTGGGGGTTTCATCCGTCCAAGGGCTGTCTATCATTCAGTCCATGCAACGCATGCACACATGTAGGTACTACGTCTGCCATTGGGTTTTTACTGTGGCTTGGCTATTGCACCAAATGCACACCCGTTCTTTTGTAGCTACTCTACATGCACGATGATTCATGCGTAACGCTTTCGGAAGGAGGATTGGTTGAAATATCCAATGTGCTTGAATATAGGCAGAAAATAAAGAAAAACGAATTAGAATGCAGAAACTGCCACACTCGGTAAAGCTAGCTAACGCTCTCGGAGAAACAAATACAGTGCGATAATAATGGTACGTACGTACTGTGTGTGTGTGTGTGTGTGTGTGTGTGTGTGTGTGTGTGTGTGTGTGTGGGGTGGGGGTGAAAAGATTGTATCTGGCATCTGTAGCTCTTTTTCGTAAGCTGTTAACTGAGTTCTAAATCGAATCTTCTTCACGGTCTTTATGAGCCTTCTACAGTGCCAAAGTTACCTACATGGGATCGATTTAAGCCCACCTACGCATCCCTACACACCACGTAGAGTAGCGTGCTCATTCGAATATCATGCCAATCACATATCACCCCATCATACCCGTGGCACCTTCTAGATGGCTGGAAGAACTCGGGCTCTAGCTCTTGTTAGGAGGCTTGTTCCTGAGTTTCAATCACTGGCTCTCTTTCCCTCGACACGCGTGCCAACATGTAAAGTATCCAGGACTGGAGCGGCGAAAATCAGAAAGAGGCAAAAGCAAGGAACGATCAATCCCTACTCAAAGCCCAGGAATGTGGTCTAGTGACATGCGCTTGCGATCGATTTCGCCACGGTGATTAAAAATGTTGCGGTGCACACGGTGGGGTGACAAAAAGGCATGTTGCGAGGTGTAATTTAGTAATGAAGCTTAAATGGAAAAGCCTTGGGGTAATGGCAGTCCATTTATCCAAAATTCCGAATCGATTTATGGATGTATGTAGGTTCGTTGCATGTTCCTTTAGTGCTCCCGTAACTCGGGTCAACTAAATCTGTGGACAGAGTATAATATGTACTCTATGCGCCATCAGCATTCGCCTCTTTCGCGACTCAATCCATTGACCAAGCTGTAAGGTAAAAGTGGGCTGTATACTTGCCACCTTACCATCATGATCACTGTCCGCTTTTCTTTGCGGAGAGCTAGATGGCATCTCAATCAACGGCGGCACATGTCCTCCATCCACGGAAACAATCGCTGGCCATGATCAGCGGCGGTTAGCAAATGTTTTGTTCTGTTTTTATCGCGGCCCCCAGGGTCGACGTCTCAGATTCCTGGCGCGAAGGAAATCGACAGCAAACGACGTTAACGTTAATCTTCGTTTCGTGTTAATTGGGTTGTTACTGAGTAGTATTAGCGTGTTGTAAAGCTGTTGGTGACCTCCTACCATACTATCGGTTGCTGTGACTTGTGGCTCTTGCTTGGATCATAGAAGCCGATACATGCAGTGCTCTTAAATAGGGTACGTATGTACATGCAAGAATGGGGGGTTAACATAAAGCTGCTCATCACGCCCGGCCTCATCACACCCAAGTCCTGCCTGTACGGGCCGGTACTACGAAAAATATTTTCTCAGGTGGCATTACGAATTTACGAAATTCATGAAAACCTCTATTACTACGCTCAGCATCATCACATCACATACGAACCCGATATTCAAAAAAATCTACATAGCTATCGCCAGCACCGCTAACATCGCTATCACCCTACCGGTTATATCAGTACACGGCTGATTCCGAGGTCGCCCATAAAACACCTCACCGATCGCGACACAGCGCACACATAACGAAAGTTGGAGAAGGGACGGGGTGAAGATTCGCTTGCTCCCGCCTTAAGCAAACTATGGAAACCGCGAAGCCGAAACTGAGCGTAGTTCGGCGTATACTTTACGGACTTTGCGGTATCTGCGGCCCCAAAGTCAAAGTCGAAGTCTCGCCTGTTAACAACTATCACCAACCCGCGAGCCGACCTGGTACCTCCCAAAGTGGCAAAAAGAGAAAAAAACGGCCTGCAAACGTCTCAGTTCAGGAACCGGGCTCTCTAAGCCCGAGCTCCCAAAGCCCCAGGAGTGCGGACGTTCAACCACCTATGGGGGAAAATTATTACCAGAATATTCCTGCCATATTATGGGACCATTATGGTGGAAACGGTCAAAGTAATTTTTCGGGCGCTCCGGCGCCTAATATGAGCGGTGGTTATGAAACCCAAATTCCTGCGTATTGTAACGTTCCGGCAAATAATTTCGGGGAGAATCCTCCATATGAGATCATCGGTCATCCTTCATGGAATAATCAGACTCCTGCAAATAATGCTGGTTGTACTTGGGCCCACCCCCACCATGCCACTGAAATATTAGGTCAAATACCTTGGCAATCGCAGCCTAAAGACGACGGATCAATGCTTCGCCTTTTCAAAACTGTGGATGGCCGCCTAATGGATCATATTTTGAATTTCTACATCGCTCCGGACAGCGTACCGTATCAGAGCGGTTCTGATAACCCTCTCTCACCCGAGGACCCAAACCGCAAACTTTTAGACAAAAACATACCAGATTGGTGGAATTTGTTGTCGAAACAGGAATATAGGATTTCTGTTTTGCGGGCAATAATTGCTCTGGTAGTGTTAGGTGACAAAGGTATGTTGTGACTGGTCTTCATACTCAAAAATTTCTGTCCTTAAACTAATTGTTCTGAAAAACCAGCCTTCCAATCCGCTTCTCCACATAGTAACTACGACCTAGGCAATATGATAAATCGAATTGCTAAGAACACACATGACTTGACAAAATCATTTGCTCTGAAGGGATCAAATGAGGATGCACGATTGCGCAGTATGCAAGCCCTGGTTTCGGCTACTGCAGAATTATATTCCACCATCTCAGCTCAGCCCACTAGATTTGACGTGGCCTGGGGAAAACCTGGGCACGAGTCTATGTTAGACACAACGACGATGGAAGCTGTGCTGAATTCTGATCAGGCATCAAGAACTGTGCGAGCAACTGTGTTTCCAGGGCTGTTAAAGCAGTACGGTACAAATGACTTGCCATTGCCATTAGCAAAAATCCAGGTTTTATTATATTAACATTCCTCTCTTTTTCCTTCGGTTTTATTTGTATATATATTTATCTCTACCCTCAGGCAGAAACTTCGACAAGGTGTACATGCGTTGGGGTTCAGCGCAGGGCTTAGGGAATTCTTTGCATATTTTATTTTTTGTATATCACGATCCCGTCACTCCACGGGCCCCGGACGATTTTCTTTTGTATCATGAAAAGACTGCTTATGACATGATGGATTAAACGAGACTATGGGCGGTTCTTATTCTTCCTATTTTTCTTTTCTCTCTCTTTTTTTTTCTTCCCACACTGCCCTATCAATTATCCCCCCCCCCCACGCATCTAATTCAGAATTGCGTACCACTGGATCCATGAATCAGAAACACAACCTGTATCCTTATGTATTTCAGCTCAAATTTCATTCGAAACCTTCTGTGAAAATTTATGTATAAAATTGTGACCAGCCAAATAAGCAGGAAGAAATAGCCCACCAATTGCACTCCAGTAATTATCCAATACTCAAGCCCAAAGCGCATTACCCAATAACCAATACCCAGTACCCAGTACCAAACCCATCCCTCCTCCTCCCCTCAAAAGAGAAAAAACAAAACACCAAATATCCAATAAATAAAGACAGTGAAAAGAAAGAAAAAATGCAGCCCCCCGTAAAGAGAAGAAAAAAAGTACACTGATCGAAGGCATATAGAAACAGATTAAGCTTCATCCAGTATAATAAAATACTCAAACAGCACTGGCTTGTTGAAGCGCGTGCGTATTCCAAGACTCGTTCTGCGCCTCATGTGCTCCCTGAAGACCCCAGGTAACATACCAACCCGAAGCTCGAAACGCTTCATCAGATAAAGGGCCGGGATCTAGCGGCATCCGTAATGCCGAATCGAGGATAACCCTCGGCGTGCTCGGAGTCGTGTATGGGGTCACTGCCCCCGGCGTATCCTTATCGATCAGGATATACATTGGCTTGTGCTTTTCATACTTCGGAAGCGGTTCCGAGTACTCGGGCACCTCCTGCAGCTGCTGCATGGCCTGTGCTACGTACTGTAGGTTGAGGTCGATGTCGACCCTGATGCTCTGGAGGTTCTTCTCGGTCTTGAATTCCAGCTTGTTCAACTGGGACTCGATCCTGGTGAGCTTCTCGTTGGCGGCCTTTGCGTAGGCGTGGTTGCGGTTACCGACCACACAGCTATATGTTGTGGCAAGATAGGTCAGGCTCGAGTTGAAGTCCACTACAATTGTTTTAAGCCGGGCGAGCTCTCCATCCATCAGTTCCCGCTTCTGCGCATAACGCTTGAAGAAGCTGCGGCTGTTGAGGTTACTGTGGATTTGCTCGAGCTGGGTTTGAACGTTTTTGAGGTTTTTACTGAAGCCGTCCACTTTATTTCTGTACTCGTCCACATCTGCGGGCCGGAGGGTCGAGGTTTCGAAGATTGTCTTGAGGCATTTGAGTCCCTCTTCTGCGCGCATGAACTCACACTGTAGGTCTTTGAATTGATCGCCGGCGATCTCGGCCTGGGCGATCATCTCGTGCACCTTACACACAAGTGCGGCGACGGTGGTGAGGAGACCGACTGTGAGACCGACTGGATCCATTTTTGAGGATGGGGCTTAAAGGGTAAATTTTAAAAAGCCTGTTCTACAGGGCTAAGAGGGGGGAGAGAAAAGAAGAGAGTCCTGATCTACAGAGAGGAGGGGAGGGTAAATTGAGGTTATTGAGAACGGTTCGCGAACATATCCTCTATGATGGTTTCCGTACACTGAATAATGTCAGTACAGACTGGTACTGTACTATTCACTATATCCAGACACAGATCAGAAAGTGCCCTGAGGTGTGGGTGTTACCCTTTAATATAGGTATTCCCTTTTTTTTTCCACCGTTGAATATGTAGGGCATCATATGTGGTTTCATGGGCCGGGGGGCCCGTCTGTTTGCATAATGAGGACTGCTATCGCAGTAATGGAAAAAAAAGTGTCCCCAAATTTTCGACCAATGGATACCGACTCTGCGCAATCGGGGGAGCCAGGGAGGGGGAGAGTGATGATGATGATGATGGGCAAGCGCCTGCCGAATGTACCGAAGTGTTGTCCATGCTTTGCTTCGTGAACGCAAACTCACGAGGCCTCCATGCAGTCATCATCCAACTATTCCTCTCTCTCTCTCGCCTCTCCTCCCTCTCCCCGGCCTGCATGCATCTCGTGAGTCGTGCTGCTTCTCCAGAATAGAGTAGCCAGAGTAGGTATTCTACATACGGTTTTGGGATATCTGGCGAATCGTGAATAGATCTATGGCGCACTTTGTTATCCGTTGGCAGGGATTATCAGATTTTTTGGTACCACCATCATTGGCCACGTTAGCGAAAAAGGCTAAAATGACGTAGAAAATGAGGCTCAACCCAACTTTCGTTACCAGATCGAGGCAGACATATAATACTCAGTCTGCGCTAAGCGGGACTTGGCAAAATCTCAAAGCAGCAACTTGTGATTATTACCCCCTTTGGGATGCTCGTGACTACGAAAAGTTAGGGTATATTCCAACTCTGAATCATTGGAAACGGACTGCATGTGCATAGAACTTTTAGGTTTCACTACACAACTCTCTCTCGAGAATATGCAGATGCAGACATCTGTTGTCAATAACAAATTAACAATGGACGGCAGTAGCCGATTCTGGCCTACTCCTTTCCTCTACTGTGGTACTGCAGCTGCCTTACCGTGAAGGATGGCCGACACGGCGGCGACACATGATGGAGTGTTTTTCGATAAACGTCTAGAATTATCGATGCGAAATGATTTTCTGTTTACCTGTTTACCAAGGTAGTCCGGCCTTCAATCCCGGGGGTTTCATGCAAGATAGAGGAAAAATTCTACTCCACCGGCCAAGGATACATAAACCACAGGTCCGCCACGAATCAAACGAGGACAGCAGTAAACGCAAGCGCAGAACGGAATTTCTCATGCTCATAATATGATCATGCGCAGCTGTATCTACTATATTTCGAAACTCTCGGCAAATAACCTCCTGGACTATTGGAGCCCTAGCGAGTCAGTAGATAGTAGATACCACTCTACATACATGTTGATACCTTGACCAATACCGAAACTGGCGATCTGTTTTTGACGTCATTAGAAATAGATATCTACGAGTCAACTTCGACGTGTACGTGCGTGCTTCGGGCCTGGAGAAAGAAGGCTACAATTAATCAAGGGAAGCGACACCGACGGCCCCCCGCCTTCCCCGGAATCTCAGACGAGGCTCTATTCTAGGAGGTGGAAATCTCCCCCAAAAATAAAGATAGTCAAAGATCCGCCCTCCAACCCAAAAGACTTCCTCCCCTCCCTAGCACCCCGACTTTTTTTCTAGAGCACTGGGGAGACGAGAAACACTGGCCCCCATTGGGCGCTAACCCGAGCTCGCGATGCAGTGTGTAAGCCGTACTCCACTCCAGCACGTACAGTGACGTCTCAATGGGCATTGATCGAGCCAACCCACGTCAGCCAGGAACAATCTCCAATGATATTCTCCTTAGTCCGATGTTTGAAGCTCTAGGTGCAGGGATGATTGTTTTTTCTTCCCCAAGTGCATCAAGCTGATAGATAGTGAGGGGTAGCTAGACGGAGAGGGCGCTCTTCAGTGCTTATCCTCCCAATGGCGCGCCGGAGAGTAACGAACTACTCTATGTCGGTAGAGCTAGTTGTTATCGAAATTCACGGGGTGTTCAACTGTGCCTTTACGGATATCAATATCAGCCGCGAGGGCTCTTTGTTTTTGCAGGTGGGTTCCGGATGCCGACGCGACTGACCGGGGAGGCAGCTGGAGTAGTTGCCAGATAGATATCTTTCACAAGGCTCTGGGTTTTGTGGGTTTCTAGCCCTCTATTTGGTTCTACGCAAAGGTATTGTGCATATGGGGACTCGAGTGCAAAATAAATGCCCTGGTAGAAGGATTTCTCTGGGAAAACGAGGAGTGCCGGAGTGCAGAGATCATGATCTAACCGTTTCACCGTTGGTATTCTGGAATCACTCACCTCTCTGTGGGGCTACCTAGCTGGTGATACGACATTGTCACACTACACACTACACGACCATGGATTTATTTGGGACTATACGCACTAGATAGATTGACATCCGGGGCTGAGTAGTAGATCAGTCAACTACTCTACAGAAATTTAGGTAGAGTACTCTACTCTACCTAGGTTACGTAGGCTTTTTTAGAAACCTCAGTTTATTTGGAGCCTTGTACCCTACGTAACTCTACATACATGCTATCGGCCGCGGGGCGGTCTGATACCTAGTCTACCTACTCTATTTCTACATACATGTAGGTAGTGGAGTATGCACTGCGCAGCTTGTAATAGCTGTGATAGTGGGCTTGGGCTGCTCAGAGGAGTACGTAGAGTATGTACTCTATCTGAGGCTCAGTTCTGACCAATCGCAGGTGGCCCGAAATATGGAGATGGTTAAGTCCGCGGGTTTATGCGGTAGAGTACTCTAGGCCGTAGGCAGAGTACTGGAAAAGACCTGGGTGATCGAGTGGAGGGCTGTATTGAGGAGTGGAATTGGGGCTTGAGAAACGGAATTCAGGGCTTGGGAAATGGAGTTCCGAGATTGAACCTTTCCACAAAATACAAAAAATATTAGAGGAAGGTATTAGTGAAGAGTCTAGTCAGACTACTTTTAGGTCCAAAGTAGTGATGGTATTAGTGTATCAATACACTGGAACCCAGCGTTCAATCTTCCCATTCCCGTAGGGGCCATTCTTTAGCCTCTGTTCACACGTTACAAACTGTTATCATTCCAGTAGTACCCGGCAGCAGCACATTGACAGTGCTTGTTTCTTAGTAAAGCGTCAGTTCTATATTATTCTTATCATTATTATTAACTGATTACAGTACCGTAACTATAATTGTAATATTACTAAAATGTCAGTAAACACATTCAGCAGACATTGATATGTCTTCCATTACCAACCGCCCTCACATGAATAATCCTGTTCGATGCTTAGCGCTGCATTCAAAATTCGGCCCCCAAAGTCAAGTCACGTCTCTCATGCAAGAGTTCCAATCTGGACCCGGTTGCGCATTCAGCTGGATCATCACTTTTACCTTGATAAGCAGGTACGCCGTACAGGCTGCGACTCGCGAGACACTACACTAGGGTACTTTAGGTACATGTACTCTTCTCTAGAGTACTACTCTAAGCTGAATCTGCTGCACAAGTACATGTACGGCGGAGTATGTAGTTCGAACGTGACGTGGATGGTTACATAATCGATATCATATATAATCACTCGTATTTGCATCATGATCGATCACTCGATGATTGGTAGTATGGTATAGAGTGGTGGAATGGGGTTTGATAATGTTATGGGGGTTGTTGCGTTCTTCGGCATTGCGAGTTGAATATGCCGTGCGGGATGCGGGATCAGTCTTACCTACGCTTCTGGTACTGTGCATACTACCCCGCTACACACCGAAGCGGCTTCCCCGGCCCCTGCCTCTAAAAAGAAAACCCCACGGCGTGCAGATTACACCACGGCCAAATTCGCAAACTGCACTGCGGGATTGAACACGAAGGCGGACATTCCCGTACAAAAGAAAAATCCCATGCAGGGCCAAAACGCTATGCCGAACCTCCTCCTTCTCCTCCATAGATCTACCCCTTAAAACTGAACTTACCAGCACACCTGTCTTTCTGGCCCGCGATGAAAATTTCAAACTACCTCTGTGGAATGCAAGTTCTTTTCTCAACAGCTACCGACCCACGGCCCTCTCCAACCCCTCCTATGTAGCAAAACTGGGAGTATCACCTCTAACCAACACATCTACCCCTTCACCCTAGTTTGATCAACAACGCTGACGGTACAATTGCTAGACCGACGAAAAAAAAGAATAATAATCATAACGGCACTAGAGAATATAACGGCCGATTGTGTCTAAGACTATCCGCCGCCCGTGCACTATGCTGGCTTTCTCGGTCCGCTCGGGTTTGCCCGGCGGAGGGCGCGCGCCAGATGCTAAATTGCATCCCTCGGGTTTGATGAGGCGCTGACGGTATAGTATGGTATAGTCTAGTATGTGGTAGCGTACCGACAGCGAGTAGAGGGATGGGAGGAAGGAAAGGAAGGATTGAGCTGATACAAACCCTAATCCCGTATTGGCAAACTACAGCACCGGTAACGACTCTCGTCATTTCACTCGCTGGTAGCAACACGGACCACGTCTGAGGTTGAGATGTATCATAATTCGAGCCCAGCCATTCTTTCCCCGGAGGCCGATCTGAAAATTCTCCCAAGCCGCCTTACTGTGCTAACTGGTGGACATCGCTATTTCAGGCATCAAAATGTCGCCCTGAGAAAGAAATTCACTATATCCGTGCGCCATAGCGCAATGCGCATAGATGCTCATTCAATTCTCTAAACTACGAGCTGAAAAGGGTAGGTGCCTATCTATCTGCAAATTGCAGCTAGCTAGCCACCATATATCTTACGACTAGGACGCAAAACGTTATTGGATCACAGAAAATCACTCATTCTACCCGCCATCCAAGATTTCAATTAGACTATCTACACACCAGCCATCCAGCACTCTCCTAGAGTAACGTAGAGTGCAATTTCCATATATAGCACCTATTTCTGGGGTGTTATTAGGGAAGGGGAGGTGGGTCATTCCAAAGCCGGGGAACGGTCTAGATCAACCCACCAATAGCAGCCAGTCCCCCTCGGGATGATCCTGATGGGGCGGGTATAGCCGAAATGAGGTATCGGCGAGATGGGCCAATAATTGATGGAATCTACATATTCGTAGCAACCACGGACGATAGTTTTGGATGCCTTTTTATGTGTGGCGCTTGGAGAGGGCGGTTATGTGGTTGTGTTTTGGAGATCATATCCCGGTTGCCGGAGTGTTTGGATGAAGAACTTTGGCTCTCCATATATCTCAGGGTATCGATCTAGTTTTTGAGAAAACCTCGGGGCTGGGAGTATTGCCAAGGAGGTGAGCCCGGTACTGGCTGGTATCGGAGTATCTAGCAGGCCGGAAAGGAGTTATGATTGGTGCGGAGTTTCTTCCCTCCTACTCGTTGAACGGAGAGGTTTATTTTATGGGTTTTATGGGCCACGGGTATTTCTGGGTTATGGTCATCTGGATTATCGGGCATAAATTTTATGATTTCCTCTCATTACCGAGGGCGTTATTCATAAGACTATATATTTACATAATCGACTAGCAGAAATTTCGCAAGGTAAGGTGATGCCTGGGAGGGTGGGTACCGTAGAATATATTTTCGTACTGGATTTCTGGATTCCTTTAGGCCTCTGGCTCCTATATGCATATGTGTGATAGACGGCACGCTTGCTGGGGCATTGGATGCAAAATATTTGTTAAAAGTCTCCTGGCCTCTAGGGAAAAAGTAGGTGAAGACACCTGATTAAAAAAAAATATTCTGAGCCTTTATACCTTGAAGGCGAGTCGACTAGAGTATGTAGTACCGCATCTCATAGATACAGGATAAAACATGGATATCATGATTGATAAAGTACGTTTAAAAGCCTAGACAATAGGGTTACGGCTAGGATTTCAGAAAATCGGGGGTTTAGGTGTGAACTTTACTCACACAATTCACAATCAAGCAATAATATACCTGAAATTTAGACTTTGAGCGTCCATTTCCATATCTCTACTCCGTCCCAGTCCTCTTTTTCCCACTTGACTCCAGCGGATTCCAGGCACTTAGTCAACCGCGCATCTGGGATCCTTCTACAATCGAATCCCTCTTTCTTTGCCAGTTCCAGGGCATACTCAATAACCTCCGGATCCCTTCTCTCTAACGCCACAAACACAGGCGGACACCTCCTCCCCTTCTTCGAAGTCACCGACAACGCCTTCATAGTCCTCACCAACGGCGCCACCAATTCCTTGACATAAAGCGTATCCGCCGTCACCACAACATCAAAACATGGACTGATACCATTACAATCCTCTGTTGTTGTGGTTACTCTCGGCGGCGCAATAGAAACCTCCCCTCCCCAATCCCACTCCTCGGGCGCCACAAACCAATCCAACTCCCTCACCATGACCCCGCCGCCGCCCCAGGCCCTAACACGCTCCTCGTTGGCCCTGACATTACCCGCCAGCACCGCGTCAACCACAACCCCCAGATCCGTGGCCACGACCTCGAAGCCGAGCATAGCAAGCACGTTCGCTGTGAGCCCCACACCGGCGCCTAGGTCGATCGCGCGTAACTGCTTGGCGTTGCGCGGTGGCTTGGAACCAGCGCCATATAGCTCGAGTAGATAGACGGCGAGCACCTGTGCGCCGAGCCAGAGCGTGGAGCCCGTGGTGGTCTGGGTCGTGTCAGATTGTGTTAGGTCGAGGACTAGGGGTGTTGGGAGGACGGGGTAGTGGAGGAGCGGTTCATGCTTGGTTTCGTGGGCGGGGAGCGGAGACATAGGTGCGGTGCGGGGCGGCGGTAATGGGGGTTTTGTTGTTGGGGTTGGGGTTAAAGAAGCTTTCTTGGCTGGGGTGGGGAGATCCCGGGGGTTGGGAACCCTGGTCCTTAGTGTGGTGGGGGGGGGGGGGGCGTTGCTGCGGTCTTGGTTGATGTGCCAAGGCTTGGGAGTTCTTTGGAGGACCCACATGGGGAGGGCTTTTGGAATTCGATGGTGGGATTAAAAAGGGTGATGTCGAGAAGAAACATCGGGGAATGGCCAAGGACTAAGGACGAGATGAAAATTTTCTGGTGAAATACAAGTAGTTAATTACGGTATCTACCATAGGCCTAGCTAGGTAATGGAATACTCATATTGTGACAATACCGGTAGTTAAGATCGATCTAGGCACTATGTACAATAGGAACAGTATCATTGGCCTAATTGATAGGAGGAAGTTTACTCTCAAATACTTTAGTGAGTTCGTCCCACGTTCTTGATCACCACTACCTCTTCGCCGTTTGTTTGATTGATCCTTCTTTAATTCCCCGTGTTTCAAAATATCTGTATCCTCGGTCTATAGTCTTGGTGGATGTGCAGTTCGATCTATTCTAGGGATGATCATGAGATTATATTCTTTTCTACGATGTGGAATAACACGTTGCGATAATCGGGAGTCAATCTCAAATTTCGGTATCGATTCAGTATGACTTCCTCATCCACCGCAGTACTGGGACGATGAAACCTTTTTGATCTCTAGCGAGAAAGTAGTACATGCACGTGCACAAGGCAAACTCACACCTTATTTATTTGGGACTTCAAGGCTCCTGTCAAGTATGTACATGTATGTAAGACGTACGTTGTCTCAATCAATGATTAGAATTAACCAGCATGTCATCAACTCTATCAGTCGAGCCACACTGACATAATATTGACTAGACCGCAGTGTTATAATCTAGACTAGACCTATATAACTAGCTAGACTCTTAAACCTCTAATAAACCATCCTCGCTTGTGTTCATCTTGTGACCGAAGAGAATAGAACGTCACACAGTTGTACAACATGCTGCTGCCTAGGCCTACTAAATGATCTACTCTACGATAGGGAGTTGTCACCCATCGCTTTATATTATCCAAACACACATATATATAAATGCTGGTTCGATAAACGACATACTATAATTTCTCGCTATATGCCGGCCACATCATTCTTGATATAGAGATATTTCTCTGCAAGATAGGATCGATATGCAACTAGATGTATAGGTAGAAACTCTTGGACCAGTGTTGCCAATTACAGCAACTTCTGACTGGGTATTTTCTGTGTTCTTCAAAGTCAATGCTATGCTTGACGTAGCTTCATATACTCTTTCTGCGGTCAATATGTGTCATTCAAGGATAACACCCCTGGATCAACGATTCTCAAACTACATATATGAATTAAAAGGAGGTCCTCCAAGAGATTCATAACCGGCGAAGCGTCTTTTGGAAGGTCATTTAACAAGAGGCATGGCTAAGAAACAGTCACGTTAGTTTGGATTCCATCTTCTAACTCTTGGATTTATGTAGTGTGAATGGGGCTAACTCAAACGTTTGGTATCTCTTGACGAGATTTCAGAAGTTCTCAAGATAGATCACTATAAGTTATGGCAACACTTCGGCTTGTTCCGATCTGTCTAACCATGAACCCGGGCAATAAAATTTGTCATAATTATTTTTTTCTCCTCTTCAACTGCCATTAATCAATCTGGAAGGTCACAAAGGCTCGCTCAGTACAAGGCGTACTAGTGGGTAGGCAACAAGTACCGGCCAATGCAAACTTTGAGAGTAAACTTTTTGTCAGTGACTATACATCGTCAAGCGTGCGTATCGATTGGTGGGAGGTGTCCGGCACTTAGATGTATTGCCTATCTAGAGTAAGTACATACATATTAATGCATGTCGTTTGGCAGTTTGAATCACTAGAGAATTTTCAATGAGAGGAAGGTGATACAGAGGTGAGGGCTCTGCTAACACGCTTTAGGGAATCCAAGTATTTCGGCTCCATATGATATCCTCGTAAATCTGGGGTTAATTTAATATAACCATAAATACTCGCTCGGTAACTTCTAGGATCCGGGTGCCTATGCGGCGGAAGGAAAGTCAGGCTCAAGGCTAAAGTGGCACCTCGTGTATGCCTGCATAACTTTAATTCATCCATGCCTTGCACCCACGGGGTCTGTCTGGTTTATACACACATGTCTCTCATAGTCGAGACTCGAGCTCACGCTTCCATGCCATAGAGGAAATACGAGCCGTTCTAGCACGGTGTTTAGTTTCAGTATGATCATCGGGCAAACGGATCATCTACGTGCGGAGCCTGTATTGCTGCAAGGGGACCAATATGTTATCGGTGATTTTAAATCGGATCTGCCTCAGCTACTAAAGCTAGTTTGGGCCTTGCCTGACGTGATATCACTCGAAACTCTAATTTCATGATCCCCCACATAGATATCCGACTACAGGGCACATAAGCTGGACATGTGTACTGTGTGTGTGTGCGGGTCGGTTTTCGTTCCACGAGGTCGATCGAAGAGGTCGGGACCGAAAATGAGCCACCGGGAAATTCATTTGATCCGAATCCCTGAATCTTCCGGTCTTACTTTCTCACAAGCCAGCTGAAGGTCCACAAATAATATTATAACGCGATGGACATATAGGTTAAGTGTATGCATGTGCACCCCACTTATACAGTGACTACAAGTTGACAGTACTTTTGAAGGGATACTCTCCTTTGCAAACCCCAATCTCCCCCTAGCTAACAGGGATATACCTGCTTCGGCTACCACAGGTCGTACAAAAAAATGATGCGCATGAACTGGCTCCCGCTCAACTTACCGAGAATGCCCTAAGTAGTGCTCTAGAAGTGGAGATAGGGGGTTATGAGATGGGAATAATGATTCAAAGATGCTTGACGGTGGAGATCTAGGTAGTCACACTGTGATACTATTGATATATTGTGGCGTAAGTGAAACACAACTACCCTACCCTATGGCCAAACATGTATGTAGAGTACTCCGCTCAACCTATTTTCAAGTCATGCAGTCAGTTGGTTTTAATTTTTACAACTTGATTGCAGGAACTTTACGCAGGGACAGTGTATCACCACGGAAGGGCCGATTAGCGAGAAATGCCTAGCTGAAGGTCGTGTTTTATATTTAGCCTAGATCTGCATATACTTAGAGTAGTATCAAATATACAGCTTGATCAATTGAGCTTCGGTGATATGTGAGGGGGAGTATTGCCAAGGACACGGTAGTATACGATTTTTTCAAATAACTACGCTACAAGTACTTATCAGTACTTAACTACCTGTATGTAAACTGCCGCCGCAATAATACATGTGGGGTTTAATAGCTATAACATTCATGTAATATACAAATATCACACCTTGTCTTGAATGGTACAACTAACACTCAGCATGACCTGAATTATTAGCTAGGCTGGCTTATCCAAATAGAGAGATCGAGACTTCACAGTTCTGTCACTACACGTGCGGACATGTACCGCTCAATTCTCAGGGGGAGAAGTACAGCATTTATCTACATGGGGAAAAAAAAAAAAAAAGGCCTTTTGAAAAACGCTCCAAACCTGAATACACCTAGATATCTAGCTATTAACTACAATATCGCCGGCAAGAGAGAGTCGAGAGTCGAGAGTCCAGGGTCGAGAAAGAGAGAGAGAGATTGATCAGACATGACTGAGACATTCGCCACTTCAGCCTACCGCACCGCCGCCACCAGCACCCATCTGGGCATCTTCGTATCCAGAGATCCTCGTGCACCGCATGCAGGTACTAATAACTCGCCTCACCATCACCACCACCACCACCGGACAGGGCCTGTCTGTAAAGAGTACCGGCTACTAAGAAGCTGGGCCTTCAACTACTAATGAAGCACTTCCAAATCAAGATAGTCGACCTATTTCAAAGATAGTGAAGCCACTGGCGCTTTCCGTGCCGGCTCGGATCCCCACTCTTCATTCCATTTCTTCTGATGAGGAGAGTTTTTTGGTAGTACCATCATCCCACAGCTCGCATCATGGGACGAAAGTGAATCTAGAATCTCATCATCCGCCATACTAATCATGATCAACCAAAACGCCAAAAATTAAAGGTCAGAGGTCGTTTAAACTCTGATTCAGATGTAATGATTTTTAAGGTTGTGCCCGGAAAATGGGGCTGAATCATGTTGGTAGCCAAATGGAGAAAGCATCTCCTATTGAACGTAGGCCGGTGCCACGAAAAAAAATAAAAAAAATAAATGATTGGAAATAGTAAACAACATGTTTCTAGCCATCTAGTTAGCAGATCGAGAGCGACGTCCCGTAAGGCAAGGGCAAGGTAAGGCAAAGGGTACCTTTCCCTTCTTGAAGATCGAGGGAGATGCATAAGGCAGTCGAGGCGTTAAGTCTTTCCCCCCTTATGCCCCCTCCCCTGAAGCGGTCTGGTCTCGTGAACCACATTATCTCTCGCGAAAAGATGGCATCTCTGCGGTTAGCTAGCTAGCTCGTGGCATGCACATGTACAGACTTGATTTATATCACTGCCTGGGCATTATGGGGGCCCTGTGAAGAAATCGGCGGTGGGGGGATATCCGAAGAGAATTCATAGCAAAACTCCTATCTTCATAGGTCTCGGATTTGATATATAAACCCCCTTCAGCTTCCTCTGGGAGTTCTTCTAACCAGTCAGCCAGAGTTCAAGAGCTCCATTCCTTCATTGGTACCTATCGGTTTATATACTCAACTTATCACGATGCTTCGCAACATCGCCCTCGTCGCTGCTCTCTTCGCAAGCACTCTCTCTGCCCATCCCCTCGAGGCAGTGAAGGAAAAACGTGGGGATGATGACTGGGTCAGTCCCACCTATACCCGCATTTTCCGTAAGTTATCAATCACAAGTGATCACTCGTTCCTCTACTAATTGGCCATATTATAGAGGATCCTCTCGTCATACCAACACAGTTGCAACCTTTGACAACCTACACCAATGCCACAACTGGCGAGACCTTTGAATTTTTCCAAATTACCATTGATGACTTCACACAGCAAGTCTACCCAGGCCGCCAGCCTGCGGATCTGCAGGGATACAATGGGCAAGTTCCGGGGCCCTTGATCAAGACGACTGTAGGTAGAAGATCAGTGGTTAGATTTATCAATAACGTGGCAAAGCCCGCGAGTATCCATCTTCATGGGTCGCCGAGCAGGCCGGTTTTTGACGGTATGTATCAACTTGGTATATCTAATGTAGTAAGGACATAGTGCTAATTGGATTGTTGCTTTTAGGGTGGGCGGAAGATACTATTGCAACAGGGCAGTACAAGGATTATGTTTATCCTAACTACTCACCGAGGACTTTGTGGTATCATGATCATGCTGTTCGTAAGTATTCGTTCTCTTCCCTACTTGGTTTTTAACCAACTGGGTGAATATGCATATGTACTAACTTATTCGGGTAGATATTACCGCCGAAAACGTTTTTCATGGCCAAGCGGGTATGTCTAAATACCTTTTTAGTATCTGATGCAGAATCGAAGCTAATAAATGAATAGGATTTTACATCGTTTCGGACCCTGCCCAGGAAGCTGCACTTGCACTCCCCCAGGGTGTTTACGACATCCCATTGTTGATCGTCGACAAGATCTATCGAAGTAACGGCAAAACGCTTTCTCCAGCCACGGAAGACGACAGTAAATCTCTCTCCCTCTCTCTTTTATGAGGAAGATCATAGTGGTTAATGTGACTTAGGTTACTATGGCGATGTCATCCACGTTAACGGCGTCCCATGGCCCTTCCTCAATGTTGAGCCCCGCAAATATCGTTTCCGTCTACTCGATGGCAGTACCAGCCGCTCCTACAAAATGAGCATTGAGACCTCTTCTGGCGCCAAAGTTCCCATGAAGGTTATCGCTACTGACGCTGGTTATGTCGAGAACCCTGTCAATACTAACACCTTGATTCTCGCTATCGCTGAACGTTGGGAAATTGTTGTCGATTTCTCTTCATATGCTGGGAAGAATCTCACAATGAAGAACGCTCGTGACTTCAGCAGAAATGAGGACTACGCGCAGACCAATAAGATCATGCAGTTTAGAGTTGGAACCACTGTGTCTTCGACTGCCGGTAATGGAGCTGTGCCATCAACTCTGGTCGATCTGAACTTTCCGGCGAACACTGGAACGATCGATAGACACTTCAAGTTTGAGCGTACCAACGGCGAATGGAGGATCAACGGGCTTGGATTTGCGGATGTTGCCAACCGTATCCTTGCTAAGCCAAACGCTGGTGCGGTGGAAGTGTGGGAGTTAGAGAATAGCTCTGGTGGATGGGCTCACCCGATTCATATCCATTTGATCGACTTCAAGGTCCTTACCAGGAACGGGAGAGGGGTGGAGCCGTATGAATCGTCCGGTTTCAAGGTAAGATCTGCATTCTCTATTTCATGTATGTATGATTCTAACCAGGAGTCTTAGGATGTTGTCTTCCTTGACGAGAATGAGACTGTGACAGTGATTGCCAGATACCACCCATGGACTGGACAGTACATGTGTAAGTTTTACCCATCTATCTATACCTCAAACGTTCGACCATGCTTACTTCTGAAATAGTCCACTGCCATAACACTGTCCATGAAGATCAAGACATGATGGCTGCCTTTGATGTCGGCAACACCAAGGCCGTGCCTGCCCAGGGAGACCAGTTCTCGGACCCTATGAACCCTACCTTCAGGGCTAGTGCCTACACTGGTACTAACGTTGCTCAACTCATGTCGGAGCGTCTGCCCTACTTTGCGGGTCTCGACATCTACTCGCAGATGCCTGTGTAATCGGTTAGGACTGTGTTTCTGGTTTGGGGGCTTGGGGCTTGGTGCTTGGGGCCGGTACATATGTTACTCGTAGTTGATTATTTTCTTTTTTTCCTTTGGTTATATGATGTAATTGTATATGTGCGCCTTAATTCAATGAAGAGTGTGAATGGAAAATATGTTTTCACAGACAGCCAAATCAGTGCATATCTTCGGTCGAGACTACATGTAGCTGTCACGATCAACAGGTGCGGGTGGTGGTAATAGTAGTGATGATATTAGGAGAAAAGTATAAGAAAGGGGATAAGAAGGAGGATAAGAAGGAGGATAAGATAGAGGTAGGTAAGGAGGATAACGATAAGGATAAGGATAAGGAGTACGAGAAAGAGAAAGAAACACATCCAGCCAACACTGAGCTTGTGTGACCCGCGAGGACAAGGGTCCTTATTTTCTTACCTCAAGTACACGTTCTCGATAACATAAAGGACAATACATGTAGTCCAATAGAGCAATGAGCCTCAAGAACACTATCTGTTCTTGTCTCGAGGACTTTCAAGGACAGATAGAATATGCGTTTTATTTTTAAAGAAATACCATTTTGGCTAGGATAGGCAGGGGTATGAAAATGCCATGCGCAAATATCCGTCACTGGGGAGCAACCCTACGGTACCAGTGCAGTGTCAAAATCCTTCCTCCCTTAAGTTGACGGCCATCCTGTCAGTGGGATTGGTGCTGATAACGGTGCATCATCCTGCAAAAGCCTAGGGCACTCATCTAGAAAATTCGGCTGTTCCCGCTCAAAGCCATAGCGGAAACTTATTATCGAGGCACGTACAGGAAGTATGTTTTCTAAGCTTGCACACATCGGAACGTATTCCTGCAAGTACTTGGCACTACATATAGCTACTAGGAATTCGAATACTATGTGTTTAGTCAAGTCACAAACCATCACTCGACAAATCAGTCTTGGCGCACATTGGTGATTTCTGGTGATCCAACAAATATTTCCGTACGTACGTTACTGGTAAAACGAAAAAGAAGAAGAAAAAAACGGAGCTGGTGCAGGCAGCTGTGGGGAATGTACATAAGCCCCCCTTCTAGTATCAGCACAACATGATCTAGCAGTGCATCACCAGAAAGGACTACTCTTACCCAACTTCACAATCTTTCATTCAATCTACAATCTACAAAAATCTCTCCCATCTATAACAAGTTCCACCTGACAAGATGTGCACCCGCTATCCCACCGCAAATATCTCCTTCATCTGCTTCCCCAATACAAGCTTCCCCTGCCTCTGGGCCCACTGCACCCAAGTCTTCAACACCCCCATCGAGCTCGACGTACGTCCCTCCCCCCCTCCCCCCCTCCCCCCTCCCCCTTCCTCCCCACCACTACCACCCACTCACCCCTCCCCTCCCCTACAGGCCCACCTCCACACCATCCACCATACGCAACAAGTCCGCCGCGTCACCGCGCTCAACCGCCACCTCGCCGACGGGCGCCCCGAGCTACGCCACCACCGCTGCCGCTTCGGCACCTGCAGCTCTGGCACCGGCACGCACTTCGCCACCGCCGACGCGCTCTCCGACCACCTGTCCGAGTTCCACGCGGGGAAGAAGCACTACCTGTGTCTGGCGTGCGCGCAGCGGTTCGTGAGCTACTGCGAGATGGAGGACTGGGGGCATCAGGGGTGGCATGTGGCGCTGATGGTGAGGGGGGGGGAGGTGCATGTGGCGTGGAGGGTGGCGGTGGAGGAGAGGGGGAGGTGGGTTGTGTGGGAGGGGGATGGGGCGTAGGTTGGTGGTTGGAGAGTTGGGGAGATGGATTGGGGTCTGGTGGGGATTTACTGGTTTGTCGGAAGATTTCCAGGAAAAAGTTATCTAAGAATCGAGTTCCCTGTCATGTCAAACTTCTAACTCTAACTATACCTGTAATGAGGTATAGAAAAGGTGTATAGCTTACATTACTTCTAGATTTAGATCGGCCCTTGTATCTTTCGATATGTACTCGTGTGCGGCCCTGCGCGATTGTCCGTAGTTAGATCTGAGTCTATACCCCCTCAAAACAAAGCTCTAGTAGCATATTAAATCTGTTCTACCACCCATCCAGTTCCCTAGGCCTACAAGTAGCTCTATATCGGGAAATCCAGATCTCCAATCCAATGCGTGGGCGGCCGTGATTACAGCGTTAAACAACCCACAGTACATCGTACCATGCAACGCATATTATATACAACAAAACATGCGTCACCCACTATAAGGTACCCGCTATCACTCGTAGCAACCCATCGCAGCAGTTCTTGTTATATACCGTTTCACTACAAGTACATGTCTGTAGCTCGGACCTTATCCTAGGCTATCTGTACTTTTGCATCAGAGGTAGTTTGCCCCAAAACCGTGACTGCATGCATAAAGAGAAAGATTTCACTCTCTACTCATTAGTCCACACAACGCCCCCGCTTCTCTACTCTACCCCCAAGCCCACCCTCAAAAACATGACAAACCCGTGGACAATCCAGCGCATATATGGACCTACCACAATACCACCTAAACCCTAGCCCATAGTATAACGAGTGATACACCATGACCGACCACCATTCTCCCACTCTACCACTGAAACAGAAGCAACGAAGGACAATGGATACTGCCACGCCAGATATTACCGTTGAAATACACTAGAATTGGCGCACCTACGTACATACAAAGGACCGCAAAAGCAGCAGATAAAAAAAGCAACAAAAGGAGTTGGCCACCCCACGAGACACAGTCTGTACACTTGACTACATGTAAGGAAGGGAATGATGACGCATTTGTGGAGGGGCGAGATGAGAGGAGAGAAGTGAGCAATAGATAACCACCCAAAGAACTAACTTACGGAGAGGAGGAGAAAACACAAGCACAAAAAAGCAGCGAAAAACCAGAAGCAAGAAATAAAGAGAGCAAGATAAACCACCCCCCCCAATCCACCCCCTTCTAAACCCTCTCCCACTCCCCCTCACTCACACTCCCACTCCCCCCCGCACTCCCCCCATTCCCCCCCCCATTCCCCACCACCCTCCCCCCTCCTCCTTCCCCACCCCACCCCAGCACCACAACCCAACCACCACCCCACCACCCACTCCGGTGCCCACCTCCCCAGCACCTCATACACCACACTCCCGCCGCCCACATACACCACCTCCCTCGGCACCCCACACGTCAACGCCTCTGCCACCGCCCTATGCAACTCCCTCAACGGGCTCCCCCTCACCCCACCCCCCGCGCCCCCCGCCCGCATCGCCGCATACCCCCTCGCATACGCCGCCCTCGCCCCGGCGCCCACCCAAGTATATCCGCCCTCGCCGCATTCAGCAGCTGCACCCCCTTGCCCCCTCCGGGCATCGCCGCAGCGGTATCAAACGTGCCCAGCTTCATCAAACACACACTCACCGCCGAGGGCGCCAGCTCGCGGCGGAGGCTCGCCGCAATGCCATGGAGCGCTGCCACGGCTGCGCACTCTGGGGCATGGAACGGCGGCGAGAGCGGGGGGATTATGTTGGGTGTGCAGAGGATGATGCGGGCGTGGGTCTCGCAGATGGGGCGGAGGAGGAGCTTGGTGGTGAGGATGGGGGAGAGGAGCTTTAGGTTTAGGGTGTCGGACCAGTATTCGAGGGGGAGGGTCTCGAGGGGGCCGGTGGGGTAGGAGGTGGTCGGGAGGAGGATGAGGCCGCTGAAGTGCAGGCGGTGTGGATGTGCGCCCGGGAAGGAGGGGATGGGCGTGGTGAGGTAGGTGTGGAACTTTTCGATTGCGGATTGGGACGAGTCGGGCTGGTGGTCGGGGTGTTTGTGTCAGTATTATGTATCGGCATCATATATCGCGGAGCACTGGAATAGGCTGGGAAACAAAAAGCGGACAGAACAGAGCAGAACGGAGCAGAGAAAGATTTTTACAGACATCCAAAATATCGATATTCAACGGCCTGACATCGGCGCGGCCTTCATTAATCACCACCTGCTCATCCTCCACCGTGCTAACAGCTACAAACACAATGAACCCCCTTCTGTCCAAATCCAGCGCCAGACTCCTCGCCACCGGATCATGCGGCGACCCCGCCAGCACTAACCACACACACCCCCACGGCCCCATCAGCCCTATCCAACAAAAAGGAGCAAAACAGGCAAAAAAAAAAAACTAACCCACAACCTCCTTCCTCCCGCCGTCCGCCGCCTTGCGCGCCCGTCTTCCTGCGCGCCGGCGCTGCTTGCGCTTCCCGTACACCCACGCGCCGATTCCGACGCCCGTTGCGACAACGATGCCGACGGCCCACTTGTTGTCCTTCACCCACCGCCCCATGCCCGCTCTGGGGATGATTCGTGCCAGTGGGGGCGGCGGCGGCGGTGGCGGTGGGCGGGCGGCTTCGGGGAGCCAGGGGGTTGAGGAGAGCGTCTCGCGGATGAGCGTGGCGGCGAGGTCGGCTTGGCGGTCGAGCATGTCGGCGGCGGTGAAGAGCTGGGACTTGAGTGTCCAGGCGAGGTTTGTGAGCTGCTCTTGCAGTTGGTCGGCCATTGTAGATGGGGTTGAGGTGTTTTCTCTTTTGAGGGTTTGATTGCTGATGGACTGTGGTGGTGTTTGTTGTAGTTGGTCAATGGATGAGTGGGATGAGTGAGTGACGTTAACCATTCACGGTCGGGGCCAAGGAGCGTCATGTCACGTGGAGATCTACGGCGTGCATGTGCAGCACCGGGTATTTATGGGCACGAGTGAGCGTTTGTGAAGGCACGTAACTTCAATATTACCCACCCCCAATTGCACAGCAGAACATTGATATCACAGGGAAGTCTCTCAACACCCTATCTCCATCTATCCTTCGGAGGGAGGTGGAGGCGCGAATTGTGGGCATTCCGAATCAAGGCTTCAGTCTCGTTGTATCTCACTGATCACTGATCACTGATCAGTCCCAATCTCATGATCACTGGGTCAATTGCAAGCCAGCCACTAGGGCCCTAATGTCCAGTACGCTGTATCCAGTGCACAACACAGTCAATTGCAATTGAAATATATACGCCCTCCCATTACTCCCACAAAAGGAAAATACAACCTCGCAATACAATAGTACTAAAACACCAACTGGCCCTCTTAATTCCCAATTCCAATTCTACACCCTCGCACACACACATTTTGGGGACGGGATCAGGGAGTAAATCACTACATGTAGTACTTGTGATACTGCATACCATACTGCCATCCGGCCGGCTACTATTGATGCTGATGCTGATACTGATGCTGATGCTGATGCTAGACAAGAAGAACCAATTGAGGTATACTCACAGAAACAAAGACACAAGAAAAAAAAAAAGAGACCCAAATAGTAAATAAAATATCCCAGAAGTATATATAAAAAACACACATAGAAAAAAAAAATATAGAATAAGAAATAAGAAATAAAAAAAACGCTGACCCCGTGAGCGTGTTGCTGTTTTTCTTTTTTTTTTGATTAAGCTGTTCCCCTCCTAGCGGGGTATTGGTGAAGAATTGAAATAGATGTGGGGGGGGGGGGGGGGGTGAGTAGTAGTAGAAGGAAAAAAAGTTCGACATAAAAAATAGAAGGAAAGGTATGTAAAAAATGAAGAAAAAAAAGTGTAAAAGAAAAAATAGAAAATAATAAACCAGAATGGTATCCGATAATCCCCTCCTCCAAGTTCCACCTAGTCAGTCAGTCAGTCAGTATGTACCCTACAAGTACAGAAGTTTATGGTAATAGTACAGCTCCAAAGCCAACCGAAAACAATAACACAAGAAAACAGACGCAAAGAAAAGCACTCAAAGAAAAAAACCCAAATAACAATAACAAAGCAAAAGCAAAGCAAAAAAAAAAAAAAAGGCGCAAGTGAAGCACAATCATTTCCTCTAACGCACGCACGCACAGCAAAATAGAAAATAGAAAAAAATAAAAAAAAAGGGAATGAACAAAGAAAATTCGTCGTCCCTCCTCCTAGGTAGGCCTCTCAATGCACTTATTTCTTCGCCTTCTTCTCTTCGGCCTTGCTCTTCTTTGCGGCCCTGTCCTCGTCGTCGAGGTACTTGTCCTTCCAGATCCACGAGTTGCCGGGCATGTTCATGCCCTTCGCCTCGGCCATTCTGTAGAACTTTGCCGACTTCTTCATGTCTTTCTTACAGCCGACACCGTTGGCGTAACAGAAGCCCGTCTCAGCGAGCGCGTCTGGATCACCCCATCCTGTCATCCCGCACAAAAGTCAGCAAACCATCCTACAAGCACAATCACAGGGGTTCAACTCACGCCCAGCAATCTCAAAGCACCTCACCGCCAACCCCTTATCCATCTCCGTCCCCCAACCATTCATATGGCTCACCCCCAACTCATAAATACTGAGCGCAAACTGCGCCCTCCTTCCCTTCTTCTCAAACAGATCCGCCTTCTCGCCCGCCATCTCGTCGTCGGCCACCTCGCTCGACGCCAGCTCCGTCACCTTCTTCAGCCACATGACCCCCTCCTTCGGGTTCTCCTTCATGCCCCACCCGTGCCTGCACGCCAGCGCATACAGCAGCATGCCCGTTGGATGCCCCCCGTTAGCTGCAAGGCGCAGATGGTAGGTGGATTCTGAGAGCGAGCCGCTCTCGTGCAGCGCGATGCCCTTGGTGACGTGGTCCTCGGGGCTGAGTGCTGCGGCGGTGGGCCCGGCAGGCGGGATGTTGAATGCTGGTGAGCGGGGTGTGCGCGGCGAGACGCCGCCGGCGGTGTTTGGTCGTGGGCCGGGCGAGAGGAGCTGGAGTCTTGGCGAAGCGGTGGGCGAGCGGCTGTTATATGTTGCGGCGCGGTCGCGGGCAGGAGAAGGCTGGAGGTGTGACATTGGGGTCGACGAGGAGTCCGGTGCGAGTCTATCTGTTGATGATGAGGGTGTATCGGTCTGTGTGCGTGATAGTGTAGGGCGCTGTGGTCTTGGCTGCTGGATTGCTGGTGGTGGTGCTGATATCGCTGCTGCTGCTGGTGGTGCTGGTGGTATTGTGTCTGAGGGAGAAGAGAGAGTCGCAGCCTGGGGCTCAGTAAATATAACAGAGTTCCTGTCCACCATTCTACCGCGCGGGAGTGCGAAACGCGAGTACACAACCGTCGGTGCGCCCTCATGGTCCGTGTGGTCCTCACTCAGCGACACAGGTGTCGGAATAGAATACTCATCCGGGAACACGGGACTCTGCTCCGGCGTCAACTTCGCCGGGATCTCAAGAGTAGGGCGCATAGTATCCATACTAGGCCTGTTACTCAGTGGCCTCGAAAAGTTAAACACAGGCTTTGGTGTCCCCCCAATAGAATACAAACTAGGGGTCATCGATGCTGCCGAACCCGGCCGTGGGGGTCCCTCAAACTGGTATGATGGAGTAGGAGGCCCAAACTGGAAGTCATCGTGCCCGCATGTCTCCGCCACCATGCCCTCTGGGCTCTCGGCGCGCATTCCCGCCATCATGGGCAGGATCATAGGTGCGGGTGAGTGCGTGGGCGATCTCTGCGGGCCCGGGTGGTACAGAGGCTCGCTGTGCAAGCCCCGGTTCATCATGCGGCCCCTATCACCCTCGTGAGAATCCTGTCTCGACGGCCTCCTCCCCGCCTGTCCCAGCGACGGTCTCCTATCATCCCTATCCAGCCCCAACAGCGGTGGCGGCGGCCCCGCACGATACGGCATATACTTGACGCCGCCGTCCTGCTGGCCGCTCCCCTGCCTGTTCGGGCTGCGGGGGTATATCCTACCCTCTGCCCCCCTCGAGTCATTCCTGTGTGGGTGCAGCCTATCCGCATTACTCCCCTGCCTCCCCGGGAACATCTCATTCTCCGCACTGCCCTGCCTCGACAGCGGTGCAATGGAGCCTTGTCGCGGCTGCGGTGGCGGGAACACCTCGCTCTCGGCGGAGCCCTGCCGGGATAGCCCGCCCATCGATGTCGCACCGGAGGAGCTCGAGTCCTGCCTGTAGGGGCGGTACTTGTGCGTGCTGTCCTGGCGCGGCGGGTATGCTGCACCGACCGAGTCCTGTCGTGCCGGGTGGGGGTGTGTGTGGTGCGGCTGCTGCAGATGGTTTGGCCTGTAGTCGCCCGTGTCGGACGCCTGCCGTACCGGCGGCTGCCTCCTGGCTGCCTGCTGTGGCTCCCCGTCCCTACCCCATTCCCTGCCCCTCTCACTTCCGGCGCGGTAGGCCGCATAGCCGCTCTGCTGCTGCTGTTGGTGCTGTTGGTGGTGTTGGTGTTGGTGCTGGCTCTGCTGTTGTTGCACTGGCAGCACCTTCCCGCTCCGCGGCGACACCTCCACATCCTCCTGCTGCTCATCGTCCTCCACACCTGCCGCATCCTCACCCACAATCACAGGCTTCAACGACACCCTGCCCACCTGGTCAAACTCGATCCCCCTCTTCCCCACCACGCTGCCCAAATTCGGCGGGTTGCGGTCCGCATTCAGGAATCCGCCCATCAGCGTAAAGTTACTATCCCTCAGCGAGTCCCTATTCGCATCCTCGTCGTAGTCCTCCTCCTCCCCCGCCTCCGTGCTGGCACTACTGATCGTGCTGAAGCGCGGATACGAGCTGCCCGGGCGGTCCTCCTGCTGCTGCTGCTGCGGCTGTTGCGGCTGTTGCTGGGGGCCGCCGCTGCCGGGGGCCCACGGCGCGACGTTGAGGTAGCCCGTGATGGGCCCGCCGATGGAGTCGCGGCCGACGGTGCGGGAGCGGGAGAGCGGTGATGGGGAGCGGCCGGTGCGGCGGAGAGAGGCGTGGACGGTGAGGGGTGTGAGGGTTGGTGAGCCGGTGCGGGAGGTGACGCCAAGCTGCTTGGAGAGGAGGCGGCCGCGGTTGATGAATTCGTCGAGGGGAGAGATCTCGGGTGTGAATTCGCCGGCGTTGGGCAGCCGGAAGGGGGAGTGTGGGTCTTGCTGCATTGTGTGGTGTGTAAGTGGGTTGGTTGGTGCAGTGCTGTTGTTGATATTGCAGTTGCAGTTGCAGTTGCTGGATTAAGGAGCGTGGGGGGTTTGCGTGCTGCGGGTGTGCGGGTGTACTGCGGGCGTATGGGGTTGGCTGTTTTTGTATATATATGTGAATTTTATCGTAGTTGCAGATATCGATATCGATTGTTTGCAGTTGGAAGTATCCGTCGAGTGTAGGCAGTAGTAGTAGTAGCAGCCGTCGTAGTAATAGTAGTAATAACACCAGGAATTAAGTATTACTCCCTTCTATCCCCACTTTTTCCTTTCTATGTGTTCGAACCGCTTCCGTTCTGTGTTTTTTGTCGCTTCCGTCCGGATATGGTGGTGGTGCACGAGTGAGCGAGTGTGATGAATCTTCCGTCTAATCTTCGCCGGGTCGAGTGAGCAAGCAGGTAACCAAAACCAACCCAAACCAAACCACCCCTAAGCAAACACTCAAAACACTCACACACAAAAACACAAAGCACAAGAAGAAGAAAAAAAACACAGTCAACTCCAGTCGAGTCAACAAAAAAAAAAAACACAAACAGAGCGAGTGACTTTGGTGAGGCTTCGATCAGTTAGTTTTGCAAGTGGGTATGAATGAATGAATGAGCTGTTGCAGTCAAGCAGGGCGTTCGTACGTTGCAGGAGAAAGAGAAAAAGCATGCCAACTCAAATCGAACTGGACCGAACTAGAGTAGAGTAGAGTAGCTACCTTGTAATTGTTCAGAGTTACACACGGACACACGTCGTGCAGTTCAGAAACCCTCCCCAAGACCCGCAATGCAGATGAAACGGGTCTATTCGTTTTCGTTTTTGCTTGGTTTGGCCTAGGGGCCGATGTATCTTTTTTTTCTCGGCGGTGGGGGGATGATGGCCGATAGCGAGTGGCCGGTGGGTAGGTAGGTTATGTAGGTGTGATAAAGGAGCGTACGGGATAAGAGAATCCCAAGAGAGAGAGAGTGTGAATTTCAACACACACAAAAAGAGAAAAAGTACCAAACGAGTGTCGAGAAAGTAAGTAAGTTAAAAAAAACACACACAACACAAAGTCTAATCCCCCAGAGCAAGAAAAGAAAAATCTACCAGGGTGTGTGGGGGTATGTGTGTGGTCGGGGAGGGAGGGGGGGGTGAAGAGGGGGAAAGAAAGAAAAAGGATCGAAGAACAAGTTCAATTCAGGGAGAGAGAGAGAATGAGAAAAGAAGCACTAGAAGAAAGGGAAGATGATCGACCGGGGATGTTGTGTGTGTTTAGTTAGAGTACATGTAGGTAGGCACTCTACAGGCTCCATGAGCTCTAACCTAGCATACACCAGACAGACAGACAGACAGACAGCCAGCCAGACAAAACACAGACCAGCACCCTATGCCTCTCAGTCTCTCTCTCTCTCTCTCGGGCAACCTGACCCAAGTGAGACACGCCCAGGCCCTTCCTTTCCCGGGGTTGCAGCCAGTAGAAACGGCTTCTGGTTGGGCAACCCATGCCCGCTCGATACCTGGGTAGGCAGGCAGAGAGGGTAGGGTAGATTAATGGCCCCAGGTACCCTCCCCTCTACTCCAAGCTACATGAGGTGCAAATATCGAGAACCCACCCACTCAGAGGAGCATTAGAGTAAATAAGATACATAGAAGCGGGCTATTATAATTATAATTATATTATTATTAAAGAATTTTGCATTCCACACATGATGCACACCCTTTCCCTCCTTCTCGAATTGTGCGGTGTAGATTAACTTCTCTTGCAGACCGGAGACACCCCGTTCCTAGCATGTAGCCTCCTCATATCATCATCATCATCATCATCATCATCATCACCATCATCAGGAGATACCCCCGGCAAGATCCCTCCCGTATAATACATTAGGGATTTATAAGATTTATAACAGTTATTCTAAATACTTTTTGCCTGCTCTACCTTCCTATAGGCAGTGAAAACGTCTATGCTGCCTACCTCCATACCTGCTATGATACTCAAAGCACACACTCTCTATGTACTCTATCCTTCTCTACTCTTAATTACCCTCTGCCTCCCTCCCCTGTCCACACTCTGTCTGTAAATCCCCGGCCCCGGCCCGCGCATCGCCTATTCAGGCCCAAAACCTCCGCTCACTCCCCCCTCCCCCTTTTCCAGGCGGTGGTGCCCGTAGAGTTTCTCTTCCTTCTACAGATTTAAGAAAGCCCTTCCCAACCCTCCATACGTAGCTCTAACTAGACCCTCTTCCTTCCCCAAACCTCTACGTAGATGCACAATTGAAGCCCCCCCCCCCCCCCCCCCCCCACCCCTCTCCCCTTTTCCACTGCATGTTCCGTCTCTCTCTACATATCCATCTTAGATCTCATGCACACCCTTCCTCCACCACTGCCGATCCCCGAACGCGGTGACAGGAGAAACTAATCTGCCCTAACTGAGAAGAGGAAAAGTAAGATTAGGAAGGGCAGGGCCCTTAGATCATTGTGCATGACCGACCAAGGCGCGCGTGTGCCTACCGTACCTGCGTCTGTTCTGGTGTTGGACCGTGGTACTGTAATCTGCATCTGGTCCTGTAATAGGCTGTGAGGCTACATGTACTACTACCTAGTGGTAGAGGTAGAGATTGGAGAGATTAGATGTAGAGAGAGCGTGTCGCGCGCCACCCCAACCAAGCCCTGGCTGAATGCTTGTGTGGTGGTGAGGTCTAATTGTAGACCTCGACACCACCACCATGAAAACAAACTTTGTCTGTTTGTAAATACCTACATGCTTAAGATAGTGAATATTCCAGGATACCATTCAGCTCTCTCTCTCTCTCTCTCTCTCTCTCTCTCGTTGCCCTAGGTATGTAGTACTTCTTCACCAACATGCACCAAACAAGCGACCGAATCAATCCCATGACCACTCACTCGAACCCCTATTCCCATTACTCCATAGAGTACTCTATTCCCGCTGATCTCGCCCCCCTTCGGGTCGGCACAAAAGACAGCCCTCCCCCCCCAAAAAAACTCTGTTTCATTTACTGTGAGGTCCCTGCATGACTTTTGATTGTGGCTTGTAGTATTGGTGGAGCCAGCGAGCGCTGTAAGCCACAGTCAGGGTTGTAGGGCTAGGAAGGGTAGAGAAGGTCTTTTCACTACTCGTGTGCCTCGGTTGGTACGTGGGCCCCGGGTTAAACAAGCGAGTCCTCGACAACCAACTCACTCATGGCAGCTGCGTAAGACCAATTAAGACCGCCCGCCGGTCGGTAGGCTGGCCGGTGAGGAGTTTTACCTGTTCTTTATTAGTAGCTCTTCAGTTTTGCATATCCATATAGCCTGCGATATAGATAGGCGATATCGAGGCAGGCAGGCAGACAGGTATGTAGTGAGTACATAGAGTGAGTACATGTAAGTAGGTGTGTGTATCCAGAGAACGCCTCTTTTTCCTTTCTCATTCCCCCCAAAAAAAACCTCCTGGCGCTGCCGGCGGACCCTCACGAATTAATTCCCACGATCGAAATCTCAGCTGAAGCGAGACCTGTTACCCTTTGGCCCTATCAGGAACTGGTATAACTGTGCCACCAGCACTCGCTGAATGCATGCACTGAGGAGAAGAGAGATCAGAGTGCTACTGGGCAGAGAGTAATAGAGCAGAGAGAGAGAGAGAGAGAGAGAAGAGAGGCATTCCTCCCGTACTGTTCATCCCCGAGCTAGGCACACAACACTCTACCCATCACAACCCATCACACGTCTGCACGACATATTCCAAAATCACCACAACCCACGTACTGCCGATCACTCATATCAGATCCCCCCCCCCCCCCCGGCCATCGATCCCCACAATGACATTCCTCACCACCCTCTCCCCGCACCCCTTCGACCCCACCCACCGCTTCACCACCTCCCCGCTCCTCCCGCCGCTCCTCCTCGCCTGCATCCGCATCACCATCTCCGTCTACATCTTCACCTACCTCCTCTACCGCATCGCCTACTCCGCCATCTCCGACGGCAGCCTCAGCACCCGCCAGAGCTTCTCCTACTTCACAAACATCACCTACTGGAGCCTCGGCTTCTACTTTGGCGTCGCGGGCCTCCACACGCTGCTGTATGCGCTGCGCGGGCGCCGCGCAAACTGGCTCAAGGGCGGGTGGGCCGTTGCCCATGCTGTGTGGTGGACTAGTGTTGTGACGTTTCCGTTCTTGGTGTAAGTTGCCCTTTTCTCTCTCTGCGGTTGCGGTGTTGGGGCATCCCCGCCGGTTAAAACACACCGTCTTGGCACCCACCCCCGCCCGCACCGATCATTGACCCCCCATGTACCCACCCCCACCCCCACCCAAAACTAACGCACCCCAACAGGACAATCGTCTACTGGGGCATCCTCGCCGCCGACGACTCCCCCTTCCGCACGCAAGTCAGCGCCTACAGCAACATCAGCGCGCACCTTCTCAACAGCGTCTTTGCGCTCTTCGAGATCCTCCTGACACGTGCGGCCGTACCATCATGGACGCATCTGCCCTTCCTCATCCTGTTCCTGGCGGGGTATCTATGTGTGGCATACATCACGCACGCCACGCAGGGCTTCTACACATACGGCTTTCTGGATCCCAAGACGGGGAATGGCATGGTTGCGGCGTACTGCGTGGGCATTGCGGTCGCGATCTGTGTGGTGTGGGCGGTGGTGGCCGGGATAGTGTGGGTGCGCGTGTGGCTGACGGAGAGGGTGTTGGGGTTGGAGGGGAAGTTTTCGAAGGTGCGGGTGGAGGGGCGCGTGGAGAAGGGGGAGGTTCGTTGAGATCTTTTTTTTGAGTTTTTATTATTTTTGTTTTATTTTTTGTTATTTATTATTGTTGTTATTATTGGGCTGGCCAGCTGGGTTGCGTGCGGGTTGTACTTGCTGTTTTTCTTCTGCCTCTGGTTCTGTTTTCGTTTCTTGCGTGTGTGTTGTTTTGTTGCGAGTGGAGTGGATTGTATAATTCTGTATTATTTTTTCGTTATATTCCATTTTTTTTTCTTTCTTCTTCACTTCTATCCTGTTTCCACCATTATTCTTTCTCCTCCTCCCGGCCGAGATCTGTATGTCAATAATATCCCCCGCGCTTCTTTTCCCACACTGTTCTATACGCACCGCCCTAGCTACCTATCTACTGCTCTCTCTTCATCCATCCCATCCCATCTCATCTCTCTATATACCACCCCCCACCCCCACCCCCCACCCCCCACCACCCCACCCCCACCCTATCTCACCACACTCCCCCAAGTCCCCATATCACCACAAAAACCCCAACATCCATATAACATGCACTTACCCCCATCTCGGGACTCCAGTACACCCTCGTCCCCATCACGCCCGCCGCAGCCGTGTAGCTCTCCTATTCTGTCGTTCGCCCTCCTTATAGCTGCTAGCTCGCTCGCTCGCTCGCGATCGAGAGTCTGGTGCTTGGGTGTTTGGGGGTCTGGTGCTCATTTGGGGTGTGGGTTTGGGTGCCTGGATGGGTGCTTGGGGTGTGGTGGGGGCTTTAGACGGGAGCTTAGACGTGAGCTTGAGCGGGACCGGAGTTGGCATTGGCGTTGGCGTTGGCGTTGGCGTTGGCATTAGAGTAACCTGGAAGTCCAGCCGGGAGTCGAGTCGGGCATTGTTGTGTCCGAACCAGAGCTAGCTCTAGCTCCAAGGAGCATGAATAATACCAAACTAAACTCAAGCCGATTGAATTCAACCCCCTGCACCGTTAGTTGGTTAGCAATAATCACACACAAGCACATATATCGACTCCATGGCACATGTGTACATGTATGTATGTATGGGCATGGATCTAGCTCCGCATGTAAGATCGGTAGTGGCAACTAATGGGCGGATGTGATCATGGGTTCTCACTCGGTCCCCCGGCCGGGGGGGGGGGTACAGCGCGAGGGCCAAAATTCGCCTAAATACAACCCACCACTCCACCCCACAACACAACACAATAATAAACAAAGCTTCGGGGGGGGGGGGGGGTGAAACATCGGCTATCAAGTTCTAACAAACCCTAAAAGGGCACTCCACTCTCTGAAGTCAAATATATACATAGAAAACGCGCCGCGTACGTGGACTAGTGAGTAGAGAGAGAGAGAGAGAGAGAGAGAGAGAGAGGTAGAGAGATTGTCACTCTGTTTCATACATGTACTATGTAGCTATGAGATTGATGCCTGCATGCATGCTGTGTTCCGTCTAATCTACATGTACCTACCTAGGTTCTAGAGACCAATTGTAGATAGATAGATGGTGGTTAGCTGTATGTGCTTGTAAATGCTATGTATGTATATCTGCGTGCTTCCGTCCTTGGGCAGCTTAAGAGGCTTGCAACTAGGTACTGGGTACCAATGGGCTGTGATACTTCTTGTAACCAGCAGATAAGATATTTATTTTATTATCCACCCCATGGCCAGTAACAGCACGCTATCTAGCTGGCTAGGTAAATAGATACGCCTGGAACAACAAGATACAGCAACGCAAAGCAGCCAGAAAGAACCGAGTATACGCGCTCTGAGCACCACAAAAATAGCATTCAAAACAACTAAATAAAACCTACAAAAGCACACTAGCTAATCAAAAAACGCCCTCAAACAAATTACACCCCCCACATCCCTCCCCCCCCCCCCCCCCCCACAAGAACCAACAAACCAAACCACAGCCCAGTTCAGTCCATATACCAGCCAAGATGTCCACACCCCCACAAAACCTCTACTAAGCACCCGCCCTCCTCCTCCCCGCCCCACACCCCGCACACGCCGGCCACTCCACATCGTTCGTCCCCCTGCACCTCCCACAATCCCACATCCGCCTCGCCGGCGTCACCGGATTGATCCCAAACCTTACCCGCTCCCTCTTCCTGCCCGACGACGCTCCCCGCAGCCCCCCTGGCGGCCTTGGCCCTGGTGGCGCATCGAGTATCTGGATATCTCCATCTCCTCCTCCTCCTGTCCGCTGCACGCCGCAGGCGTCGCAGTTGCGGTGCGATGTGGGGTTGATGAGCGTGCAGAGATTACAGGCCCATGTGCTTCCGCCCTGGTGTGGCGCTGGGTGGTCGAGGTCGATCGGTATCGGTACATGTCTGCTCCCCCCGCTCCGCCCAGAGCTCGAGCGCGAGTGCCTCGCCCCCGCATCCGGCGCTCTCGCCGCCGGCACAGGCACAGGCACCGGCTCCTCATCCTCAATCCAGACATACCCATCCCGCTGCATCCAGCTCCTCCTCCTCCTCTCCTCCTCCTCCCGCTCCTCCCGCTCCCCAATCTCAATCAGCTCTATCGCCGCCCTCAGAATCGCCGCTTCATCCGCCTCCTCCGCCTCCGCCTGCGTGCGGAACCCATTCCTAATCGCCCTCTCCGCCTCCTCCTCCATGCGGCCCCTATCCCTGCCGCCGCTCTCGCCCCCGCACGATCTCGGCGCCCTGATCCTCCTGAGCGCCGCGCTCGCAATCCGCTCCCTCATCCCCACCCTTTCAGGGGGGTTCGCCGGGGCACTGCTGCTGCCTAGTCGCTGCGTGGACCCCGGGGTGGACTGGACATGTCGTTTCTCGGCCGCAGCCAACGCCCGCCGGCGGGCGTCGGCGATGGTGGATGGCCGGGGCGCGCGGCCGGCGCCGAGGCGGTTCCCCTCGGAGTAGAAGCCCTCGCCGTTGTAGCCGGCGATGCGGGCGGCTATGTATTCGTCTTCGAGGCCCTTGAGGTACGCATGGAACACCTCGTCGTGCGGGCCGTGGAGGTTATGGGTGAGTCTAGTCACCCGGCCGGGCAGATGTTAAGCAACAAAAACCAACAACATCAAGTGAGGATCTACGAGAGGGAGTATGTACTCATGAAGCATGGTGTACACGCAGTCTTCAAGCTCCAGGAACGCGTTCTCGTCGTAGGGCTGGCGCAGCCGGATGCAGATTTTGCGCCCGTGGTCGATGTTCAGTCCTGTTTGCCCATCCATCACATTAGCCCCTGCGTACCCTCATGGCTGCCGGCGTGGGGGAAATACCGAGTAGATTATGTTGCGCAGGATAAAACTCTGCCAGGCAGCCGACGGTGAATCCACGACTCACCATGATCGGTTTGACCAGGCTCGCAATTTTGCGCAGCATGAGAAGAGCATGCTGCTCCCGCGGCTTCTCGCGTATGTGCACATAGGAGCCGATAAGCTGCTTTGAGGCCATGGAGGTAGGCAGTCGAAAAGATCAGTAGTGATGTGATAGCTAGACGAAGTGCAGTGCAGATATGAGGATCGATGAAACAGCTATCAAGCGAGCGGTGCGGAGCTTAAATAGTGCAAGCTCCTGAGACTGGGGAGCAGTCAGCAGGGAACAGCTCCTACTGAGAAGCAAACAACGTGTTGACTGGCTGGCTAAGAAGAAGAAGAAGAAGAAGTCATGCTGGTTCCCGTTCCTTCTTGGGTGGTGGTGGTGGGGTGGTGGTGGGCGGGAGTGAAGTGGGGCGTGAGTAGTCAGAGCCTCGAGTTCTTATCGATCGACGCTGCTCGCTGGTTGGTCCAGCTGTCGCCCACCGTTTAAGCTTTTGCGTGAGACATTGGTGGCAGTGCCAGATTTGGCAACTTCAACGTGATGTGTTGTATCAGTAGCAGGGCTTTCGGGGTTAGGCATTAGGGTTTTAGGCATAGGCCGAGGGCACAAATTGCAAATATATATATATATGTAAGCCTCAGAGTTCGTGGGATTCCAGATCACAGTCCAACCACGAAATCAATGAGACCAGACCTTTTCTATATACATAGCTGCCATCTACTAGAATTACGATGGCATAACTCTCTTATGAGAGGGGGTGGGGTAGCCTTAACTTGAAACACTATTACGTGTAGTATCGAAAATTATAGAAATACAATATTGATACTTAAACCAGTTAATCCTGAAGATGTTGGTTTGCAGGTCGCGGTTTTATCAGAGACTGGGGGGAATCGGGTTGTAATATGACGAACAGACTCCTTTTATAATAGTGTTTATAGCATCAAGGTCGACTGCTGATACACGCATACCACTTCTACACACAGTTACAGCACCACAGTAAACCCCCCCCCCCCCCCCCAAAGCACACTAAATCCAACCCATTCTTTGTCTCAAACCACCCTGTCCCAGCCCTTTGTCGACGCACGTTACCTCTCGCACTAGGCTCGATTAGCACGCACCCCAAAAATAATCTTGGCAACCAACCGAGTGATAACCCGTGCAAATATCTCCAAATTCCAAATCCCAATACTATGTGTTCGATCCCAAAGCCCCACATCCCCACGACGTAGCTGTGGCTAGCTAGCAACATGCACCTACCTGCAAGCCTTCCTACAGAGTGAGAATCTTCAACATCTGCGCAGGTGGGTACATGTAGGCCCCTACCTTTCTGCCACTCTCCCACAGAAGCTGTGCCATCTCCATCTCCATCACACTCATACTCAACTACACCCAAAATGTCACCACCACTCGCCCCCATGCTCAGCGCAATGGTCATCTGCCGCGGCGTAAGTACCCCACTACTCCTGCACTCCGCTCTGTCGCTGCCCTGCATTATGCACTCCATTCTGTCACCGCCCTACATACCAAGTCCCCCCAATCCCATCTAACACACCCCCCAGATCGCCCACTTCATCGGCTACCCGCACACCCTCGACCCAACATTCACAAACCGCACCCTGCTGCACACATTCTCCGCCGCCCTCGACGCCTGCGCCCAATCCCACACCCTCTGGCACCTGACCCCCATCGACGTCGCCACAATCTTCACCCCGCTGCTCGACTATGCCTCTTCCCACTCCCACTCCCCCTCCCACCCCGCCCGCTCCGGCAACCACATCTCCACCCTCCACCCCACCGCCATAACCTCCATGTCCGCACACCTCACCTTCACCGCCGCCCGCGCCCTCGCCGCAGACCTTGACGCCCTCGCGCGCGTGCAGGACAGCTGGTCGCGCTGGTTCGGGCTCGTCTTGTATACCCGTGTCCTCTCCTCCCTCTCCCTCTCCCTCTCCCTTTCCCCCCCCCACCCTCACCACACCGACTCGGAAGTCTCAGCCAACGACACGCCCTGGGACGCCGCAATCGGGCAGTACGACATCCCGTTCCTGCTCTCGAGGGGGCTGGGGGATGAGATCGTATGTGCCCCCGCCCTAACAGGCACTTTGAGACACATACATGCGGGGATTGTGATTGTGAGCGCTAACAGATGGGGGTGTGTATGAACAGGCATCCGAGAATTTCTACACCGCCTGCCAGCGCCTGCAGCCCCACATCGTTGGCTACACCGCTTTCAAAACAAGTTTTGTACGTCTCGGCGGGCTTATCCATATGCCGCCTTCTCTCACACCCCCGCCCCCGCCGTCTGCGCCGCCGGGGCTCCCCACCAGCGCACAAGCAGACCCCTTCCTCTCACCCCACTGGACCATCGCCTCCGAGCTACGCGGCACCAACGCGTTCCCGCTGTCCGCGCGGATGTCGTTCCTCCTCTCGGGGTCCACCGAGGAGCCCACAAATACCAATTGGCTCAACAGGGGGCGGTATGAGAGTGCGCCGCTGAAGGGGCTTGGGGCGCGGTTTGTGTAGGAGGAGGACTGGGGTCTTGGTGCTTTGGTTTTGTTAGAGGGATTAAGCGTATGGATGGGTGGATTGTAGGAATAGGCATTTTTCGTAATGGGGTTTGTTTGGGTTGATATCTGGACTGGTGTGTCATGGGTCATCACTCGGTAATTGAGTACATACATACTTTACATACATAACCGCCCGCGCGTTTACGAACGAACTAGGTAGCATCAATTAACGCACGTCACTCACGGAGCAGTCAAGAAGCAAGGGCAGAAAAAAAAAAACGGCGAGAGTTTTACTTTTACAAGTAGTGAGTACAATATAAATTCCACCAACCCATATTCGAGACTCAACGCACATGTGGGTACTGGGGGGGGGATCATGTCTTATAAATCTATCTTTATTCTTTTTCTTTTTTTTGAAAATAATCAACTATTTTTTACGTCCCCCATTCGGCCCCTTCGGCGGCTCCTTCTTTTTCTCGCCCACTCCATTTCCATTCCCCGCGCCGCTTCCAATAACTACTGTCGCAACCTCTGCCGCGATCACGGCTTCGCCATCCACAGGGGGGTTCAGGAGCGACTTGTCAAAGCTGCTGGGGTCAATGCCCAGTATCCCGCCTTGGGCGTTGCGGTCGCCGCTGGCCGAAAATTCCCGGTACGCGTACTTCCATTCATCCAAAAACGCACGCAGGGTCTTTCCCAGCTTGTCTTTACCACCCTTGGAATGGTGGCCTGTTCCGATGATCGCATACAGAGGACGGGTTGAAGTTTGGTGTTCGACAAGAATGTCCTCCAAGTACTTGACGGCTTCGTCTGGGAGAAGGCCTATGATTATTTCTGTTAATAAACGTAGAGCAATCGAAAAAAATATGTAAGACAAACCATGCAGATCCACAAATAATTCAGCGCCCCCTGCTCTCGCAGTCTCCTTATTCCGCTCCTCGTAAATAGCCTTAGAAGCCTCCTTGTGCGCCTTCATCATTGCCATGTTCTCGTTGTTCGCCTTGCGACTGTGCTCTTTCGCCGATTTGGCATCATTTCTCTGCCAAGCCGAGTTGGCGAGCTGGAGATACTTGGCCCTGAGGACGCCGTGAGATATGGCTTCTTTTCGGTGCTTTAGGTAGCTCCGGTTAAGAGAAGCGCCGGTCTCTAACCATGGGATTTGCTGCGGCGCGGGAATATGCGATGCTGAAACGCGAGAAGTACGTTTGGATGATGGGGATCCCCCTCCTGCACCCGACCATCTATTTGAAGAGGCTCCAGAGGAAGTGGTCGAGTTACGATTAGAGTGTGGGGATGGGGAAGGCGTCATGCGAACCACATCGGCAAGAGAGGATGGACCCGTGGGGATGTTATTCTCGTTCCTGTTGTTACGGCGCTTCTTTCCGTGGCCCGAGGCTTTGGCACTGCTGCTAAGAGAGGGAAAGGCTTCGTTATCGTCGACAGCAGGAACAGGCGTGAAATTTTGCTGTTCACGCTCTCGGAATTGCTGGCGAGAATTGGGACGGGATATTGGAAGCTTGAATCCAGGTGGAGGGCCTACGATTGATTGTCCGCCATTCCCCATCTGGCCCCACTGCTCAGAGGTCAATGAGGGGAAAGAGGCTGGGTCATGGAACTGGAGCTGGGGTGCAGGTGTAGAACTGCGGCTATTTCCATCTAGAGTCATCTTTGAAACAGACATAGTCGGATCGTGAGAAAATATGCAGGTGTCACCCGCAAGACATGAACCCATAAGCCAGTACTTGCAGATAGTGGTTCCAAGGTCATGTGAGAATCGGCAGTCCGCACGCAAACATTGACCCGTCGACAGGAAAAATCGACACACCACACCGTTGCGTGGAGTTACTGGGCGAATCATGGGGGCCGGTGTTGTAGATTTCCCGATGATGGTAGCACCTTCGGGGGAAAGACCACCCCCCCTAGATTACCTTGTTGTTGTTCCATCAACATTGTTAACGTAGCGCTTAGATCATAACCGCATAATTCTAACGCTTGCTCGATTTCTTCATCTGAACGTCCCTCGCCAAGAACTGAGCGAAGCATGTCATGAGGTGACATATTCTCCTGTAATACACCCCTACCTCCATAACCCATTGTATTGTCATCGCCAACCAACCAGGCAACAGTGTCGCTTCCAAAATCTCCGTACATTTCTGGTGGTATTCCCGTATCTGTCGTAAACACTGGCTCATAATTGTTCAAGTTCGGTGAGTGGGGTATGAGTGGGGATGAATAAGCCAACCTGGGGCTCGGTCTAGGCGAAGGAAAAGGTGAACTCTTTCCCATAAATGAGGGTGAGAATCCTGGAGGAGCCATTGGTGGGGTACTACCCAGTGATGGGGTCGGAGTACCTACCCTGCCATAATGCCACGGTGCCGGGGAAGCTCTGCGAACTATCGTGTGGCTGTGTCGTATCGGGGGGGATGTTGCAGGGCTTGTTTTCTCGCGGTGCCGCCAGAGCACATCAAGGGTTTCATTGTCAAGAGCTGTACCAGTGAGGTCTGTTTTGGATGCAATGAGCAGAGAGACGCGTTCGGTCTGGTCCTCTTCCAGCAGGCTCGAGTCTTTTATCGGCGCAGACGATGGAAGGTTAGCGATGGAGCTCTCTTTTCGGCTATGTGCTTGCTTGTTGAGGATTCTGGCAGGCCAAACCTTGGAGAATCGCGATGCACTCCTCTAAAAGCTCGTCTGATATCATTGCGAGCACGAGGAAGCTATCCGGGGGACCCTCAGATGTGAGTTCGGGGATAAAGGTTGTTCGAAACAATGATCAACCGTGTCCTTTGCTGTTGCACGACAAAAGGGGTGGAGGGGTCGTTGCAAAGGTTCCGAGATTAAGGTTTCGAAGATAAACGATAAGCAGTGAGAGGATAACGATGAAAAGAGCTGAAGCGAATGTTCTAAGATGAGCAAGAGCGAGAGTTATTGATAAGGAAGATGTAGAAGTAGAGATGTAGAAGGAAGGGAAGAAAAGGGGGTTGATGGGAGAAGGATGTCGTTGTCAGTTGAGGATAACTGATAGGTGTAGACCTGTAGCTGGAACGACTGGGGGGGGGGGGGTTATACTATGTACGGGGGTGGGGGTGGATGAGGGCCAGAAAACGAGCCCAGCACAATAGGTACCTATTGGGCAAGGTTTGGTTGGAACACTTCTATTTTGTGAAGCAAGTAACTAGCTAAGACTGTAGGTATGTATGTATTTACATATCTCCACCTCTCCTTACAATTCTCCTCACACTTCTCTCTACATCTACAAGTTCTTTTACCCCCTCCTAATATTATTATTCCTATTCCTCTTCCTGATCTTTCATCTCAGGTGTGATAGCCGGGGCGGGAAGGCTACGAGAAAAGCCAAGTTAAGCACCTCAGCTAGGGCGGGAGTTCAGAACCTCCAAGAGGAGCCGGGTACTGCCGCCAGTGCCCTGGCTTTACCTAGAGTGGGATACTCTACTATGTACTTGCGCGTCAGCAACCAGCAACCACATTCCCCTCTGAGCTATGATAGAGGTGGGGTACCCCAGAGCTCATATATTCACGGAAGTGCTTGCTTGGAAATCCCGTCAGCTTGGGTATCAACGCTTCTCCAGTGTTAGAGTGCCCGTAATTACATGTACCTGTAGTTATCTTGTTCTGCCCGAAAACCTGTCAGAGCTGGGAATACCTGGAGGTTGATGATAGCTTGAAAATTAAACTTCATATCCGGACTGCTCCACAGTCGTTACTCCTCGTGCATGGTCCATCCACTTCCTCATCAGTCTTCCCTCTTACCCAGACAGTGATAATAGGATGTGCTCGTATCCGCCCAGGTACCATCTTGCCTCAGAAAGCGGGCTCAGATCACATCGTGTTTCACGGCCCAACCTCAATTCTATCATCGACCGCATCTGTTTCTCTGTGGACCTCTGCTCTACGCGTTCATGCTTCCTGTTCACATGCGGGGCTAGCGCTGTGTTTCTTAGCCACCAATCTTGCGCTGCGGTGACCTTACACCTTAACCTGGTCCATGAAAAAAAAAAAAAAAAAAAAAAAAAAACCGTTAAGCTCTCCGCTACTAGCTCACAAAAAGACTAATAATCATTAACACACCTCGAGACTCCAATTGAGTTTCGGGCATAGGTATTCATGGTGAATACGCCCCTACATTGTTCTTACCGCACAATAACGCTTATTTATCAGAAATTACTCTGTCTCTCCCCCCGCTCAAAAGGCTGGGACAATGGATTAGGTTAATCATCACCCATACTGGTACCTTTGACGTTAGGGGATCCTCAGCTGCTCTGAACTTGACAATTTTCACCAGCTCAGCAGGTCAGGACATTAGAGTACACATATCAGCTCGAGTACCTGCAGACATTTCAACGAATAATTTCCACTACAAGTAACGTTACCCCTGGGTGCGTTTTAATCACATCTTGCCGTCCCGTCTGAAAAAGGCTTGACACAGGCGGTCTCGTGATATATTCTTTTTTTGTTTCTGCAGATCGAGCTAATCCCTGGTATATCGGGTTGCATCCCAAAGAAAATAAAGTACCGCAGGAGTACGGTGGTGTTTAAAACTCGATATCTAGGCTAGAATCAAGCAGACGTTATTCGTGGTCTATTGAGACCATTTTCCAGCACACATAACCTCGCACGTACCCTTTTCGATATATATCTCCTGGCCATTGAGTTGAAAGATTAAATCTCTCGAGAAAAAATGATTTTCAAAATCTACAGCACCATGTAGCCTTAAGCACGTCACATACCTATCCATGCCGAGAAAAGCTGGCGGAAAACGTGGCACCGGACTGTTACAAAAGGGAATATTAATATGCATAAATTTTCGGACCGCACCCGGACAGCTGGCTGGCAGAACTATTACTCTAGTCGGTCCACTCAAGTACAGGGTCACGAGAAGTAAGGGCCAAAGCTTTGAAACAATAGATTTAAGTCAGATCTATTGATTCTGCCCAGCATAGAGTAAATGGTAGCCAATAATTATACTAAGTATAACATAAATTCTTTACAGAACTACATGTATGTACTTATGGTAGCCAATAGGTCCCAACGATCGTTATCGATAACTTATTCTAGGCACTATAAGCCGTTTTAGTTATGGACAGTGAAACCCAGACCAGGTAATAAACATGCACATCTAGTTATACATCTCTATCAATTATTACTGGCTGCCGAGTGTAATACACTACCATATTGAGAGTTAAATCTTGAGCTTTGGGAATAGAGAGTTTAGCACCAGTACTCTATCTTGCATACATACCACAGAATACATATAATGTAGAGCAGATGCTAGGCAGCGCAGCGAAACCACAAGGTAATAGCAATATGGCTAGGTCTATTTTGAGAAAATATATTGATCACGACCGCGGACACTCTTTTTGATGCGGTCCCGGGATACATATATTATATTGATCATGAAGGATCGTGCATGGCAATACTATAATATTATATAGGCCTGCAGCTGGAAGGATATTTAGAATTTTGATGCTCACTGGGATCAAATCATATGTAAGCAATATCTTTTGGCTGAAATATACCGTCCGCCCTATTATCACGAATTCTAACATGTTGGATATACGGTTATGCCTGATAATAGCACCCAAAAGAAGCTGCACAACTATACGAAATATTTCTTAGTATTTCTATTTCAGAAGCCTACTAGCAATCCTTTTTCTTCTAAGAATTGACCACATACATGATACATACACACACAAGAGTCTCTAGCTATTCAAATCGATAATTTACACGGGGACCGGTTTTACTCAAGAAAGGGTTCTTTTTCTAGAGTAGGAACTAGAAAGAACAGACAGCAGGCTGAGAATGAAGCCTCATATACATCAAGCCCATCATCCCAATCGAAACACGGATCTTACTATATTTCAAGTGTCCAAATTTAAAGAAAACATTAATTTTACTCTCTCCAAGTTCTACCCTTGCGATATTTCCAATTGATGTACCGCGTGAGCGGGATTATCAACTGTTGTTATACCCGAACAATATGTATCTACAACTAACATCTCTTATGGTAACAAAACCATCTTAACCCCGCATCTGAAGGCTGTGCGAGGTCAGTAAACCCCGTGGCTATTTCAAATCAATGTCAAACTAACCCTAACCCAACCGCAGGTTTCAGGTAAATTCACCGAATAAGCGAGCGGGTGAGGGAGGAGGCGTGCCGAAATACCGGCGGGTGAATTCACGAAATGGACGGTTAGTAAACAGAAAACTTGTGGTTGTAGCTTGAATTGGAGAGATTTGAGATAACGTTCAATCAGCACTGATATCTCTTTAATCAGCTTCTAAAGCTTATTTGGTTAAGATTTGACACTATTGACTGGGGGCTGCGGTGTTTTGATTAGGCTCCGTTTTGAGACGACAGGATATTTACGTGGGTGTGTAAAGTATACTTTATACGAAAAGTGCTAGATAGAAGCTTCGAAGAGTACTAGTACCAGTATCTACATTCATGCAGCACTATGGAAGTCCCCAAATAATATTATTAAAATGGCCATGAGCTCAACAAATCCCCGTTATTCTACGCTCACAATCACATCTTGCACTCCGAGAGCAATACTGATTAGGATGTACACAATGTATGTAAATACTGACCGTGACCGCGCTTGAGCTGACACCAAACAGTTTTGAGGTACCGGTAGCTACAAATATGTATCTAACTGGTTGTGGGGCTCAGGCACCTCTATGTAGCTACCAATTGAACGTCTGCAAATCTCTGAGGTACTCCAAACACACTCAGAGATATTTAAGGATACACTTCACTTTTAGAGTACGGTAATTGTAGCCGCAAATAGCTCGTAACCTTCCCCGCGTGGCTTCAGCTGTGGCACAAACGCACCGGAGTGACCCTTACGCCACACTCGCTTACGTCGTCACCCCACATGCATCACTCATCATCTCGAGCAACTAGCTGGGGTAAGCAATTACATAGTGAGCTACCTACGGCAGCAACGGATATCACTCACCCCCAAGGCCCTCATCTCTTCGACCTCAACTCTACCTACACCCCTCGGACCCTATCACAGCCTGAGAAACCCCTTTGAACTCTCCACCAAACCCTATATTCAGAGAAATATAAACAATGTCACAAAATCCCCGGCATTCCGGCATTCTATACACACCAGCGGATGATCATCCAGCATCAGCAGTACCAACAGCAGCACCTCCAGTACCCCGCTGGACTCATCCACGGAGGTCACGTCCTGCCTCAGTCGCATCACACCCTAAACCGAAGAGAACTGTAATCGAAAACGCGAAGCGGCGGGTGGTAAAACTACAGAGATGGGCAAGAAAGAGAGTGAGGAAGTTGACATTACAGCAGAAGATATTAGGGTCATTGCTGGTGCTATTTGTGAGCGTGAGTGCGATTTTGATGCTGGTATTTCATTCGCAGATTTTACATGCTATGCTACCCATTGCTAGGAAGCTTAGGTGAGCTTCCCCCCCCCCCCCCCCCCCCCCTTGGAGCTCTGTTCTTGTTGCTCCCGTTTTGAGTTAGTGTGAGGGTGAGGGTCAAAGAGCTGACGGACGGACGATCTTTAGACAAATGCGAGCCGGGTGGTTATTGATTTTTACAATGTGCTACATTTCAGCATTCCCGCCCATGATCGGTTACTCGACCTCGGTCACTCTCGCCGGCTTCATCTATGGCTTCCCTAATGGCTGGTTCATAGTCGCCGCAGCCACAATTCTTGGGGCAACCTCTGCATTTATAGCCTGTCGCCAGTTCTTCCAGAACTTTTCGAAAAGGATGGTCGCTACTGATAAACGTTTTGCGGCACTAAGTCTCACGCTAAAGCATGATGGAATTAAACTATTGTGTATGATCAGACTGTGTCCACTGCCTTACAGTATCGGGAACGGTGCGATGAGCACTTTCCCTACGGTCACGCCATGGGCGTTTATGCTGGCCACTGCATGTGCGACGCCGAAGCTTATGATTCACGTCTTCATTGGCGAGAGGCTAGCAAGGCTAGCAGAGGCAGACCAGAAGATGGACACCAAGACAAAATTACTCAATTACTCCAGCATCATTGGAGGTAAGTGCCACCCTAAACATTAAAATTCCCATAATTAATTATCGTCACAGGTATACTTCTCGGAGTCCTCACGGGATGGTTAATCTATAAACGTACGATAAAGCGTGCCAATCAGCTTGAAGCTGAGGAGCGCGCTCGCATGCGTGGCACAATGGTCTCCCCATCCGGCCGCACGCCATCATCAGCCCAATTCACCGATGATGAATCTCTAGATCCCCATGCTGCTACAGCAGCAGGCTTAGTAGCTGGCCTTGTCGAGGGCGACGAACTGGAGCAGGCTGGGATCTTTAGTGACGTTTCTTCGAGCGAGGATGATGGAGAAAGTGATGATCTTCTGGGCAGTAGTGAGGAGGAAGCAGGTGATACGGGATACGGTATGGAAGACAGTGTGGAACTTGAGAGGAGCGGGAGAGAGGGGCGGGGCGCTATTGCGCTACCATAAACGTAAGCTGACATAACAGTGTGTGTGACAGAGGCAGGGAAGGAAGATATTTAATTAACCTAACCTAAAATCTCATTCGGCTCATGGATCAGTTGGCGACGTAGAAATGTTCTGCGCATTTAGAGATGATGGATCTTTTTTTCTTTTTTTTTTTGGAACTGTGAGGACTCCGTTCGGTTCTATATCCCTTCCCCCCCTTTTTTCTTTTTTTTCTTGGCTACATATTGGCTATTGGTGCTGGTTCTCATTTTTTTTCCTTGGGTTGGTGGGGGTTTATTTTGTCTTGTCGTCCTGTTCGGTCCGTTCGGTTTGGTTTTGTGCTTTGGGGTATTGATGATTAGACGTCTGGCCGAGTGAGGTAAATATACTGTTTATATATATACATTATACATAACTACATGTACTTTACCGGATTCTACCCTGCCTCTTCCTATTACCTTGTGCTGTGCTTTACGTGATCCTGGCCTCGTTGAGGTGTCGAGTGATATGGTGTGATGACAATATCACTGACATGCTTCATTGAAGTTTCAGCGACTTGGATTTCTTTCATTCTTGTCAATGGTTGGCACGTTTACTGCAGTTTCTCCTACACTGAGTCATATCGATAGAATAAAATGTAACGAATCAAAATAACAGTACGACACCAAGAAAAAAAGGAAACACTACAATTACAGGAGTCTGGTTTTACTTCTGAGGTCGATTGTGTATCTGATCGTACATGTATGCAAGCACTTTTCTAATACATGTACGCTATAGCTAACAAGATTATCGGGATCAAGAAAAAGCCTAGAGCTCCCTTAATGTTCCCGGCCACCCGTTGATTGGTATATACATGTATACAAGTAGTTTCCAGCCTTCGGCCGGTACTATATGTGTATCAATCAGTCCAATATACAGGCAAGCCCCTTTGCGGCTTATTTCCTCTATTTGCCTGTCAGTCGGGGCTCTCAGGCCGCTGCGCGGCCCTCGACCCCTCCTGGCAGGCAAAGTCCATCACTATATCTAGATCTGCTCTGGTCGATATTTGCCTTTTCTGATATCCCCTATATATCAGCAGTTCAAGCTGCAAGTATATCCCTTTAATAGCCACCAAGTTGCTAAAATCGAACTACTAATCGATTTCCAGAACCAGTAGAAAACATGTTAACAACCTAACACCACTCAGTACGATTAATACCCTATGTTAATATCCAACACAACATGTTTCAAGTGAAACAAAACCTCTCTCAATGAGCCAATCAGAAGACTATAAAAGTACATTGCATATGCAGGTTATAATTATATACTTATTAGATATGTGATGTAATGTGATAACATAGGATATTAGGGTCCTAGGGTTTTTTTCTCTTCCTTTTCTTACTTAGTTTTCTTCATTACGTATGTACAGCTAATATCATATCATACATGCCCGTTAGCCTGGTAAAAGCGAAAGCATTTCTCTGTGCTGTGGTGGTAATGGCTGGTGTCTGTACGTAATGGTGTTCCTGGAGCTCCTTCAGCATAAGGTTCTAGCTGAGTCATTGGAGAAAGGGCGATGCGTACGCCGTAAGGTACACGGTTATTTGTCTTCCCTCTTTTTTCTTTTTTTTTCTTTTGAAAAAGCAAATTGGGGCCCGGTAGGATTTCTTATTCATTTGATGGACATCATGCATCAAGAAAATAGTTGTAGTTTTGCTTGGGTTCGCGAATATCATGTCTACTAGTCGAACGTGAGCTCTAAGTACTTTACTCGTAAGTACATGTAGCCACTGCTATATACATATAGATACATGTAGAGTAGCTATGTGATTTAATTGTGTTTAAATTTATGATGTACTTTATTTTAGTAATACACATGCACGCCAGTCGAATGTTTCATCTAACCCTAAATTATAAATTACTTCCAATCCAATGGATTTGCTTCGTACGCTAGTACTGGGATGCACCCTGGCTATCCATATACTCTAGTAGCTCCATAAAGAAGCAGGTACAGCTGCAGCTGAACTAGCTAGAGGCGTCTGATTTGTCACAAAAGTAGAGAGCATCTCCGCGACTAGTGTGATCAACGCAGTATTGCATACCATGCGTGGAAATCTCCACGGGAAGAACCACTGACCAAGAGAGAGAAGCTGAAACGCAGTCCCGCATTTCATTCGATCTGAAAAATATGATCAACTCTTACTCTACGAGGCAACTAGATATTTCCGGGTGGTAGATCCTCATGAAAGCACGGGCGCCACATATCGCTCCCCCGGGATTATGCAGATCAGTTTTGATATGGAATACCCTGAGATAAACGTCATGGGTGGAACCAATCAATAAATCGATTGATTAATCTCACCAAGGATCGGGCGGAGGACTACATATGTGCATTTACAGCTGCATCAGATATGTCAGATAGCTAAAATTTGCATAATTTCACACAGGGTAGAAAATTGATTTTACAGCAAGAAAAGTAAAATTCCCAGAGAGAATCTAGTATAGAATAGCAAGGGATCCAGGGTACTGAGTTTCGGCATGCATGACGAGTTGCGACTGTATTTGGACCTTTGGGGTACGCTGTATTGTAGCCGATCGATTGCAGGAAAGTGAGCAGCTATACCAAAGGTCTTGGCAGTTAGAGCTCGATCGTGAGTTAGCTGATGCCCCTCCTAGGGTTCACCGTGGTACTTGTGTTTAAAGTAGGTTCGAAGGTGGGTAGAATCAGAACATATCAAATAGCAAATGTAAGTATATCACAGTCTCCAAAACGTGGGGTAAGACAAATAACCCTCGGCTATTGAAACAAAGGGACTGATCTACTCGGGGCAGGCAAGAAGAACCTGAAAATGCAAGCTGCAAGCAGGGGCTCAATTTTGTGTAGCTTTTTTCCAGCCGCGAACCAGAGGTCGTTACATAAGAAAATAATTTTCAGGTTCTTCTTGCCTGCCCGAGTAGATATTACCCAAAAACAAGGTTTGGTTGGTATATTGTGCCACCAGTAATTACGTACAAAACATCGAGTGAGGGTCGAGTGATTTTATATGACTAAATCTCTGCAGTCAGTCTCGAAACGGATATATACCTACGTCCAACTGGTAATATACAATATACATAGTCATCTATGGCAATATACATATTATACTATGAGTAAAATTATATATACAGACCTATAACGTGGAGCTGCGCCAATCACATGCCGGCTCATTAATCTCGATCTCGCATGGCTTGCATTTACCCATCCGAGGTTAACATTTCCTTATGTGCATTGAAATAAGGCACACAAGATATGTACATGTATGTACCTACATGTAGCTACTACTCTAGTATCAACGCCTATCCTTTTTGCCTTACCCTCAGAAATGTGGATTTTGAGAATGTGTTTGGGTATCCAGGATCCTCCGGATTACCCCTACTACCCAGGATTCCTTGCACGTCTGCAACGCCGGCGATTTAATAGGGTATGTAGGTACATACTATAAAATATTAATATTATGCATACACGTATCTGTTATCCATAGTTATATATATAGCGATGCATCGATGCGTCAACCGTTAACTGATTTACAAATACTAGGGGTACTTGGCCATGGGGCTTAGAGCGCGGTATATGTAGGCGGTATATGGAGGTAGTACGTACCTAGATGTAGACACACGAGACTGGTTGCATATATACTATATACACGTCGCGTGGCAGGTACATACACTTATGTATTGTCGGGTATCAAAATAACCGATCACTGGCACCCTCGTGAGACTCATAGCAACCAAAACCGACCTGCGAAGAAACCTCACATCGAGACTTTCAAGGTCAGAAGGGTAATTCCATTCCCCTCAAGCACCTAACTCCGTTTAGGAGACTTAAAATTACTCAATTGCTCTCCTGGTTGTTGAGTTATTCTGACCTGAAGTGGTTTCGACGTTGTCGTGAGGTGATCGGTTATTTTTGATACCCGACAATACCTACTACGGAATAGAGAGTAGAGTAGAGGATTCTAGTTACATGATCTAGTGTGTGTGTGTATTGCATGAAGCATCGCATACGAAATAACTGGGGAGCATACCAGTTTCAACCAGACACATATACCTACATATCTACCTACTCAGTATTATATTATGGGGCTGAAATGTGGGCTTACGATCTACGACGCCTTAAAGATTTGTGAATCTCTCCGGCCCCCGGAAAATCTCCCAGGTCTTCCGGAGACAACGAGTCACATTTGTTAACGGTGGTGGAATAATTAACTAAACGCAAAATTTTCGCAGGGCAGGTAATGGTAATATCTAGTTGGTCATGTGGACTCTGAAGGCTGTTCAATCGAATATATTCGCGAATAGAAACGTACCATCTCTCGGAGGACAGGTGTATGTAGAACGTCATGCTGCAGTCTATGGAAGGTGCACTTTACTTGAACGTGTGAATAATCAGCAATAGTTGCCGGTATATTATTGAATCACGACGACGCTATAGCTCTAGGAGAATAGCAGCTACATATATTCGCAAGCCGCTCTGATATCTAAAAGCCGAGTTCGCTATAAACTCGAAAATGAGATATCGATTTTCAGGGTCAAAAAATTTCAGAATCAGTCCACTAAACGCCAGGTAGATTCATAAAAGGATAATGTGATGACATGAGAGACCAGAAAAAAATTGTTGAAGCTGAGATAATATATGAACTCCCCATTCCGATGATTCCTGTGCCTGACTAGAAGATATTATCTCCAGATATGAGGGGAAAAAAAAGAAAGAAAAAAAAAAGGAGAAAAAAAGTAGGTAGTGCGTAGCCAGAACTTAGGTGCTTCTTAGCCCGAATGTAGGCAGCTAAAGGTGGCTTCAATCAAACTTCTGGGGCCTTTGACGTCTGCAGTCCCAGTCCAAAAGAATACGCCTCCTAACCCGTTCTCCTTCGCGTACTGGGCCTTCATCTTTGCAGTCTCTGGATTGTCGTATGTAATAAACCCTCCATCACCGCCTACACAAAAAGCAGCGCCCAAGGTCGAATCCACGTACTCCGTTGCTCCCGGTCTTGGCAAATCCTTGTATTCGAATGTTCCCTCTTCGCCCGCAGATCCAGAAAACTTTTGGCCAATGTTATGGCAGCCCAGAAATGAACGGCCATATGCGGGAATGCCCATGAGAATTTTTGCAGCTGGTACGGACTTTGACCTAAGATAAGAGATGGCGGAATGAGCGGAAAGCTTAGCCGCATCACAATGGGCACGCCGTGGTGAGAAGAGCTGGGCTTGGTGACCCGATGAGGGGACCCAAGGTCCTGAAAAATCATATGACATCAAATTGATAAAATCAAGATAGTGATGAGCAATCGAAAGATCAATGTTTTGAAGAGCCCATTCACCAGCTGGTAGCGCCGATGTCAAGATGTATTGTGGCGCGGGAAGCCAGCGACGGATAGATTCGAGAAGGGAGATGTAATCTCGGCCTTGTTTAAGATCGGCCGGATGCTCCCAGTCAACTGTTCTAAAATGTTAGCCCATAAAGGAGAAAGTCAAAAGTGAGCACCTACTGTCTATTCCGTCTAAACCGTACTCTACAACCAGTTCCCTCGCTGTTGAGGCAAACTTCTCACGAGCTTCTTGCCTTGCTGCTACGGCAGCAAAGTTGTCACTTCCTTTCCCCCCTCCTCCAATTGAAAGAATGACCTTCAGATGCCCATGTTTTGCCTTCAGCTCCTGGAAAGACCTCAAACACCCCTTGGTCCCGTCGACATCGATTTGTGAATCTGCCCATTCGTCACTCAGCTACAGCCAATCAGCAACTCAAACTTGCAATGGATCCCACACCATTTGACTAGTCATACATAAACAGTTCCACACGGCTTTACCCAAGCGAAGGAGTAGAAGACATGTGAGATCAACCCCAATGTTAAGGAACTTGGAGGTTCATTTTTATAGATGCGCCAATTTGGGTAGTAAACTCCATTTGCACTATCCAATTTCGTTAGAATAAACCTCCCACGGCATCGACGCACAGGTTTTCGCTCACTATATCCGCAATGGTTCCGGCGTATGGTGTGGATGAATATGCCCACCCAGGTGGTCACCTAGATGGGCTAGATGGCTCTTTAGAAAGTTGCGGGGATGAGTGTACCATGGTATCGGCGGTGGGACTTGGTCACCAGGGTTCTGGGACATTTTTCTCGTTGGGTACAAGTGCGTGGGGGAGGAGAGCGAGTTGTAAAAGCGCCTTCAAAAAGGATCTCAGATAGAAATACGTGAATTGGGATGATAGCACAGGGATGAGTCGGTTCTTATATACTAGATATTTGGGCTGCTAGTCTGCCCCCCCCCCCCCCCCCCAATTCCTTAGCCTCTAGGGCAAGTGAAGCTCAAGGATCAGGAAGGAAGAAAAAAAAAAGGAAAACGAAATAAGAAAATCCTCACGCCACCGGTACATATATGTAGTTCCTTTTTCTCTTTCCGTTGCACTTGATCCTGCCTTCTATGGTGCGGAATTGCTCTTTTCCCGGTGGCTCTTTTTCAGTCGGGGTTCGGTGGAGAGAGCACACTTCGCCTCGATGACGACGGAGGTGTTCCTGCACGAATCAGTTGAGATGAAGATCCCAGGAGTTCTGTGGACCCTGGCTGACTACGGAGGGCAGGGTAGCGTACGGAGGGCGAATATGACACTTCACGATTTCAGAAGAAATGATCAGCGTGTGGGGAAAAAGTGGCGATACCTTGAGCAGCAGCCAGGACGAGTAATGACGATTCGTCATGATCCAAACAAAATGGATATACTGGTTTACAACTTCCATATTTTGCATCTGACTTGTCGTTTCAATTCATCTCATCCGTCCGACCTAGCTCACAAACGCTGCATCATGTGTCGCAAAAAAAGGTGCGGATATGTATGTGAATGCATATGGAGAGTACACCTATCCTAGAGTAGAGTAGAGGAGGGGAGCACTCTAGATACATACGCTTCCACCGCGAAGATCGCATGGGTTCAGCTTCCCCACAGCAAGAGGTTATCTTGTCTTGCCTTGCCTTTCCTCATCTTCGATGATGCCTGGCGACTGGTGCTTGGAGCTAACGTGTCTTGTAGGGTGCTAACTAGAGTATAGATGTGCGTGAGCCCTCCCCCTCCCCCGACGCATAACAAAACTTTCGTATCATAAACAACAAAGTCAGAGGGTGTGCTCTGTCCGTTACACCTGCTGTTGTTGCTCGTGACGCCTGCTTTGGGGACTTGGTGTAGGTATGTAGGTACGATACGAAAAGGCAGCAGCTACCACCTGTGTGTGAGCTGGAAGAGGAGACCAGTGCCGATATGTAACCGTTGGCGACAAGCCAACCGACAAACTGCTGGCGGGTATGTGCTACCTATTCCAGAAACCATGTGTTAGGCTCAATATTGGTTTGCATGATCTAACAGACATGTGTAAACAGGTAGGTATGGTAATAAGAACCAACCATGAGCTGGGGTCTTCTTTAACGACCTCCAGAATCTACTCTATGCCTTGGCTGCAGAAATCCAGATCGATCTGTTGGTGCGAAAATTCGAGAGAGGTTACTACAGAGAAGCGGACATGGGCTACGAAAAGTATGAATGAGAGAGGTTGAAGATGATAGGACCGAACCGCTACCTGTGCATATAGTGCAATGGCCATCGACCCCTGGATGATCTGCGCTTCCAGGCGCACTGACGCCTGCTAGCCGGAGACCCTCCAGATTTATGCCGGTGAGGTCAACGTCAAGTCACCCCAGACGGGCGCAGCTAGACTGCAAACTTTGAAATCTTGAGATTTTACAAATCCCGTCAATTGCATCAATAGGACGGATAGTATTTAAAAAATAATATTCACTTCATTTGGGTGATTAAAGCACGCGTATAACGAAACATAGACTACTCAAGTTATTGGTCGATTGGTCGACATACACACATGCAGGATTCGGAGTTGCCTTGCGGAAGGTACATACATAGTTCAATTCTTTGTGTAATTTTCAACCACTGACAAAAAAGAATCTTAGCCAAAAGACAACTTCCTTCTCCTGGACACCTATCAGTCACCTACATGTATCAATCAATTTCAGTGCGTCCCTGGGAAAATCTACAAATAGAGTCTGACAGGACGCACGGCTTACAGCTGTGCTTTACTGAACACATTTATTTAACAGACTTTTTAGTGCTTGTGTATGAGTGTTCATCCGGTTGAGGAATCCAGCAATTAGGACCCTACTTTTAGCTGTTCAGAAATTCTATTGACCTCTGATTCTCATAGCATGAGGGATTTGAACAGCTCACCAACCTTCATGAATTGAGCAGCGCCTGAGTGTTTTATTTTTGCTCATGAACAGCTCCTAGAAGCTGATATAAATACGCGAAATTCGGTAACATTCCACGGCTGAGTTCCGGGTTCATTTTGCCATCATACGCAAGACTCGCCGCTGGTGCGCATCCGCGCATCCGTTCACTCCCATAACCGCACAGTCATTGCCTGTTTGCTATCATTTTCCCGAGGAATTTCGGGGAGATAGCCGACACCAGAGACACTTTGGATACAAGCTCTCCATATGCTTCTTTTGGTAGTGCAGCGAGGAGCCCTTGAGTTTTAACTTAGGATATCACTAAAGTAAGGACTAGATCCGAGCAGCTATCCAGACCGCTACCAGCAAAGTAAACAGACTTCCTGATGTTCGCGCCCCCGCTGAAACTGGTAATTTCAAGACTATTACTGAAGTGTACTTTGTTGGTTAGCTGCACCAGATGTGACTACTAATTACGGTAGCAGTTCTAGATTTCGTGGACAATTTTGGCCATTCAGGTTTATGCAACATTTTGAGCATCCATCAAAGCGTCCTTAGGTGCGATAGGTCCGCGTATGTACACGCGTATTCGTGCGCGAACCTCGACACATGGTAATTAACTGTTGGAAGACGGGTAATGGTAAAGATGCACGTCACTGAGATTTTTGGGCACCGGTTTCATGGATGTCGTCTTTCAAAGTAATGAATGAGCATTTACTAGCAAATTGCTGATAGCCTAGGCTTGATCAATTTGTAAATTGATCGACGAGCGACTCTGAACCCTTGATGCGGCTTTCTAAATCATGGCGTCAACATTCATAAGAAATATATTTCTCTGTACGTTTTCGTACACCAGTCGCATGGGAGTCCCTTCAACCATCTCTACAGATTATATGGGGATTTGAAATCACTAATAGACGGCTTCCCGGACTCCCGGTTACGGTCGGGAACCGGCGTCCAGCTGAGATTTACAACGAAATCAGCGCTTCATGTCCCTGGTCGAACCAACTAGCGTGCAACTTCTGTGGACAGACTTAGGGCGGCAGATAATAATCAGTGTTGATATTATGCAGGGGGGTGGGGAAGAGCTTTGTCTTGTCCGTATTTAGGTACACTGCATGCTCCAGCACCGATGATGATGGTTAAGATATATTTTATTAGCTAGTCGTAACCATATCATAACTTCGCCTATCTCATTGGTACTAGGACGTTCAAATAAGCTTCTCCCGTTGATGCATGATTACTGGCAATATGCAATCCATGGGTCGAGTTCTTTCTCCTACATTATGATAAGAACTACATTTTGTGTACCGGGTTCGAGGAACGAATTTGCAACTGGTAAGTCTCCGAATCGATCTTTATCGATGACAATCGACGAAGAAAGAATGGTATTTATGATTTCGGTGATCAAATACCGTATAATCGTCACTTTTTAAGCAGCTGCCGATGCTTAAAACACTGCCAAGAAATAGGTACTTCTGAGAACATGTACGTCCGAGTGATTGACTATGACTTGATTATATTCAACTATGATTAGCTTAAGGCAATTCACTAGCTAACTGGGTATTAGTGCTACCCTCTATCTCTAAAGAGAGAATATCCCAACCGATAGAAAACAGCAATTAATTCTTCAATATTTGTGATCCAGCTAGCAAGGGAATCGTAGTTATCAAGGATCTGAATCTAGATATTCTAGCCCTAGAATAGTAGAAATTCTAACTTATCTCATCTAAGGACAATGGCGGTCGCCTCGGAGTCAACTAATACGAAGTTAAGAGAAATACCCTACATTATATTGCCACACTCCAACGTAAAGAAAGACATCTGAAAGTTCAACCAAAAACCTCTGGCAATCTCATAGTTCGTCGTGTAATGGCGATGCTCCTTGTGCCGTACCAAGTATGCTCTCAAACTGCAGCTTCCATAACTCTACTCCACTCCTATCAAGCATGAATCTATTGAACCCAATCGGGTCATAGATCTTGCTCTCCCAGACAGTCTCATTTGTCGTTGATGGGCCAGACTGCAAATCGTTCCTTCCAACATAGAATCCCGAGGCCGCAAAGTTCTCCTGGAAGCTCGACGACGTGAGCCATGAGATGAATAGCTTTGCGGATTCTGGCCGTTCAGTGGAAGCAAAGATGGCAGCGGTCTGCGCCCATGTCATGATCTGCTCGTCTTCGAGGAAGTACTCCTTGAGGTATGAAGTATTTGAGCCTGGTAGAGTGCCGAAGGCAATGCTGCGGGTCGAGTTCTTTCCTACAACGGCGCCGGGGGTGGCACTACCGCGGACCCATTGAACATCTTGAGTTGCCAAGGCCTCAAACCAGGACCATCCGTATTTGTTGATAATCAATGAGAAGAGATATGCAATGGCATCATCGTCGTTGGGATAGGTAAGTGCGAGTTTCCCTTTCCACGCAGGTAGTGTGAAATCGGCGAAGGAGGCAGGAAGGTCCGCCGATGAGATGAGGGCCGGGTTGTACACAACACTCCCGAAATAATCTATAATTTCCCAATTAGTATAAGGAATGTATTACGAAAGCTTCATAACAAAATTTTAAAAGCAATAAAATAATATATGACTAATTACTCACAGAAAAAGAGTGGTAGAAAGGCCGCGTTGGGGTCTTTAACGCTTGCCCACAGGCTTTCCCACGAGGCTGGTTTATAGGGCAACAATCGCCCTTGAGTCTTCCAGCGTGGGTAGTCATGCAGGGTCTGCAGCGCAGCAACATCACAAAAGGTCTCCCCACGTTGCCAGGAACGATCGATATTACTGTCGTGATATTTCGATAGGTCGACCGTAAGATTGAGCTCAATGTCGGGGAATGTCTGTGCCCAGGCAGTCCTGACAGAGTCGCCCTGATAGTCCTCTAAATTGTGGAGCAAGTTAGTACTAGTGTACTACTAAAATAATGGAAAAACATTTAATGAGCATCAGTTTAATACCATCACCACCCCAGCAAATCCTCAATGGCCCAGATTCTAGCTTTGCAGCTTCATAGATGTCGTCTAAGGACCTAGTGTCGATGTCCACATTCGAGCCCGGGAAGGAATTTGAACTGCCCAAGACGGTGCCTAGCAGCCCAAGTGTTGAAAGTAAATGGATAGTGCTTGTGTGCATTATAGATAGCGTTGGTTGGTTTATAGGAGGCTAGAAATGGAGATGTGTCTGACCGATGGGAGTGAGAAGTCCAAATCTCTTGGGAATGGCTATCTTTATATTCCAGTTTTCGATCTCTGAGCTATGTAGCTAGGACTGCGCCGTGGCCGGCTCTTGCTAGCGCCGTTAACCTTTTTACCGGCCGAAAGAGTGAATACATGTATCCATGCACGTGCGGTAACTACTTCATCTACTCTAATTGCAATGAACCAGGTTATTGGGCAGTGCGTGGGCCTAGCGCCATTACTATGCAAGCATTTCTTGTCGAAGTAACAATTTCTATAGGTCAATGGATTTCATCACATATCATTAGGAGTACTAGTTCTACTGATGGACGCACCGCACCTAGTTATTACCGTTCTCGGCCTTGACCAGCTGCCTACATATATTTAGAGCACATGCACAATGCTACTCATAATTGTAGAAAGATAGAATCCTATACTGAGGTTAGACTACTGAATGAAATTCAAGACATTCTATTAGGGTGAGTATTCGAGTATTTAGCAGCCTCAATGCCTTGTTTTGGCTGGCCATGGGTGAAGCATGCCATGCAAAACTTGTTTTTTTGTTAGAATGCTTCTCACTGTAATTTCTAAGATTCTTGTATGGGGCACAGTAACTGATCGATCTAGGGTTCTTGAAATTTCACAACCAAGTTGACTCCTAGGCCGAATAAATTGTGCCATTTCTTGGACATCTGATTCCAATCCAGTTGTTTCAAGGTGTCTCTCTACGTGTCGCCTGGCCATCCACATCCAGAGTACATCAATTTAGAAGCGAATAGAAAAGAAAGTTACTCGGAACTTTCCAGCTCATTGTGCATAGTCAAGCCTTTATCAAATACATATACGCATAGAGCCTTTGATTCTGCTCATTTTGATTGACGGGACCCCTGCCCCTATCGTTTTGGGCCATGTATGTAAAGTACTTTAAAGACGTAGAGCTGGCTTGGAAGCATGCATGGAGGCCGGTTTCGTTCAGTAGTCCGTAGGAGACGCATCTCAACCCGGGAGTGCGTGTAGAACGCCTAGGTGTGTAAGTACTTTATCGCAATTATCAATCAATCAAGACCAATGTAAGCGCTGACCAATCCAACTGCGATTTTTTTTTTTGCCTACAAACCATCTGTAACGCCCTTGGCTTCATCAGTCAGAATTAGGAACGAGTTCGTGTGTTTTGTTGATTCGGCGGGAGAAAAAGTCCGAGAAAAAATCATTGGCATGAATGTCTATTCATCAGCATCAGTAAGCCGCAAGATCAGCGACGTCAAGCCAGGCCCGGGCGGACAGGGTTTGAGTTCCTCCGCGGAAACCCTGATGCAGGAACGCCTATTCCTTACAAGTACCTAGCTCCGTTTACGCTAGATAGAATACGGCTTTAAACGAGTGATTTTTGATGGTTCTACCGATGAATACGCCGGTGCACATTGAATGCGGTTAGAAAGCCACCAATGCTTTCATAGAGTACATGTAGGTTTTCAGCTTCAGCCCTTCCTAATCACTATCAATCAATCAATAATCCGGGGAAATATTCTTCCGTTTACAATAGGGCCCATAATATTACACGTCACGTGCGCGATACCTACAATTACAATTATCAATATCTGCGTGTTAGACTATATCGTTAGTAAATTTTAGTCATTTAAAGCTTCAGTAAGGCCCGGTAATATAATGCACTGTGTATGTAGTCAAGAGTATGGGACATGTACCTAGCTTCTGTTCCTAAACGTTACTTACTCTTCCATGTGGAAAACTCTCGGTTCCACAAATGCTGGTGTATGCTAGAAAAAAGAGGGGCTGGGGTTTAGGTTTGGGTTGATGGGGACGTTGAGGTTGGGGTTGGGGTTGTTAACTACGACATTTAGGTACAAGTAGTAGATGTAGGTAGAGTACAACATGTATGTACGTATGTACATGTACGTACATGCACCACCCAATTTAAACAAGCATACATCGGGATCCTATTACTAGAAGAATTTCTGTAACGACAGATGTATGCAGCTTTCGAAACCTCCCTTCCCTTCCCTTCCCGGGAATATGCTTATATTATGAGTATCTGTGGCTATCAAATCCCGTGATAGGCCTAAGAATTGAATAAGCTTGAGTGCGCTAGCTCGACACTGGTACTGCTTGCACTTTAATCACCGCTAATTAAGCTCTCGGCTGCTGTTTTTTCCGATTAAACCAAGATCCTACCGCGGGCCCCGGTATCAGGCGGACCAGACAACGGAATGTTATGAGGTACCGTTTTATCTCTTACGCCGAATCCTCGCGTGGCCTCCTGGCATTCTTTGACGGTATACAGGGAACCCTTGTCTTCGAGACGCGTCTAAATACTAATTATCTGTAGTATTGCAAAAAGAAATCGCATTTTATAGCCTGCATTACCTGCCACTTTAGTTCTAGACTAAACTTACATCAGGTCCTTGATATTCCTTTGAGCTATACTGAGCTGATTGCTCTTTGTGGACTTGGGCCTAAAACAGCTCGTTTCAGTTGTTGATGCCATGTATGTACAGCGACAGGTAATAGGTGATGGAACGCCCTGAGAGTACAAACACCAAATGTTGGTGGCGTTTTACCAAAACAGGTATTACTCTATTCCATCACTTATTACATACTCTCAACACACTCCCGAATCCACCAGGGTACATGTTAATTGAGCGGGACAGCACCATAACTGTCTTCTACTGTTAATACTCGAGTTCATGATGAAGTGCTATTACTTCGCTTCACCTGATTGGGTTTGTCGGCATTTACGTGGTGGTTTTCCTGAGTCTCGGGACGAGTGTAGACCGATCTCTCTCCATTTCCAGTTCTGAGTGTGGGAACGAGTGACTGCCAGATCGATGTGATTCTCGCAGGATCGCCTATATATATGTGGTTTATCGGTCCAACAGCAGCAACACCCAATTTGCTTCTGTTTCCGTTTTCAATAGATAGGTATCATGGGTGTAACGGTTGTATCACTGAATTCAGAATTCGTTTTTTTTCGTCTCGATTTTAGAATTTCACAAGGCTAACGAGGGGGCAGCGCTCTAAGACCGAGAAATCGTTCGGCCATCTAGTCCTATGGGTATGGTCGAGTAGAAGGGAAGATGGTCTGAGATATATAAGCCAGAAGATGTGCTTTGAAAATAACTCCCCGAGTTGTAACTAGAAAGCATCTGGGTCTAATCAGGGTATAATTTAGGGAAACTAGCTACGATGTGAAAGCTTAAGAGGAGGGTTGTTATTGCGAGATGCCTACATACACAGATATTAATGTTTCAATGTTGATTTAGGAGTGAAAAAGGGCATATATTAACCAGCGGCAACTTCTCTTGCACCAGGAAGATTGAGATTGGATTTCAGTATCGAAGCGGGTGATTTCTTTTGTTTAATTCATTAATCGCATGCAGCCTCAAAGCTATGGCGATTCGAAGCGGGTGAATTGTAGCAAGATTATTCTCAATGATTAATCAAGGCTCCTAAAGAAAAGAAAAATAGGACTCATGTATGTGCAAAGATCACTGAAGTAAAAGTATCTTAACTAAGATTGAATAGTGCACGATTTAGCATAGGGTCCAATGGGACTTTGCTATTACATCTTTTAATCGAATTTAAAAATATCCCACTCGATCCAAAACATCCTATTGCAATTGAGAGTCGTATTTAAAAAAGGGCGTAAAACGAAACGAATATAGCTGAGTAGTTGATGTCCTTTAGGTTTTCTTTAACCTGTTTTACGGAACTGAATTCCATGATTGTTGATATATCGATAACATATATATTGCATTCATGTAGCTATTTGTAGAGCTGCTAACATCCCGACAGAGACATGTCTCAAACTGAATGTTACATCTCCGATATCAGCACCCCAATTGTACATTCTACATATACGTACATACTAATATAGTGGTGACCCTCCTCCCGGCTAGATTTCTTCTTACCACCGGGTCCCAGCGTGCGATAGTGCACAATGACGTTTTAATGTTATAATTTACCGGCTCGACTATTGCCTCGAAAGCTGTTAGATTTGCGTCACCTCACGAGGTAGACTTGCATCTATCTGCAAGAATGGAATGCTGTAATATCATTAATATTTGGACAACGAGGAAATATGGAGTCACAGCACAGTGGTTGTCCGTGACACTATGCAATATATGCGTTTTTGATCATTTCAATCCATGATTACTTTGGGTGGCAAAAAAAGAAAGGAAAAAAGAAAAAAAAACTAAGGAAAAAAATTTGGAAAACAAGTTATAGTATACTAATGGAGGATATTTGTGTATGGCAGCTATAACTATCTTCCAAACACAGGAGTAGTCTCCTGCAAATATATCTCTTTCAAACCGTTAGATGATAATAATACCAGCGGACAATTGCGGTCTCAATATCAACTGAGCTGGTAACCATCAATCCACTTCTCAAATAAGAATAATCACAGACTTTAATTGTAAGGGTCTAGACTCCATATTTATAATCAAGGTATATGCGGTATCCCATAGATATATTACGGTTAGTAAGAATTCCTAGAATCCTCTTAATTTGTTGTAACGCAGACTTACTAGTAGTAACAATATACCAATCGAATCCATCAAAGTCATGCCAGCCCAGGTACCCAAAGACCTGTTTCTTGTGGGCGAATGGGACAAAGTCTGACAGCAACACATGCAGGGTCTAGGCTAGTTCTGACAGCTCTTTCAATGTAATTTGAAGCTGTTTTATAATGGTCTTTTTGAGACTGGGCTCACTTTGTGTGAAACTGTATTTCAAGTGTAAGGTAAGTCCCCTTTAAAGTTGTTATCCATCATAGAAAATCACTCGTTCACGAGAAAGGCAATAAAATCAAACCTTCTACAATTCAACATCACCGAGAGAAAACATCAAATATCATTGACTCTTAAATATAAATAGCCCATGATATTGTTCCATGAATGTGGTGATTGATCACCTTGGATGGCTCACGACATTGCATACAGTTTGCTCCATTTGAATATACTACGGATGTAGAAGGGTTATTTACCAACACCAGCGTTTGAACCTCAATAGGTTTCATACATTATTTGGGGGTAAAGCAAATCTATAAAGATACGAATTGGCCCCTGGAATTCTTTGCAAATTATTCTCTATTATTTCCATCTGAATACACAATACATATCGATCGTAAACCATGGCTCATCAAATTAACGGTGGGATCGTCTCGAAGCCTACACCCAGGGTTGTCGACTTTACTAGCTCGACTGCTTCTATTGGCGTAGAACTTGAAATGATAATTACGAACCTACCAGACTGCAAAGACCACTTTAAGCTCTTCGAGGAAGCCTTTATACCCTTGACTTCTGAACTCTTCCCTAACAAATCATTCCCCCGCAGCGAAGAGCCCTTCCAGATCAAAGATGACTTCTCTATCATTCCTGGGCCGAGGTTTCCTAGAGCTAGAAGGGTTGAAGTTGCAACCCCCGTCATGACAGGTGATGGGTCCCAATTCTCATACCATAGTATCATCCCAAAAATGTGCACCACAATCACTTCCACCCTTCCAATGGACGCCTCAATCGAATTCAATCACACTACTGCACTTCAGGTCCACATTGGTGTCGGAGACGGAAACACATACTGCCTTCGAGACCTCAAACGTATCTGCAAAGCGATCATAATCTTCGAGGACCACATGGACACTCTACACCCCAACTGCCGCAATCCTCCTGATAACGCTAACCCAAATCTTCTTCGTCGATGCTGCGCAAGCTTCAGGCTAAAGCTTCTCTCAGACACCAAGAGACTCGACGCTATTGATAAGCAGCAGAATGCGGCGGGACTTGTCATGTTGATGAATAGCTGTGTTGGAATGAGGGATTTGCCAAAGTATTACAAGTATAACTTGCGTTCTCTTGAGAAGTTTGGCACTGTGGAGTTTCGGCAGGCAGTCGGGACAGTGAGAAGTGAGGTGATCGTGGGATGGATCGAGACGGTGATCCGTTTCGTTTCTGCGGCAGTAGGAACGGAGGATGAGGTTTATAAGAGGTGGGCGGAGGGGGGTGCTATCGGGGATGAGGATTATGAGAGGTTTGGGGCGCCATTGATTAGTGTTGACCGGGATATCGATTCTTGGTGGGGTGTTAGGAATTTTGGCGACGCTTGAGGTTGGGTAGCTCTTGCTTTCTGTTCACTGGATTGACCGTTACTAAATTGGCCTCAATATTTTGTTTTTGTGTTTCCGTGTTTGTCATGATGTTATACGACTGGATGCTTTGTTTTTATTTTTCTCCTAGGTTAGGAATATTTTCAGTTTAGGAAATGAAATTGTAGAAATGAGAAAACTGCCGGTAGTTCTTCTTTATCTCGATTTACGGAAGGAAGTGCATACCGTACCTGCCGCTGTTCTTATACTGCCACTTGCTGTTTATTCCCGTCCGGCATATATATGTACGCCAATCTTCCATGTCATGAAGGGACTCGGCAATTCCTGTCGCTACTACACGATTTGAGACATATTACACCCGATAAATTTGTGAATGAATAGATGCGGCTTTTAATACTATGTACATATATGTGTGTGTACCAGTAAAGACCTGCAGTTCGTTCGTTGCGTACATATACATATTCCTTACCTCCTAATATTGAGATCTATGTTTGTCTTATATAACATATAGTTAACCCTGATTGGAAACTGCAGATAGATGTGGTCTTTATCTTAGATAATCTCTTCTCCTCATATTCTTGGAGGTTGGATTTCCTGGTGTTTGTAAAATTACTTCCTGTAAATAATCACCACTCGTTACTAAAATTGAACAGCAGACCCATGGCCATTCATCAACCCAAAGAACATTATTCTTCGATAGCCATCCACAAAACATTATCTATGCTAATGAGCGGTTTCTATCGTAAATGGATAGCTCATTTCTGTACAGGGCATGATATTAGTATACATGTAGTTCTTTATACCCGGGACGACATATGCAACGAATTTGAAAACCTTTACATATTTGAACATTTCTTTCTGTGGGGTTTTTGATATATATTATACCATGAAATTTACTTCTTTAGATAAGGCTTAGTGCCGTGTACCAGCTGTAATTAAGCTATACGAAGTATGAAGTATATATTATACCCCGATCCAGAGTTCGAACTATTAATCTATTCTCCTTGTCATTAGCAAATAACTATAACAATATTAGTAAAGAGATGGCTACCGTTCACCACAATTTTCACATCAAAGGTCCGTGAATATTCGCCCTTCTGTATTCTGGTCCCGGCCCAGGCGCGCGCTCGCATTGGAATTTTAGACCGCCCATGACACAATTCATCCTCACCTTAAAATGAGACTCTTAAGCTTTGAAGCAATCATATACTTCATACGGAAGCGTAATGAATATCACGGTCTCTACGACCGTATGAATATTAATGACATTGATGCATACTTGTATGTACTATTAGATCAAAGACCCTTTTACTAAACGGTTTTAACACCCCTAACATTGATGCCAAAATTTAAAGTTGGCTCATGATGATAGATCTTCTTGTCAAGTACTTATCAATTGGTCCCGCGCCCAGATTCCGGCCCTCTGTAAATTTTGGGGGGGGTCAGCTTTGATAGACTAGCGGATATGATACGGCTAGTTGTACGTGTGTAGTCACGGTAATTAAGCGATTTTATAACAGTAGATCGTAATAACAGCAGATACCACATGCGGCATGATCAGAGCGTGCAGGGTATTCAAGATACTCTACATCAATCATGTACCTAAGGACGTACCCAAGCCCTCAAAAGTACTGTAACATATAGATACCTCGAGACTCGTGTGCTAGTACGTACTTGCTGTGACAACCGACCGCGCCACAGACCTCCTGTTGTCACGCAGAAACATACTCTCGTGGCGAGTGGAAGCACGGGTCCAATTTAACCCCAGTCTTATAACGTCACACATCACGGAGCACCGGAATAATCCCCGGCAAACTCCTTGCATGAAATGATCGAAGATCCCTTTATGCTATGTAGATCAAATCAGGCTGAATTCCAGAACGAGGACAGGGGTAACGAACGGCGGCGGCAAAGAAGAAAGGGAAGGCTTCTAAAGACTTCTTTTCCACTTCTAGCCAAGGAGTAGCTACATAGATCATAACCGTATACTTAACGGAGGAAAATAACCCAAGACCAACCAAACCCAAAAACAGAAAATAAAGACGTACAAAGAAACGCTTTCTCAGGAGTAGGTACTCTAGTACACCGCACAACGGTACTAATGGTATATCATACTAACGGAGGTAATTGGTGGAATGGGTGGACAGAATCGCCCATTCCCGATACCGGTCAAACAAAATCGATCGATCGCAAGAGGGAATACGAGAAAAATAAAATAAAGGAAAAGGCTACAAGTGTAACAAAAGACAAACCGTTCCTACCCACGATCTTTATCCGCAAGAAAAACAAAAACTCCTAATAAACAACCCATAATCGCAGTAACTAGGTGTAAGTATTTAACATGCGTGAACACTGATACCGTTTCTCTTTCCAACGCCGTTTGCCTCCTTGTAATCGGGGACGTTAGTCGAATAATGCGATTCCTCGATATGCTTCCTATCTTCGCTCCCTCTCTTGATATCCTTGGAACCGCTTTTCTGCACCATGTAATTATTCCTCGCCTTGCTGGGCTTGGGCCTCTCTCCGGTAGACCTTGTCTTTGATTCTGGTTTTCCTGCCCTTTCAATGTTCACCGCTACCTTTTTATCCGTATCTTCCAATCCCTTTTTAGTAACTTCCGCATTCTCTAAGGAAGACCCTATTTTTTCATTAATTTCATCCAAACCACTTTCGGGCACAATATTCCCGTTTTTGACCACTGGGAAAGGCCCTCCCAGAACCGTGCTAACATCACCCCACCACCTATCCCCAAAACTTTTATACCACTCTATAGTAGCCTTCAGACCCTCTTCAAATTCCGTTTTTTGCTCCCACCCCAACCCCTTCAGTTTTGTTACATCAACGGCATACCGGCGATCATTGAATGGACGATCCTTTGTATAATCTACCCAATCCTCAATGCGAAACCGAGGGTCATTTGGATTATTTCCGAAATATGTAATGAGGAGTTTACAGAGATCGATATTGGATATCTCATCTGTAGAGCCGACGTTATAGATTGCACCTATTGTACCACGGTGAAGGATGGTATCAAAGGCGTCAGCGGCATCGGCAGCGTATAGGTATCGACGGGTGTGGAGACCGTCGCCGTGGAGGATAAGCTTGCTTTGGCGGTGGAGGAGAAGAGCGAATTTAGGAATGATTTCTGTCTTTATTAGTTTTCATCCGAGAGTTTATAGGTAAGAATGATGTACTTTCGGGGTATTGGTGAGGCCCATATATATTATTGGAGCGGACAACAATGATTGGGAGTTTAAAGCTCTTCCAGTAGCTGTGCACCAACATCTCTGCCGCTGCTTTACTGGCAGCATAAGGATTCGTAGGCGCAAGTATACTTCCCTCAACGAGATCATCTTCGTCGGCCCCTACCTCGCCATATACTTCGTCGGTGCTCACATGGACAAACCTCTTGAGCATGCCGTGGTTCTTCGCACACTCGAGTAATACGTGGGTGCCGTATACGTTAGTGTTTGTGAACTCATAGCTGTTTCCGAAGCTCAAGTCAACATGTGATAGCGCCGCGAAATGGAATATTGTGTCTATCTTGTATTTGCGCAAAACGTCTTGAACTTGGGTAGGAGAAGTTATATCGCCGTGAACGAATGTGAAATTTGGCGAGGACGAGAGAGATCGTGTATTGTTCAGAGAAGCGCAATAGTCGAGTTTGTCGAAACTGACTATATTGTACGCATCTGGGTAGGTTAGTGTTAGATGACGTACAAGCCAACAGGCGCTATACAGGGATTAGCTTTGGTATCGTCGCATGAAAAGATAAAGGGAGGCAAACATGAATCCTGCACCGCCGGTGATTAGGATGTTCTTTGTGTCTGGTAGTGGCTCGAATTTGGTTGTGCCTTTGAGGACAGGAGCCTCCTTCCAGATCTCTGTGTCACGAAAGCGGCGGTGGATGGTGTGTATCGAGTCTTCGTCTTCCGCGCACTGCCGCTTCGAGTGCGGAGTGAGCTGAGAATGAGATGCACGTTTTCCAGGCGCCATCGTATAGTGTGTATTTTTTTGTCTTTGTTGTAAGGACGAGACGCTGAAAAAGAAGGAGGAAGGACGAGACACGTTACTACTTGTCTAAAATATCATCCATCCCAATCCCAGCTCATAGACATTTGAGCCGCACAAACGGCGGAGGTTACGCAGCTCAAAGCTAGGATAGAGAAAGATATATGAGAATGGGGGCTAGGGTAAGATAAATGGGTATTATGAAGGGGGGCAAGGCAGGACGAGAGATGTTGGGTAACGTACATACCAGGTTGCCGGGATAGGCGGGAAAGATCTCTCAAATGCGAAACTGCACAGATCAAAAAGGAACGATGATCATCAACCAAGTTGGATCATGCAAGGGAGTAAAAGGCCGTGAAAACAAACAGCAGCGCAGCAGTGAGCGAGTGAGAGAAGAGAAGAAGGAAAGAAACGAGGATGTTTTATTTAATTATTTCCATTACCCCCCGCCTAGTGGGTAATTAAAAGGAGAGGGGGGACTAGAATCACAAACACACAAAGGATAAATGTGTCGGGAGGAGGGGGGATGGAGGGGGGATGGAGGAAGAGGAGGGGGAAGAGGAGGGGGAAGAGCTGCCGGAACTAGCGTTGAAGAACTCAAAGCCTTGGGAAGATACTCTACTTACGGGCCGTAATCTTCACATAACTAGAGCTTATCACATTTTCCCAAATTAGCTGCACATCATTGTCCATGCTGTTCTCTGTTTAATGCAGTTTTGTGTACCAGTACAGGGTCAAGACAATGCCACGATACATGTACGTATACGATATACCTAGGATGTTGTCGCCTATCCCGTGTTGCGCAATAGAGAGGGCTTGAAATCTATCCTAGGCGAGGAGAGAACAGTTGACGAACACTGTGTAACTACCTACTTGAGACTTGGATGTCTACAGTCGGTTGCCACAGACTGACAGCAACATTAAACAGACCGTCAAACAATAGCCATTTTCTCGGTCATGCTTTAAATTTTTGGATATGATTTTGAAGCTCTAATGGCCTAAAAGAGGCTGGCTTTCTAAATAATTTAGAATCACCGGTTTAGGAGTAATATTGATGGAGCTATGAGCATTCGAGGTGGCGGAGGTCAACTTCGAGGATTTGACCTACGAGCTGGATGCTGGATGCAACGACAGGGTATCAAGACCCCGCCGAGCCACTAAAAAAGACTCTGGATGTGTTTGTGCAAAGTCTCAACTTTTAAGCCTTTCAGGAGGTGCGGCCCGGTACTCGGATCTAGCGTGAAGAGGTTCCGCAGATACGTACATGTACATATGGCACATACTCGCGTCAGGAAAAAGAACCAGAACATGCAAGTGAGAAAGCAAGGATTATTTGTGTGGAGTGGCGCTGAGCTGCCATACAAACTAGGCATTTGCATGTTCTGGTTCTTTATCCTAGTCGCGAGTACACGATGGTTTATTGTTCTTGTTCCTGCATGTGAATGTCTCAGTCACACGAGAAAACACGATTCGGGGCGCGGGTCACAGGGCAGGGGTTTCTACGAATAAGTGCATACATATATACAGGTACTGTATTTAAGGAACATCAAGGAATCCCCACCCCGAAATAGATAGATTGCTCTAATCTCGCTAAATCTAAACCAATTCTGGGACTCGGAAAAGTACATGTATAGAACTTAAGAGCATGCACAATTATAGCTACATGTATGTATGTGTGTTTAAATGTAGGTACGGATGCACCAGCTAAAGTACATTCATTGTTTGACCAGATTAAGCACCGTAACGTGTCAAAGCCAAGCAATTCTGTTGACTTGTTCTGAACCTGTAAACTTTCTGTATCAAGTAACACGTTGACTTTTCTTCAACACTTTTTACCAACTCAATAATATATTGTAGCCAGATCATACCTTCAATTAATAGGCCCGGGCCCAACTATTGTTTACCCAGCATCGATCACAATTCGTCACCGGAAAATTGATCCACATCCATGGTACTAAGTAACTTTCTTTTCATTGGTCTTTCGACCATAGTTGCTCCCAACCCTACTCCAATACCGCCTCCAGTACTGGCCTTCCCATTCTCTTCAACTGCAAGCACCCGGGAGTCTCTTGTCGTATCCTTCATTTCCTGAATCGACAGGAGCTCTATAGAATACTGTCTATTGATAAATCGATGATCCTCCAGTCCATCACCACCGCCCTCATCATCGCGAATTTCCTCATCAGAAAGTAATCGGCGTTGCCGTTTAGAGCCAGCAACAGGGACTGCTTTTATATCATTCACTACCTCAAAGGAGCTTTGTATCTCCCTTTCTGCTTCCAACCCCACCCGCTTTTCAGTTTTAATCTTCCCCAGGATATGCAAAATATCTTTCAACATATTGGTTTGTAGGCCCTGCTCATCGGCCATTCTCTCCTGCTTGATTGCAAGACGCTTCTGCCCCTGTTCGAGGTCACGAAAAATCAAGTCATGGGAGTGTAGCTTTTGATGAATCGTGTGAAGCGTTTCAAGAAGTGTGAGTTTTGCCTCGAACGTATGGAGTAGATCGGTAGTGGTTTGAGTAAGGCGGCGGAGGACTGTAAGCTGTGCATCGACTTTGATAAAATATGTGTTAGAGCTCTTGGAGCTAACATTAAATTTGGATTAGTACAACATACCTTCATCATCCCGCTTTGAAAAGGTAAGTTCGATCTGCTTTTGAGAATGGGTGATTTCTGCTTTGCAAGTATTTAGAAGGGTATTGAGCTCTTGTTGGTGACTTTGAAGCTTAGTTGTTGAGGTTTGGAGAAGTGTATTGAGTTCTTCGGATTGGAGAGCCAGTTTTCTAGACCAGAGAGAGAGGGAGGGAGAAGACATGGCTACTGGTGGTACTAGAGGGCTAGGCTGAGAGGTAGACTTCGACATCTGATCGCAGGGAGAGGGGTGATTTTTGCTATCTTTGCCGGAGGTGCTCATTGAACGCACACTACATGTAGTATAGTAACAATGTATACATATAATGCGCTGGTGCGGATGTGATCTTCTATTACGCTGTTACTACATGTACTCTAGGCTCGTACCCAGCCCTCCGTAGGAGGGTGTGCATTACGTACATTACATGTATCCCTCCGACGTGCATGGGAGGTCAAAGAGCCATCGGAACCCGGTTTACATGCAAAACCAAAGCTTATCTTTACCAAATCACAGCTCAAACATGCCCGACATAACAAAACCCCCGACCCGGGAGGGTCCAACTAGCGTCGAGAAGTTATTGCCCCGGCCTACTTGTATACACATGTAGCGAGCAGTAAGCTGCTGGTTATAATTGATTGGCACGAGACTACATGTAGTGAAGAAAGCTTTGGAGTGTACATACGTGTACAATAGATTTATTCCCACAGACATTTATGTAGACTGGATTCGGACAATTTATATGCTGCATGACTAAGCATTACTAGGCATCAAGACACTCGCCGAGTGAGATCTTATGCGGAGACACTCTAACGTCTTACTCTATCCGGGTAACAAACCTATGACCTCACTACTAGATGAGCCTCTTTTCGCCTGCATTAAAAAAAAAGTTCACCTACATACACCCCAACCACGCCGCCACACGACGATAGTTATGCTACGCAAAGGCGTGCGGACAAACCAAACAGATCTTCGCCGTTTGTTTGATACCCTCAAGTCCCTCCGTAACCAGCGTACTGCAATTACCGAACTCCCCACACCAAGAACCCGCGCAAATGAGGGCACCAGAACTACTGTTCTGGAAGGAGACAAGAAAGAATGGGATTCAATGGAGGCAATGGAGGCTGCGGATGTCATTGACGACAATGAACCGAGAATCAGGGTTTTCCGCCAGACAATCAAGCCTCCGGAGCTTTTAAAGCAACCACTCGAGTCACTGTCTGAAACACCAATTCTAGATGCTGCAACTGGGTTGAACAAATCAGTTTCGCCAGCGGTCAGCTTGACAAAAGTAGAGCTGCATTACCTTCGGAAACTGACAAATGCGCTCAATTTCCTTGCGCATTCGCCTGTAAGCGTCATGAAGGAGATTTTCTATTGGCTCGAAAGATTCAGACCGAATCCGAAGGTGTTGCAGCTCCTTACTCCGCATGCGTGGTCGCTCTTGTGGGCGTTAGAAACCAGCCAGATTCCTACATTTCGGAGTAAATTAATCGGAGATATGATGGTTTCTGCGGGGATTGAATTGAACGAGGATCAAAATATCGCCTATATTGGCGGTTTGTATTGGAACGGAGCTAGCAAAGAGGCACTCACAAGATGGACGCATGGGACCAAGAGGTGGAGAGGGTCTGCTAAACACTGGAACCTTGGCATTCGAATGTTCTCGCTCAACCAGGAGCCCTATGTAGCAAAATATTGGCTTGGTCAGATGATCACAGCCCTTGGCCAAGCTGAGCCTAAATCGTTCATACCAGTCATCATGTCCTTTAATCATCTATATCACCCAAAAAGGGCCTGGGAGACATATAAGGAGATGCGGGGATGGATGAAACGCACCAACACTAAGCTCACAATATCGCAATACGATACTATTTGCATGTCATTCCTTGACAGCGGCCAACAGAGGTATGGTCTGGATGTTTATAAACATATGATTTTTTCAGTGCCCAAGGCATTCGAAAGAATGCAGACAGATATCTACGAAAACTTATCGAGCGCAGTGGTCGGGGCGCAGGAAACGATAAATTCTCCAAAAAAGTTGACGAACCTCTCACTTGAGTCGCTCCGGGATCTTCCGCCAAAGATCCAGGACAAATATTTTTATGGAAGCTGGCTTAAGAACTCCATACGTATGGGTAGGACAGATCTTGCGTGGTACTTAGTCCGCGAGGTAATGATCGAGAGAGATTTCCTACCGGATTCGATACATTACAACTGCATTCTTCAAGGGTTTCTGGATGAAAAAAACGTTGAGATGGCAGAGCAGATAGCAGAAGAAATGATCAAGTCTCGATTTCATCAGCTAGAGATGGATAAAGAGAAGAAGGAGTGGAAAGATTGGACTAGTAAAGCAGCTTCCACAATTGAAATTGACCCCGCGATAAGTATCCCCACGAAGGGTACCCTTACTCCCAGCACAACACCCCCAGCAACTATACAAACCTTCTCCCTCCTTATCAATTACTACTCCCGTCGCAACCGCATGGAAAAAGTCGTCGCCTACACCTCTACAATGTCATCCTGCCAAATATCACCAAATTCCTACATTTTCAATCACTTACTCTACTCGCTTCTCCGTGTCCATGATATCCCGCGTCTTATGCGGATATACCTGATGATTTTATCTTCGGCAGATGTAAAACCAGATATGGAAACATGGAATATCATGTGGATGACTACATGGAAGCGTTATACCCAGAAGCACCGAAGATTCGATGAGCTATTGCCCCCACGGGCGCTTTTTGCGGATATGGTCAAACGTCTTAGTAGAAAGCAGATCAAGGGAGATGAAGAAAATGAAAAAATGAAAAACATGTGGCACACAGTCATGAAATCGTTCATGCTTTCTAGAGACTTTCCTGGCGCCCTCATAGCTCTACATGTTGGGATAAAATTGTGGGACATGAAGGTAGACGATACAGTAGTAAGGGAGATTGTATTTGGGACCATGCGGACTGGTTATTGGGATCCGGATCGCGAGGAGATGCCAAGAATCCATCCAGAGATGATCGATGGCTGGGTGGAGAGATTGAGATCGCAGGCAAGGTACTTTTTGAGGCATAGGAGGAGAGGTGATAGGAAGACGGCAGGGTTGTGGAGGAGCGTGAAGGATCCAGAAGGGCTCTTGGAGGGATTGACGTCGCTTTTGAGAGACAAGTTAGGTGACAACGCAAAGGTTAAGGAGATATCCGAAAGGGCCAAGGTAGAAATGGGAGTAGAAGGTTTGAAGATTGATTAAATAACTCATTTTTATTTTTTATTTTGAAGTTAAAGTTGAGTTATATAATATATGCATCATATCAGAAGGCATAAAGTACATATTCCAATTGACCCGATGGTACTGATAAGTTTTGCTAGTAACCCAAGTGGACCTAAAACTACATACATATAGTCGACTCGACAAAACCTGGAAATGGTACTACATGTACCCTACTACATTCTTCTGATCGTCTTAAAAGATCAAGTCTCAACACATAATGTAAAACACCACTCCTTTTGCATTGGCTTTTCATGGCTATTGAATTATGGCTGACTGTGTAGGTCTCTTTCTAATGTATGTATGTACTTTATGTTGACATGCATATATGTACCAATCACAATGTTTTACAATGCTGTGGTTGCATCACTGGCAAGTGGTGTCCACCATACACATCAGTGCCTAGACGGACAACGCATGGAATAGACAAGGCTGAAAGTCGAGTACCTACATGCTCAGTAGGCAGCCCTTGTTTGACTTCAATCCTCTTTACCTCTATTCATATCCACGACTTTCAACAACCTTTGCTATTCCTGCCATCGGTGGCGGATTCCAGAAAAATTCCCATCATGGAAGCGGTTGGTCTTGCAGCAAGTATCATTGCCATCACTCAGTTATCCAGCAAACTGCTCTCTATAACCTATAATTATATCAGCAACTTCCAAAAAGCACCAAGAGATATCAAAAACCTAGCCAGCGAGTTACACGCCCTCGTAGGGGTTCTTGACAACCTAAAGGATTATTTAGACGCAAATCCTTCGTCTCCAGCTCTACAGAAGCTTGCAGGAAATGGTGGGCCGATCGAAGTATTCACCGAGGAGATGAATGCACTCCATCGCAAATTCAGTGCAATCGACTCTTCAAAGCTTACTGCGAAGCTTGGCTGGCCTCTCAAGGATAAGGATATCACGCAGACACTCTCAAGTGTTGAGCGACATAAGACGGTTTTTATTTTTGCTATGAATGTAGATCAATTGTAAGCTAGTCTGGTTATTAGAATGAGTCTTGAGTGTTATGCTGACATTTTGATATTAAGATCATTATCAAAAGCGATAGAAGTTTATTTTATTGATATTAAGAAGGCAGTTGAATATATTAATACGTGTGTTAAAGGCACAGCTCCCGCAGTGCAGGAAATTAAGGAGGACGTTAAGAACACAGCTACTACGGTTCAGGAAATCAAGTCTGATGTGGGGGGTACCAATGTAGCTATTCAGGCCCTTCAGTCTACCCAAGACGGTAAGATGGCAGAACCGCCTAGATCTACTGATTTCACTAACCGGCCTTTAGCGGAAGCTCGTTTAAAGGTATTGAACTGGTTATACCCAGAGTCTTTTGAAACAAGGCACCTCGATATCAGCAGAAGGCGGCGGGAAAGAACCGGAGAATGGCTTTTAAAATCTCCCGAGTTTTGTGAATTTGTCAGTAATAACCAAAATTCACCGATACTATGGGGCTACGGCATTCGTAAGTACCATATAGTCCCCACCTATAGTAGAGGTGTTTGTATTAATTAAAAATAATTATATAGCTGGCGCTGGCAAGACTTTTTTGAGGTAGTTTTACATGAAAACCCTTACCCAACCTCCTTTGTCTAATCAGGATTTTAGTTCTGCGGTTATCAGTCACCTCCAAATCGAGGCACGGAAAAACAATTATGTGGTATCTTATATCTATTTCAACTACAAGGAGCAAAAACAACAGAAGCCCCTTCAGATACTTGCCAGCTTGGTCAAGCAGCTTGCCTGTCGGACATCACCACTTCCCAGCTACATCATTGACCTTCATACCCGGCTCACAAAAGAAACTAAACAGCCTACTGAAGAGGAATTATATTCCGCCTTGGTCTCAACTTTGAAATCCTTTGGGCGAGTCTTCTTCGTTTTCGATGCTTTGGATGAATGCGATCAAACCGACCAACGGAGAACTCTCTTACCATTGTTTCACCGCATGGTCGGAGAGAATCCGAACATAAGGATCTTCCTAACGAGCCGACAACACCCCGAAGATATCCAGGCCTCGTTTGAGAAGTCAGCAAAGGTCGAGCTCCGAGCCAATGACGAAGATATAAAGCTCTATATTCAGCAGAAAATCAACGAAAACCCCCGGGCAAAGAGTCTTACTAGTAAAGGCGATCGCCTGAACACGATTATTTCAGAACTTACAAAGGCAGCAAATGGGATGTAAGTAGAGAAAAAGGCCTTGATCAATTAACAGGTTCATATGCTAACGCCAACTAAACTCAGGTTTCTACTAGTACACTTCCATATTAATCTCATCTGTCAACAGACAACACCCAGAAAACTCATGGCTGAGCTTGAAAGGCTTACACTCGATGGCTCGAGATCAAAAAACAATCCCTTGGATCCCACCTATGATAGAGCTATAGAATCGATCCGTTCTCAGCCCGCAGATTTTGAGCTGGCAAAAAGTATCTTTACCTGGCTCGTGAAGGCTCAGAGAACTCTTACCGTCGACGAGATTCAGATTGCGGTATCTATGGAACCCGATATCCGTGAGCTTGAAGAAGATGATTTACCAAGCAAAAAGACTCTTCTTGACGCTTGCGCTGGGCTAGTGGTAATTGATGAGAAAAGCGGGATAGTGCGTCTTGCGCATTACACTGTTCAGGAATATCTATTGAGAGTCCTTCTGATTCCTGAGGAGGCCAATCTATATATTGTCACATCTTCTATATCATTTCTCATGCTCGATATATTCGGTGGTAAAGCTAACAGCTGGCCTGAATATGATATATTTGGTCGTAAGGCTAAAATTAATTACTGGAAATATATACCCTACGGTTCTAGGGCTGCAGTCGACAGGGAAGATGAGATCTCCAGTTCAGAGACTATCTTCCAATGGCCTGAAGATGATTTCCCCTTCTTAGGATATATAGTCACGCAGCTACCGTTTCATCTAAGGCAATGTGATGAAAACTGGACAACTGAACTCATCCTTAAACTCTTCGAAGACCAGCATAGGGTTGAGCTTTATTCGCTGACAAGAAGTGTTTATCTCCGGGACCGCACGATAGAAGTGTATGGTTGGCACTTCAACGGACCCGTGCCTAAGCAATCGCAATTGCAGTTGTTATCCATAATAGGACATTTCTCGGCGCTTCGAATTGCCCTCGAACAAGAGGATGATGTCATGAGAAGATACGATGGATATACCGCACTGCATTTTGCAGCGAATGAAGCACACGTTAGAGTGGCCCGACTGCTCATCGATCATGGTGCAGATGTCTCCGCGGAGGACTGGGACCAGAAAACACCGCTACATAAGGCAGCGGAGGGGGGACACCTAGAAATAGCCCGACTGCTCATCGATCATGGTGCAGATGTCTCCGCGGAGGACGAGGACCAGAAAACACCGCTACATAAGGCAGCGGAGGGGGGACACCTAGAAATAGCCCGACTGCTCATCGATCGTGGTGCAGATGTCTCCGCAAAGGACGGGGACCAGGAAACACCGCTGCATCTGGCAGCGGAGGGGGACCTAGAAATAGCCCGACTGCTCATCGATCGTGGTGCAGATGTCTCCGCGAAGGACTGGCATCAAACAACACCGCTGCATCTGGCAGCGGAGGGGGACCTAGAAATAGCCCGACTGCTCATCGATCGTGGTGCAGATGTCTCCGCGAAGGACTGGGACCAAAGAACACCGCTACATGGGGCAGCGGAGGGTGGACACCTAGAAATAGCCCGACTGCTCATCGATCGTGGTGCAGATGTCTCCGCGGAGGACAGTTATCAAAAAACACCACTATATAAGGCACTGGAGTGGAGCCACCTAGAAATATCCCGACTGCTCATCGATCGTGGTACAGATGTCTCCGCGGAGGACGGGTGCCAAAGAACACCTCTAAAACTAGCCGAAATACTTGTTCAAAATACACAGCATAATCCCACCAGAAAGCGGGAACACCCAGAAGAATCAGAGCAGTCGGAAGCTCGCAAACGGCGCACGTTGCTCGAAAACAGACCAAGCCCCGATGGTCAGTCGAGCAATGTACTTCCCTCGATAGACAGCGTTATGGATATGGGTTGGTGGTGAACGAATATATATATATGGGGGGGCGGTTTTCTGTGCGGGGTGGTGGGGATTATGGTTCTTGTCTGTTTTTTTTTTTTTTTTTTTTTTTTTTTTTCATTATCGGTAGAGGTTAGTGTAGCGCTATAGGATTTTGGAAGGATGCGAGTATCTTTTTTTCTTCCTTTTTTTTTTTCTTCTTTTTCTTCGTTTCGGATTTCTTTTTAGGTTTCTTCCTTTCTTTAAATTTTTCCTTCTCCCCGAACCCCCTTCTTTTTGGATCTCCTCCTCCTTTGATTCATTCATATTTCGTTGCTATCTTCTTTTTCCTTCTTCATGGGCCGGTGCATCTATTTCTGGGTATGGATCTATATCTCTTGGGTTATAACAATACATTCTCTCTACGGCTTACCTACCAAATTGACTCGTGGGGTTCGGTGATAAAGATGCGATGTAACTCAAGTCCTTACACAGTTTACTATAATTATCAATTTTGAGCTTCTATAGCGACTAGATGTAGTGGGAATGTTACGATATCTATTATCTGTCCACAAAGTACTACATATTCTGGGACCCTGTTTGCTATTTGATATGGGGTTACCACGTGGGTGCGATCCAATCACAGAACATCACTCGAGCAACCAATCACGTGCAACCCCTGCAGCTGCTTCACGCGGCGCGGCGCACATCATGATCACCAAACACACGAGCCTCACGATCAAAACGGCGCGAGAAAAAAGGCCTCCTTCCGATCCTTTACACCCAACACCACATTCAAAGTACAATTAACACACGCAGTACTATTAGAGCAAAGCATAGAGATATCGTATTGACATCACACAAATTCCAGGCATAAGCCTCATCCTTGGCACGCCCACCACGCACCACAACCACCCTCGACCGTTCAATCCACCACTCCACCACCACTCCACCACCACTCCACCACCACACAATGTCCACCCGCAAGCGCCCGCCCCCAAACCCCCTCGACCCCGACTCCGACTCCGACACCAGCAGCCCCCCCACCAGCAAGAAGCGCCCCTTCCAGCAGAAGCCTCCCCAAACCACCACCTCCTCCATACCCCCACCACCACCTCCACCGCAGGCCGCCGCCGCCAATGACGACGATGATGAAGACGACTACATGAACATGACCATCGCCGAGCCCAGCGCGCCCGAAACATTCTCGCAGCGCAAGAAGCGCCTGCAACTCGAAGTACCACTCCCCCCCCCTCCCCCCCCCCCCCCCTCCCCCTTCCCCCTTCCTCCCTTCTCCCTACTAACCCCCCACGCAGGCCGAAACCCGCGCCCGCCCCAAATCCAAAGCCGAGCTCGCCGCGCTCGAAAAATCCAACCGCGAAGCAGCCCTCGCAAAGTCCCTCCTCGACACCCAAACACCCAACAAGGGCCTCCTCATGATGCGCAAAATGGGCTTCACGCCCGGGACCGCCCTCGGCGCCCCCACCACCACCACCACCACCACCACAGCAGCGAGGTTAGAGCCCATACCAGTGACGCTGAAAGAAGACCGCACCGGCATCGGGCACGCCTCTGCGCAGCGCGCAAAACTCGCCTCTGCCGCCTCCTCCTCCTCCACCACCGCGGCGGCGGCGCAGCTCTCGCCAGAAGACTACCGCGCGCGCGTCGCCTCGGAGCAGGAAGAGCGCCGGCGCGAGGCGCAGATGGTGGCCGCGCAGAAGCTGGCCGAGCAGTTCTCGTGTGAGCGGTCTGGGGGCGCCGTGGGGGAGCGTACAGTGCCGTTACGGAGCATCCCCGTGCTGTGGCGCGGCCTCGTGAAGCGGCGCGAGGAGGCTGAGCGTGAGAAGAGGATGCGGTATGATCTTCTGCAGAGCCTGGATACGCCGCGGCTGCCGGGGTGTGCGAGGGACTGTGAGCTGGATGAGGTTGATAAAGCGGCGCTGGGCATCACGGTGCCGGGGTTGCGGCGGCTGGGGGTGGGGCAGGGGCGGTGGTGGAGGAGGATGGTGGGAGGAGGGGGAGGAGGTGGATGAGGAGTTGGAGAGGGAGGAGGCACGTGCGGTGGGGGAGAGGGTGGTGGGGTTGTGTGAGTATCTGAGGAGGGAGTATAGGTATTGCTTTTGGTGTAAGTGTAGGTATGAGGATGAGGCGATGGAGGGGTGTCCGGGCGTTGAGGAAGACCTGCATGGCTAGTCATGGTCAGGTACATGATTAATTAATTTGGAAATGGAGCGTGTATGTACGATAGTGGCTGTTATTTCTTGATGTGTTAATAATAATTGAGCGGATTGGGAGCTTTTTAGAGGAGTTATCGGTAGTCGGGAATTCAAAGTCATTAGTAGCATCAAAAACTTACCCTAGTCCACAAAGCGGGTGCATATTAGCATTTACGGAAAAGGCCTAAAATGACACAGTTTTCGGTATACTTACGTGCTCCGAAATAACATGATGCAAAAAGACATAGTTCGCTGTCACTGCAAGTAAAAAAGGAGAAGAAAAAAAGAACAAAACGTTCTATAAAACTACAAAAGGTACAAAACTACAAAAGGTACTGCAGCGACTTATTAAGACATTTGCGACTGCTACTCCCACCCCTGGTTTGAACCCAGGACCTTATGTGATTGGTGGTATCCTGGGTACTCTCGGTGTCGACGAGCAGTCTATCCACTAGACCACCCGCCCATAGTGGATGCTGTGCCCGAGGTGATACTTGAGCTAGCTTGGCAGTGTGCCAAGATGAAGATCGAACTTGAACCCGACCCTTCGATATTATCATTGCTCAGCCAATACGTATACTAGTTGATGTATTCGTTTTGGATTATACCGAACTGTGTCATCTTGCATTCATGTGTTATTGTAGAGCACGTCTACCGAAAACTGTGTCATTTTAGACCTTTTCCGTAACATTTAATCCCATGTTCCAGTTCAGCCCAGCCGAGTGATTCACCATGACCCACCACTCCATCCCCACCCCCACACCTTTTGCAAGCCCCCAGACCCTCTACACTTGGGCATGCGGAGAACTTCACAACATAAGCGCTGATGCAGGTATGTACTTGGTGCAGATTCTTTGTCGCTTATCCATCGACGTCTCTGAGTGGCAAGCACCCCCGTCTATAGATGGCGGCCCTTATTAATAATGCACTTATTTCCCCCATAGTTCATTATGCTGTCATCTGCATGTTAAAAGTCGCAGTACGGCAAACTGTTCTGACACTCAGAATTTTATTCGGTTTCGTTGGGTTGCGCCAGTTTTAACGTTACAAACAGGACAAGATCTAGTTATATTTGGGCTCGTCTTGTCTCGCCAGAAACACCATCCGTGACCTTCTATCGAACGCCCAAGTACATGTATGGGTTGGTTGCATGGCCATCACATCACAAAGGATCACTCGATCACACATTATCACTCGAGAAATATTGCGCTAAATATTGCCTATTAACTTCTGAGCTGGATTCGTTATCAGCCATCGATCATATATCTTAAATAATGAATTCTCTAATCAATAATCTGCCGATATTTGTGCGCTAGATCTAACACTTCCACCTTTTGTTAAGCTTGTTGTGTAAATGATGCCGCAATGAGAAATTTCCTTCCCTTCTATCAATCGTTTCGTAGATACGTAAGGTAGTTAATTTAGTATATCATTGAATAATATTAGCCGTCCAGTGGGTATCATGGCACCATACTAGATTATCTAATGCACAACATCCCGTTGAAGCTATCAGCCACACACTCTTAGAGAGTTCTTATGACCTGTCTTAGCGCTGTAATCCATCAGCATGAAGGTACGAATTCAATTGGATCCGATCTTATCTTATCTTATCGGGTTTAACCGAACTGGAATTTTCGGCTAATCATTTCAAACAGGGCTACTTTTGTAGGTATGTACTTTTGCTTTAAACGGACTCTGATTTCGAGACTTAACGGTACCATAATGCTACATCTGACCCTAGAGTACCTACTTCATATCTTTTCTCTAGTATTCGGCTAGCTTATACAAGGGCGCTTATATACATGTAGCACAGCTCAAATTGTCGCGTCGACGCAACAATATGCAGCATCTGAAACAATTCACCAATTGGTCTGTGAGATTCATACTTAGCTGTCCTCGACTGAAGGATCAGTGACGCACCCCTACTTAACCTTTACCCCTCTCCACCATTCAAATTTGAATTTCCCCCCCTCATATCACTCTATAATACCTGACGGATATTTTATGTTCTCTTCAGAAATCGCGCTACGATAATAATATGTGGAATATAATCCTTTTAGGTCTCGGAATCATTTTATCTTTTGGTTTTCGCTCACAGCCGGCGTTCTTAGGCGGCGTTTTGATTGTGACAGGATCCTTGGGGATCGTACTAAATGAATTTGATCTTCACTTTCTCTTTCAGTTTGGAGGATCTCTTTTTATCTGCTCTTCCATCTTCTAGCAATTGCTCTTTCGCCACTTCAGATTCTATGGAGCACGTCGAAACCACCACCCAAAACAGCGCTAGGAACTGTTATCCACTATATTCCGAGTGAAGATGAGGGAAGCGCTATCGTAGAGTATGATTACTACCCAATTAACCCAACAATTCTCCGTATATATGCTAACTATCGCTGACTTTTAAAAAGTATCGTTGCTGTACACGGTCTCGGTTCGAATCCTGACTGGGCTTGGCAGCACGAGGGAACTGGGGCTATGTGGTTGAAAGATTTCCTGCCCAGCTCGTTCCCGAAGGCGCGAATTATGGCCTTCAACCATAACTCGGCGTGGAATATGAATGCGCCAGCAAAGTCTGTAGAGATCTGCGGGTCGCAACTGCTTGCGTCGCTGAATACCCAGCGACAATCGCCGGAGGTTAGTTTGCTTATTCCCACGTCTCACTGTCTGTTCCTCTCAGCTAGACATGCACTAAATATTGTCCTTATTGATAGGAAGGGGAACGTCCTATAATATTTATTGGGCACAGCTTTGGTGGGATAATAATCAAAAAAGTACTTTTATTTCCCCTAGTGGTGTCTTGTTAAACATTCCATTACCCTCCCAATGATGTGGGAAATATGGTAAATCTATGATGAAATAGAATCCTTCGCTAGAATAACACCCCCCATCTAGGCCCCGGAACCTTTGTTTAGTATAGGTCACCGTCTAACGTTTCGCGCGACTAGGCGCTCGTCACCGCCGGGCTAAGGAGTGAGGACCGTCGCTATAAATCCATCAATAAATCCATGATCGGTGCAATATTTTTAGGGGTACCCCATGATGGTTCCCGTCTTAGCCTTGTGGGAAAATTGATGTCTTACGCCACATACTGGTTAGGATCAAGTACAGAACTGCTGGAAGCACTAAAGCCCGGAGAACGGTCCCTTAGGACGTTGGACGATGAATTTCACAGAGCCTATAGAGGGCGAGACATTGTCAATTTCTTTGAGGTTAAGATGACAGCGATCGGGAGATTCCCCCTACTCATCGTAAGCCCCCTCCTTAATGATTAAATGAGCCTGGGACTAGCTACGAGTGAGTTCTGATTTTGTATAAGGCGGTGGATCATCATTCTAGTACTTCTGCCGGCATTCCAAATATTGCTTTAGAGGCCGATCATGTCGGAATGAACAAGTTTCACTCACCGCAAGACGAAAATTACAAGCTTTTGGTTCATGAAATCCGAGGCATGGTGGAAAAGATAGAAAAAGGTCAGTCTCATTATCTTACTCTGAGACAATTTGAGAGATGCATCCATGATTCTAATTGATGATTCAATGCAGCAACGGTTACTCCGGTTGATGAGAGCGAAGTCTGTTTACGGTCTCTCGATTGGGAAGGGTCAGGGAACCGCCAAGCTGCAATAGAACCAGCCTACAAAGAAACACTTGGTTGGGTAGCATCCAATCCAGTTATCTCTGAGTGGCTACAGCGCAAATCGAGGATCCTGTGGATTTTAGGAAAGCCCGGCTCTGGGAAATCAACACTATCAAAGTTTCTTTTCGGGCTCCTGAAAAGATCACAGGATAATCGGAAACCCGGCCAAGCAATATTAACCTTCTTCTTCAGCAATCAGAGTATACATAACGATTTCAATATATCGGATGAGGGCTGTCTTCGTTCTCTTCTATTTCAACTCTTGCAGCAGGTACCGGAATTGTTGGAATATATTCTTCCCAAATATCAAATGAAAAGAGCAGCAAAGGCACCAGTTGTATGGCATATTGAGGAACTCAGAAGTCTTCTAATCTCAATGCTTGGGGATTCTCGTTTTAGCTCGACTCGCATCATCATAGGTAAGCTCAAGCCCGTTTTCCATACGGGCTACGATCCAATTAACAAGGAATAGATGCTTTGGATGAATGTCATGACCATTATAAAATACCCCTCCTCGATTTCATAACTGGCGATATGGGCCGTCTCGAATCCCTTCAGATAATCATCACAACGCGAATGCACCCAGAGTTTTGCAACTATCTGGTCGGCTCTCCTCAACTCAAGCTAGAAGCGGAAAACAACAAAGATATAGAAAGCTATCTTAGCTTCAGATTGAAAAGCTTGAGCCGCAGTTTTTCGCTTAAGGAGTTGGACGCACTGGTAAAATCAGCCACTCTCCATGCACACGGAGTTTTTCTTTGGGCAGAGCATATTATTCCGATCTTGAAGGAACAGCCGCCCGATATTCCCATCTCTGAGTTGGAAGATTTTCTTCTTCGTATGCCAAAACCTATGCAAGATATGTACGACAGTATATTGCAGAAGTTGGAATTGGCCCCAATAGTGGAATTCGATGAAACCCGGAGAATGCTCGAATGGGTATTGTTTGCAGAACGACCTCTGAAGTTAGACGAGTTCCGTTTTGCACTTGCCGTCGGCCTCTCTCCCGGTTTTACCTCGCTGGCTTCACTGGATGAGGCCTCATACCTTCCTTCGTTATCTGAAATGGAAGCACGGATAAACAGGCTCAGCGGCGGTCTATTAGAGGTCGGGTTACCCGAAGCGCCTACAGAGTCTACAGAGCCTACGTCCGGCTGGGAATCTTTCAGCGCCCTGAAGTGGAATATATTATCAAATTCCGGTACGACGCAAAACCAGAAGGATGCGGGAAAGGATGGTTCTGAAAACCATGTTGTTCGTTTTATGCATCAATCCGTGAAGGAATTTCTTTTGGAGAGGAGAGTATCCTCCGAGACATGGATAGATCCTAAAAAGGCACATAGGAATCTTGCCAGCGTATGCATTGCTGCTGCGACTAGCCCCGACTTTCCAGACAAGCGCGAAAGATCATACTTCAGTATAGGGCACAAAGAAATACCATTCCTCAAATACGCGACGGATAACTGGGAGATACACGCTTCTTCGGCCGACGTGGAAGGAGATCGACAGATGGAAGCTTTTGGCTGGCCTGAGAGTCGCGCATTCTCAGAGTGGTTCTCGGCGAGGAATGTCCGCTTCGATGAGAGGGAATGGATAAAAGGGTATCCCGACGTTGCCTGCTTCCCATTGACTATTGCAATGAGGTCTGGATTGCTTTCAGACATAGAGTTCTTTTTGGAGGCACCACTTTCCGACCTTGATTATTTTATGTCTGCCTATGCTGCCCAGTATAGTCTAAATAGTGATAGGGATAGATATCGGGAAGAAATACTAGCATATTCCCTTGCAACCGCAGTGGCAATAGGCTATGAAAAGGCAGCTAGACATCTTATTGAGTGGGGTGCGGATGTCAATGCGGTCGTACCTTACACCCGTATAAGGATCCTTACAGCTGCTGCCGAAAAGGGACAGAACAAGATGATCAAACTCCTCGCCGAGAAAGGCACCCACTTCAATTATGCGCAGGGGAATCCACTTTTATCAGTTATCAAAGCCAAACCCGAAAATTTAGAGACTTTACAATCTCTCATCGATCACGGCATCGATCTCAACGCCCGAGGCATAAGTATTCGAGAAGTTTCGGAGCATGATGTAGTGAATCGCGCAATACTGAGCGGGACAAATGACGAGATCTACGATAGTCCGCTTCAGGCAGCTATACATGCTATTTATGAAGGCGGCAGCGAAAGTGTTGTATCCCTACTGCTCAAAAACGGTGCAGATGCTAGGGATCAATGTTTCTACCGACCAAACGTCGACTACAAACTCAGAGAAGCGACTCCCCTCCATACCGCTACCTACTACAACTATATAGAAATTATGCAAAATCTTATTAAACTTGGGGAAGATGTGAATGTCATTGCGGGCTTGTATGGGACTCCGCTGCATGTTGCGGCGTCTTTCGGCCATGAGGATGCAACGCAACTACTTCTGAATAATGGGGCGAAATTTATAACCGGAGTTGGGATTTTTGGTACTCCTTTACAGGCAGCGGCCTTTGGCGGGCATGCAGGGGTGGTTAGGCGGCTCCTCGAACTCCCAGAGACGGATGTGAACGACCTTTCCGGGTGCTATGGACATGCACTACATGGAGCAGCGATCAGTGCCAATAAGGACGTGATGAGAGATATGTTAAAATTGGACAAGCTTGCGATAATTCTCTGGAATATGCATGGGGAGTTCTACATGGAGGAGCGCTACATGCAGTACTTTGACTGGGAGGCTTGGATGGGGCACAGATGGTACGAAAAGACTGAGGATGGCATACAGCACAGGAGGGAAGAGCCAATGTTTAGCTGGCAGCAATCTGAGTCACTCAAATTAGGCCCCCGAATATTCAATACACGGATACGCCGGAGGAGCGAGAGAAGCTACGACACCCTCTTCTAGAGCGCGGTAATAAAATATTTAAAGATACCGAAGAACTCATTACAGTACTCATCAATAGCACACGTTTTGTTGGCTACTTTGTGTATCCCTTACGTCCCATAGAGCAGAATTCGCCAGCTAGCTTGATTGACCCACCTCAGAGACCACGGCCGGGCTATCAGCTTGCTGACTTTAAACCTCCCATACCAACATCCGTAGACAAAGAACCGGATTTTATCGGAAGAGCCTGGCGCCTACCGGAATTCTTCTGGAGTGTTGTCGATCGTCCGGTGAAAAAGTCTACCCAATCATCGGCCTCTCCAGGAGAAAACCCAAGCACGAGTATCCGTGGCGGAGGCAACCTGCTGGAAGAAAAATACAAACTTACCGATGGTGTCTCGGAGGCAGTATAGTGATATATATACATACATGGATATATAGGCCCTTTCTGCATCTGTAAATCGAGTATTCATATAGGCTTCTTTTCCCCTTGGGTCACCGATTTTTGTTAGCCTATTCAACTGAAGGAATACATGTATGTTTATAATTTATCAGATATGTTTTAGTATTAACAAACCCCTTGTGTAGCTGGTTGATTGCAAAGAGGACATGGAGATCTAGAAATATATATACCATCGCATAAAGCCTTTTCTTTCGTGTAAATACCTTAGAATTTCTTTGAACTGATCGAATATTCGTATCATAATATATGTAATACACACACATATATTTCTTTTAGCACCGCTGGATATCAATTATGTGAGAGTGCGCATATATCGTGGGAAGTCTTTACTACACATGCGTACCGCTCCTCTAAAACTACCCCCTCTTATATCATTCATTTACCATGACTCTAAGCCCCTCTTTTATATGTGCAGCCTCACTTAAAAGTATCATTCACAACAGATTTATAGACTCACATAAAAAGTTATTTTGACAACAACTATAACCATAGTTAATTTCTTAAATTTCATATAGATACTAAACTAATGGTCCTCTACAGATCTATGATTTTATTTATTGGATATACTATGGTTTAAGATAGTTGTTGGTTGGTTGGTTGAAAAATCTGATGCGGGTGAGGAGGGGTGGTTTTGCAAAATTCAATCGCGCATGATCGAACTCCCCACGAGTAATATTACACAAGTACCTACACCGCGCAGCAGTGCGGGGACCGAAAAGGCGTTAGTTACATTGAGTCTGAATTTGATATTACGCTTTTGCCCTCCTTATTTCTTCCCACACACACGCTTTCAGGCTAGTCGTGTCAATTAATTGTGATCAGATAGGTTATGTCAGTTACGAGACAAAAGGCTGGCTATAAACCAGTTACGCTAGCAGACAGGTTTCTTGACCCGGTCCGGGTCCAAACCCAAACACAGCAATGCGCCAAGAAACCTTGCACAACAACGCCGCGCTTTCGCAGCCCCCCTAAAAGAAATTTACCCCAGGTGAGATTCGAACTCACGACTTTCGCATAGCTGCATACAAGTTACCCCATACGGAGATGTTACTTTGTATAAGAACGACACGCTAACCGCTGCGTCACGGGGGTATCCAGATGCCTGTCTGGTGCTGAAAGGTGCCTTTTGAACCCATCAGTGCTTTTCTTGGCTGCAGAGTGAGGGAGGGCCGGGGAGAGGTTAATTAACTGCGGTTAGGAATAGGGGGAGGGTGTTAACATTGCAGAGCAGAGCTGATTTTACCCCCGCGGTGGAACTCCGGGTGGGGAGGGAGCGGTGGTGTCACCATCACCACCACACAACGCCGCGAACTGCGACTACATGTACATATAAGATTCACGACGACTGCGATGTCGCTGGGTGAATTGGTTGCAGATTCGGGGTCGCGATTGATGGAGCTTTATAAGCTGTGAAGTTCTTCGCTTTCGCTTTCGCTTTCACTTTCGGTTTTCTAGCTCTGCTCACGACCCTTACAGCTAGATCTAGAGCTGTGTCTCAAAATAGACCCCACGCATCCTCCCCCACAGTCCCACGCCGAAACTCCTATTGACAGACTCTGACTCTGACTCTGAGCGCAACTAACTAACTAGCCAGCTAATTAAGAGTCTCGTTTACACACAAAAACATGGGAGCTGGCCTTCATCCCCACTGCAGCGCCCCGACGACAGGGACGGTGAAATTGCACGAATTGCACGAATTGCATGAAGTGCATGAATCCCCACTGAAGCTCTCCGACAAAGAGACAGCTATGAGTCAATTGTAATTCTACGCTAGGTCTTTGCGAGGGAGAAAGAAAGTATAAATATCGTGCCCATTGAGCAGAACAGACGAGCAGGCAAACAAGCAATTGCGCAGGCAGACAAAGGACTCATCTCTCTCTTTCTCTCTCTCCACACACACACACATACACATCGCAACAATGGCCTCCCCCTCCGCACCAGAAACCGACCACTGGTCCTCCACCAGCTACACCCTCACCGCGCCCTTCGTCCCCCTCCTCACCACCCGCCTCACCACCCTCCTCGCCCCGCACGCCACCAACACAATCCTCGACCTCGGCTGCGGCGACGGCGTCCTCACCGCCCAGCTCTCCCAAAAATGCAAACACATCCTCGGCCTCGACGCCTCCCCGTCCATGCTCGCCACCGCGCAGCAGCAGTACTCGACCCCCAACACGGCCTACGAGCACCTCGACTGCCGCTACCTCAAAGCCTTCGCGCAGCGCCACGAGCACCGCTACACAAAGATCTTCTCCAACGCCGCGCTGCACTGGATCCTCCGGGACCCGGAGACACGGGCGGATGTGATCCGCGGCGCCTTCGAGCTGTTGCAGCCCGGGGGTGTGTTTGTTGCGGAATTCGGCGCGCATGGGAACGTGGCGGAGGTGCATACGGCACTGATCAGCGCGCTGGTGCACCGCGGTGTTGATATTAGTGCAGCGGTTGCGGCGTCTCCGTGGTACTTTCCGACGGAGGAGGGGGTGCGGGTGTTGTTGGGTGGGGCGGGGTTTGACGTTGAGGTTGTGGAGACGGAGTTGCGGCAGACGGTGCTGACGGAGGTGGAGGGCGGGGGCGTGGAGGGGTGGGTTAGGTTGTTTGGTGACAGCTTTTTGAAGGCTGTGGGGGAGGGGGAGAGGGAGGGGGTGGTGAGGGAGGTTGTGCAGGTGTTGGAGGGGGTGGGACGGAGGGAGGAGGGTGCAATGGCGGTGAATTATGTGAGGTTGAGGTTTGTGGCGAGGAGGCCGGTGGAGCAGGAGCGGTTGTAGAATAGTTGAATAAAAGTGTTTTGTCTGGGGTTGATACTGCGTAGTTCAAGAAATATCTAGCCCTAACCTGTAGACCCATTAATAGTGATGCACCGATTAAAGGATCTAGGGACTACCCGACCTTTAATAGCAGACACTCACTTGTAGATACATGTACCCACAAGTACCAACCTGCTCATCGCAAAACAAGACTCCCCATCCTGAGCCGAGTGAGAACCCATGACTCCACATCCTCAAAACATTCCCCCAGCCAACCTCAAAGACTTAAGCCTCACCGCTCCTAGTGTAGATATACGCTTCCTTAGTTTTTTGTAATTGGCTCTGTAGGCACAACGCGGACATTAAAACCAGTACGCAAGTCTATCCACGGTCACGAGATCTCACTCGATTGTATGCGCCTTCGGTGCTGTACTATTGATCGACTGACTGGTTGGTGCTGCACCATCTATACAGCTGCATCTGGTAGCTACTCGGAGTGGCTCTCTGGGTGACGTTAAGGCGGTGTGTTCGTAGTTAGTGCGTGTCACCCAGAGAGCGTGCAGATTCATAAAAGATTAATAATAACCCGAATCACACCACATAATTAACTATTTACAAGAGTACAAGCGCAAAAGGAACAGGCCCCTTTTATAGTAACCAAAAACGATGCAAATAAACACATTGTCAAGACAAGCAGACTCGTTTGCGAGCGTGCGGTATACCCCATACGAGGGATTCAAAAGCTAAGGCACCGTCACCCCCACCCGGCCCCGCCCAGTCCGGCCTACCCCCCATCGCGCCATGGTCCACACGCCTTGTTCCTCTGACTGACACCTACGTGACGGAGCGACCTCGGATTCTTTACCAGCTACCATACCGCCCTTGGTGCGGCGCCAACCCTAGTACTATAGCCATAGATGGCCAATCCCCCCCACCCCAAATACGCTATATCCAGAGACCAGTCGGTGTATATCTTCCCCGCAATACGCTCCTCTTCAACTATATGTCAACAGTATAGTCTCCCTCCTTCCTACCCCACGGACGCGCGGGATTGCAATATGCTCCACTACGGACCTATAGCTACCGTGCTTTTTAGGTCGGTTCTTCACGGATTCTCACTCGCGCCCGCTCTCCCCGATTGCTAGCGTCATCGCACCCACTACATACATTTGTCTATGGGCGGATAGATGGGGCGAGTGAGGGCTTATGATTCACATAATGTCAAACTGTGATGCTGCATCGGCGCAAGAATCCTTTTTATTCGTCCTCCCGCAAGAGCTTACGGTACAGGTACTCGGGCGGTAAGATTCCACAAGCTAAGGAAAGCTAAAGATACACCGCCAAGCCAGCATTCACTCCCAAATCTTCCCGCCCGTCCCTCCTACGACACAAAATCCCACAGCTAGCAGCGCAGTTGAGTAAATCCTTTTCAATTCCCTCCCTTTTTTGATAACAGACGGTATCGCTAACCACCAACCACCGCAACAGCTATACAAAGCACGAAACAACAGCCAACAACATAAAAGAAAAACAAAAAATAGGAAAAGAAAAAAAACAGAAAAAAAGTAATAACACAAAAAGGTTATATTAACTATTGTACCCCTCCCCCCTCCCTCCCCTGCCCCCGCCCCCGCCCCGGTCCCAAAACATCAATTACTCCTCCTCATCCTCGCCCAACTCCGAAATGACCTTCTCCACAATCTGGATCAGCTCCGAGATACCCGGCCTCTCACTCGGCTCCACCTTCAAGCACATCCTGACCACGTCCTTCACGCTCTCGCTGACCTTCTTCTGCCCCGGCTTCCTACCGCCGAGACGACCTTCCTCCGGGAACGTGTAGCTCCCCGAGCAGACTGCGAGCGCGAGACTCCCGCCAGACTCCTCCGTGGCTAGCTCGAATGGGGAGTGGCCGTATAGGGCGCAGTACAGGGTGCACCCCATTGACCAGATGTCGACCTTGTCGTCGAGGACGGAGCCGGTCTTGACGTCAAAGAGCTCAGGGGCACGGTAGGGCATTGTAGAGTTCTCGGCGGCCGAATCTTGGACGGAGAGGGCGAGGGTGCGGGAGGTAATTGGTGTTGGAGAGGGGGTCAGGGAGCCGAAATCCATGAGGATTGGGGTTAAGCCGTCATCATCAATCATCACGTTGCCTGTTGTCTTATTAGCGGTGGTAGCAATTGGGGGGGAATATTCTATCACTAACCAGGCTTGATATCACGATGTGCATACGCCCTAATATCACCCTCCTGCCCACCCTCCCTCTGGCTCCGCACCTCACTCGACATCAACGGCTGCGCCCCCTCCTCCTCCGCGCCCTCAACCCCGCCGCCAACCCTCGCGCCAGGCTCCTTAAGCCTATGCTGATGCAGCGCCTGCAGGCCCTTACACACGCCCAAAAACAGCCTCATCAGCTTCCCCTCGGGGAAGACCGTATGGTTGATCAAGTTCGCATTAATCGCATCTTGCAGGTTCCCCCTCCGAAAGTACGGCAGCAGGATATACACCGTCTTCTGCGTGCCGTCGTCCTCGCTGTCGCGCCCAATCATCGTGGTCCCGCTGCGGCCAGAGTCGGTCGTGATGGTGTAGTCGATCGACTTGATTATGTTTGGGTGCGAGAAGAGCTTGTAGGCTTCGACCTCCTTCATTGCGCGCTGGACGGACTCCTGGCCGAACGGGCCTATGGGGTGTTAGCTTTGAGGGGCGAGGGGGGGGGGGGGCGTGGGGGGAGGGTTACAGCGGATCTTCTTGAGGGCGTAGAGAGCGCCGGAGGTGTCTTGCACGAGGTAGACATACGAGAACCCGCCCTCGCCGAGTAGCCGAAGGATCTTGAAAGAGCGGTGGTTTATGGTTAGGTTTGGTGACGATGGGAAGCATGACATGCACGTTGTCATGGAATATACGAGATCGAGGAAGTATTGTGTCATTTTGGGCGGGCGGTCTGGAAGCTATGTGGTATGGGAGAAAAAGGTATGATGTGAATCTGTCTTTTTTTATTTTCCCCGCGCAGCGGTGGTGGTGTGAGCTAGATAGCTGGAGAGATGGGTGAATGGGGTCGTTGAATGGGGTATTATTGCGATGCAATGGGAGCTGTTGTGGGGGTATGGTGGTAATGCGGAATTGTAGATAGGTAGGCAGGTACAAGTATTGTGGTGTTGTGGGCTTTGGGATGGGATTGGCGGTTGTGGAGAGCTTTGTTTCCGGCAGAAAGAGAGACATAGCCTCATGGCCGCGTTTGCGATGGGGGAGCTTGGTATCACGTGACGTATTAGATAATGCGCTATTTATAGATCTGTGCTGAATGTGTCCAGCTGTGGATATTGGTATGTAAATCTGGCTCTCGAAGGCTTAGTAGAGAGAATGTGGCTGATTGTTTTCATAACTCAAGGTGGCTCTAATTAGCTAAACCAACAACGTTTAGCATCTGGCGTCTGCTTGAATCCTTCAAACTCCTCGAGCTACCAGGAGGGAATGCAACCGTCCGCCTCACTTCAGGTGGTGATTGTAAGAAACTCAAAGGCCTGGTTGATTTCTGGCTCCTATGACAAAGCCAAACAAAAGACGCGTGGATGAATGCAACGACTAAAGAGACACTAGCAAGGATGAGTCTGCAATGTGTGTGTGCGTTATATGTGTGAATCGCAACTTCTAGTGATGATACCGGCTACAGTAAAGAACAGCGGCCCTACAGGAACTAGAGTCCTCAAAAAAAGACACTTTATTATGGCCAAAAAGTAATGGAGAAAGGACAGTTTTCAGAGGTATATCTCAAGTTGGTCCGAGATATTGCTATTAAGCCATCTTGGAATGAAGCCAGCGCTTAGAATGGACGAACCCCGATTCTGCTGTGAAAGTAAGAACTACAAGAATGGTTGCATTCAATTATTTATGATCATGGTATCTCACTCGCCGTTTGTAGGCCGATGCACTATCGGTCGAAATGTCATGTTTAAATTTTACTCTTTTCTCTAGTTAGATTTATATGTAGCAGGGAGGTAAAAAGAGCTTGGACCAAGGGATCCTGGATACTTAATTTCGTTTTTACCACTGTCAAACCCTGTGCTGCATCTGAACTCAAAACTTCATTTCTCACTGATTCAATTGTTGGTCAGTGTTCTAAAAGGAAACACGGCACGAGAACAAGCCTGGGTTTCCATTGATCTGAGTACACAGAACTCTAGCAGCATAAAAATCATGACGATGGGAAGGGAAAAAAAAAAAGGACAACATATCAGCATGCATGCATCCTTGCATGACCCCATTGACAGGACATCTTCCCACATCCCTTAGATCTCTCTTCGAGGTTTTTCCGCAACTCTTCACGCTAAATTGCCCTTTATATCACCGTTTCACGATTAACCTTCTCCCCGTGATCATGGATCAATCGGACAAACTACTATGAGAATTTGTATTATCTCTAGATTTTCCCCACCATACCACCTCCCTTGTTTGACCAACTGGTATGTTTCTATTGCGCCTTGCCATCAAAGTTACCCTATTTAGACTTCCTTTAAAAAATCCGAGTGACCAACTATGATATCCACTTTAAGGATCATCATATCTCACTCGCCCATTGTTCAGTGACGTATGGTGCTTGGCATGGCCAGATAAGAACCGAAAATCACCCCACATTGTCGAATCTTGCTATAATGGGGATATAAATATGACAAATTTATATATATCAGTGTATTCCTACAGTGCGCAGACTCTAATGGTTAAAATAAGTCGACGGACCTATCAGATAGCTCTCAAACCTGGCTCAAGTAGGTTGTTGCATGGTGTTTAGCTGTTAGTACGGGCTCCTTCGAGTATCATTCCCGACCTGCAGACATATGCTGGCTACCCGTCAGGTTCAACTCCATTTATTGGAATCCCAGCAACAGAAGATCCTGGCTTCAAAGCAGGGGTGGGAGTAGTGGTTGAGGTGGTACCACGGCACCCTTATAACTTTCATAAAAAAACCAATTGTGATGGTTAATTTATTATTTTCGTGGGAAGGAAGATATAGGACGGGGTTATGGGGGAGTAGATATGTGTAGTATTGGGGAACAACTGGAGGGACCCGCCAGGTTTGGACAAGTGAGCTGAATGCGCCAGGTCTAACTAGTGTAGAAACTACCTTATATAGAGTATATAGTTGAATGTCTCAATAAGGATGCCTACATATGAATTTTGTTGGATCCTAATAGTGTGATCCTAGCGGATTAACGCATGTAGTTATTATAATTTGCCACCAATAAAGCCAAGAGAGATCAGCGTCCTAATAGATCATATCATTATAGCGACAATGCTTCATGCATAATGCACTTCAAGTAACTGTCGTATCACCTTAGTGAACAAATTGACTGGTCACTTCTTAAGGATGGAAGAAAACACACTCATTTGGCGACAGGAATGTTGCCACAAGTGACGACTGTAAAATCTTATGAGATATCAGTTAATCAAGTCATTGGTATCTTGGTGGCCAGGGCCGAAGGGCCTAATAGATATAGTGACATCTTAATGGCCACTAAACCCAGGGAAAAGACGAATAGCCCCTATATTTTGATATCTTTTCCAGATTTTCCATGACCTTTAGTCTCCGTCAGAAAAAGGTCTTCATCGACGGGTTATGCGGTTAAGAGACTTGACATATGTGTTACTAATGCTGATAGTACCAATGAGTTCAAATTGTCCTCTTATAGTTGTGTACCGTGGTCATAGTCGTAAGGCCTTATGATATAATATCGTCCGATTCTTGGTAAAAAAATATACTAGCAAAGACGCATGGTCTCCAGATCCCGTGGCTCTTCAACCTTGGTCCTCCCGCCATGATGCTAGAAAAACAGCCTACACGTGACCCGATGATTTTGCGTCTTTGCTAGTATATTCGAGGTCCTTTTATAAATGTCTGCCAAATGAAAACATTTTTTCCTGGACCTGAATCATCTATATATAACTTTCACGATTAACTTAGCATGACTTCGATATAAACTTTTCCGAATATTCGTATGGTGATTATGGATAGGTGGAGGGGCGGTAATGATAATTATGAGGATTTTAGTGCTGGACGAATCCCTTACTCTGTAGCTCCGGCCAAGGCGTTACCAGAAAGTCTCGGCGTCCCGGAAAATTCTCTGAGTGGCCAGAAAGAATATTTCCTAAATAAAAAAGCGCAGAGTCCAGTCCAGATCATAATGGTGAGCTCTAGTGATATAGAGTAGAGTAGGAAGGAGCAAAGGGTAGGTGAATATATAGACAGTTCTTAACGACCTGCCCAGAGTTGCCTGCTCTCGATAAGAACCAATTATGTATGTATTACAACCCCAATGTCCAGATGCCTGTGTGGAGTTACTGTAGAATTATTACTTGCCATGGAGTACTGATGGTCTGGTACCATTGGAAATTGTGTTGTATTCGGGACTTCATACACTGCAGTATCATTCGTTCAACGGTTCTGAGTCAAAAGCCTTATGAAACTGATAGTGCAAAAGCTTGACCCCGCTATCTATCTCTAAAGGCACACCCATCGCGGATATGTCAATCCCCAAGCTCTCAACGGCGGCTGAAAATTGAACTTCGAGATGGGGGCTTTGCCTTACTCAATGCAGCTAATACAGTTTAGAGCCTCATCGCGCTAAAGAAAGAAGCGGGTTCGTAGCGGGACATTACGTCACTCCGTGGGAGAGCTCGCCAACCACAGAGAAGAGTCGCATTCCTTCGTTTCTTGAGCGCCTGTAGAAGTTCAAGCAGCGAATGAGAGATAAACCACCATCACCATCATGATCATGCAGGGTTCGCAAGGGGGTTATTTGTTTGACCGGTCCCACAGTGGGGTCCTCCCAAGGATAGCCTATCATCGACGTCGGCGCGCCATCAGTAATCACTCGATCTCGTCGATTTCCTTGGCAGCAGTCGGCATCCTCGCACTTTCTGCTTTTGTTTTTTGCAGTTGCCTGTTGGAAGCCTTTGGACGTTGAGGTTGAGTTCATGCATGTCTCATGCATCTCCCATTTGTCAGCGTTAGCTGGAGCCTCATAATACGAGTGAACTTACGTCATTGTGGGTTTTGACAGATTTTCCCCTCCGCTTTGCGCCGGAGATAACTAAAAACGAATCTCCGGATGCGTAACACTTGCTGTTAAAGAAATATGTTCCTGGAGGAGTGCACGTGTTTCAGGTGTGTAAGTACATGTAGTTAAACGCTCCTCTCAGGTAGAGAGAGACCTTGGTGAGTGAAGGTACCCCGGGTGAACTGCTCAGTCGTGTTCCTATCAAAAACCGGCTACTTTAACATCCGGGCAATTCGCAATTGGGAGGTCAACTGTAGTAATCAAAGTTAGGGTTATGTGTCTGTCAGTCTACCCCTCACCCATACAGTCAGAGTTATACAAGCAGGTGAAGTGTGTCTGCAGGCATCAGTCTGGTATGTACTACGGGCTCTCCAATTGATGATGCAAAATTCACACGGAACCCGGACGGACAGAAAGTCCGGACAACATTTCGAAATTTCATGCACCACCAGACTTTTAGTTAACAAACTCACCATTGAGTCACCAACCACAACATGTGTTCTTTGTTCTTGGCAGCAGAACATCCATGTTCGGAACCAAGGACTTCCGAATACTTTTGCTCCCCAGCGATGTGACTGACGGCATGGATTTTTTTTCTTTCTGAAAACACTCAGGAATGTGCTCGCGTGCTCGACTACAACTGGTGAATTTAGTGAGGGATCTAGGGTGGAGATGTCCGGAAATCCCGGTACTCTGTTCTGTTACATATCCGCCGTTAGAGTATTCGGGTTGACTAGGTAAAATAGACCGTTGTTACTCACAAGATCTGCTGTTAAGACAGTGCTGATATTTCTATTAGTGATATTGTGCCGGTTCTTGGTTGGGCTTCCGAGGTGTAAAGGATGTTTGTTGGTAAATGGTTAGATTAACACATGATCGCCTCTGTTCATATTTGTGTGCCTCCATTTCTTTCCCTTTGTCCTTCCTTTCCCTCTTCCTCTCGGCGCCTTTCATTTCTCTCTTGTCACCATCTCTCGCAGAAAATAGGGTCTGCGGTCTATATATACAAATCTAGGGCTTAGTACCAATCACGTCACCAGAGGCACCAGAGACTTGAGAGGACCCTGTGATTCAATCAACATCTTTGCCTCTTTTTTATGCAAATATTTCTTCATATCTCTAAATAGATATAGGACGGTGATCATTGAAGATGGACGCCTTCCTTGAACCGGTGATAGTATTCAGCATTCTAACTGCTGGAGTCATATTTAACCGCCGCCGCTCAACAATTGTTCGTGATCAGAGAGATGGATCATGGTCACCAAGTTCCACTTCCTCGTCAGAGGGACTACTATCCGGACCAGTAGTCGAGGCGCAATGGAGAGAGCGCAAATTTCTGGGAAAGAAAGTTCGCAGCAGGAACACCATACGCTGGAAAAACAGCTTTGTTTCGAGAATATTAAGAAAGTTTCCATTTCTGGTTGAGGTTTGGTACTGGCTACTAGTTTACTGGGTGAGTACAACCATATATTTAAGAGCGGGTGATGATTTGTGATCTTATCTAACAAGAAGCACAGACCTATCAACTCGCCCGCGCCTTCAGCGCCGTTACTCTACAGACCGACACTGTCGTAGCTGCCCGTGAGCATGCGTTATCACTCATTCGCCTCGAGCAGCGCCTCAACATCTTCTTGGAGCCGGCCATTCAGGCGTACTTCCTTCCCAGGCCAACAATGTTGAAGACTATCAACATGATCTACTCATTTATCCATATTCCGGGGACAATTACGTTCCTGGCATGGCTGTACCACTATGCGCCCACTTCACTGTTTGAGGCAAGAAGGAGAACATTGGCGGTGTGTAACTTGATGGCATTTGTGGTCTTTACGGCATGGCCATGTATGCCACCTAGGTTGCTCCCAGAAGAGGATGGGTTCTCGTTTGTGGATACTGTACACGCGGGGAAGGTGGCGAGTGTGTGGACTACGAATAAATTCTGCAATCAACTTGGTAGGTTCTTTTTCCACTTTTTTTTCTCCTTCGATTTGCATAAAGAACCCTCACTACGCCTGAGGCGTTATGTTCCCCTCTTTGAGAATTCCTCGCAGTTGGAGCTTCCCTTTTAGAATAGGCCGGGTCTCGGATTAGAGGGAATGTAGGACAAGAAGCTTAGGAAAGCCACTTTGGCAATCAGAAGCTCGGAGGATTGTCTTATCCCTTTAGTCTGAGACATACAACGTCTTTTCGAGGATTACCGGGGAGAGAAAACTCGATTTTCTCCGTGATTTGTCATGATGTCAGACATTTATTAACAAATTCTCTGTAGCTGCGATGCCTTCGCTTCATTTTGGATATTCGTTCGTAATTGGGCTTACAATTGCGACAATGCCACCAACTTCTTCGCTCCATGTCAACAAGTTGAGAAGACGGATCATGCTAGTTGTCGCAGGAATGGCATACCCAACAATCATCCTCGTGGCTATTTTGGCAACGGCGAATCACTACATCCTCGATGCCGTGGCTGGATTCTTCGTGGCGCTGATCGGATGGCATATCAATGGCATTCTCTTGAATCTCTTGGTAATCGAGGATTGGGCATTTTATTTCTTGAGGGTTCATAAGCCTGCAAGAGAGGCAGATCTCGATGGAGCCCAGATTGTCATCGATAAAGGAGATGATGAAGAGGATTGGTGGAGGAAGGCTTAATATGTGTATTTTTTTGCATTGGGCTGAGCTGATGGTGGGGGCTGAGGTGATTTTTCCTTTCTTTTCGAATTTCTTTCGGTTATTCCTTTTGTCAAAGAGGTTTCTTTTGTCCTTTGCTATTTCTTCCCAGCACAAGATAATGTTTTGCATGTACATTAATGTTGGCTGTGATGAGGAGTTCATGATTTAATAAGATTCGGGAAGACTACGATATTGTACGTAACGAACGACGAACACATAATTCCAGCCGTTTAACTGGTTTATGGATGAATGAATGGCTGAAGGTTTTGTATATAAATTTACCCGCCCTCGTAGGTGAAAGAAATCGCATATAATTGAACATTTCTACTCATCGACAAGGTTTTTGCCATTATGATCAGTTGAGTTGAGCAACGTCAGTTCGCGTGACGCGAGGTCCATCACAATCTACTTCGGGAGTGGCTAGCGCCGTGCGGCGTAAGTCTTCCATCTTATTCGGTGGGACTGTTAATCTTGGCGGACGCAACAGCAGCCCCAAGCCACAGCCAAATCAATTGGCCTCGCGACAAGTAAATTTCCTAGGCAATTTCCCTGACCACTGCCCTTCTCTCTTCCCTTCTCCCAGCAACACACTCTCAGTCCTCTTTCTTCCCATCCCTCCATCCTTTCCCGTGAGACATCCTCTTCTCCCTTCAAATATTCTCACACTCCCCCATCATCCCTCCATCCTCCCACCCAATTTTCGCTCAACAGCATTAACCTTCTGCTACAAAATATTCGACCCCAACGCGTCATATCACCACAGACCCGCCCCTCTCCTTACAAAAAAAAATTAAATTCGATTGTCAATAATGGCCGCTGACGCGCCATCTCCCCGTCCCACTGCGGAGGAAGCCACCGCATCTGCTGAGAACAGCGAAATCCAGAATGACGCGACCAAGAGCGCCGCTGTCGCCGACAAGTCAGATACTGCTGACGCGGTTGTCGCGGACGTTGGAGTAGGTGAAAAGGAGAAGGAAGGTGAGAAGGAAGCCAAGACGAATGACGACACAACGAACGCGGCCGCTGACGAGGGCGATAAAGCCGCCGGCGAGCCCTCAAAGAACGATAGTGATGAAAAGGATGAAGAGAAGGAGAATGCGGCGGCAACCGAACCCGAGGCCGATACAGAGGATGTTTCTGCTCTTGATGGCTCGACGGATGTCAAAAAATCGAAGAAGAAGTCACCCGCTACAACCGCGAAATCAACTCCCAAATCTGCCGCGAAGAAAAAGTCCCTTGCCAACCTGAAGAGCAACGGCACACCTGCAAAGGTGAAGAACGCTGATGTTAACTACGAGCCTGGAATGCAGGTTTTGGCCAAAATGAGGACTTTCCCGCCATGGCCGGCTGTCATTCTTTCGGAGGAGCTTCTCCCGGAAGCCCTGCTCAAGACCAGGCCTAGCAACAAGAATCCTCGGACAAAGGGATCATCTGCCGAGCCTGCAGAGGTCAAAAGGCATTGGCCTGTTATGTACATGGGAACCAACGAATAGTGAGTGTGCCCCTTTCCTTCGTGTTTTCATGAAACTGCGCGATTCTCTACGATTCGCCACCCCCTTTGTGGTGGTTGGATCATACGTTGTTTACTTTTTTTCCCGCAACCCCGCTGGTTGCACAAAAATCCTCACTTTCCTCATTTCCTTTTCGTGTTTTTTTCTCGGACTTTGGCGAAATTTTGTATTTTTTACGCAAAAAACTGACTTTCCCCCTACAGCTCATGGATGAACATTGCCAACTTGGATCCGCTCACTGCGGAGATTCTTGCTACACCTCCAACAAATATCAAGAGCAAGGGACTTTTAGATGCCTACCAAGTAGCACAAGAAGGATTTGGCCTCGAGCAGGTTAAGAAACTTCAGGCCAGCGAGGTTATGGATGTTGATACAGCCGAGGAAGACGCAGCCGAGGAAGATGCGGCTGAGGAAGAAGCCGAATCAATGGAAGTTGATGAGCCAGAGTCAGAAGCGGACAAGAAATCGAAGAAGGCGAAGAAGCGAAAGCTGTCAACATCGGATGAGGATCCCGAGACTTCAGAGAAACCTGCCAAAACCCCTAAGAAGGCTGCTTCTAAGGCCAAAACGCCAAAAACCAAAACCGCCAAAACTCCTAAGACTCCAGCCAATGGCACAACGGCCAAAGCGGCAGCCAAGCCCAAGGCTAGCACAGCCAAAAAGGAAAAGGCTGCCCCAGCCCCTAAAAGCGCCAAAAAGAAGACACCTGCAAGAAGCAGCAAGGCCAAGAGCGCGGAAAAGGTCGATGAGTCAGATTCTGAGCGGGAAGAGGCTTCTTCTGAGGTTACTAAGGAGGAGGAGAAAGACTCCGCTGAATTCCAGATGAAGCAGGTCAAGCAGCTTCGAGGACGGCTACAGCGGGGCTTTCTGACTAAGGATACACCTCCATCGGAAAAGGTAAATTTCTACATGTGTTCTCTTCTGATTCGTGTAATTTTTGTGATTTCTAACGTGGGCATGGGAATACAGGACATGCCCGATATGGCTAGCAAATTTGACCTCTTAGAAGAGCTTCAGAATAAAGGAATCGATGCTGAAGTCATCAAGGTATGCCACATTCTAGTCCTAATTGATTATTTTACATGGGTTTATTCTAAACCGGCCTATAGTCGACCAAAATCAACAAGGTTCTCAAGGGAATTTTCAAATTGCCGTCGGTTCCTCTGGATGATAAATATAACTTCAAGAAACGCTCCGCCGATCTTCTCCAAAAGATGAACGTCGTTCTTGCCGCTGATGGAGCCACGCCAGCCACCGAGAAGACCTTGGCTGTCGGCAAGGAGAAGGATATCAAAAAAGCTGCTGAAAAGAAGAACGGCGTCAAGGCCGATGAGGCGGACCAAGACAAGGAAGAGGAGAAGTCCGAGGAGAAAGCAGATGACAAGAACGACGAGGATCCAGCTACCAGCAAGAAAGAGGATGTCGAAATGAAGGACAGCGACGTCAAGGCTGCTGACGCTGAGAAGGAGGAGACAGCCAAGGAGGTACCTGAGAAGGAGGCCGTTGAGGCATCAAACTAAAAAAGGAGCCGAAAAAAAAAACCGGAATCAATAAGGGCATGGGAATTGATTTTTCTTAATTCTTATTGTTTCAATATCAATACGTGAGTGAGTTTAGCACAGGGCAGTTTGCGAGAAAAGTATTCTGCCTATCTGCATCTGTCTGTTTAGTTTTCGGGGGTATCGGGTTTAAGCTCAAGCGTGCATTGTCTGTATCTGTGTTGTGGTGTGCGCTGCTTCATTTGATTTCGTCCTTCATATGAGGAATGATAGCCCTACCATATTTCCTTTCTTTCTGCCTTTGCTAGTCTCATGTGTTAGTCTTTTACCCATGAACTTTTATCCTTTCTTTCGTTATCGATTGTTCGTGTCCGTGTTCTGTTTCTTCATCTTCATCGTGTAGTTTCTATCCTCTCGAACCAGCATCGAGTAAAGTGAGTTCAATCGCTTTTTCTTTCTCCCTCATTCCCCTCTTTTTTTCCAGTCATCCTCTTTTTTTTCGAGTTATCATTTTTTATGAGTATGGTACGTGGTACGTAGGAGCGAAGGCAATGGAGGGTAGGATTATTCTTTATTTTTTTTTTGTCAACAAAAAAAAACGATGCGTTGCGTATATATAATAATCCATGTCTTTTTCTTTTTTTGTTTTGCTTTATCATCTTGGAGACGTGTGCTGCTGCTGGCTGGAGAGGGCGCAGTGCAGGAGACGGAGCGATGTTATGTAAATGAGTGATTGAGTTTTAGGTTAGAATTTTGATGATGGATTTAATTCTACTTTTTTTTTTTTTTTTTTTTTATCTTGTCCATGACCGTTTGGTAGAAAATATGGATCCATCAAGAGAGATCACTACGTGTAGTGCGTACATGTAGTGCGCGTGGTTCAATTAATTGATTGTTGATCATTTCCAAAACTTGACCCTCTGGCTTTAGCTAATGTCTACGGCACCTGACAACTTATTTGCTAACTCCTCTATCCAATCGCTCTAAATTACCTGATTGCTTAGTGAGTCAGAGCTTAACTGTTTTGGAGTGCTTGTGGGGAATATAAATTAATAAGACTATCTTATCATCTGCTGGAATCCCTAGATCCTACGACCTCCAGCCCCCGGAATTAAAAAAAAGTAGGAATCTTAAATACACACGTGCAGAAGGTGGAGGAAAGAATACAATAGGTAGATATTGACCCTAACCCCCCCTCCACATTGCATGGCCAATCCCTCGGCAGATCGACTCACCCTCTTGGACTGAGCCGGCTTGGCCCCGACTGAGTTGAGTTTTTGTACAACTATATCTTATTGGGCCGGCTTGACCCGTCTGACTGAGCAGACCTTGTCCGACTGAGTTCTGTAGACTTGGCTCCCCGTACGACTGATATTTGATGCAGCACTGTACTAACTTGGTCATATGACTGAGTCGGCTTATAGGTACTAGAAACCCCGAGGTCATAATTATATAATATTGAATCCCGAAAGAGATAAAAGTAAAATGCTTGGATTGGCCTAGCCCTTCCGACTGATTCAAGTGCAGGAAGGATTAAATAGACCGCATCGCCCAACTGAGTTGATCTGTAACCCAAGTCCCGTCGGGTTGAATCGACATGCAGATCGGGCTCAGTCCATTCTCTCCACCATATATTTGTCCGTAGCATCAGCCACCATTATCTCGGCCTTTCAACCAATTACATACACTGTTTCTTCAATTGGCTTCCCGCCCTGAAGGCCGAGGTCACTTAATATGAGAACTCAATCAAATCGTTAGCTAGTTCAACTGAGCTCAGTCGAGATTTCATTCCAACTGAGCTAGCCTGTATACCAAGCCTCAATTGGTTGTTCTGTTGGGTTCCTGCTTCTGGAGCGCTCAATTTACTTCTGGCCTTCCGTTGGCTGGTTTAATTTCCGTGCGGGCTGGGTCCTAAACTGAGCAGATGCAATTCCTACCCGCTATGGCGCCAGCCGTCATATCATCGGTCTTGTTAAGACTGATAAAAGCTAGAGAGCTTATCTGTAGACTGAGCTGGTTTTATTCTGTCCAGCCTCAGAGCTGTAGGCTAACTGGCCCATCGAACTGAGTTAAGATAGACTGAACTCAAGGTAGGCTTGGGCTCGTCCGACTCAGTTGGCCTATGGACTAAATTGAGTTTGCTATTTCAGAAGTCGAGGAATGCTTTGCTATCTCTTTTATAGTTCCAATCATTCAAACTGGCGATATGCAATAGGACGTACCTAACTCAGACTCAGCCTTCCTGTAGGCAAAATCCACCCTCAAGTCAAGTAATTTATTGGGAGTGTACCTTGATAACACCTATTATCCGCATTTCAATCTCTTTCGACTGATTTCTTTCAAGATCTTCGGCAGGTCTAGGTTGCTCTACAGATTCCCCTTACTTCCCGGGATCCCTATTGAACAAGCAGACGACATTATGCACATCGATCGACTCATTAAGCCCAAGTCAGAATGCTAACTGAGCTACTCAGTTTCGACTGAGATGAATTACACCGCCCGACTGAGTTGCCCATGCAATCCGACTTAGTTTTCCCATCCAACTCGCCTCCCACGTGGCCACAGAGCTGAGTTCCATTCCTCATCAATTTTCCCGCCCAACTTCGTCGAAGCTGTTGACTGAGCCCGCCCTAGCAGGCCTCACTCGACTGAAGAAACCTGTAGATTGGACTTAGTTCGGTCAGCCTGCCGTTTCAGGCCTAACTCATTGAAAAAGATAACCGCGCCTACCTTGTTTTTTTTGGGGGGGGCCTTCCCTATCAATAGCTCCCGAAGGTGCAGTATTCAACAGTCCCGCGCTGATGTTCAGTCCTGACCGACTCAGTCGACACAGAATTTCCAGTTGAGCCCAGTCCCATTCCCAGCCATAGCCTTCAATGGACTGAGCCATTCCTGCTGTCAATATGGGTGCCACGCGTGAGTTAGGGGCGCGGCGGAGCGGCGGAGCGGCAGGGCGGCCATGTAGATGATAAAAAAATGTATATAAACAGTGTATGGTCGAAGGGAAGAGAGAGAGGGAACCAGGAGACTGGTAGGAACCAATAGGTAGATAGGAGGAGAAGACGGTGAGAGCGTGAACAGATCTTGCGTGATAGAGATGTCTTGCTGCAAGAAACCCATAAACTAGTGCCGCACAATCTCAGAGGTAAGCTGTAAGTAAATAAGTTGAAGACGTGATCGAGTGTTGCCTTGTTGTAGAAGTGCCCACCTCACCGTACAAGGCTCTGGGATTTAGTGAGTGAACAGATATATCCTCACCAATCAACACCCCATTTAGCTCACTCACTTAATGCCAGAGCCCTGTACTGTGCAGTGGTATTAATATATGTGTGAGTGATATATATGCAGTGGTGACTTAAAAGTGCAAGTACATGTAGAGCTGTGACAATTGTATCTGAGTGATTAGCCTCATGTTTGTCTTGTGCCTAAATTTCTTCTGAAGGAATATCCGTACCTAGGCTGTAGCTAGTGCTTTAGGTTTTATATATACATTTAATTGCGAGGCTTTAATTAGTCGGATTCGATGCGCAGCCCTTTGATTTGGGCACATCTGTAGATGACATAGATGGTGGCCATGGTTCGGGTCCGCTGCAGGATATGCTCGTGTCTAACTCGCCCCGCCATATTTTTCTATTAGCGCCTTTCTCGCGATTTACAATCATAGATTCTCGCTCGCTACTAGCACATGGGCCGGGTAACGTTTGAAATTGAGGTTGCTTGCCTTAGTTTGGCTTGTGAATCACAAAGTATCACCCGCCGGCCCAACCCGGGAGAAAATATTTTTATGATCGATTGACTTATTAAATATCAGCTACAGCAAAAAACAGTGTTCATATTATAGGAAGAGAAGTAAATTTAACACCAGCTAGCTGATCCTGCAGCTCAATGTCTAGTCTCAACAGACGCAATGATTAAATAGCCCAACTAGCTAGTACTGACCATATGGCCATTGCAACTTATATAAAAACAACACAAGTGCACCACATGATATTAGTAGTAGAACGACCTCTCATTGTCTGGCCACACAATCGTGAGGTAAATAGCGACCATCAAGAGGAGAATCGACACCCAGACCAGGGAGAACGGGTAGGTGCAGCTGCGTTTGAGGAGGCTTGGGCCGGCCTTTGCTGCCTCTTCACGATGTTCCAGCTGAGCCCTTGATTCTTTGTATAACTGCCGGAAGCATTCCTCCTCTTCTTCATAGCCGCGGTCGTCGAGGTGTTCCGAGTCTGTCGATCTCTCCTCGTCTTCGGAGTCTGTCACAGACTCTTCTTCACTCTCATCCGAGCGTTCCCCAGCCGAGCGCTCCGAATCCGAGTGCCCCTCATCCTCGTAACCTTCATCTTGGGAATTTTCCTGAACCTCAATAGTCCACTTCAAGCTTCCGAGAAACTTTCTCAGGACCTCCTCCTGCTGCACACGAATTTCCTCCTGCTGAGCCCTGACTGCCCTCAGCTTTCTTTCATTCTCCCTCTTCCTCCCCTCCGTAAGCTTATAACCCGTTTTGAACGCCGGGATCTTCTCCTCAAACACCTTGATCTCCCCCGCCGATATATACTGCCTAACAACCTTCCCATAGTTATCCCCCAACTCCATATCCGCGCCCGCCTGCACCAAAAACTTAAAAACCACCACCCTCTGCGCCAACGACATCTTCACATTTTTCGTCAGCCCAGGCACGCCATCAAAGGCCTTCCCCCTCGCCTCCTGCCCCAACGCCACAAAATGCAGCGCCGTCGCTCTATTGACATCCCGCGCATTCACATCCGCACCCATCTGTACCAGCACCGGCACCACCCCAAACCGCCCCTCCGCAACCGCAACGTGCAGCGGCGTCAGCGCAATGAACCGCGTCTTCCTGTCGATATCCGCGCCACCCTGCTCCACCAGCATCTTCACAACGTTGACGTGCCCGCCCTGGGCCGCGTAGTGGAGCGCGCTCCATCCGTGGGTCGTGGCAGCGTCGGCGGGGATCCCGCGGTTGAGGAGGATGCTGACTGTGCGGTCGTGGCCGTGCTCGGAGGCGTAGTGGAGGGCGGTTTTGTTTTGCTCTTTTGCGTTGGGGGTGGTGGCGGAGAGGCCGTGCAGCATGAGGAGTTTGACGAGGTCTGCGTGGCCGTGTTTGCAGGCGTAGAGGAAGGGGGTGAGGGTTGGGTTGTCGACGCGGATGGCGGCGGCGAGGTAGGGGAGGAGTGCGGAGAGATTGATGCGGTCGAGGTTTTGGAGGATGTTGGGGGGTGTGTTTTTTGCGAGGAGGTTTCGGAGCGGTATGGGGAGGTTGATCAGTGACATTGTACTGGTGGTATTTGTTGATGTTCAATAACAATAATAGTAATCTTGGTGGCCAGTAAAAAGTGTTCCGGTTTAATGAGTAGACGAAAAAGAGATTTATGTTTATCTATCTCGAATTAGTAGTGATAAACAATTGGTAGTGTAAAAAGATGAGTATTAATATCCATTACCAGCTTGCGTTGTCCTTTTTGATTACTTCTAAGTCAAGTATAAAACCTTAAATCAACTGACTCAGGAGGTTGTTGAAAAGATTCTATACTTGTGAGTTGAGTATATTGTAGTGTTGAGTGTTGGTGGTGGTACGGTAGCGGAGGGTAGATGTTGGGGTTTTATACTCCCTCCAGCTTGCGCACTTGAATGTGGTGGTCCGTGGTTTGTTAGCGTGCCGAATTTGTAAGTGCCATGTCTCGGTAAAATAGGCGAATGAAAACGTCAAAAAGGGCATCCAATCATAATAGTAGGACAGCAGGCAGTACTGGTAGTTGAATAGTGTTACAGAATCCACGTAAAGTCCCATAAAAACTTCTTTGTGTTCTATTCATCTAATGCGTTTCTCAAAAAACCTAAGTACACGTAATTCATAACTATGTATACTCTAGTCACAAGTTTTTTTGTCACAAAAGATACACCGTCCACCGTTCTTGAAAACTGTTACCATCATCCTGAAGTATAATGCTATGTAGAATACCATGCCCGTCCTTGATAGCACGTATAGCTGTATAATGAATTTGCTTGACTTTCATTATGTGTCCGTCATCTAGCAACTACACAATATCGCAATGTTTCTCGTGATGCCCTTAGTTAGCGTAGCCGCTACGATTTCACGTACGTTCACGGTACCGGTGTAGCTAATATTGCATCACAAGCCATAGACTGGCTGCATCTTCCTCTCCCATACCCCCACTAATAGCTGATCAACTTGTAGACATCTAACAGGTGGCCCGTACAAGTACTGGTACACGCGCACCCTTCTTCTCACCAAACACTTCACTGCGTACGTGCTCTGCTGGCACACATGTCCCAACCCTCCTTGCTCACCACAACCCTATCTCCCTGAACCTACACCGACCGAAATCCACGATAACAGGAACAGATTGTGACCTCGGCCTCTCATGTGATAGTCTCTCCGACATATCTGATAGCAAAACATCACGGAATACCTACATGTAGTGATGATTTCCCCACAAGGAGCGAAAGCTTCTAGCCTACTCTAACCTTCAATGGCACACAGCCTGCATTGCATAGAACGATTAGACACGGATCTAGATCGGGCCATCACACCGAGTGATCACCCATGACCCAACAAATCTCACGCCAGCAGGGATACAAGGCGACAGAGATCAACTCGTTTCAATCTGCATCAAGCTACTTACACGTACTTGGCCAAAAAATTACACAACACAGGATATATACGCCCCCCCCCCGCCCGCCCAAAAAATGAAAACCAGTACAAACCGAATATAACCAAAAAAATAAAAAAGAGAGAGAGAGAAAATTAAAAAGAAGACCCCCGGTTACGCCGTTACTCCGGATTCGCCAACAATATCATACCAGTCTCCTACCTCCTGGACCCTCTTCAGCATCTCCTTCTCCTCACCCACGTCGTCCACAATCACTCCTTCTTCACTCTCGCTGTCATCATCGTCATCGTCATCCAAGTCATCATCATCGTCATCCAAGTCATCATCCTCATCACTGTCCAAGTGTCCCACAATTTCAAGTTCACCCTCAACTGGCTGTATCTCCAGGTCAAAGCTGTCCGTCACAATCTCTGGGCATCTCTCCGCGCCTCTCTCCGCCAACAAGGCGACGACATCATCCGCTCCAGCCACATAAGCAAGCCGCATGGCGGTCTTCCCCTCTTCGTCTTTCGCATAAATATCGCACCCCGCATCCAGCAGTATCTCTACTACTTCCCGTGTTACGCTCCACCCCTTTCCCAAAAGCACATGCAGCGGATTCTGCTTTTTCGAGTCGACCGCATTTACGTCCGCGCCGTGGCTAATGAGGAGCTTGAGGGTCTGGGGTGGCTCTCCGGCTTCGTGGAGCGGAGTGCGGCCGGGGGTTATATGGTTGGACCAAGTGCGGGCGTTGACATCGGCGCCGTTCGAAAGAAGGGCGGAAATAAGGGCAGGGTTTCCGCTTTTGGCGGCGAGATGGAGCGGGGTGATGCCTGTGCGGTCGGTGCAGTTGATCTTTGCTTTGTGGGAGAGGAGAAGATTGAAGAGTGTGATTTTGGTGGGAGGTGTATAATTTACCAGGTGCAGTGGCTGTTTTCCCTTTTGAAAAGTCAGTATTATGGGCAGCTAATATAAGAGTTCAGGAGTTTTACGTATATGACTGAATAGTGGAGGGGTGTCCTGCCGGACTTATCGGGATGGTCAACGTTAGTCCCATGAGATAGGATGAGCCTTGCAGATGTATCATGGCCGTGAATTACTGCTAGATGAAGGGCTGTCTTTCCGTCCTTTGTGACAGCCTCGACATCGGCACCCTTGGTAAGGAGGAGGGCAACTGTATCCTGTCCATAGAGTTGAGAAGCAGCTTCATGGAGCGGGGTTTGTGCATCATTGTCATACGAATTGACATCTGCGCCGCCTTCGATCAGGATAGCAGCAGTACGGACATTCATGTGCCGGGCAGAGATATGCAGCGGGGTGTGTCCCTTGTCATCCTTGACAGAGACCTGTGCACCCTCTCTAAGAAGCAATTGGATCATTGGCACCGGATTATTTGAGTATCCAGCCCAATGTAGTGGTGTTCTCTTTACAGAGTCACGACATGAGGGATCCGCGCCCTTTGCCAACAAAAGCTTTACGACTGCCAGCCTTCCGGAGGCCGCACATGCATGAAGTGGAGTCTTTCTTTCCCGATCCCTCACATCAATGCCCGCACCCTTTTCCAACAATACCGTCACCGTCGACTCATGGCCATGTGCGGCCGCCAGGAACAGCGGCGTACGCCCACCCTCATCCCTCTCATGGACGCCCGCGCCCTTCTCCACCAGCAACCTCACCACCGCCTCCCTCCCACCAATAGCACTCCAGTGCAGCGGCGTCCTCCCATTTTTATCCCTCCCACCCACCTCTGCGCCCCTCTCCAGCAGCACCAAAACCGCATCCTCACAGCCACACATCGCCGCCCAATGCATCGCCGTCTTCCCGTCCTTGTCCTTCACGCTCACGCCGCACCCCCGCTCCAACAGGAACCGCAACACCCCGACATGCCCATTCCGCGCAGCCGAGTGCACAGCAGTCTGCCCGCCCGCGCTGACGCCCTCAGGGTCTGCGCCCGCCTCCAGCAGCAGTCCAACCATGGACACGTGACCACCCACCGCGGCCAGCTGCAGCGCTGTCTTGCGGTCGAAATCGACCGCGGAGACGTCTGCGCCGTTGGCGAGCACTAGGTGCGCGATAAGGTCGTGGCCGTGCATGGCGGCCCAATGGAGTGGGGTGCGGCCGTTGTCGGGGTCTGTAGCGGTGGGGGAGGCAAAGCTGTTTGTGAGGAGGAGTGTTGCGAGGGGGGTGTTGTTGTGTCGCATGGCATAGAAGAGAAGGCCATCTTCGGGCGGGATGAAGTGCGCGTGCAGGAGAGGGGTCAGGAGGGAGTTCAGGCGGCGGTTTGTCAAGAGGAGCGAGGCGATAGCGGAGTTTGGGAGGGTCGAGGCGACGAGGAGGAGGAGTTCATTGGGGAGGTAGAGGAGGGGCATTGTGGGTTATGCGGGGGAGGCGGGGGGGAGGGGGGGGGGGTTGTAAGGTGGGTGGGTTATTGTGGGGTGATTGCGATAAGTAACGATGAGAATAGCTGAAGGGTTTTTTTTCTGTCTACATATAAGATGTCGACAGAGGCGACAGTTTTGAAGCGATTCTGGGACAGAGAAGAGGTTCGGTGAGTGAGTTGATGATCTAGGTTTCAAGGGTTTCTAGCAAGCAGAACCAACCCGGTGATGCGAGGCACAGACGCGCGTGTTTCTTCTACTCCCCTCCCCCCCCCCACCCACCCACCCTCACCCTCATGCAGTATCACTCGGCACCCTATCTACACCTCACCTCTTGCCACATATCTAATAGTTGTAGATATCAGTGTTGCCTTGATGCCCCCCCCCCCCCATAGGCAACTTCCACCGCTTTCCATACCAAAAGTACCCAGAATCTGGCTTGCCGTCCGCCCAATCATTACTCTCCAGTGTGAATTTTGGCGGTCGTGCAACGGCCCAATCGATGCCCGTTCATCAGATAGATCGTACATGGTTCGCCCATGGCCCCAGCCCAGCCCAGCCCAGCTGATCTCCTTGTTTTTTCCTCTCCTACATATACATATGTGCGCCTACTCTACCTGCCTGCCTGCCTACATGTATATACATACATGCTCAATTACTGCATAGAGTAAAATAAATTGCACACTTCACGTCCACTTCTCATCATCATCGTCGTCGTCACTTCCACGGACTGCCATTTGCACGGAATATTGAGCATATGTCAACGTATCTTCCCTCGCGCCTTTTTGCTTTTATGTCTGAGTATATATCATTCTCAAATAAATTCATTTTTTCCACCCCCCCCCCCCCAACTCGTCCGCCGCGCTCCTATTAACATAAGATCCAGATCCAACGGGAAAATAAAAAATATAAACCGTAAATCAGGTGTCAATAATGACATCGATCGCTAGAGAAGACAGATAGATCACAGACATAAAGGAAACCCGTCAGGAGAGAGAACAGCCCCGTCCAAAGCCCGTATCGCCCCGCCAGCATCAATCATATCGTCAAAATACGACAGAGAAAAAAGAAGAAAAATAATAAGTGAAAAGAAATTCCTAAAAAAATACTTTATAACCAAAAAATATCAATATCCAAATAAAGAATAAAAAATTTATGTATCCAAAAAAAACTCCATCCCCACTCTAACTCTCAATACTCCTGATCGCACTTTGCAACGCCCCATCGATATCTGGATGAAAGAACGGCCTCTTCACACTTCCCAGCACCTTTCTCTTTGGTCCACCCGCTGCCAACACTCCCAGCGACACTGGCGCCACCTCATCACTACTCCTCGTAGACTCGGAAGTCAACGGTTTCCCAGCCTCCTCATCAAAGCCTGCCTTCTCATCGATCTCCTCCGCCTGGATCTCCACCGACTCGGCAACGCTGAACACTGGTGTCCATCCCTTCTTCCCAGCCTTGAACTCCTCCGTCGGGAACCCAAATCCAGCAGCAGCAAGCGCACGCCTTGTCCATCTGTTATTGACGGCCGCAAAATGCCATTCCACCTTCTCCGGGGATGCATAACGGTCGAGTTGATTGCGCACGTCAATGAGATTCTGCACGGAGGTGATGTCGACGTTGTTGACTGACGAAAAGTCGAGGATGATAGCCTTGAGCGTGGGGCGGGTGTCTGCGGCAGCGGCGGTTCCCATCTTGGGGCCGGGGTCGTTCCATGGGCGGTCACCGGGTTCGGGCATGAGCGCGGGGTTGGTGGGGCGGGTCGTCTGGAAGATGTGCGCAACGAGGTACTCGGTGTAGTGTGCGGCATTTGAGTAAACAAATCCTAAGTTATATGTTAGCGCGCGCACAACATGGAAAAGGACCAAAAAAAACATACCTTCCGAGAAGCGGTAAATGAAAACACCTGGATACGGACTGACAACCTCAATACCGGGGTTTGAACCGTCCTTGTGGTCGAATGGAAGGAAGACATTCCTAGAACTTGTGAGGTCCAAGCTTCTCCCGAGGGACTTTTTGGCGGGGCTGCGCTTGGTCTCCAGGGGGAATGAGGCCCCGCGGGGTGAATCCCTGCTTTGGCGGGGGCTTTCGTCGTTGCCCCCACCGAGGAGGTGATCTCCGAGAACCGAGTGAATTTTGACACGGCCCAAAAAGTGGCCCTTGGCCTTTGCGATGCGGAATAACAGGACGGCAGCAGATACGGCAACGGTAACGTAGATTCCATTTTCGATGGTGGTGAAGATTGTGACGATGACTCCAGCGAAAAAGATAATCACTTCCAGGGGAGAAACAAGCCAAAACTTATAGACTGTGTTCGGCGGGGTAATGAGATCGCCAACAGCGTGGATGATGACGGCCGAGAGGGATGAGTTGGGGATATAGTAGAAGACACTGGTGAGGAGATAGATGGCTAGGAGGACGACAATTCCAGTGACAACTCCGGCGAAGGGGGTTCGGACTCCAGCCTTGGACTTGATGGCAGTACGGGAGAATGAACCAGTTGCGGGATATCCACCGAAGAAGGGGCCAAAGATATTTGTGATACCAATTGCGATCATTTCCTGTGAGGGGTTGATTGTGTAGTTGTTGATCCTACCAAAAGACTTTGAGATAGCGATATGCTCAATCAACATGACAATGACCGTGGCTGGGAGTTCTGCACGGAATGATGCAAAGATCTCAGCGTTGACAACTGGAACACCCATATGCTGGAACCCGCTGGGGACCTTCTGGAGAATTTTGAAACGAGGGTGGGACTTCCTGTTTCGATTCACCAACCACGAGATCATGGTATAGAGCAAGATAACGAAAGCAGTCCTCAGAGTAGCCAGGAAGAACCAAGTCTTCTGTTGACGCGGGTATCTCTTGGTCAAAAACCCGGTGGTGACCCATCTCAAAAGATATAGGAGAAATAACGCCGACAAGCCCATAGCAGCATCTATCTTTGTGCTTGGGAGATGCTTCAAACTGTTGATGATAACAAGATATGTAGGGCCACGAGTATTGAAACCCGACATGCCCATCAAATTGGAAACCTGGCCTGCAGCAATACTAATAGCAGATCCGGTCATGAACGCGGCAATGGCAGTGAGTGGGATATATTCAACCACAAAACCGAGGCGTAGCAGTCCTAGCGCAGTAACAATACCTCCAGCTACAAGTGCCAGCCCAGAGGCGACAGCTTGTGCGGGGAGGTCAGGTGAGTTTGCGACAATATTACCGACAAGGGTTGACATAACAGCAACGGGGCCAATGGTGATATCCTTAGAGGTTGCAAAGAACCAATAGATCATCACACCGACAAACGACGAATAAAGACCGAATTCAACAGGGAGATTTGCAAGCTTTGCATATGCCACTATTTAATAATCAATATTGATTAGTACACTTTTTCATATATGTATGGACTAGTCCGGGATTGTTTTTGGAAAAGAGGCACATAGGAAGATACTTACTTCCTTGAGGAATGACGACACATCCAACAGTAATACCAGCGACCAGATCACCATAAAGCCATTTCCTGTTATACCTGTGAATCCAACTAATGAAAGGGAACAGGCTCATGACATATTCTGCGGCTCCTGGGGCAGTTGGCTTGAACTCCCCAATCCACTCAACTATTGTAGGTTCCTCCTCAATGTATGCATCCGAGGACGTTGACCGGATAGATCCACCCTCAGAGGTTGACTCTTTTGGAATATCCAAGGGAGGATTTCTCGCAAGGACAGCTGGGGTGAGATCAATTCCTAGGACCTTTGCGAGGCCATGGCCGATTTTTGACGACATGGGCGAGTCTGTCATTATCCGTGATGTTGCAGATATTCAACCCTTTGTTGAATATTAACAGTAACGACTAATGAACAGAATAGGTAGAGAGTGGAAAGAATAAAAAAGGGGAAGAGGGTGGGTTGTTGTTAAAGGCTTAAGGATGGAAGTGGGGAAGGAAAATGTATTGGGATGAACTAAGGACGGATGTCCTCTGAATTTGTAATTTTGTAATCACCACTCTAATATTGACGGGTGTGGAGGTTGGTAGTGGCTAGAGTGTAATGGATAGAACTCGTAATTCGTGATATGGCAGAATTATCCCGTGCAGTGTTGCCACCAGGATTCTTGGGATTTAACACCTTTGTTCCGCTCTTTTTTCCTGCAGGTCTAGTGTTACTATTACTGCTTTTATGATGTGCTTGCTGATGGGTAGATCTTGGAAACGGACCGTCTTGTGCGCCCCTTCTTATTTAGCCCCATACTTCCACATACGTAGAGGGCATGTACCTACATTTTCATGCTAACTAAGTTTTCATTCCGGACTGACATGGTTCTCTTTTTTCTTTCGGAACCGGGAATCTAATCTGTTGGAGGGCAAGAGCAGAAACCGTCACTGTGGGTTAGTGGGGGAGGTTTGGAACTTGGAAGGGTCCAACTCGAGCCCTGTCGTCGAAATCATCCAATCACAGCTCAGCCTGAAGGCGACATTGCGGAGCTCCATGTCGCAACACAACAACCACGGCACAGTTACAATGCTGGGCACTACACACTACCCCTCCCACTGCGTATTCTTGAGCATGGTGGGCGGTGAGGGGCTTAACGCGGCATCACTCGTTCAATTCTAATTAATTACCAACTGAACTTCGCCAAAACGGGCACAACGCATTGATTCCACTTAGAAAAAGTAAATGGGTGGGGTGTGCGAGGTTTCTAGAGGCAACCGAGAAACATTTTCAGCAAATCCTTTGCTTTTTCGCTTGGTTTTCAAGCTATCCGATTGGTGATCCTTAACTTCGGTACTTTGGAGACGAGGTAAGCTTTTTCAAGGTTTGGTGACTTGGTTGGTGGTAACTCGAAGGTCCTCTGATCTCTCTCTGATCTCTCTCTGATCTCTCTCTGATGCAGTTGTCGATGTCATTGTTCCTGTGATCTTCTAGCGGCGAGCCGTCGTTGTCGAGTAGAATGGGCACGTTTATTTTTTTCGATACACTTGGTTGGTCTCTGTCTCTCTTCAATAACAGCGGGGAAGTCTCGCTAGTTTTGCTCTGTTCACGCGGACGTACAGTCAACCCCAGTACCAGATTTCGGCCATAGCGGGTGTGTGACAACGCCGCATTAACTCCTGCAGAGGAGGGAGCTACATATCTTAACGTTACAGATAATCGAGTGCCAAGGGGCAAGGGAATATCCTCTGCTACCCAGTACTAGATACCTGAGCTTCATCTAGTTACCAGCCAGTTGAAAGGGGTTTGAAATAGAAGATAGGCCTATCATAGTTCAAAGTGAAATGGCGTGCTCAACCTAGTATTTGTTTAAATATTGCACCATCAATACTCCACAATATTGCACCACAACTCTCAACTCTGTAAGGCACGAAGGTTTGTTTTTTCCAAAGGATCCTTCATCACCCCGCTCAAGCAGATAGCTATCGGTTCTATTAAGAAGTTTTACAGCGAAAATATCGATCCGTATGTTGTGATATGACCGCGCATTTGTGTCGTGTGCGCTGTTGGTGTTGATCCCGAAGCTTTCTGAAAAAAAACAGCTATCGTGCGTGCCTGAGGACACATGTGTGGAGACACAAAAACACGGAAACTCAAGAACCAAACGCAGCTTGCATCCACGTATACATTTACAGCGCTAGTTCGATGATCGTCATTAGAAGGCTTTCTCCGAATTTCCTAGCAGAAATAGAGACTTCAGCTCGGCCCGCATAGGTATTGACCTCTCACATGGATATCAAATAAAAGGAGTGGATGAACCAATTTGAGAACCACTATACCCCCACGATCTTGAATACCGCTTATCTCCTGTATGTCTATCAAACCTTTGAATGCACAGTTTGGTGGAACCAGTGCGGCAGGATACGAGCATATAGCTGAGCCTTTGTATGAATATTAATCTGTCAAAGATAGGCACACCAAGTTGGAGGCGGTCGTTTCGGGAGGACTACATACACAACATTTTAATACATATTAGATTGTACTCCTCGTGACTTCCGTCCTGTTTACACGTATAGACGGCGACTAAACCGATTTCTTAGGACGATTTCGGGGTGTTCTAGTTACGTTACAAATTACAAGGGAGAGTACTGCATATAGCAGGAGGTAATAATGGGGTGGGGGAGGTCTACTAGGACTCGAGGCTGAAGATTATATTCCTGGAACCATTTTTATCCTGCATGGAGAGAAAGCTCATCGGCCAGATTGGCGAGACCCAAATCAAACACCACGCAAAAAGACAAGGATGGGGTTTTCCGTGAGCTTGGGTCTTGGGAATTTGAAATCATGGAAAGCCTAGACTTAGTAGACATGGCTACATCGATGGAAATATTCCATTGGATATGCAGAGTTATTTCTATGTGTAGGTGGCAAAGATAGAGTATAGCACGTACTCTGTATACATGCATTGCTGATCTCGAAATCCCAAATATCTATCACACCCACAAGGAAAATCATCCCATATTCCTTTACAGGCATGTGCTTAGAGTATGTCCTCGTTTACCAGCAAATTGGGTTATGTCCCATATGCACAATCCTTGTTTCTTGCTGGTATATGCTCTAATAACCAATCCGCAATATCATTGAAAATTGCGTGATCGATATGGTTTCTGTCGTCTTTGGCCCAGTTTATTACTTTTAACAATACAAACCCCGGTATATATCAACCTTCTCTCGACGCCACTAGACCCAGCTTTAAGGAGGCGTCTTTTTCTTCTTTTTTTTTCATTATAACGCGGTGAGATGGGCGTGGGGGAAGTTCTCTCATTTACGCAACGACGTGATGAGTGCGAGGAGGATGAGGGGAGGATTTGCCACCACCAACCTGATAGATCGGAAAGCGAGGTTAAGGAAGAGATTTCTGTGAGAATATGAGGGAGGGCGGCACGCGATAGGCGTGGGATTTGGATATGAACGATACGTGATGTTGAGTTTGATCATGAACTGTCACTCGGATGAAACTTTCTTTCATAGGGGTTGCCGCCTCTTACCTTGGTGAGTCCCATTTCATGTTAGGATTCCCTTCTGTGCTGCTCTTAAGTTTTACAGAGAAAGAGGGAAGGTTAGAGCTAATCTAAGGTGGGGATGTGGTGTGATGCATAAAGTTTCTCCTTTTGATCACGTCGGGCATTCACGTCAACATCGCGCGTTCTCTCGAACTCTTCCTAAGCACCAACTATCTACATCCCTAAGACTTTCAGCTTCGAACTCTATCAATTACACTCGCTCAACCTGAAGTCATTCTTTGTATCTATCATCGTTCTCTATCCAGTCCATGGGTTCAGCTATCGTGCTCAACTTTGATCTTCTCTTACGAATAGTTTTTATACATTTTTCTTAACTTGTCATTTCATACTCCCCATCTGATTATCTACAAGTATCTATTCCTCCTACTCTCATGATAGGCTAACTGGAGAGGCCTATAGCTATGTACCATGTTTCGTAGAACCAAACGTGGTCATCCATACAAAGTCTTCCAACACCTGTCACAGACCTTTACAGTCGACCTTCCAAAAACGATCCGGAAAGCAGCGTGGAATTCCCCATGGTTCTAAAACCGTTGGTAGCATTTCCCAGAACCATCGGGGTCGTCTTAATGCTTCCTCCACTGAGCACGCGAGGTTTGAATCACAGATCCCATGATATTAATACGAACTGGGCATCTGCAGGTATTAAATGTACAGTTGTGTATTATATAGTAATGTTCAGCACAAATTTACTTTCACTCCGTGCGTCCGTACGCGCGTGGTCATCCATAATTTCGCCTTATGCGCCCTTATTGTACTCGGCACGCCTATCTGTTCGAACCATACATACACTACATCTGCAACAGGAGAAAAATCCGTATCACTACACTTGATTCAAAGTAGTGCTGTGTCAAACAATCACCAAAAGCTACATCTAGATGATCTAGCGTCTCATATTATTGTGATTACAATCAAGATATGTAATTGCTCAGCGCTAACCACAACTGAATCCAAAGCGGGGAAATAGTCGACAAATTAACATTTATATAGGAATATCTTTACTCCGCATAGCTCTCAGCTCGGCACCACACCAAACCATATCACATATTCGGAATATTTCAGTGGGGCGCAGCCGTGGCACGCCGGAAAATGAGTTGCACAACAACTCTAGGCGTACTGACATCTGACATATCTAGATAGCGCTAGTAATAACAACCCTGCGATCGTGAATATTAACCAGATCTGAACCCCACAATCGGCCGGATTAGTCCCTGATATTAAAAAGCGGGGAATGATTCACGCAGTCACTGCGACGAGCGCGAGCGGTGTTAAAACGCGGGAAGCTAGTTCGCTGCCAGGCAGAGAAATGATTGATATTGGTCTTTTTTCAACAATTACAGACGTCAGGCAAGAGGGGTATTTCTAGATGTTTCGCTCAACAGACCTCGTGATCTCTAATGACGAAAATGAAATTCTATAGTTAGGTGTACTCTATGTGTAAAAATGAAGAAAATACATGATAAAGAATCAATCTCTATGCTTCTGTGTCGAGGATTACACTCTCGACTCCCCTCCGGACACCTCCAGCCCACCCCACCACACCCCTTTCCCTCATAATAAACGCAACCACTGCCTCTTTCGCCTCTTTTTTCCCCAGAGACCTCTCAATCACCAGCCTCTTTATTATCTGCGCCACCTCTCTTTTCTGTAGGGCCGTGATCGTAGATAGACTCTTAACCACTTTTTCATGCAATAGCTTTCTCTCACGCTCGGGCAGCGTTGTCGGCGTGCTCACAAACAATGCTTCTAGCAAAGCTGGGAATTCCTCTTCGTCATCCTCCTCATTACCTGGAGGAACGGAGAGAGGCGTGGAGGTGAGGGAGCGCGAAGGTGGTGTCACCATATGCGAGGGGAGATCATTCCAGTGCTCCTTGATGGTGCCGGATTGGTGCGAGGTCGCCGAAGATGAGGAGGCGGCGCGGGTGAGAGGTGCTCGTGCGGGAAGCATAGTAGTGAGGAATATAATATTTGTATTGCAAATGAGCGTAGATAGTGTTATAGACTTTATGGTGATAGAGGTAGAGATAGTGACAATGAGTGATGGATGGTGAGGTATTTTAGGGGAGGAGAGCTTCGTTGTGAAAACCGTTGCTTCTTTAAGCTCTGGTTTGGTAGGACACATGGAGAGAGGCGCTAGGCAACTTTAGGATTGTGTAACCGGAGCTGAGCTGCTAATGGCATCATACATTATCACTCGGTATTAATGGAGAGCAAGATGTATTAGAGTTTGTAATTCAAGTACATTCATCGAAGCCGTGTGATTAATTACATGTAATTTGATCAGAAGGAGACAAATGCAGCGTAGGCCCATTAGGCCGCTAAGTTTCGAATAAGAGTTCAAGTTATAAAATATCACAGCGAATACGTATTGAATGTAGATACATGTGTAGATCTACGAACAGAGAGAAGCTGATCAGTGAGGGGCATCTTAATCGGGTTCACAAATAAATGGATCTTGCTATATATAAAAACATGAAGGATTGAAAATATGCATTGTTTTATGTACAGCGGTGGGTATTAAGTCATCGGACGGCCTAGCCACAATTTTGCCTGCAAACGCGTATTTTGGTGGCGTTCTGTCTGATCACTTATTACCCACCGCTGTACATTTAGTACATGCACCAATTTCAACAAAAAGTACTGTGCCCCGTACTGCACTACTCCCACCCCCGATTTGAACCCAGGTCCTAGGGATCAAACACGCGGTGTCTAACCTGACGAGCAGTCTCAGTGTATTGCCCGCTAGACCGCTCGCCGATGATTTGCAAGCGTGGGAAGTAATACTTGAGGGCGGCTAGGGGTAGGACTAGTGGGTGACACTAGTCCAGCAGTACGTATCAGTATAGATGAATCTCCATATGAGGGTATACTCAGGACCGGGAACTGGAAGTACCTTTATGAGGAGTGTGCCTCTTAATCAGCAGGGGTTAATTAGTAAAGTTAAATCACCATATAAGGGTATATATACTCGGGACTAGAACGGTAAAATATCGCTATAAGCATATGAAAATGCGACATTTTCGCGTCCATAAAAGTGACCTTATATGATTATCCTTATAAGAAGTGCCCAGTTAGTTGGACGTGGCCTATACACTATCAATGATACTATTATGCTTTAGCTACTAGCTAGTTAGGATAGTATGTTTCACTTATTTCGCTTCAATAGGAACATGGTAGTGAGACTTGTTTCTTTACTCCAGAAAGCTTTTGAATAACCAAGCCCTACCAATTGGCGGACAGTACAAGGTCTGCTCCAAACCAACTCGGTCTGGCTCAAGGGATATATTATATTCTATCCAGTGCCCGAAGAAATAATGCGGAATAGAATCGATGTCCCAAGTACTTGATAAAAACTAAGCTGTAGTCCCATATATATAATGGCCAAATATATATACTAAGAATTAAGCATGTATCTATGGCATAGGTCGAAGTTAAGATGTCTTTCCGGTCATTGATTTAGACGAGGCAACGGTTTGTTAGGCACACCAATTAGTTTTGGGGTTTTAATAAATCAGTTATCCGGAGATTTATCTAGTTTTATGGGTGGTTCTCACAGCGGCCACCAGGCTTTTATTTCCGGCCAGAAGAAAAAAGAATAGGCGATCTGTAGTCCTGGAGATTTTCTGTCTTGGAATTTCGACCTTCTGGTTTTGGTGGACAAGATATATTTAGTACAGCCGCGGATGTTGATTTTTGTGAAGGGATAGGAATATGTAGTAGCCTTCAGACATGGAATCCACGAATGATCAAACGATCAATCAGGATACAGTTAAATGAAGTAATCAATCAAGTCAATCAATCGATCGATCAGGCCCGGAAGCCAAATAAATACCGAGTGATAATATATGACCCAATTCACCTACTTGTCCTGTTCTTGAAACTAATACCCTGGTTTCTAACAAGTGTTTCTTCGAGCACATAAGCGTCTTCTGTACTCAGTTTATGCCAAAATTGCGTGTTGACGAAGCAGGTACGATGTTTAAAGCTTGCAATTTGGGTATCTCGGTTGCGGTCTTGCAGATCATTGATAAGAAAAGCTTAACTTGGCGAGCATCTGATAACGTCAACGGGCATCGCACAAACAACAATCGGTTGTTTACACCACATACTGTACGATCAAGGAAATTGTATCCCTTCATCTCACCGATCAAAGAGACTTCCCCGGAGCTCCTCCATGTAGCGTGACCTCAAGATGCAGGAAGGCTACTAGGAATAGCCCTTTGATGTCAATTCTTCGTCTTTTGCTATGGAGATTCCGAAAATTGACAAGACTTTACTACTGTAGCGTAAGAAGGCTATGCAAAAGGGCTATGCTTGATGGCTCTGTACCAAGAAGCGCACGTGCTCTACAATTGCTAAAGAATTGGGAAGACATGGCGACTCTTGACACTCGTTATTCCTTATCTCCATAGACTAGAGGTGTCACCGTGGACTTTTTCACGAAGCGGCTGAAGATCCGCTATACGCTACGTCTGATTTAGATTAGATTAGACGTTTTCCCTCCACTATTTCGCTTGTCCCCCCGTTGCTTTGTTGCTTTGACTGTTGCGACGACGAGTGTTGGTGGGGCCCAGATTGGCACGGAAAGGAAAGAGAAAAAAAAATTGTTGCAGGGTCTCTCCTCAAATAGAGTCACCAGCTTTCGTTCTCCTCCCGCTTCTCCTCCTGCCACCCACAAATCTCACATACCACTGTCGTCTCAGAGCAATTGCTTCCACCATTAGTAGGTGATATCTTCTTTATTCATTAATTGCCCCTCCTCTGAACACTCTACTCCTGCTGCAATGGCTCTGGCCCACCGCATTGCCCTGCGCTCTTTGCGTCAGGGCGTAACGTCGTGTGCGAAACCCTCTCGTTCAATTTCCTCAGTATCGAGGCTTCTATCTACACCGGTTTCCTCTCCCCAAAGTGCTTTGAAAAGTAGCCAGGGATGGAAGTCCATTCAACAAGCCCGTACTTTTTCTTCATCGATAAAGTTGCGGGAGTCGCAACAGGCCCCCTCGGCCCAGGCATACCTTGCTTCAGGAGCAATTGCTGGAAGTAACAACCTAGTAGATGTTACTAAGGTTCTCGTTATTGGAAGTGGTGGTTTGAGTATTGGACAGGCCGGAGAATTCGATTACTCTGGTAGGTGGCTTCTTTTATACGAGAATTTATTTTTAGGGTCCAATTCGGATTTTTGGAGATGAGTCACGGGATCCAATTGCTGATATGAATTTTCTTTTTCCTTTGTATAGGTTCTCAAGCACTTAAGGCTTTGAAAGAGGCGGGAAAGAAGTCTATCCTTATTAACCCTAATATTGCAACCATCCAGACATCGCATATTCTTGCCGATGAAGTCTACTATCTTCCCGTCACCCCCGAATATATCTCCGACGTCATTGAGCGGGAAAGGCCCGATGGTATCCTTCTCACTTTCGGTGGTCAGACTGCGCTTAATGTTGGTGTCAAGATGGAGAAGATGGGTGTCTTTGAGCGCATGGGTGTCAAGGTTTTGGGAACTCCAATTAAGACTTTGGAGACTAGTGAGGATCGAGACCTGTTTTCCAAGGCTTTGAATGGTACCGTAAACCCTCAGAGTTGACAGGCGAAAAGTGATATTTACTTCTGACACCAACCACAGAAATCGATATTCCCATTGCCGAATCTATTGCGGTAGAAAGCGTCGATGCCGCTTTGGAGGCTGCTGAACAAATTGGATACCCCATCATTGTCCGTTCTGCGTACGCTCTCGGAGGTCTTGGTTCTGGTTTTGCCAACAACAAGGAAGAGCTCCACGACCTTTCTGCCCGTTCACTCTCTCTTTCCCCCCAGATCCTTGTTGAAAAGTCCCTTAAGGGCTGGAAGGAAGTTGAGTACGAAGTCGTCCGTGATGCATCCAACAACTGTATCACTGTGTGCAATATGGAGAACTTTGATCCTCTTGGTATCCACACTGGTGACTCCATTGTCGTCGCGCCTTCTCAGACATTGAGTGATGAGGAGTACCACATGTTGCGTTCTGCTGCTATCAAGATTGTCAGGCATTTGGGTGTCGTTGGAGAGTGTAACGTTCAGTACGCTCTTCAGCCCGATGGTCTGGATTACAGGGTTATTGAGGTCAACGCTCGTCTCTCCCGATCATCTGCTTTGGCTTCCAAGGCTACTGGTTACCCTCTTGCCTACACCGCTGCTAAGATCGCTCTTGGACACACCCTTCCGGAGTTGCCAAATGCTGTGACAAAGACTACCACCGCCAACTTCGAGCCTTCTCTCGACTACGTTGTCACAAAGATTCCTCGATGGGATCTGAGCAAGTTTGCCCACGTAAAGAGGGACATTGGTTCTTCTATGAAGTCTGTCGGTGAGGTTATGGCTATTGGACGTACCTTTGAGGAATCCATCCAGAAGGCTATCCGCCAGGTTGACCCCCAGTACCTTGGTTTCCAGGGAGCAGAGTTCGAGGACCTTGATGACACACTCCGCAACCCAACTGATCGTAGATGGCTTGCCGTTGGTCAAGCCATGCTTCACGAGGGCTACTCCGTGGACAAGCTCCATGAGATGACTAAGATCGATAAGTGGTTCTTGTACAAGCTCGAGAACATCGTGGAGAAGTACAAGGAACTCGAGCAAGTTGGATCGTTGTTTGGCATCACGAGAGATCTTATGAGCTCAGCCAAGAAGATGGGATTCTCAGACAAGCAGATTGCTAAGTGTGTTGGCTCTACGGAGGATGAGGTCAGATCTCGCAGGAAGAGATTCGGAATCACTCCTTTCGTGAAGAAGATCGACACCCTTGCCGCTGAGTTCCCAGCTGACACCAATTATCTCTATACTACCTACAACGCCTCTTCTCACGATGTTAAGTTCGATGAGCATGGTATTGTTATTTTGGGGTCTGGTGTGTACAGAATTGGTTCTTCCGTAGAGTTCGATTGGTGTGCCGTGTCTTGCACTGTTGCCCTCCGCGAGATGGGCAAGAAAACCATCATGATCAACTATAACCCTGAGACATACTCCACCGATTTCGACACTGCTGATAAACTCTACTTCGAGGAGTTGAGTTACGAGAGAGTTATGGACATTTACGAGCTCGAGCAGGCTGCTGGTGTTGTTGTTTCTGTCGGCGGTCAGCTTCCTCAAAACATTGCGCTCAAGCTCCAGAACAACAATGCCAAGGTTCTCGGGACTAACCCAGAGGACATTGATAAGGCTGAGGACCGTCACAAGTTCTCTCAGATCCTTGACAGCATTGGTGTTGACCAGCCAGCATGGAAGGAATTGACTAACGTTGACGCTGCTCGTGAGTTCGCTGACAGCGTTGGATACCCCGTCCTTGTCAGGCCCAGTTACGTCCTTTCTGGTGCGGCCATGAGTGTCATCCGCACCGAGGAAGAGCTCGAGCAGAAGCTTCTCAATGCCGCCAACGTCAGCCCAGACCACCCAGTTGTCATTACCAAGTTTATCGAGGGTGCCATGGAGATTGATGTTGACGCTGTTGCATCTGGCGGAAAATTGATTATCCACGCCGTCTCTGAGCACGTCGAGCCTGCTGGTGTCCACTCCGGTGATGCCACCCTCGTCCTTCCTCCAGTTACTCTCGAGAAGGAAGTTATGGACCGTGTTAAGGAGATCGCCGAGAAGGTTGCCAAGGCATGGAGTATCAACGGACCCTTCAACATGCAGATTATCAAGGCCCAGGAGGGTGACAAGGTCGCACTTAAGGTTATTGAGTGCAACCTTCGTGCTTCCCGTTCGTTCCCCTTCGTCTCCAAGGTCCTTGGAACCAACTTCATCGATGTTGCCACCAAGGCACTTATCGGAAAGGACGTTCCTGAGCCCACTGATCTTATGGCCATCAAACGTGATTACACCGCTACCAAGGTTCCTCAGTTCTCATGGACCCGTCTTGCTGGTGCAGACCCCTTCCTTGGTGTCGAGATGGCTTCAACTGGTGAACTTGCTTGTTTCGGAAAGGACCTCATCGAGTCATACTGGGCTTCCATGCAGTCTTCCATGAACTTCACTGTTCCTCAGCCTGGCAGTGGTCTCCTCTTCGGTGGTAACCCCGAGAAGCCTGAGTTGGCCAAGATCGTCTCCCTCCTGGCTCCTATGGGATACAAACTGTACGCTGTCTCCAAGGAGATCAAGAAGCACCTTGAGCATAGTGCCGAGGGCATCAAGGTCGATCTCATTGAGTTCCCCAAGACCGATAAGAGGAAGTTGAGGGAGGTATTCCAGAAGTACGACATTTCCGGTGTCTTCAACCTTGCCAACGACCGGGCCAAGACTTTGTTGGACGAGGACTACGTAATGAGGAGGAATGCTGTTGACTTCAACGTGCCTTTGTTTATGGAACCTAAGGTATGCCATATCCCTATACCAATTCTTGAGCAATACTAACGATTTCGATAATAGACTGCTCTTTTGTTTGCTCGTTGCATGAAAGAGAAGCTGCCATTGACTGGAGAGGTTCCTGGTGAGGTCAGGAGGTGGAGTGAATGGATTGGAGGAAAGCCATTGTAGAAAACTTAAAATAAATTTGTAGGTCGGCTTTTGGCCCGGCCGGGGGGGGGGGGGTTAGGGAATTAAAAAGAAAAACTTGCGGGGTTCGGTTTTTATGATATCTTTGTCTGTTTTCACTTGTAGTTTTTTTTTTCTTACTACTACTACTATGAGGTCTCATCTCCCTTTTTTCTTTTTTTTATTCTTTTTTTTTTTTTGAGGAAACAGGACTGTGTGTAGCTAGGACATAGGCGGTTGTGTGTGGTCTTATTGTTCTTGTAAATTCTTTGATTTGTTAGCCAATATCAAAAAGTTTCGGGGGGCGGGACGGGGGAGGGGAAGGGGGTGTTCACAAAATGGTTTATCTACATGTAGCTAGATGCTTTGCAATTTTGTATTTGCTATGTATCCTAACTTAAATACCAACAACCAGGTTCATGAGAATGAATAGTTGATTTTTGCTGAGACTCCGTTCGTGATATGTACCTGGCACTTGGTTTGGGGGGTGGTCGTTGTGTTACGGGCAGTTGTCTGGTTGAGAGGCTAACCAATTACGCCTGTGCACAAGCCATCACTCGACGCCCATCCCCATCCTCATCTCATCATGCGCACGCCTCGCGCCTCAGCCAGCCAAGCTCATCTCCTCGAAACATCCACCACAACGTCATCTAAAGGATTTATAGATTTTTTTTTATAAACAACTAGCCATGTAGTTAGAGTAAATAAACGTTTCAATTCCCACATTGCAATAAAAACGAATGGTATCATTTGACTGCGCGCCTCATCTTCTCCCTTTCCCATCGATCCCATCCACCTCTTTCTCGGCCAGCCAGTAACAAAAGACATGAAAAGGAAATGAAAAAAATTCAGAAAAACGAACACAAAAATAAAGGAGATCACAACCGAAATTTTGTACAAATACAACAAACCAATAGCTTCATTTTTTAACCTTAACCTAACCTAACCTAACCCGTACGCCGGCATCGATTTATCCCTGGTGCAATTTCTTGACCCTCAATGCACCCTCGTAGACACCACGGTCAATTGCAGCAGCAACAGTCAGAGTTCCACCAATAACTGCGCACACACCTGTCAAGAAGCCTGCGAAGCTCTTGGCGCGGGCTTCGCGGTTGATGACCTTCATTGGTGAGATGTCCTGTTTGTTGCGTTAGTTACTTGCTCGGTCTAGAGTGTAATAGAAAGGGAGGGTATATTTACATATGAGAAGAAGACCCCGGGAATTCCACCCTTTGCATGGACGGTACTAGCATGCTCGGCGTCCTGTCCACCCGCAAGACTACGCTTGTGGCTAGTGACTGAGTATTGATGGGTCTCGACCGCGCCGGTTCCAGCTCCTTCGGTGGTTTCAGTGACGCCGAGAGGGAGATAGGATGTGGAAACGACCTTGATGAAGTACATGAAGTTGAATGAGCGCTCGGCAGTGCTCTGGCTAGTTCCATCGAGCGGGTTGTGCTGGTGCTTGACCGTGCTTGGGAGCTCAGGGCCGAAAGACAAAGAGTGGATGACGTGGCTGAACGTGTGCGCTTTGGAGGATGCGAAGTACTGGTTAAGATCGTGCACATGCATTTGGGCAGTCGAGAAGGACTTTCCAGGGGCAATGTGGAAGTTTCCAATGACCTTGTTTACGCTCAGGTGTCCAGCAATGTTGCATCCCTCTTCGCGCATGCTATCGAGACGCTCTGCATAGTGTTCGCGCTCGCACTGCTCGACGCCCTCGCCTTTGCCGAAGGCCCAGCCAATGTTGGCATACGATTCACGGACGTCCTCACAGGTGTTGCAGCAGCCGTTTTTGCCCTCTGGGGCGGGGGCACCGTAGCAGTTACCGCAGTATGAGGGGTCAAGATGAGAAGCGCTGTCGTCGTGGAGGTTGAGAGAGCTGGTGGAGACAGGGCGGGACTCGGGGTAGGGCGTGAGGCGGGTTAGCGAAATACCGTGGGTGATTGAGGATTGCTGTTCGCCCGAGACGTCCATGACATCGAGAGTGAGGAGCTCACATGGTACGTGGGGAAAGGTGATGTTGAGGTTAATTGGAAGTTGCTAGACAGAGCATGAAATGTCAGTGAATGAAGTCTTGCGCGCAACTGCCTCCTCTTCCTTCCTCCTCATAAAGGTAACGTCGCCCCCTCGTAGGCTACATGCAGAAACAAATGGTGGGGAAGAAACAAACCTCCCCTCTCGTCTTATCCACAACCAGCTCGGGCCTTACAATGATTCTCCGGTAATCATTGAATTCCCCCACAACAAGCACAAACACAATAAAGACACTGACGATCGTAACGATACCTCCAGAAGTTGTACGGACACGCGCATCCTCAACCGTTTTGGTGAATGCGTCCAGACGGGTCAGCCGCGATCCTCGTCCCATGATTTATATTATGGAGTATTTTTAAGAATTAATGTGGTTTCTTTTTTCCGTTTTTTTTCACTGTAATACGTTGCTAGATATTGAATGAAGCTTAGGTGGGAGTTTAAGAAGATGCAATCGGGGCAAGAAGAGGAAAGAATGAACGTCGCCAACAGAATAGAATTATGCTGTAGAGGGTAAGGGGGGGGGGGGCAGGCTTGTGTGTTAGGTGATAGGTAATAGTCTGGTCTGGCCTGGGGGTGGGGAGAGTGATATGTGGGTTCTACGGTATGGTACTGAATGAGCGTCAGGGCCAATCTGCATATGGCGAGAGAAGAGGCCACCGTTGTTGTAACGAACGGATTTCTAAAGTAAGGAACAGCTGCGTGTGTCTGTCTGTGCCTGAATGAGAGTCCATTACTTTTACCATTGATGCCTGCACCGTGCATGGGCAAATGGCTAGTAAAAAGCCTCAAAGGGGGAATCTGTGGCTGTGTCAGGTCAGCCTTTGAACGATTACTAAATGGGGTACTTTTATGTGACCTGATCAGGTATGGTCCGGAATTATGATGTGAGTAGATCCTTGGCATGCGTGACTCCATCGCCACTTCCTTTCTCTTTGCGTCTGACTCTCTTACTTTCCCCCCACACATACTCTTTAACCTTTTAGATACAACTAACTACAACTCCCCCTCACCTTTTTGTTCCCGTCCGAAACGATCATACGGTCCGTAGTATCGACATCAACTCTTCAGCTTCCAACTGTCGATCTCGGGTCTAGGACTGGGGCGGTTAAACACCACTTCCCTTCAACGCGTACACAAATTTCCCACAAAAAAAAAATAAGGTATGTACCAGCACCACCAAACTGCTTCGAATATGCCAAAGAAGGGCCTGTCTTCCTTGGGATGCTCTCGAGCTTGCATAATCGGGCTCGATGGGGTTTCTCCACGGGGGAGATGCTTCTCAGCGACTCATCGCCAGCTCATCCAAACCCCTTGGCATCGGCGGGCGTTGTTGATTTTTCCCTTTCTTTCATGCCGTGTTTCGACCAACCTTGGTGCTACATTCTTTGAGTTTTGCTAATTTTAGGAAATTCTCTTTTATCCATAACCACGCAGCACAGTCAACAAGCTACATCATTCAAGCTAAACTCCACAATCAAAAGTTAAGAAATACCCACCAGACTTCTCGCTACCTCCTCAGTACTTGATCTGTTGCGCTGGGAACATGAATTCCACCGCTTTCCGGCCTCGGGGTGGCGGGCCTTCGCGGGGCGGTATCACAAAACGCTCCACCGGTCGTGTTAGAGTTGATCGCGATGGAGATCTAGACATGGATTCCCCGGCAGGAGGTGCGCGAGGAGGGCGTGGGGGAGGTCGTGGAAGGGGAGCTTTCAGCCGAGGTGGAGTTCCAGGATCTGGCCCACCAAGAGGCCCAGCGGCGGACCGACCCAGAGGTGGTGGTGGTAGTGGGGCCATGAGGGGTAATCCAAGAAGGGACCCGGTCGGGACAAGAGCACCAAGGCCCACGTACCAACCACCTGGTAGGAGACCGGGAGGGCCTCACGTTAACGAAGGTCCTACGGTTGAGGTCAGAGTTGAAGGGTGGAGGGAAAGTAAGGGAGGTGCCGATGAGTGCATAAGCTTCCTTGAACGAAAAACTAAAATGACTTTTAAAAAGGTGAGACTGATAATCCAAAAAAATTTCCTTTTCTTCATTCGCCTTTTGTCATTATCTCTGCTACATCAATTTGTGGATATATTGTTTCTTCTTCCGCCATCAATGAGGTGGTGTTTTTTTGTACTGCTACGACGCTTGCTTCTCTTTGGAAGCATGAGAAGAGTTGTCGAAAATTGGGTGCATGGCCTGTGGACTTCTGGAGATTTTTATCGATATTACCAAAGTACCTCGCATTGCGTGGCTCATCGTGGGCATACAATTTCGAATACAAATTACCCCACTTCGAAAAAAAGCTCAAACCCAAAAACGTCCAAGAAAACGTCCAAAAAGAGAAACTCGTGCGAAAATAACCTCGAAACAAAATGGAAAGCAGAGAAGTGCCAAAATGATCATTTCCCAAGCTTTCCAAATGCCCCTTCGTTTTCATATCATGCAGATTCTTAGGAAGAACCATATGCTAAGGCGATACTTTTCTCGCACCATGTAGACATCAAAACAAGGGAATACTATCATTTTATATGTCCCTCTCAGCAAAATCGGAGGCATTCTCGAGTGGGATAATGTGCAATTCGCATCTTCACATTTGCGACTCACTGCGCCTAACCTCAACAACATCACCTCATCGATTGAGTCTCGAAGTAACGCGATCATTTCCCAGGCTGCACCTAAGAGCAGGGACACAGTCGACACCATCAAAACCCTCGAGCAGGTGCTTGCGAACCGATATAACATCGAAGCCAAGATTTTGGATCTTAGTAAACTTGGCGAAGACCCGCTTCTAAAACAGAATGGATTTTTTGAGCTTAGTTCAACGACCAGCAAGATGTTCCCCGCACTTATGCAGATCGCAGACAAGCGTTTCCAGACTGCGCAGCAGAAGCGGGATACTGTCCACAGCGTATCACTTGCCTATAACTCACTGAAAGATCTCCGCGCTGTCACTACCTTGAGCGTCACCTTCCCGGACTTGAAGAACTTGAGCCTACAGGGGAACTTGATCGAGGGTTGGCAAGCTTTGGACAGTTGGAGGAACAGATTTAAGAATTTGGAGCAGCTGGTGTTGATGGGCAACCCATTGACTAGGCAGCCGGATTATAAGCAAGAGGCTATGAGGAGGTTCCCCGCCCTTGTCATGTTGGACAATGTTCCCTTAGACCGGCCAGCGATCAAAATCGGCGACGAAGCTCGTCGGGGCGCAGGTCCAGGGGCCAGCGGCATGTCTGGAGCAGTGGATGAGGGGGGAAGGCCGGTAATGCCATTAAGGACCAAGGGAAAGTTTATCCAAGATGACCATGGTGTCGCCATGGGATTCCTCTCAACGTATGTATACCTTAGATATGCACTCCACGTCGCTAGAGACTAACCCACCACGAACCGCAGATTCTTTGCAACTTATGACAACGATAAGAATGCAGTCCTATCACAATTCTACGACTCGGCATCCACCTTCTCAATGTCTGTCAACACCTCCGCCCCCCGTGTTGAAGCCCAGCAGAACACACGTCAATGGTGGGACCCTTGGATTCCTATCTCTCGCAACCTCAAGCGAAACCACTCTTCTGGCTTTATGAGCGCACGTGTTTTCACCGGCCCGGATGCAATTGGACACATCTGGGGTGAAATACCATCATTCCGCCATAATCTTGGAAACGAAGAGCTGTGGAGCTTCGACGTATGGCCAATCGAAGTATTGGGCGCTGGCGGGATAATGGTTGGAGGCATTATGTGCTGCGTTCATGGCGAGTTCGAAGAGTCAAATGGCGATAAATTCATGAAGAGGAGTTTCGATAGAACTTTCATCTTAAGACCAGACGCGAATGGGGCTGTAAAGGTTGGAAACGATATTCTTGTTGTCAGATCATATGGTGGTTTCGAATCCTGGAAAGAAGAACCCGAAGCACCGGTACCGGTGCAGGCACCAATGGCTGCGCCTGTCGGAATACCAATGGCCGCGCCGGTCGGGATGCCAATGGCTGCTGCGCCTGTAGGTATGGTTCAAGATCCAAACATGCCGCAGGGGCAGGCAGCGGTAGCACAGACGGAACAGCAACAAAACATGGCGAAATGTTTTGAGTTTGCGAGACGATCCGGGCTGAAGATGGAGTGGGCTGAGCTTTGTCTCACCGAGACTGGGTGGAATCTGGAGGAAGGGTGGACAGCGTTTGTGCAGGCTAATGTATGTCCTTTCTTATTTTATTCTCCCCAATATTCATGAATAGACCGACTAACAGAGGGTTTGAAATTGATCAGGCAGCCGGAAACATCCCACAAGACGCGTTCGACCCTAATATCCCAAGGCCATTTTAATTACCACACACACCGGCTAAGGGCACCACCAAGTTATCATCACCACTCCACACGCGCAACTGAGAATGAAAGTCGACAAGGAAGAGGGGAGGGGGAGGGAATGTCGTTGATTCAAAAATCTGGGCACAATTTGGCCGAGGTTGTTTTTTTCTTTCTCTTGATTTCTCTTCCTTATGTTGACACTTTTTCATTCTTTTTTCATTTTTCTTTTCTCAATTGTTTTTTTCTTTTCTCAATGCAAACGGGGCAGGCAGTGGAGGGAAGGAATGGAGGATCCAAGCAAAGGCGAGGAGATGAAAACAATTTTTCATTTACCTTTTTTTCTTTTTCTTTTTTCTCTCGAGGGTTGGGATACGGTTATCAAACGGGGGGGGAGGCATTTCTCTACTATAACTACGTTCATGAGACTGAGACTTGCAGTCTCGAGGTCACATATAAATGCATGTACTCCATTAACCTATACATATGTTCTCTCTTCTTGGTGTGGTTTGGAGGCGGCGGGATTTTTCAATACTTATCACAAAATTTTTTTTTTTTAACTCTGCTTTTTGGGGGGATGCCGCGGATGCGGACGCGGACATGTGTGTGATGAGTGAGTGGTGTGTGTGGTGGTGGTGTGATTCAATTCGAGTTGTATGATTAGATCTCTCTTCGTGGTGTGGGCGGCGGACTTTTTTCTTTCTGTTTCTGTTCTGTGTTTCTTGGTACTGGGCTGGGAATATGAATTGAATATCAAACAAGTTGAAAAACAAGATGATATGAAGGCTAGGGTCAATGATCGTTTGTGCGGTTATGTGTGTATTTGTGTAGAAAAGCGATATTGGGGAAGTGGCGGTGTATCTTGGGTTTGGGTATGTGATGTATGGTAGGGCAATAGTAACGTTCATGAGGTTTCTGGTCCGTTCCATCATTGACTAGCGATGTACATAGTGTGTGGCCTTATGTAATGAAGAAGTAGAATCAAGCAATCAATCATTGACAAGTAAGTAGATGTATGTATCCGCGGGTACCCGGGGATTGAGCACCTAGATGAGGTAGAGATTGGGAAATGCACTGCATAGAAAACAAAAACCAACTTGTTGTTACGAGTTTAGCTGTATGTCTTACCACCCGCATATGGCTTTTGGGCCGCTGCATGATATGAAGAATATCTCAGCTTCACTCAGGTAATGAATCATGACCCATGGGTGGTAAAGTTGAAAACCCCAGTCCGTCGTCTTCCATACCTACCAGGTTTCCGTAAATTTAAGAGTCGTTCTATTCAGATAGCTACATATATATGAATTTACCTATAATCCAATTGTCTATCTCCATATTCTCATAGTTTTCATAGCTTCCTTATGAAGCAGTGTACTAAATATTGGTACTCGCGTCAGGGAAAAAGAACCAGAACATGCAAGTGAGAAAGCAGGGATTATTTGTATGGAGCGGCGCTGAGCTGCCATACAAACTAGGCATTTGCATGTTCTGGTTCTTTATCCTAGACGCGAGTATTAACCATGATATCGATAAAGATAAAGGGCGTAAATGAGCAACCACAACATTCCACAAACGCTTTACCACCCTACCATGCTCTACCACCTACATACCCAAACAACCCAAACACCCGCCAATATTGAACCCACACTCTAGTCTACTCCATACCCGCTATCTACCACCACTCAGCATGTAGCCGGTTAACTCACCTCCTACTTTTACCCCAGGTTACCATGGTCTGTTACTATTAATACACCCCCAAAACTAGGTCTGTGTTACCCCAAATCATGCGATCACGATATGCCGAGGCCAAGTGTCTTTACTCTCTAGTTAGCTCCCAAGAGCTCCAAACCTCACCTCCACCGCAATTCCCCCTCTACGCTCGCCAAAAAGAAAAAGAAAAAATGGCGAAATTCATACTCCCCGCCCTCGCGGTGACAATCGGTCAGTCTCTCCCCCCCAATTGCACCCTCAATTGGAGCTTCCAAACGTCTACAATTTTTTTTACTAACAACACTTTGAACCAGGCCTCCTCCAAGTCGCCGTCCCCAACCTCTCACGCACCTACACCCTCGTCGGCGGGCGCCGCAACAACGCCCACTACCTCTCCCCCTCCTACGCCTCCCTCCTCGACCCCCTCTGCATGCTACAACATACCGACAAGTTCCACGGCTGCGAGTCCATGCAGCTCGTCGAGCTGTCCCCCACCCGCACCGTCATCTTCACCAGCTGCCTCACCTCCTATGCCAACCGCCCACGCGTGCTATCGCAGTCGCGGGAAGCCGACGCCGCAGAGGGGAAGAGCCGGTCGGGCGATAAGATCTTCCGCTGGGACCTGGACACGGATGAAGTTGTTGAGCTTGAGCTGCGGGGGATGCCGGGCGGGGAGGGCGGCGGCGATAGGGCTTCCATGGCATGGATGTGAACTATGGGCTGGAGGGCGGGCGCATGAGCCTGTATGTGGTGAACCACCGGTTCAATGGCACGGTGGTCGAGAAGTTTATGCACGACCCGGCGACGGACGTGCTAGAGCACGTGGCGAGCATCCCGACGGCCGAGGGTGATCTGAAGCATCCGAATGATATCTATGCGATCAAGCATCTGGACGACATCAATGCGTTTTACATCACCGACGAGAACCGGTATAGCACGGGGCTGATGCGCTTCATTGGCGACTACACGCGCAGACCGTGGGGCAGCGCGCACTACTATTCTGCCGAGACGGGGTGGAAGCTCGTCATGACGGGCCTCGGCGGCGGGAACGGCATCACGGGCGACAACAAGGTGGGCGGCAGGGTGTACATCTCACCGCATCTGAGCGGCGAGATTGTGGTCACGGATCAGGACGCCTCGCAGCCCGGTGTGCTGAAGGAGCTACAGCGGATCCCGCTCAACTTTATGGGCGACAATCCGACGCTGAGCTCGTCGGGCGAGGATATCATCATTGCGGGATACACGGACCCGCGCAAGATGTATGGGCATGTTGCTGATCGCAGTGCCCCGGCGCCCGGATCCATCGTGGGGAGGATCAGCACGAAGCAGCTGGGAAGCGCATTCTTCGGAGAGAAGGGCGGGTACACGAGTACGCCCGTCGTGGACGAGATGTTTGTGGACATCCAGGGAAGGTGGATCAATGCCAGCTCGACGGCGATCCTGAGGGAGAAGAAGATCCAGCCCTTGGATGAGGAGGCGGAGATTGAAGAGGACGATGAGGTGGCGAGAGGGGCGAGCGAGCTGGGAGACCTGTATATTACCGGGTTGACCACGAGTGGTGAGTACGCTTTCTTACTTGTTCTGTCCAGCTGCCCTTGAAACAAAACAAACAAACAAAACGCCGATGGGCTAGCTGGGAAGCTGGCGGGGTGCCGGTATGGTATGGATGGCTGTCGGAGCGCACGCCGGCCCGGGCCGATATATTTTTATGGACCCCCGTCCTTGCTTGATACTTCGCTACCCCCGAACCCCCGAACACCGACTATCCCCGGGGTGTGAATCCTGCTGGTTGTGAGAAGCCCTTTACTGACCGCAATTTATTATCAATAGGGATCTTGAAATGCAAAGGCATTCCCTCTTCCTAAACACAAAGTGTGGCCGGTCGGGATGCGCATAAATTTTATGACTTTACGCGTTGGAAAAAAATAAACTAAGCCGTAATAATGAAGCTTATATGTAACTGTAGACTCATAAAAAAACTCATACGTAGCAGGAGTACTTTCGCCTGCGTGTTTGTAGGCTCTTTCTGTCCAAAAAAAAAATGGATGTATGTGAAGTAGCTTGAGCTCTTGGATAAAAGCTCCCCAGATAAACTAGGTATGCTGCTAGAACCCATCCGTGAAACAGCTCCTTCCTGCATCAATATATGCGGTCTCGAAACAACCGGCAGTTACATACAAAGTCTTTGTACGCACATATGTGATCTGTTCACACTAGTGCAATGAACGGTCGAAGCCCAAACAATCTAGAGTAGTTGTGTTCGTAGGCCACAGTTTCACGAAATTTAACTAATTCGAGTGATATTCGATGCAACCAGAACCCCGGCCATAAACTTGACAGGATCTGACGATTACTCATGTCGCTATGACCACGTCAATGTAGCAACAATCTACCATGCCCTGACCTGACCTGGTAATCATTTCTTGATTTTTTTTTCTTTCACTCAGCCATGGCCAGTGTGATCGGGTTTTGCAAATACTTGACAAAAGTGGGGGTGACCGCGCGGTTATTTACTGCAGGTCGAGCCGCTGGTTCGTCCCAATTTCGATATCCATGTAACTTTTTGAGATGTGTGCACTTAGCAGTATTTAGTTGTGAGTTAATGTTTTGTTACCTTGGTAAATACTTCCAGCACCCAGATCGACCTGCTAGCCAACAACCCAACTCGTGATAGGTATTCCCCTATCCTTTGCAGCATCGCAATATATTCTCGCAGTTCAAAGTGCAGTCAGTACCTAGAGTACACTCAAAAGTGGAGTATGTACATCTAAAGTACCGCAAGAGCCAAAAGCAGTAATACCACCGCCTAGCCAGACAGGGAGTGGAACCCTCCGTGGGAAATGCTAGCTGAAACTCAAGCCTCGGGCCTAGCGAAAAGAACGAAAGTTTTCCGTGCGGATCACTTTAGTACTCTAAGTGGAAGGGCGCCTGTGCCCAGCAATCAATCAATCAATCGATATGAAAACTTCGAGAAGACGCGGTGGGTGGTTGGGTTGTGGCGAGTGATGTTTCATGAGCATACCGCATCCTTGTCGACTGCCGAGTCTGCCGAACATCATGGGAAAACAAGTACCGACGACGACGACCATATGATGAGATGGTGAGGTGGGATCATGTCCACGCTGAGTACCACGCGCGCGAGCGAGCGTTTCACAGATAGCAGAGATCCTGTGGTTTTGAAACGTGCGACTTTCTCTCCGATAAATATTTGAAAGGGGTGGAGTTGAAACGGCACTAGAGGTAGCGAGGGCGACGCGTAACGGCCTTTTAAAATGCGGAGGGAGAGGATCTGGACATGGGTCAATTATCAATCTGTAGGCTACAATAGAGAATATCCATGGAAACCCATCTAATGAATGTGGTCGAGAGTGTCTCATGTACTTTCACGCCTCCCATCAATTAACCCCTTGATGTAAGTGCGTGTACCTACATACCAACAATCACGCAGAAGTGGTCCCAGGCTCCAATACTATATTCCCTCCCTGGTCATTCCAACTTCAGTGCTCCCGGGCCCCAAGAGTCGCTACTATATAGCGAAAGCTTGTCAACATATACGCGTCCTGGCAGGGATTATAGTTGGAGGGCGGTAGGAATTTCCCGGTTATTGCCCATGGCCCATTGCGGAAATTGATACTCAAAGGGACTTCTCGAGATGCTGGATTGTAGTGATATTCACTGAATGTTGAAAGGCATATAAACTGTCCTTTCGTCCCCCATCTTCGGTTCATCAGCCAGCTCTCAATCAATTCATTCTTCCACTGCATCTTCAGCACTCTTTCTCTTCTCTTTAATACACTCATTCTAGTAAGTACTTGAATACACGCATCTTCTATTAATTCATTGGGGATTTTCAATACTAACCTCCTCATAGAGACTGTGCTAGTTCACGTCCATTCACTCAACTCATTCAACACATTCAAAGTCTTCAAAATCAAAACCACCACATTAAAAATGCAGTTCCTTAACCTCGCCATCGCCACTGCTGTTCTCGCTGCCCTTACTGGCGCCGCTCCCCTTCCTCAGGAGGAAGCCCCCACTGGCACCTTCTCAGGAATGCCTTCCGGCGTTGCCCCCACTGGCAGCTTCCCATCAGGAGCTGCTCCATCCGGCGGAATGGGAGGCGGTATGGGCGGTGGCCCGCGACCATCAGGTGCCATGCCCTCCGGTGCTATGCCATCCGGTGCTGCTCCTTCGGGCGGTATGGGCGGTGGCCCAAGACCATCAGGTGTCTTCCCCTCCGACGGTGCCATGCCTACTGGTGGAGCCGGTGCCGCGCCCACTGGTACCGGTGTCGCTGCTGGAATCGCCGCTGTCTCTGGGACTGGTGCTGCGTTCCCGACAGAGCTTCCTAGTGGCTTCCCCACGGCCTTCCCAAGCGGCTTCTTAACTGCTTTCCCCACTGGAGTCTTCCCTGCCTCTGGCTCTGCGGCCCCTACTGGTGGTGCTGGCTTTGGTGGGCACCACGGTCACGGCCACCATAGTGGAATGCCCTCTGGTGCTATGCCCTCTGGTGCCGCTCCTTCAGGTGGCGCTTTCCCATCAGGCGGTGCCTTCCCATCAGGCGGTGATGCGTTCCCCTCTGGTGCCATGCCAACCGGCGCTGCTCCTTCAGGCGCTATGCCTTCCGGTGCTGCTCCCTCTGGTACTGCCTAAAGAGCCCGTGATATCTTATCTCAATGGTAAGTAATTCAATCCTAAATATGTCCGCCATCATATTTCTAACGGCTCTTTTGCAGATCTGTACGCATAAATAGAATCGTTCTTTTTAGCGGGCGGAGGGCATTTGTTTGTGGAATGAGCTTTTTTTCTTTTCTTTTCTTTCTTTCTTTCTTTATAAAAGTGCAGTGGAAGATTGGCTGGGCCTCTCGGTTATGGTTGTATATTTTCCTTGGTTCATGTATAACAGGTTGGCTTTACTGGCTAGCGAAAATTGAGATCTTTTCTCGAAAATTGTGCTCCGGGCTTTTTTCCATTGTGACGTTTGTGATACTGCTATGATGTTAAATGAGTGCTTGTAGTTGCTCAAGCCGGTCCTGGTTCCAGTAAAAGCTACATTTTGAACAAGTGCATAAGACTGATGAGAAGAGTGTGTCTCTTAATGAACAACACGAGGAGACTATAACTGTAGAAGATAACACTTATTAGATGATCTATTGATAGTATGAGGGAGCCCCACCTGTAACCCTCCTCCAGCCTCATAGTTAAAGTACCGCTCCAATGTGGTGGTTAACGTTATGGACTATAAAACTCCGAGAGATTAGAATTGATGAAGTAACTCGGGAGGTTGATTCTTAGTTACCTGTATTGATGATGATTAGAGAAGAGAGAGTAGTCCTCTCTTCTCAGCTTAAGTACAGAGTCTCTCTAACGACAATTAAGAGTATTCCCTACTTAACCACGCACGAAATTTAGAGTAGTGCCCCATCTCAGAGCCATCCCCATGCAACATTACCAAGCTAGCGGAAAGTGAGAGCCGACTCGTCCACACACAGCCAAAAGCACCAACGAAATCATAGTCAGCATAGGGGTGGTTGGATGGTCTAGCGGTATAGGGTCTTGCCCTATACAAAAAGCTACGATCGTTCGACCCCCCCTCCGGACGTAGAGTAGGAGATGTAGCAGCACTAGGCTGTGAACTCTTTTTGCTGGCGTGACAAAACACTTTTTTCTCCTACATGTATCTATGGCCGAGAAAAATAGATTGCCTACTTTGTACACAAGTACACAAGTAATGAAGAATCGACAGCTCACCACATTGTGACAGCAATCACACCTTAGTACCCATACCCGTACAAGTACAGTGCACCGGACCATTCACCTTTACAATTTGTAGTCAATCAAGCAAGCAAAGTAGTAATTGTGCAAGAGAACAAAGCCCGTTGATAAGAATACGTACATTGTAGAACATGAGAGTTGTCAGATACATGTATTGACAAAGGATGCGAAAAGACAGCAACGCAGTGCACATAATTAAACTTTGCGGCAAACCCTTTTCACAGACGATCACTCGTTCGAAAACGCCACTGAACCTAACAAGGTTACCACTGTTTCTCCTTGGCGACCACTCCGAGTGATCGGTGATGCAGGCTTAGTGCCTTCGGGGCGGGTTTACTGGGCCGAGATATTTACCTACGCAAATCGCCAAGGTTGTGATGTCGGCTACATTCATCTATGCGTCTTTCTTCGCGGCTTTGCTAGTGAGACAGTGATATTCCTCACGGGAGTCCTAAGTGAGTACCTACTGCACAGCGGCGTCTTAATAAACCCGGGTAGAGTAGAGCACTCTAGATCATCGCGGTTGACGATAAACAGGTTTTTACACATACATGCAGGTTGCATGCCATCTGGGACTTTATCCAAATTCCCCTCGTGCAGCAAAAAGATTTCCTCGTTGGCGTTGTCTGAGTGGTGATTGATCCCTGTAATCTAGTGGAAGCAAAGGGCTTGGCGTAAATTGTTAAGAGGCCGGCCTAACAATATTAGCCCAGAAGGATATCAATGAATGGCTTGTTGGGTGACTGTTTTCGTGCATGCCTTATCTTCGAGCCCGTCGGTGTATTAAGGCGCCAGCTTTTGACCCCGAAGGAGTGGCTGTAGATGGAACAAACCGTTTGACATTAATTATAGATTTCATAACCATTTCTATCATGGTATCAAATATCTAGACGATTCAAACATTTCACAGTATTAGTACTTTCAGTCGCGTTGACGCGTGATCACATTATCGCAGATCTGCAAGGGTTTACGATAAATACAACGCCAAGTGCAGGATACAAGTCTTGCCATCACAGTCTCCACCTGGCATCCACGTACCATAACAACGACCGCCATCCAAAGGACGGACACAACTCTTTGCCTCAACTCACCACCGACAACAAAGAGGGTCACAAACATGGCAGACTCTATGATAGATTCAAACTCTCGTTCCATCGCCATATTTGGCTCGTATTTCGCCCTCTGTCTCGGCCTCCTTTCCCTCATTCTCTCACGACTGAATTTCCGAAACTTCTCGAAGGTCTCGGGGTCCTATGTGTTCACGTCACTCGCCGTTGCGTCCTTGGGGTCGACGTGGTATTATATGGTGTCCTTCTTTATGAAGTCCTACGGAGACTGGCAGGCGTCGCAGGTGTTCATGCCCAGCGATGATGGTGAGCTCCAGTTGGGCGAGTGGTTGAGCGATGTGAAGCTATTCCAAGATGCGTGGGGTGCAGTAGTAGAGAGCCCTCAAAGGTGGTGGTGGAGCCAGCAGATTTTCCTCGCAACCGCTGCGTGGAGTGTATTCTTGGCTGCTGAAGGTCCGTAGCCTTCTCCTCTCTTCGTAAAAAAGAAATCAAAACTTACAACTTTCTCTAGGCTCTCGTCGGGGTATTAAGAACCTCTGGTCATTTATGCTCATTGGCCAAGTTGTTTCAGTCTCATTCGCGTCAAACCTTTTCTTCCTTACTATCCTCCTCAATGAGCCCTCTCCTTCTGCCCCCGTCGAGGCACCCAAGCTCGACCCCTCGACCGTCAAGGCCAAGAGACTCCCCAACTGGCTGTACTTCACTGTCACAGTCCCCTTGGGTCTCTCATACCTCTGTGCCTACATGACTCCCAAAACCTTCGACTCCAGCGCATTCCTCCCCTTCCTCCTCGTCCCGCATGTTCTTCTCCTCGCAATCCCAATTGTCTTTGAACGCCTTGCATCAAGCGGCGAACTCGCAATCCACATCCCCGCAAACCGATGGAAGAGCTTCTGGAAGCCACAGTACCGCCTTTGCTCGCTGATATCTGTTGCTTGCCACGCGAACGCTATCTCACAGGTCACTGCTCACGGCATGACGGTCAAGGATGTTGTCGTTGGTACACTTTCGGCGTTGTATGAGCACCCAGCGGTGTCTTCGGTTGGGTGGGATGTCATCATGATGGCTGTAAGTGTCGGCACCTGGGTTGGTGTCAGGGGAATCGATTTCTCGATCAATCCTGATGCGAAGAGAAAGGGGGGTGATTGGATTAATGCGACGGCCGCGTGGATTTATATGGCCCTGGGATCGGCGGGACTGAGTGCAGTCGCTTTTGCAGGAGAGTTGGAGGAGTAGTAGTGTGGCGGAGGAGAGTATTTTGGGTGTACGATGGGTGGAGGAAAAAATTGTAGTGTCGTATTGAAAGACAAAAGAATAAAGAGTAACTATTGTCAGATCCAAAAAATAATTGTACCAAAGCAGTAGTGGTGAAAGGTCTGAGTCGAAGTGAGATTTCGTTCCTAGGTCTATCTAGTCTAGTTTGGGCTTGTAATGGGCTCTATAATAGACTCTATATACATACATACATACTTACATGTAGGTAGTATGCAGAGAGCACGTATGTAGCTACGCGTGGTAAAGCGGCCGAGTGATATTCTGTGAATATTCAGGCTACATTTACCGCAATAAACGTTGTAGAAAGTCTTTCGTGCGCAAAAGATACAAGGCAATTTTTAACATTAAAGTTGTCATGAACTAAAAGAACGAGAAAATGAGCAGAATTATGACTAGAAAGAAATGTATGAACAAATTTACATGCACTACATTTCATGACAGGACTAAGCAGAAACGGAACCCCAGATACTTTTGCTTGCTTGAACAATCACCACTCCGCTAGGTTAATTTGTACCCTAAACACCCTACTCACAGTCAGCAAAGAATAAAAAGAGCGAAGGTTCCAGAATACAGCTTCTTCATCTTAGCCATCCTTATATTAGTTTCGTATATTCTTTCTAACTCAACTCCCAGCATCCGTAGCACTGAGTTGCCCCAACGTCAAAATACTCTGTGCATAGCACCTAGTATAGACAACATACGCTGTTGTCCTTGGCTGACGTGCTCGGGTACCTCTTTCCTCTAGAGCAAGACAGTGTCGCGAAAATACACCATCACTTTCGACTGCGGAATCAGCGCGACCAACTCCATCAAGGTCAGCCAAATCATCTCTCTGTACGGGCCGCTGAACACGACCATCTTGCCAATGTTCCAAGCAGAGATACCGATCTTTATCTGGTCGTTGTCGTCGATCCGGTATCTGGTGAGATCGCATGCGTCGCAGCTAAGGCCGAGGAACTCGTCGAAAGAGAGTGTGAGGGGTCCTGGGAATTTCGCACACACGCCACCACCATCTAGTCGGAAAAGGGCGGTAAACATATGGGTGGATGGCTCGAGAGGTACGATAGAGGAGGAACTGTGTTTTTGGCTGAGGGGCTGCTGATGGTGGGCTGATCAAGTTCAAAAAACCTGAGTAACTGAGTCTTGAAAATCTGTTGTTTCAGCGGGGCGAAAAAATGGTGTCGGCAAAAGGAATTAACAGGTATTTTATGCTCAACAAGTAGCCGAAAGTCATGGCAGCGATTGACTGCATTGAATTCGATGCCTTGGAAAGGTTTAGAAGAGGAGATATCTTGGGCCGCTGGGCCTTGACCCTGGGGACTACCGGTGTTGTTGGTCCCAATATCTTTATGAATCTCCTTCGCGGGGCTTTGGATATGATTAACGCCTAGAACCCCTTCCGTGGCACTTGGCGAAGAATCGTAGCATTGGACCCACACACGAGGTGGCTTTTCGGCCTCCTTCGTCTTTCTACGCTTATTTTTGCTAATCCTGTTTGTCCGCTCAAGGGTCGCCTTCGCAGTTACAAAACCCTTGAAGAACTGCAGAATCCTATATAAAAGTCCGCATTAATCTCTGCTACTATCTGCTCAAAAGCTTCAGTGATGGAACGGAAACCCACATTTCTCTGTCATTGAGAATGTGAAGTCCGCACTTCCCTTCTCCCCAGAACATCTCGCCAATGCCATTATCCAGGTATTCAGCCAACCAAGCAGCATGTGCAGTATAGTTCCCAGAAGCTTGAGGGCCCAGAATGGCTGGTGAGTTGTCAGGAAGTCGCTGAAAGTATTTTGAGACTATTTTTGAGAGGTGGGCGTGGTTCTCGCGGAGAGCTTGCTTTGTCTTCTTATTTCATTGGCGGCCATCGATGATCTTGGTTGGGAGGAGGGTGAATATGAATGGACGAGCTAAAGATTTAACGTAGGAGGAGGAAGAAGTGTGGGGGGAAGAAAATAGAAGCTCGCAGGTTCACGTCCCCATACTGCTTATTTTGCCGAGTCGCTCTGTCCAGCTTGTGGAGTAGCCCTACCTAGTTTGCTAAGTCTTTCTATTTCGTCCACTAGGTCTTTACCAACTCCATAAGTGACTCTATCGTTTAGGCCTAGCATCAATGATTGACTAGCCGGTCATGGCGTTGCCATATTTTGTATCACAATGAAAATTCCTTTATATCTGAATTATGATTATATTAGAACCTGTGGATAGTTCGGGGTTGAACTCTTTTGATATCGCAATGATCAAAAAGACTATGTGCGATATATAGGAGAATAGCTTGGGTCCAACAGTCAACAGCTGTATTCTCACTTCAACAATAAACATCTAAGAAGATTCTAGATGGCCTTCACAATTGCAACTGTATTTCACTTTATCTGTGATTCACTGTCAACTTTATAATTATGGCTAATGATTATTAGATTTATTGGAGGCACTAAGTTGCTTCGTGGGGTATGGAATATATTCTGTGGGTTGTAATATAGACATAGGGCTTAGTATTAAGTGATATTGGCAGCACACTACGGAAGCTCTTGGGGAAGAGGCATTTATAGTCTCTGTCCTTGAATCTAAACTCGATATTTCCGCGGGTGAACGTGCTACATTATCGATTTATAGAAACAAGGACGAGAAAACGCATGAATTCTGTGGATGTTTTCTCACCATCTCTGCAGACGGGGGCCGGTGAAATACAGCTGGAACGGGGTATTTTGGTGTTAACTTTCATTTTTCTTTTTAGGTGGTACTCAGCCAGGGAGGTTTTTTTTTTTTAACAGTTAGTACGTGGAGCTGAACCTTGGTAATAAACATTCTGTTCTGCAGCTCCTTGTAGGGAGCTACATGTAGTAGTACGTGCTACAACCATATGTACAATAGAGGTTAAGGGAGTCGTAGCGAAGATGTGGTATCAGGATATATGACGCTAATGGAAAGCCATGCATCTCGGGAAATTTCCTCCAGCCTCCTAACAGAACCAGAGATATATTACTTGAGTCGAGATACCTCCTACACTCTTGAGAAGCGACAAGGTATACACAATTGTCAAAGTCTTTTTACTTTCTTTGATAGGCTGCTAATTTGATGGGCCCCGTTTATAATGACTACATCTCCGGACAGTTTAATTTGTCGACAACAGGTTCGCCCTGTAGGCCCGGTCTGATTAATCTTCCAGACTACCCTTCTTAAGTTTGACTACTGGACATTCTTTTTTTGTTAGTTTTGTGGGCTTTAATTCTCCTTCACTTCTTTTCTACCACTGCTGCAACCCTGATGTGTACTTCTTTATTACTCGATTGGAGAATTTTAGAAGTCTGCTAATCGTGCGTGTCTTAATAAAGCAACCTATAAAATAACTCAGCTCACATCCTCCCATATTCTGGGTTAACCAAAGCGTCCGCCCCGCAACACTTCCAAGATGGCAGGAACCCTGGTAGTCAAACGGCTTGTGGTTCAATTTGTGGATGGCACTTCTGAGGATGCCAACCTGGGGATGGGAATTCGAGATAGTAGTCGAATACGTACGGAATCATCACAAATCACTCGATCATAAAGCTCACTCGATCATGAAGCTCATGCATGTAGTTCATTCAAACTCGTATATACATGCACCTCACCAAAATTCACTGGTCATAAAGATCAATCAGTCACGAAAATTACTCGACATATTTACATCAAAGCTAGCATCCTCTACTCAAACCTCTGGATACACGTCGAACCTCCTCTTCAACGGGACCTCCTTCCTCATCTTCTCCAACATCCCCAGATCCACCTCCGCCACACAAATCTCCGGCTCCACCTCCCCCGCCGTTCTCGGCTCCTCCCCCACCTCAACCTTCCGGCACTGCGCCACAATCCTCCCCCACGGATCCACAATCATCGACTGCCCATAACTCGCCCTCCCTTCACTATGCCGCCCAATCTGCGCCGCCGCAACAACATACGCCTGCGTCTCTATCGCCCGTGCGCGCAACAACACCTCCCAATGCGCCTGCCCCGTCGGCACCGTGAACGCGGACGGATACGTCACCACCTCAGCCCCATTTCTCCGCAGCGCCAGCGAAGGCTCAGGGAACCGTAGGTCAAAGCACACCAGTAACCCCACCTTCCCCACCGGAGTCTGGAACGGCGGCATCAAGGCGCTGCCGGGCTCTGTGGTCTTGCTCTCCTGCATTTGCGGGCCACCGGCGATGAAGACGTCAAACGTGTGCACCTTCTGGTAGCGCTGCGTGATGTTGCCGTTGGCGTCGATCCAGACGCTCATGTTGCGGATCTTCTCTGCGCTTGTGGGGCAGGGCTCATGGATACCGACGTTGATGGGGAGAGCGAGCTTCTTGGCTTCGGCTTGCAGGCCGAGGACGAAGGGGGAGGTGGTGACGGGCTGACAGAGGGATAGTGATTCGGAGGGAGAGGTCGCGATGTAGTCGGAAGCTTCGGGAAGAAAGAGAGCTGATGCGCCGCGGTCGCGGGCGAGACGGAGGAGGTGCGTGCAGGCGGCGAGGTTGGCGGAGAGGGAGGAGGTGGCGCAGAATTGGCCGACGGCGGCGAGGGGCATTATGGTGATGGGCTGCCCTGGCGGTTTGGGTTGTGGATGTTTGAGATATCTAGCTGTAGAGGGGAGGGGTGGTAGAAGGTATGGAGAGCTGTCGAGTGACGTTGGTTTGATCCCTGCAGTTGGGTTACTGGAAGGGGACAAGAGATTAGTAGTCCTGGCTGCATGTAGTTGGATTATTAGTAGAACCCAGTTCTACTTAGTTGATTAATATATTAATAACACTGACAATTTCTAGCTCATGGATCATTACTACGCCACATAAACCAGGACCAAACCAGACCAAAACAACATATGCCTTATGTATGGTTTGTAAGTTTAGAACCGCTCTCTGGGGTTACCGCACTGTTCGGACTCATAAATATCATCGAGTCTCCTTCTGAAAAACAGGATCACGAAGACCGACTATTCGCGGTGCCTATCTTTACATACTTGTCGCTAGGAGATTGAGGACGGTAATCGGGGTGATATTAAACGTACGTTTACTCGGCAGGTGGGTAGTGGGGTATCATTGACACCACTTTTCCTGTGTATCTGCGGTAGCGGAACCCCCAGAGGAGGAAAAAAAGAGAGAAGAAAAATCAAGGAGGGATCCGACAATGGCTACGAGACACCCCTCAAGAAATACACAACACAAGTGTGCGACTCCATACTGCAGGACCTACCCGCATAGCTTTTAGCCACTGCCTCAGGAATGCGGACTTCCACCCACCACTGGCTTCTTTAATTTACGGAGCCGACATAACTCTGGTCTTGTGAATTTCTTAGTTCCAAGATGCGGGACATATGTGTCTGATTTTCCACGTCTCTAGTCGGTCGATGTAATGCTCCTTTGCGCATTGGCTACTACCTACCGTACCTAGATTCTATATATCTTGTGACGAATACCTTTGCGGTTAGAATTCATCACAGGATATCACTCGTGCTAAGATTCACGTTCGAAAGCCCGATATCAACTATTGATTGGGAACATATTTACGTATACAGGGACAGGACAAAGAATGGTGTGCGTTGCCCGGGAGACTTCCCTTATCTACATAGCCCGTATACTCTATATAGCCACATGTATCCACGATCACTTATTCTACTGTGTACACCTACAGAGTACCAACCCGCCAACCCCAATATAATCCGCGACCGTATCAGAGCCAGTCCTTCAGGAACTCCAAACGGCAACTCAAAAACCAAGTCAGCGAGTAACTCCCCATGACTCACACTACCTCCCGTGCCGTTCGAGATGACGCTAAGAACGCTAGCCAAGCAAGTGAGTATAGTATAGTGGTTAGTATTCCTCGTTGTGGTCCCCTTTCAAGGGTCAAGCCCGAGGTGACGCAAGTTCGATTCCTGCTACTCACAATCGGATATGGCGGCCTTTGTTGGCCGTTTACATTTTTGTTTTTTATCTCGTCGGGCGAGATGGGATGTAGGCAAGCCACCATGGTTGTGGGTGGATGACTAAGTGTCTGTCTGGGGTGGGCTGGGGTTGGAGTAGGTCGAAGGTTTTGGTTGTGAACTTGTGGGTGCTGGGGAGTTTATTGGAGATATTGAGCGCCAATATGAATGGCGATGTGGTGTCCTTCTTGAAAGTCAATTGATCAGATCACGTATGGGCATAAGCTGTGTCCTGGACGGTTTATCGTACCGCAGCCAGCCAGATAGCTCATTGATAGTTACTTATTAGATGATTTCCCTTTTTCATAAGTGTCGACGAAAAACCAAGATTTGGACTCAGGATGTTCATACGGAATCACTCGGTGTGGAGGTCTTGGCGTTCACATGTCCTTCGATTCGCCACCTCCTGCTTCCTTTTCATGTTACGTTTGGGATTGCCCTAGAACTCTATTTTTTTGTGGGAGGGGGTTGGGCGAGGCGAGAGAAGATGGTTCCACTGTATAATTAGTTTGAAGAAAATTGTGCTATGCTTCGTTTATTCCGGTAATACTAGCCTGGCCAGCTGTATCAGCTTGGTGAGTGGGTGGGGGTGCCCTGGTGGGGTATGGTCAATCTCAGATATACGCAAGAGTGGTGCATCGTACGCAGATGGTCGATCGATAACTGAGTGGAGAGCATCTATCAGATTATGATCTCTCCGGTTCATGGTCATGATGGAGTCGATCACAAGTAAAATTCACACCTCCCCTTTGTTCTGTTTATCCCACCCTCGCTTAGCACACACACCGCATTCCAGCTGCTGCGAGTGACGCAAACAACCCTGGTAGGCTGAAGAGGAAAATAAGCATACCAAAAGACATATATATAAAGTGGGGGGATCTCGTTTGAGGAGTGCTCTCCTTCTGTCACGTAAAGTGTTCAACTCTTTTCATCACTTACTCCGAGAGCACAATTTCCCCACCACGGATTCTGGGACCCTGTCAATGCAAGAATCCCTGAGGATTATTTAGAGCGAGCGAGGGTTTAAGCGAAGCAAACTCTGTCCATACATACCGCGCGACCAGAGGACAGATAAATACACACTTCTCGCGCGCACAACCAGCTCTCAAAGGAACTGCCGTTTTTGCTAGAGATAAGTTGAACATTTTTAAGCAGCTGCTTTGTGGGAAATCTTTGACCTCCTCGCTACGGCTATCTCTGCATTTGCATTCAGGCAGTTAACCCTTGTTGGTGTGGAGAAGTTTAAAAAACTCTGCCAAACACGGGTCCTTACTTGGCCCAAGCGCGAAGAGATAAGTCGAGGTCAAGTCTCACTCATATCCTATCTATCCCCACCTTTCTCGATCTTCTTCATCCACTCCTACAAGATTTGAAACTTTTCATCACAAGATAAATCGTTACTCAATCATGGCAACACCTTGGTTCTCCATCTACGGAATTCCAGTCCTCCCACCTTATCAAGAGACACCGTTGCTCTATAACTTCCAGGACAAGGCTCTGGAGCAGGTTGTGTACTCATTGTCGCAGGTGCAGTGGTTGGGCGTCAACGATGCCTCCGGATCAGAGAGGAAAGACAATGAGGTGCTGAGATGGCTGGGAGCCAGCGTGTTGAAAGGGTTGACGGGCATGCTAGTGATGAGCTTATTTCCTGAACTGGGCGCTGGTGGTTTAGAGGTGAGAAACAATTCTTGTGCTTTTAGGTTGTGAATCGAAACACATTTCGTCTGGGAGCTAGGCTTTGAACACGACTAATAAACAGCAACTACATGTAGGACATGACTGCAGCCCTAACTACCACATCGTTCTACGCACACCTATCAAGAGTCCTCAGCCTCCACAGTCGTCTCACAGCTTTAAATTACACCTCTGATTCCGACGGGATCCTTGGCAAACTCTTCACAGCCTATATCGGTGGGATCCATCGTGAACTCGGGACCCAGCGGTATCACGACCTCTACATCTGGTACTCGCAGGTCGTTGCCCCATATGCGGAGAAATACCATGCCCTCTACCAGGAGCACATCTCCTCGACCAGTACTTCCAACGCCCTCATCACGCTTAAAAAGCCCACATTCACCGTCAATACCCCAGGCCTTCTTGGCACGGCCGTGGCCACCCCAACATCCACTGAACCGCCAAAGCCTTCGTCCATTGAGGCAAAACTGAGACGTCAGAATATCAGCATGTACACTTCGCGGTTGATGGAATTTGCGGCTAAGAGCAGGTTGTCGCAGCCGAGTTTTATGTTCAAGGATAATGGATACCAAGGAATGAATATCCAGTGGACTGTAACTGTGAGCTTGGATGGGAGAGATATTGCCACCGCCGTAGCGACAACAAAGTTGGAAGCGAAACACCTGGCAAGCAGGGAGGCACTGATTATCTTGAGAGCGCCGATCGGGCCGCTTCCGAGAAAGGAGAAGAAGGCACAGGCCAGGAGAGTTAACGCTATGATAGTGGGGTAGTGTGGTGGTTTCTTGAACAAACGAACGGGGTAGGGTATCTGTTCTAATTAATTTTCGCTTTGAAATGAACTGAGATGGGTTGTAAGTTGTTATGGCCATGGGTATCTCGACGTGGTGGATTTCGTATCCTTCGACTACCAGGATCTTCATCTATCTATTGCTGCTGGAATGGCTTTTGTTCTTTCTCTGTTTTTTCCTTGCTTGCGCTGTTTTATATTGCAAAATCTGTTGAGAAGCCTCGTGAATCAAGTCATGTCATTCGGCGCTGGATGAGTGGTTCACGAGGCTTGTCTTTTGTCTACTTAGCTAGCCTTTTCCTTTTCTTGATGCTTTTTTGTCTGTGCTTTTTGAAAAATGGTTTGGAAGTAGAATTCTATTCTATTCCCAGACCCTTAGTCTCGTTCTGGGCGTTCTGGGCGTAATTGTGCTGATTTCACTGCAACGATCCCCTCCCCCCCCTCCTCCTGCTAACCAAGGTGAGTGACAATTCATGACCGCGAGATTAATTGAGAGAGGTTGTTCTGCACGTAAAGGGGGGGTTTGCAGCGACGATAGGGTAGGGGTCTTGTTCAGTCAGTGTATGCAGGGGGATTACGTGGGTGGGCGGGTGCGGGTGTGGGTGAGTGAGTGGGTGAGTGCGGTGTACTCAGCTGACCATACAAAACTACAGGGCTCGCAAATGGAGTTACGCGTCTAGTCTCTAAACATTAATATTCCCGCTGCATAATTCCTTTCTTCCTTCGTAGGCTAATCTTTCCGCTGGTGGATCGTCTATATAGCTACACATGTACTCTATGCTGCCCGTAAAACTATGGGCGGCGAAAGCATATATAGGCGGTCTACTATATGTTTCCAGAGTGATCATTGGTCTTAGCTCACAACTCATCTTTAGAGACTTGGGCGGGGAATAATGGAATCATAGAATAGAAGTCCGAAAAAACTCGGCCTGGAGAATTGAGTTAAATAGCGTAGATAGGAACCTTATTTGGTCCTCCCCTATATAGACAGCCTTGTGACAAGATGTCTCCAACGTCCCGAAGAAGTGAAAGACAGAATCATGCATGTAAAAGAAAAAATAAAGTTGATATACTTCTACCCTATTGGACGATGTGCATGTGTTGTGCCCTTCTCAAGGAAAAGGTTTTTTGAAGTAAAAAAACAAAACAAAAAAGAGTCATGTGTTGTGAGGTGAGGACAAAAAATGGCTAAGAGTATTGTGTTGTTTAATTTCCGTTCCTCCACGGCCACTAACACATAACATACAACCCCAGCCCACAGTTCTTGCTCCATTCTTCCTCCGTCCTTCCTCCATCATTTCATACCCGTTCTCATCCTCATCACGGTCCTTTATCAACAGATCTAATCACCTTCAACGTCTATCGTGCTTAACTATTTACATATACAGACGTGTCTCTATGAGGTTATCCCGCTTTTGCGGGTTAGAAGGGAAAGTTTGACATCAGCACAAGTAGATTTTGAGCAGACTTTATCAATCAATAAACCCGGTGTCATGGGGTGGCCCAGAAACTCAGGATGTTACCCTACCAGTAACGTTGTCACCGAATACTTCAAAATGTAGTGATGCTGACGGAATAGGATATCTAGTAACAAGAGAAGTTGGCTAGTATGATGGGCGGATATGGAGAGGACTTGGAATGGATCGCGAATCTCATCACGCCATGGACCGAGGAGGAAACCCCCCCCCCCCTCCTCAGAAAGGGCCAAACAGAACGAGATAAGGGAGTGATTAATGTCTTTATCAAGAGCTACGTGGTAACTAACATACCTTGTTGGATCCAAACTAATGGCTCCCCTATATTGTGAGTGTTTAGCAACCCCGGAAACAGCTTCCGTTACGCAGATCCTCCTGGGTTATTTTCTGGCGAGGAACTTTCCGAGGGTGAGCCACATGATTGACTGTGTTTCTAGAATTGCTGGGAAAGAATAGGACGTTAAATCTAGATAAGAAGCGGAGAATTTAATCCTCTGTTCAAAGTTGGGACTGTTGAACATGTGGAAGTCAGTTTTGATTGATGTGGACGGGATTTCTGTTCAATGTATGGGTTGAGAGTCAAATAGCACCGGTTTTACCAGCACAGTCCAGGGAACATAAGCTCCTTTACCACTGAAGTATCTTTTTGTTCACTAAGTTCCGATTAGCTATAAAGGGTCTTGAGAAGAAAACTCAGAAGAGAACATCTGATGAAAATTGATGGGGCCATTTTTTTTAGAGAATAGCGGCAGCCAAATGAGTTTAGTGGTGTCATTTTTGGCCTGTGCGGCCCATCAGCAAGCCTAGATCGACATATATGGACTTCCTAGACGTTCCTTGAATCCGCCAGGGCTTTTAGAGGATATGGGGCTAGCTATCTAGGCTAGCAAAAAGTTTACGGATATTCTCGACAAGTCATCTCATTATATAAATGGACACGGACGTACGCGGAAACCTTTTCAATCTACTTGAACCAAAACATGGTCCCGTTTGCTTATAGCACTTGGAAAAACATATCCTAAGTTATATATAGGCTCGCTTGCCGAGGGAGGATCGGATACGTCTGAGCTTGATGAAGGGGCTGACGATGTCATGGATATTTCTGTGCTCTTAAAAGCCCACAAAGAAGGCCCTGATATAGACACCTCATCACGACATTGTGGCATGAATTCACATATATTTGGAAGAATCTCATCCTAGGGCTTTGATAAGATATACTAATCGATGGTCAAAGTCAAGGAAAAGCCGGCCGATAATATTCGTGTATGTAAGAGCAATAGGAACGACGGGATAAACAATATCAATGCCTACAATCACGTCGCAATCCCTGAATATATACTTGGTGTTTCGAGTGCCGTTGCGATAGACAGCACAAGGAATATACGAGGTGGGTTTTGGCAATGGTCTGAGTCCTACCTGGGCGTATGATGATAGCAGTGCTTCAGTGAGGTCATAATACCATACATCATCGGGTGTGATAGAGCACGAGCATTGTGGCTCGGGTTGCCGCTCGGATATCTAATTCTTTGGTTCGGTGTAGATGGCCCAGTTTCATAGCTGTTTATCACTATATTGGAAGCTATCCATGGTACTATCGTTAGAAATCCTCGCATGTCTCCGAAGTCCCTTTTCGGCAAAATTAACGCTACAAATTGTTTTCTCTTGCAACTGCAACAGCTGCAGGGATCATTAGGTGTCGTCAATATATGTAAGGGGCAAATATGCTAGGGCTACCTAACCCCGCATTTTTATTTACCTGCAGACAGTCATGGCGCATTTAAGCTTGTTTGCAGCCCACAGATCTCCGTGACCGGATCGTTTGCCGGTCGTTAGACCAGTCAAGTAAAAGTTAAACTGTTATGCTTTTCTCTATGATCACCGAATTTGTACCTCGTGCACTAGAGTCGATGATAGTACTGTTATAGATAAAATACTCTCGATATCTTACCACCAAAATCACTTCCAAAATGTTCAAGCCAAATACGGCGCCTTGTGGTATGAAGAAATATCACTCCGCGCGCAATTAATAGGGGTGAGGATGCTGATCTACAGAAAATCTTACTGAAAAGCATCACTAGAGTATATATATTTATATATACTTGCTCATTTAATCGACTAATATCTCCGTACTCACTATCCCCATTGCAATCATCACCTCCGCAATAATAAACGTTGCACAAATATTAGGCTATGGACGTTAACCTGACACAATAAAAAGGCTGAATGTACCGAATTTAGTGCTAAGCTCTCGGCATGCAACCCGGAACCCTGCTTTGCGGCAGTCTTCCCGCCGGAGCAGCGGAGCCCACCACTGGTCCACCACATCCTTCAACTACATCTCAGAAGTAGATTAATTGGTAAATCAAGGCCAATGATATCCCAGGAACCGTCTTCTTTTCCTGTTCTATTCGTTAATTACCCCAGGATTCAGGAACTTGAGAAACTTAGGGGATGCCTGTTAAGATCAATAATACCGTGGATTTATTTCTCCGCCACCATGTATCGGAGGGAGAATTAAGAGGATGTTCGAGAACGAGGAGAAGAAGACTGGACGGCGTAGCCCGTTGCAGGGATGAAGCACATCCATCTATTCATCCCGCTAGGCTTGCTTGACAGGCTTCAGACACCCCGAGATGGTAAGATCAGAGGTTTATGCCTTGCTGATTCGTCTCTCTTCCTGGGTTTTTCGGAATGGCGAGTCGTGATTCCGGAATATCTTCAAGGAGTTCAGGATCTTGGTGGATCATAGAGTAAAGATTATTACAGATGAAGTATATGATCAACAAAATCCCTGGACTGTCTATCAAAAAGGCAGAATAGACTAATTCCAATTCCCCACAGGAGAATTCTCTTTGAGAGTTTGATGTTTCATGAATTACGACAGCAATTGAGGGGAGGAGGGGACTATAAATGCCGTATCTTCTCCTCCGAGAATTGAAGCTCATCAACATCATCATATTCATTCTTTACACTCCTTCATCATGAAGTTCCTCGCCGTCCTCAGCTCGCTCCTTCTCACTGGCGCACTCGCCGCACCAACTGCCTCACCCGCTGCCTCCGCTGACATCGAGAAGCGTGCTACCTTCATGTAATACTCCGTTAAATTCAGTTTGATACCCTAAATACTAACAATATCTAGTGCTTTCTCGGGAACCAATGCATACTGGCTCCCCTTCCTCAGCAGCGACGCCGATGTTGATACCACCTTCGCAGCAATCAAGGCCGCTGGCTTGACCCATCTCCGCACATGGGCTTTCCAGGACTCTACTTCATGCTCTGGAATCTATTTCCAATGCTGGAGTGGTAGCACTGCCACTATCAACACTGGGAGCAACGGGTTGGCCCGTCTCGACGCTGTTGTAAAGGCCGCCGAGAAGTATGGCATCAAGTTGGTCTTGCCATTGGGTATGCTTTCTCCCTTTCACTCTACTTCAGAAAAATTCTAACATCCAGGCCAGTCAACAACTGGGGCGACTACGGTGGCATGGACGTCTACGTCAACGCTCTCGCCAGCGGCTCTGGCCACTCCGCCTTCTACACCAACAGCGCCATTCAGACTGCGTATAAGAATTACGTCTCGACCATCGTCAACCGTTACAAGTCCTCCTCCGCCATCTTCTCCTGGCAGCTTGCCAACGAGCCCCGCTGCAATGGGTGTGCCACCTCCGTCATCACTACATGGGCTACCACAATGTCCGCCTACATCAAGTCGCTCGACTCCTCTCACTACGTCTCTCTCGGTGACGAGGGCTTTTTCGCCCGTACCAACGGTGCCTCATACCCCTACCAGGGCGGCGAGGGTATCGACTTCGAGGCGAACTTGAAGATCTCTACCCTTGACTACGGCACTGTGCATCTGTACACCACATCCTGGGGACAGACCTACGACTGGGGCAACCAGTGGATCTCTGACCATGGCACAGCCTGTGCATCGGCTGGAAAGGCATGTGTGATTGAGGAGTACGGTGTGCCAGTTGACGGATCAACCAGGACTACATACATCAACCAGTGGCATGCGACTATGAAGTCCAGCGGTGTCTCGGACATGTTCTGGCAATTTGGACTGACCTTGTCGAGCGGGCAGACGCACGATGATACTGTAAGTCATTTCTTATTTCGTTTCCCAGGAGATTGTGAGCATGGCTAATTGGGCGCCGTAACTAGTACACCATCTTCACCACCGACGACAACTACCAAGAGCTCGTCGTCGACTGGGCCAACTCCCGTTAAATATCTACTGTGGGTTTCTTGAGCCCTTCAGGAAAGGGAAGCAAAAAGTTTTGATGGAAGCAACCGTGTATGAGTAAAATGTTCCTCTTTTTTGGGGGGGAAAGTGTTTTGTAAGATGATTTGTAAAAAGGAAAAATGATTAGCTAGTTGCCTGGCTACTATGTACTCTAGAAAATATCAAATATATATGGTAATAGCTACGAAAGTACGGTTTCGCAGATGAGGTTGTATGAGTGGAAGCCTGGACCGGTTTGAAATCGGACCGGACCGGTTTGAGATCATTAACGATCACCAACGTCAATGATCGATTTCACCACATTTCGCAACTCAATATGGTATTACGATGCAGGGAATGTAAAAGACATCAGTTTGATATCTGAGATATATACATACATAATCTCATGGTAATAATTGGAGAATAATTAAAATTATGGTAAAAGACGTAAACGTAGAATGAAAATAAAAAAGGAAAGACATCATTTCCACCATCCCACCCATGCAAGCCAATAAACCGTGATCGTAACCAAAATCGTATATCGAAAACTCCATACATAGCATCATATAATCCCCCCCCCCCCATATTCTCGTAACCCATTCATACCAACATTATATATCCCCAAAACGCAAGGAAAGTCGTAAAATAAAAAGGGAGGGGATCGCATCAACCCCCCGCACGCAAAAACAAAACAAAAACTTAAACAAAATGTGGCCAGTACCCGCCATCCGTATCTCTTGTCGTCACATACGTCTTCCTCGGCACATGTCTCATACTTATAAATGCTTCCACCAACAAGAACACTGTGCACAGCAGATAGACAAAGATCAAGATCCAGAAGATCTCAAACAGCATCCTCTCCAACAAGTACAACGGCCAACTCAATATTCTTTTCACTGGCCCGTGATTCTCCGCAATCTTCTTCTGCTGCCATTCCCGGGCGATGTCACCTCTCCCGGCGTGGATTCGGAGAAACATTCTACGAAACACGCTCTGGTCGTAGAACCGTGTCTCCCACATTGCACGAAGGAACCGCTTGTCGTAGTTTGTGGCGGCTACCATACAAGTAAAGATGACGGCGGTGACAATGATGGTGATACATGCGGCGCGCCATAGCCAGGCTTCGATTTCGGTGGGGAAACGGATGTCCCATGCTGGGATGTGCATCGCGCCGTTGGAGGCCAGGAAGATTCCGATAATAAACATGTCCCGCGCGCTCTTGCCCAAGTTGTCATCGTCCATTCCTTCTGTATTTTCGCCGCCATTGTTTCCAGGGGTACCTGCACGCGATTCACCCTCACCCGCACCCGCATGCTCGCCTGCACCTGCACCCTCGCCCTCACGACCGCCTTCCTGCCCCCCCATAACACCACCGGTGGCTGCGGCTCTGCCTTTGCCTTTCTCATTGTACTTGCCTTTGTAGAGAAAACCGCGGTTTTTGTCGCGGATAACGATATATTCGCTGACATCGTATACAACTTTGAGTACCAAGTTTGGAATTCCTGAGCGGGCTCGTTCAGTCATCTGGTAAGATCTTGAGAAAGAATTGTATTGTCTGGTTTCTTCGAGTTCCGGTGCTTCCTCGATAGGCTGATCCTCCGGAACAAGCGCATTTCTATCATTATCATGAGGCGAATCTGGTGGGCCCATAGCAATTGCCCTCGGCTCGCTGTTACTGCCTAGAGATGCTTGATCCCCCGGCAGCGGATATATAATGATCGGCAAAGGCTCGGCCACACTAAGAGGTTTCTGCCACCAGAAGAAGTAAAGTACGAACATAAACAAGACTTGCGTTATGATATGGACCTCGAGGATAGTGATTGGCAGCCCCTCAGACCCACGCCTAATACACTGGTAAAGAAACCATGTAGCCTGGCAGAGGACCAAGGCCTTAGCCATGGAGCTTGCCTTCCCTTTATCGGTGATTTGTCGTCTGTCGAAAGATTTTGCGTCAATCTGTCCAGAACGGACATAATGCTCGAAGCCTAGAGGTGTCAAGACGGTCTTATAACCCTCCCCTTCCTTCACAAGGAAGCCTCCCGCCAACACAAAAAATGCACCTTCCATCCCGAGAGAATCCGGACACTCTTTTGTTACTGGAAATCTCTCAACCCACATGGCCTGAAGCCTTCTCGCTTTGCGCCACTGGCCAAAAGAACACAGCATCATAATCTCAGGGAAAAGCAGAGAAAGCGCCATCCAGGATAGGTTATACTTTGTTTGAGCAACAGGGTTCGAGTTGGCGAGAATGTTGGGATGTACTGAAATCCATAGACAGAGGAGAGTGGTCGCAACGGAGCTCAATATCACACCGACAGTACCACGCCCCCGAGGTTCTGGCATGAATCCACCATTGAATTCAGCTGGAACTGTAGGTGAAGGCGATGGACATTCAGCGGCGTCAGTACCAGGAGGTGAGCTACCGGGATCTGTTCCGCCGTTGCTTGGGTTGGCGTCCAAAGAACGACTTGGTTCAGTGGTTGGTGTAACGGTTATAAAAGCAATGATACTATTCGTGAGTGTACTTGCTGGAACTGAGGTGCTCTCAGTAAGTGTTACAAAACTTGTGATTGTCGCGCTTTCTGTTACAGTAACGCTCAAGATTGGGACGCTATTGGTGATTGTTTCTGTAACAATTGTTGTATATGTTTCCATTGTACTCTCTGTTTCTGTTACACTATCCGTAGCTGTAATGCTGTCTGTCGCTGTGATAGTGGTGGCTTCGGTGGTTACCATACTTTGTAAGAGCACTGTGCTATCAGTGATAATGGTACTGTCTGTGACCATTGTGCTATCGGTAACCATCGTGCTATCGGTAACCATCGTGCTATCGGTAACCATCGTGCTATCGGTAACCATCGTACTGTCTGTGACCATTGTGCTCTCGGTGACCATTGTGCTCTCAGTGACCATTGTGCTCTTAGTGACCATCGTGCTCTCAGTGACCATCGTGCTCTCAGTGACCATTGTACTATCGGTGAGGATGGTGCTATCGGTTATCATCGTGCTATCCGTGATCATTGTACTGTATGTAATGAACGCATTATCAGTGACAACGGTGCTATCTGTCACCATCGTACTCTCGGTGACTATTGTACTGTCTGTGACTGTTACACTGTCTGTGAGCGTTACACTGTCTGTGAGCGTTACGCTATCTGTGAGCGTTACGCTGTCTGTGAGCGTTATGCTGTCTGTGAACGTTATGCTGTCTGTGAACGTTACGCTATCTGTAAGTGTTACGCTATCTGTAAGTGTTACGCTATCCGTAAGCGTTACGCTGTCAGTGAGCGTTACACTATCTGTGAGCGTTATACTATCCGTGACCGTGGTACTATCTGTGACCATTGTGCTATCTGTGACCATTGTGCTATCCGAAATTATTATGATGTTCGTGATCACTGTGCTATCAGTGAGGGTGATGCTGTCTGTGACTGTGAAGCTATCCGTGATCATTGTGCTATCGGTGATTGTGGTGCCGTCGATAATCAGGGTGCTGTCAGTAATGGTGGTGCCGTGTGTTATCATGGTGCTGTCTGTGATTGTGGTGCCATCGGTGAGCGTGATACTGTCTATAATTGTGGTACCGTCTGTGATTGTAGTACTATCTGTGATTGTGGTGCCATCGGTGATTGTGGTGCTGTCCGTGATCATTGTACTATATGTGACCATAGTGCTATAGGTTACGTAGACCCTAAAGATGTCCGTAATGCTGTTTGTCACTGTGACAGTGACACTATCAGTCTCTGTAACTACTGTTGTACGTGTGACAACAATGTTATCAATAGCAGTAATAGTTGTGACATCCGTTACAGAAACAGTATCGGTGTCTGTCACATAGCTGTTATGAACATCTGTGCGTGTGACCTTATAGGTATCAGTCACTATGGTGTTATCCGTAGACGTGGTCTCGTAGGTTTTAGTAGTGCTATCGGGGACTATAGTTGATGTAGTGGTGCAGTCCTCGCTATAGCTCTCAACCGGTACATAGTCATAATATTTACTCGTGATGTCGTAGATCCCCTTAGAATTTTTCGGAAATGAGACAACTGGGGGTGGTGTATCGATTTGGGCAGATAAACTGCTGATGTACGAGGACACGATATAAGCTGATGCAGACTCCTCACCCGAAATTGATCCCGTGATCACCGCAGGGATATCTATGCTCGTAGGTGCAGTGTAATCCTTGCTTGAGATATCAATGAAGACACTCGTTATCGGAGCGCTGTCGGTGAATGCAATCTCACTCGTAGTAGTGTTCTCATTCAAAAAGTCGCTTGCCACTGCAGGACTCTCGAAGGGAAGTGAAATATCACTCGTGATGAAGCCCTCGCTTAAGGCGTCGCTCGTGATAATCGGATAATCGGACTTTGGGAAGGGATTCTTTGCCAAAGGTATAGAGAGTACCGGGATTGCCGAGAGCGCAAAGTATATGAAGGTAGATAGCCCCCCGGGCACAGCATGTTGTAACATCTAGAAAACTTAATGTCAGGTCCATGAATCCCCCAGAAATCGTTTAAGAAACTTTCAAACCTTAATGTTATCGAGGCGATGGCCTTGGGTTGCAAGGTTTCGCAAGGTATATCCTGTACACAACTTTAAAACCTTAACTTTTTCACCGAGATGTTGATTATATTATCATACCACCAGAGCCTCAAATTAAGCGTTAACCAAAATCTCTGAATCAACTGAAGAAATCTATAACTCGAACTTTGACACACGCTAGCTGCATCAAGAACAAGATGTTTGTTAGCTTCATCGAGGAGAATGAGTGACATTTTGATGAACGTACCTCAGTTTCTCAATCTCATGTACATAGTTGCTGACGTCCCTCGAATCTCATACTTTTGCAGGAACCTCCAGTTCTTAAGGGCCAGCACTCTCACATATGACATGACCTCCATCCTGCACAGTGCGGCTATTCACTGTCCAATCGGTACATCCGCCGTCAGTGCTCTTTGGATAGGGTAGAAAATATGCCCTCTTCTCCTCCTGGTTCCCGTGTTCCAGCTCACTTTTCTTTTGGTGACAGATGGATTTGAAAGGTATCGCGAAGCTGACCAATTAGTAGATAAACTATGGATCGAAATAGCCCCCCTGTTTATCTGCTTTGGGAACGAAGCTGAACAAAGTACCCTAGACGGCTGCCTGAGATGCAGGGCAACTGAGACTAGTTTTGAATTGCCGGATTGATCGATTGGGTTCCTTATGATAAGTCAACAACATTATCTTTCTATATATTGAAGGGCCCTACCCTGGTCCTGAACTTGAGCATAGCTGTACTTGTGAATCTCTGTTACCACTCACTTGAATAGGGACTTCCCGTAAGCGTAAGCGATAGATGCCGTTCTACCCTATTTGTTCTCGTCGTCGCAGTTGCAAAGGATAGATCTATCCTGAGGTCGTTTGGTGAGGTTTCTACTTTCTTTCAGTGCTCGTTGCAACGAATCCAACCCTACACTTTCCGTAACCAGACTAGCGACTAAATGGAACAGGGTTTTTACATGGAGTTATCGAATAGACGCCAAGCAGACATATCACAGCATCAAGCAGCCTAACCCAAACAATTAAAAAAGTAAGACTGCGCGCGCGTCGTCCAACAGTATCAATCATGCGCAGATTAACCGACTGGACAGCAATGAGTGCTTAATCGACCGATCAAAAGAAGAAAAAGTGACGGATCATTTATGGGCTTATCAGGTATCTTTCCCCCGCTATTGCCGGCCCAGGGCTGGACGCGCTTTAAAAGAGAGGACGTCGTATTAAGATTTAGCTCAATTCGGTAGTGTCCCCATTCAAACTCTCCCGAAAGGGCATTTTTTTTTTTTTTTTGAGCATGCGAATGGTCCATTTGACTGATCAAGTAATGGTATTCCGGGGTCCTACTTTTTCACTATCACACACGATTACCATTAAAGCCGAGCATGATCGCCATAGCACATATGCATGTGCCGCACGCATTTTCAAACTCGCAAACATAATCCATGAGAGTCCACCATGCAAAACGAGTATATCCAATTCGCCGATCGACTTCCTGCAAAACCCCTCTCTCTAGATTGTAGAGTAGCCGCAATGGCCCAGCATATGTAGTCGACTGGTCTTTAGGCTCAGACTCTGAGACATCTAGGATATCAGGCGCTGGTTGGTCCTAAAGCAGGACCCTGGGTTGGGTACTTCACGATCACTTTTTTAGACTAAAATAAGCATTTGTTAGCGGTGCAGGTCTCTCCTTGTCAACGCCATTCTGTTCGAGTTCGGAATCATGATCCTTTATCTACTCTATGGCCGGCCATATGGCCTCCAATATCCCAAAATTCTTTTTGTATAAAGAGACAAGTACCCCTGCACTTAAGGCGTTCTTGTTCGGAAAAAATTAACAAGTGCTAGGATTGCGGCCTTACCATAGCCAAGTATGCCTTACTAGTGCTTTACTCACTGGACTGCAGATTCAAGTGCAGTCGCGCCTCTCTATATCGTATCTTGACATGCTGGATCTCTTACCGTTTCTTACAGATTTGCGGGCTATGTTATGCTTCTTTCCTTTACCAAACTCTATTTGCTGTCTTGTGAAGGGCTGTGCTCATCGAATACGCTTACGATATAATAAGGTGCGACTGTACGTATCATCGGTAATTGGAAAGATTACGAGTACTTGAGTGCAAGAGTTTGGTAAGAAGCTTTGTTGTCCCTGCATCGTTTCCTTGAGTACTAGCTAGTTACAGTGGAGATCGGGGGCACAAAAAAAAAAAAAAAAAAAAGCAGAGGATAAGGGCTTATTGCACGTATCCACATCTGCAGCCACACGACCAGGTACTTTATATATGTGCCTACTTAGGCAAAGAGCTCTTGAATTTGAAATCTCGGGCCGAAGAGTGGGGTGGGTGACCACTGACCACACAGAAAGATTGGTACATGCCCACAAAGTCTCATCTGTGGCTGTCAACTTATATTTATAATAAGACTGTGATGGAGACGAAAAATCTAAAATTTGTGATCTTCATAGATTGCGAATTGAGGTCCTGGAATATAGGAGGTGGAGTAACGTTTGTTATTTCGATAGCCTATCAAAGAGTTTCATTGAGATTGGTTATTTATCATAGGGTCAGCTGAGTATTTGATAGGTCGCCTAGAGGCACACGGTCTGTATAAAGCTTGGTGCTGTTCGCTACTACTATTCGGCGACCACATTCCTACCTACCGTGTACCAGGATCAGCAAACTCCTGTTGGCGCAAGTACTGAGCAGCCCGGAGTAGAGTAAATCACGAAAATCATTTTTCTTTTCCTTTATTCACGAATCTGAACGTACATATGTATGTACCTAAAAGTGTTCTCGGCCGGTTGCAGGGTGATCTGACAGGATATGACAGGTTGAACACCAGCCACACGACCAAGCAATATCAAAGCCGTATATCCTTGAAGTATATATACCAGCCGCCTAACCAATCTTGCTTAACGATCTCTATTGCTTTTCTCTGGTTTCGTGTGCGCAGGAATTGGGAGATCGATATAATCATGTAAGAGACGCGCGTCCACTGAGCATGAGTCCTCCGGCTGATCAGCATTCAGAGATTCTCGGGATCGGAGGACTGAATTGGTCCGGGGCCCCGAGATGTACCAGGAAATGATGAGGAGTAAAGATCCATACGCGGCCTGAGAAGCTAACTCATCTTACTCAAGATCCTGCCTGATGTGTTGGCTAAGCTATTATTGGGGCAGCCTTTCGTCACACGAACCGACAAACTGAGGGAAAACATGTTAGCCACTGTCCAGGTTTTACAGTCAGATTGGGATATTCAAGTAACGAGCACCATGGGCTAGCTCGCGGGTCACATCGTAGCCGGCTCAAGACGAGCCGGGATTCGAACTGTTGGAAGATTTTGAGCCTTAGACGCTTAATGCAATTGCAATGCCCAGACATGATCATGAAACATTAAAGATAGCGGAGAGCGTTCCGGCTGGCAGGAACCTCAGGGTATATGTTAGTGAGAGGCGTTCCGACCCAATGTACCTCATATCTCCAAGGCTGAGTTGAAGGATTAGATGTAGTATGCTGCCCTAAGAAGAGAAGATGATTAATTCTATTGGTGAGACGATATAGTTTTAAGGCATGGAGCTGGTACTCTACTGCTACTTTCGCAATGTTATCCGAGCCCTAATGCTAGAAATCATTGTCCACAGCACCTACAAAACGTACCCACATCACACAAGCAGGGGTTGGTACTAACACACCTGGCCATGCCAAGATTTATACCCATTCGAGTGACGTTGCATGATCATGATGGAGAAGTGACGAAAGACCCCGAATGGCGAATCACATTCACACTCTTTCTCGTTGGAGATGGTCCTCGACTGTTCTACCAACACTTTCTGGAGAGCAACTGGTACACCTGTCGCTAAATAAATATACGGACTATGGCACATCGACGTCAATATCAGAGGATACAGGTAATTATTTCGATCGTCTCAATCGGTATCTTGTCTCTTGGTGGCAGGGGAAAACAGCATTTGAAATGAAATATACGGCTATCTGGAGTTAGGCTTACCGACTGCCATGCTTGAGCGCCCTTCAACCGAGGAACCACAGTGCTTTGAGTCGGTTTTCGCTGGTTAATTGGCTCGCTTCTCCATAATTTCAGATTCTGGTAGCGAAAAAAGAGGCTGTCTCGTCAATTTTTGGGTAGTGTCCTGTTGGGTGGGGTGTACGTGGGGGGCCATCTCATTTCCAATGTCAACTTTGCAAGATGAAATAGTGGCACTATGTGTATAGTTGTTCACAGGGTACATGGTATACTTGAGAAATAAGGGTTTCCTCGCATTCGCAAAGCTTTAGATGTTATAACTTTTGGCAATTGACATACATAAACAAAATCATAGATCCACACCAGTTCATCAATTTCATCAACACAAAGCCTCAAACCCCCTCGCAGCCTCCACCACCACCACCACCACTACACCCACACCCACATCCACCACATCCGCATCCACAAACTACAATTCTCAACCCCACGATATTAAACCATAGATCTAATAGGCGTACAGCATCACACCCTCATCTGAACTCTCTCTAATTCTCTTGTTCTCTCTCATCAAGACTGCCCTCAAAATCCACGCACACACCACGACCCCAGCCGAAAACGACGCACTCGATGACATCGCCATTATGTACCTCGGCGCCCCACTATCTGGCCATAAATATGGGCTATACACAAAGCTGACATTTCCTAGTGTATTCACAATTGCGATCGTGACGGCCTTCTTCTCCGGTGTCTGTCCCAGTACCTGCCCGCACCACGACATGCAGATATTGTTGACACCATACGTAGCCGCTGTGAAGATCATCATTGCTACATATCTAGCAGCGACGTTGGTCGTGCTCATACTCAAGATGAAACCAATAATAGCAATCACCTTCGAGATAGTGATATGCCAGGTACGTTCGTTGTACCTTCCGGAACTCCAGCAGACCAGGATATTAGTGAAGCAGGCAACAAGATACGGGGGGCATGTGAGGACAAGAGTAATTGTCGTGTTGAAGCCTAAGGTTTTGACGACACTAGGGAAGAAATTTTTAAACCCGTTGGCAGTCAGATGGAAGTTGTACATGAGGCAGAAAATCCATGTGCGGTAGTCGAACACGGCCTGCTTAAACCCTTCCCAGGTGCTGGAGCTGCCAGACTCTTCAGTTGTGTCACGGATGATGCGATCATGGGCGAGCTGCCGTTCGGCGGGGCTGAGCCAACGCGTGGTGAGAGGTGTGTCTGGAAGAAGGTACATCGATACAAGTGCGATACCGAAAGTGATGGCACCGGTGATGATGAATAACCTGGTTGATTTGGTTAAAAATGATGATTGTTTTGGACACTGAGCTGGGGATTTACCATCTCCATCCTTCAAGACCATTCTTTCCGTCCATGCCGGAGAAGATTCCAGCTGCAATCAGACCTGCGAAGGCGTTGGAGCCGATGTTTCCGGTGTAGAAGATTGCCATTCTTGCGGCAACTTCCTTACGGGTGTAAAAGCTGGTAAGAACATACAATGCCCCGGGATAGTACTATCATTATGTTAGCTTGAGGGACTGACACTTCTGATACGCAGACTCACAGGAGCTTCAGCAACACCCAGAAAGAATCGAAGGATCAGCATTCCATGGTAGTTCTTGACAAGACCAGTCAGGCCAGAAATGATCGCCCAAACTGCCATGAAGCCTGATAAATTTATCAATATATTTCTAATTGTCTATGGGATTTGGCTCGAGACTCACCTCCCATATAGAGTGATGGGCGAACACGAGTAAGAATCATGTTCGAAGGGACTTGGCCGGCGAGATAACTATTTTCCCGCTGTTAGTTAAGGTACCAGCTATTACCGGAGAAAAGAAGATGTACCCAACGAAGAGAATAGAAATACATGTTTGGTATTCGCTACCCTTCATTTTCAAGTCTTCAGCGAGGCCGTCTAGCTTGCCGTTGACAATTGCGTTTCGGTCCTGGGAAATTATTAGCTATCAAGAATAACGCAATGGCAGCAAGTAAGAAACCATACCAAGAAATTCTAACAATAAAATCCTATTAGCATTTCTTTTTCACACTAGGATGTTTCAGGAATCCACTTACCAAGAAATACATCAACCACAAAATCGGCTATCCAGTCATTTCTCGTTAGCTGAGCTCCAGGTCACGACGATTCACAACACTCACCAAAATGGTCAAATCCAATTTCTTCACCAAGGCAATCTCTGCCGGATCCGTTTTCATAATCGGGGCGCCCGAGTAGTCCCTCTCCACTGGTGGAACCTTCTCCATCTGCTCCATACTTCCAGTCTCCTTCTCGATAGATGTTCTTGCAACAGCGACTTGCTGCGGTTCCATCTTGGCTCTTTCTTGGGTGTCTGTATCGATCTATTTAAAACGAACTCGATCTCTCGGCGCTGATATATCGCTGAGCTGATAGAGTGGGAAGAAATATGTGGACTCGACGGGGAACTTTATCAACATACCAAGCTTCTTTGCCCCCTGAGCTTAAGCGAACAGAACCTGGGGTGTGTTGTGTTAGCTTTGTGTGGGGTACGGTTGTGCCATTGACATGCATGCGTGCGTGCAACACAACACCCAGATCTGTTTGTATCCGAAAGCCTTTTCCGATCCGGCTATCACCTCTGGGGCAAAGAAGTTAAGTAGCCGGTCCGGATACTGTCTAGGCTACACATGTGCATGTACGTAACAGGGTGTTTCCGATCCAAGTATAGATTTGGGCGTACCCTGAGCAATATCACGGGCGTCTGGTTATCTCCAGAAGCACCGAGTTCTGTGGGAACGGTCATTACAAGTCGCGATGCCGTCCTTGCCATAGATGCAGATCAACCTTGGATCTTCATTCACTTAAAGTTGCGGATTACTTGTTGATAAGAAAGACATTATATATGGACAAGTAATCATTTCTAGACATTACTAAACCTAAGGGAGATAGGAAGACCGGTCCAAGCACAAGGAGATTGCGTAAAGAGCCACTATATCTTAGTCTGAGATTTCAATATGAAGCATGAAACTGGCTAATCTATCTTGATTTGATCGCTGTCAGGCCAGATCTGATTACTTTAGGCCTCAATAGCATTTCGGGAGTTTCGGAATAACTGCAGACTGCATGAGTTGTCTGTCCACTGTCATTACAGCGTGGACTGTCTAGGATGGCACGAATGAGATCTACCACTCACCGGAGGGAGATGCCGATGGATTTTTGGGAGACCGTGCATCTTGGAGACACCACGGGCCGTTAAACTGGCAACATACTGAGCCGCAACATTGACTGCGCCAATGATAGTCTCTAGAGAATTGGGGTATAGATTACTCCTAGTCCTGGCGGCTTGGATCATAACCTTATTTCAACATCAAAAGTGGCAGAGGTGGAGTGATTGTTCGAGCATGAGGGGTTTTCGGGTTTCAATCACTCTAAATTTGGAAACAACCATTACGATTATAGAATAGTGGATTCGGGATTAATAATTGCACTATCTTGGGGTTATTATTGGAGGATAGATCACGAATGGATTAATCATTCGTGCTTCGTGATGGACTTGGCGCTAGCACGCCGAGTGCGGGTTGGTGACTGAACTTATGCCCAATCGGGAGTAGGTTTTTTTTTTTTTTTTTTTCCTTTCCTTTTGTTCCCTTATATGCACAACAACTACTAACTTGTTTGAGAGATGTAGATATCAAAGACATGGCACGCAACGTTGTGTCCAGGAATCTCTTGCTATTCACATTTTGGAATAATTGATATAGTTACATGTTTGTTTTATAAACCATGGCCGCACCACATCACAACGACTTCTCCACGCTCACCAACTCCTCAATCGTCTGTTCTACTGCCGCCCAATCACCACCAATATCCTTCACACAGCCCTTGATTGGTAGCCTCCCACCCTCCAGGTTTCCCATCCCCAGCACCCTGGCCACACACTCCTTGATGCCCACCACGGCCCACTTGACGCACACAAGCTCACTCGCCTTACTCACCAACCACTGGAGTTGCCTCGCCTCTACCAATGCCTCATCTGTCATTGGGAGCGTAGTCGCCAGCTGATACAGCCTGACGACGGTCTTTGGAAATGTCGCTGCAAGACCATCAATCACGCCTGCGCCGCCAACCATGACAACGGGTAGGAGCTGCTGCCCCTGCCCACTATATAGCCGGAACGTCTTATGAGCAATCTCGGGTGAAAGCGCAACCTGTGCATGGTGCGAGATGTTGCCGTGTGAGAACTTGGCGCCGACGATGTTGGGGTGCTGCGAGAGGCGCTCGAACGTCTCCATGGAGATCTGGATGTTATTTGATACTCCGGGGTAATGGTATCTACACACACATGCACAATTAGCCCACATATTCAACATAAGCAACCAGGAATACAACTTACATCAATATCGGCAACGGCGACGCATCCGCAACAGCACTATACCACGCCTCGACATTCGCCTGACTCACCTGCCCCGCAAAATACCCGGGCGCCAGCACGAGCCCAAACTGAGCCCCCGCCTCTCCCGCCTCCACCAGCAGCTCCACGGTCTCGTCCACTGTCCCCGCCATCGTCCCCGCCATCAACGGGTATCCCTCGAATCCATTCTTATTTAGCGCTGCACGCACGGCGCTTATCATCTCGCTGCGCTCGGCGCGCGACAGGTGCACGGCCTCGCCCGTGGAGCCCAGCAGCACGATGCCCGCGATGCCGTTGCGTGCAAGGTGCAGTGAGTGGGCGGCTTGAGTGGCGGTGTCGAGGGCGCCAGCGGGGGTGAAGAAGGTGGGGACGGGGACCCAGACACCGGGGGTGGGGATGGAGGGCATTGTTGCGTGTGTGTGGTGGGGGGAGATGAGGGGCGAGTGAGATGTGGTGATTGGGAGGGGGTTGGCTGGTGCGTACTTAGGTAGATAGGTAGAGAAGATAGATCGATATTTAGTGGGTGATAGGTAATTGTCTGCCTGCGGATACATCTTAAATATCATATATGCACTTTTCTGTTTTTGTTTTTTTTGAGTGATGATGCGTGTGTAGCCGCCGGGTATAAAATAGAGCTGAAAGTTTTCCGGGCCGGTTCTGGGCCCGGGTATGTATGCTGCTGTAGGTACATAAGTGCACCCATCACTCACCCACTGCATAGTTGTATACCCGCTGTATTGCCGGTATTTAGGGTGTGGAGGACTCACATGGCCGGCGTCTATGGTGGGGATTGAGTGCGGTGATTGGTTGGTGCGATACTACGTAATATATGATTGATGGTTATGACAATTGATGGGATGAACACCTTGCTGATGCTTGGTAAGTATCTAGTATTATTAAGGAGTGTTATGCATTGGCTTGCAGTTGGAGGTAATGATAATAATCCGTCCTCCTTGCATGAAATTGATGTTGAGATAGATATATTGATCACTTGATGAACATATTTATGTGTTTGACTCTGTAATTATGAGCATATCATCTCGATTTGTAGTCTCTGTACATCATTTAAATAAAAGAAAGACATTTACGATCACCAAACTAATTTTATTTTCAAAATATTTAAACGTATTCACTATCAAATTCCCCACCCTCTATCTACATCTCTATGTAACCAGAAAAACACCCTACCACTCCCTCACACTCCCATCCTCGCCCACAAACGCCCCACTCCTCCACGGCCTCCCCCTCCCACTCAATCTCCTCACCGCCTCTTCATCCACCTCAATACCCAACCCCGGCCCCGCACACACTTTCACAAACCCGTCCGTCACCTCAAACGCCTCCTTATTCGTCACATACGTACCGATATCCTCCTTCCCCGCCTCGGTGTTATAGTGGATCCCCAATGACATCTCCTGAATCACGTGGTTCTGCGTCGCGGCCGCAACCTGTAGACACGCTGCGAGCGCTATGGACCCCAGCGGGCAGTGCGGCGCCAAAGCCACATCGAAAGCCTCCGCCATGGCCGCAATCCGCCGTATCTCGGAGATGCCGCCGACATGGCAGATGTCGGGCTGTAGGATATCTACGCAGCCCAAGAATGGCTTCACGTCCCATCGACTGTACAGGCGTTCGCCCAGTGCGATGGGAGTTGTTGTGAGACCCGCCAGCTCTCGGATCCCCTCGGGGTGCTCGGATAGTAGTGGTTCTTCGATGAAGAGGGGGCGGTGGGGCTCGAGGAGCTTGACAAGCTGCTTGGCCATGGGCTTGTGCAGGCGGCCGTGGAAGTCGATGCCTGCGTCGAGGCCGAGGGATTTGACGGTTTGGAGGCGGTCGACGCAGGAGTCGAGGGCGGTGGGGGAGTCGAGCCAGGCGACGTCGCCGGTGGCATTCATTTTGATAGCGCGGAAACCTTGGGACATGCGTGCTTCGCTGCGGAGGGGTGTTAGTATTACGTAGGTGGATTTAGGTCAATGATTGGGCTTACGCTTGGAGTTTGACATCAGATGGTTTGTCGCCGCCAATCCAGGCGTAGACTTTGATCTTCTCACGGACTTTGCCGCCGAGGAGTTCGTAGATGGGAACGTTGAGACCGCGTGCTGGACGTAGAGTAGGTCAGTATCATCCATAAAGTGGATGCGCGGGGTCTGACGGCGAGAGGTTTACCTTTCAAGTCCCAGAGCGCAATATCAATCCCCGACAGCGCAGACTGGAATACGGGCCCCCCACGGTAGAACCCAAGTCTCCAAACACTCTGCCATATCTTCTCAATCTCGCTATTCCCAATATTAGCACTTACTCTCTAAACTCCGAAGAAGAAGAAGAAGGGGAGAGAAGTTATGTAATACACACTTTGCTTCACACCCTACAAGGCGCTCTCGCAGCTCTTCCAGCGCACCTTCAACAGCCTCCGTATGGCCCTCCAGCGACGCCTCGCCCCAGCCGTAGCCGCCATTTTCGGCTGTGATCTTGACGTAAAGCCAGCGCGGCGGTACACGGAAGTACTCAATGGTGGTGATTTTGGGCATTTCGTGCGTGTGTGTATATTGCTGGATACTACTTGCAGAGCTGGGGGCTCAATGTTGATTTGATTTTGCTGGTATATGGGTATGCAAGTACATATTTACACATGTATTTAATGCCATTCTTTTCATTTGGGAGGGGGTGGGCTGCTTTTCCGGCGTAGGCGCCGGCCCCGGCACGGATACGAGATGCTCTGCGGCTAGATGACCGGCTGTGGGGGGGCGGATATATATGTATGCAGGCTTCCCCGCGTTTTGGAACGCGGGTAGAGGATGAGTGCAGTACAGGGAGGTGCGTTCTGTAGAATGTTTGCCTACATATAGACAGATAGGTGTAACGTTTGGTGGGAGGTCGGCGTTCGGGGTGTTGTTTATTAATTAGTAGAGAGACTGGTTTGGGGATAGCGCTGCGGTGAGTTACTTGGCGGGGGATTCTGGTGTTACTAATATTTGGACCGCACCCAAAACAACAACTTGGGTGTCTGGGTGACCATGAGAAGACACACTAGTTATTGATTGGATTCTCCGAGGTTTATCCGGAGAATAGTGATAGGTGTACCTAGAGCTGTGATGGCCCGGTTAGAGTACCACATGTGTAACCGCAGCTAGAAAGGTACATATATCCCTCTTTGTTTGGCTGTGTGTGGTTGGATTAGAAAAGAGATGACGTCCAATCCTGGGATCCTGTCTGGCCCCACGAATAAAGAAGCAAATGAGCAAGACCGTGGCCCCAGCTACACACACCATTGGTGACCGACTACCAAGCATGCGTCACTCGCCAGCATCCCTAACTTTTGATATTTCGCGGTAAACCTAGTCCTCTAGTACTATAGTGCGGCTCTTTCGTGCTGTCCACGCTCCAGTGTAGCTATCATAGTCAGTCCAATTTCATCTCCATCGCTGCGGAGCGGGCTGCGAACTATTCCACGCTTGTTTTGTGGTCCGCTGCGTAGGAAATGAAAGGTGGTCCGCGACGCAGTATCTGATTGAACCCCAGCAGTAGGGGAGGTTGATGATAAATTATAGCAATGCTCTGTCGGTTTTAGGGTACAGACCACGACGGCTCGGCATAGAATCCATAACACATCTAGACAGTCCAGGGTTAAGATTTCGGAGTTAAGCATTCCGCGTAGTGGACCATACAACCGGTCCAGTCATCACTATTCCTGAAGGAAGTATTTTGTAGGCTTGAAGTATGTGAATTATTGATAACTGATTTCATTGCATTGATGATCGAGATGAAAAGGAGGCTTCTTCGTGGTCGCTTCTTAAGACCTTATCCTTCACTATAAAGGCACATGTATTGGAGACATAGCTCACATGTCCTATTGCCACGATTCTGCCAGCTCTATAGCCAAATCATCTCTTGTAGTCATAAAATAAAGTAGAGCGCTGTAGACCTCATCACCACAATATTAGTGCGAAGATCAAGAAGTTCCGGTGGGGCTTGGCTCACATGCTCTCACTCGGGTTGGTCCATCATCTTTCAGGGTCGAAATGCTGTATTCAAATCTTGGAGCTGATATGTAGCTTGATCATGAGGGGAACGGCTCAGAGAAAGAATTAGGGCTCGATCGTGCCTAAATATACATGTACATAATACGTAAGCTTAGGCCCATGTCGCGCGAAGCCTTTGGTAAATCTGGTCTTGGCGCTGTCACAAGCATCAGCTCTAACACTCCTCCTCTTCTCTCGTGTACTACTATACACACTTTGCCACTTCACCGATGAGTGGATCTTCCCTATCTAAACACAAGTACGCTACTGAGCCGCTGCTAGCTGTCGAAGCAACCACTCATCCTGTGTAGAAGATGTGTTACCCTTTACATGTTCAGGATATGAAATTAAATTAGATGTTTATTGGGTTTGGCTACCTTTTCCCTGGCTTGATAAAGAGAGATGGTGACAATGTCCTTTACTGTCTGTCGAATAGCGTTACGGTAATCGTAAGGGTAGTGAATTGACTCATAGCTTATAGTTATTGCTAAACATATCTCAAATCAGTTATCACAGATAAGCTCGAGGTATGTATCCTTCGTTTTAATTTATCTGAGATCCAGTTGTTATGCAATATATATTCGTTACATCATTGACTGTAGGTACGAGCCTCCAATCTACCTATCACTAAAGCTTATGAATCCCTTGCACACAGTCGCATACGAAATTTGACAAACAATTTGAGGACAAGAACGAGTGAATGGGACTGGGGGCAAAACACCTAAAATAAAGGGAAAAAAAATACAAGCATTTACTCCCCCAAAACCTTATAATGCATTATTCATAGGGGCACTCTCGAGGTCAACCGCCCCCCCCCCCCCCCCCCCCGCGGGTCTCCAGCATGTTTCCCGATCCTTAATACGAGCTATTTTGCAAGGTCAACACATGCGCACGGCCGGACACGGGGCAACAGATATATGTAACTTACATCCTCACGTTACTAAGCGCCTTCCTGATACTGGGTGGATTCAGTATCATATCTCTTGTACTCGGCGGTTTGAGGTCCCTCTTTCTATTCCCAAATCGATCACACACCTCCTCTAGCGGGACTCCCTCTTGCTTCGGCGGGCTCTTAGTTCTCCCCCATCTCTTCCGCCCCTTCTCGGCCTGGATCCTCGCCCTCTCTTTATCAATCTCCCTCTCCCCCTCCGGCAAGACCTCCGGCGCCCGGCGACGACCAAACCGATCGGGGATACTCGACGTCACGATATCATAATTCGGGGGAATTCCCGGCGAGACCTCGGCAGGGGATGTTACGGGCGGGAGAAGGGATGAGTAGTGTTGAGAGTTACTACTAGCCGGGGAAGCTGGAGTTTCAAAAAGGGACGAATAGTGCTGATGGTACTGGCGGTGCGATTCTGGTACTGGGCTTGAAGAGGACGGGGAGCTTGGGGGTTGTGGTTTTCGCATACTGGGAGCTTCTTCTTCTTGCTGCTGCTGCCTAGGAGCGGGGGCCTGCTGTCCTGCCATACTGGCCCCCGCTGCAACTTCCTCGTATGATGGTGGCGCCTCCGCTTCGCTGTTGCCACGGCCGGCTGGAGACAACGGGTCCAACCTTGTGTGTCGCGGGATATCACTCATTCTCGATGTTGGGGTTTGAGTGTACTGTGGTGGATAGTTGAACAACTGTCGTGGGAATGATCTGTTGAAGCTCGAGCAATGACGATGCAACCTTTAGGATTCTGGCCACCCGCAGGACATCACCGCGTTTATATTACAGGTAGGTTGGGGCTTGCTCCGCCCGCATCACGTGAAAGATAGGTTGAGATGTACGCTTGGCGGGGATGATCCCACCTTGGCGGTGAGCAAAGCCTCCGCACTCCGTCTATTAGCACGAGCGTTTCTCTATTAGGTAATGATGAACAGATGATCCGCGGAACTAGAGGCTACAACAAGGCTTAAATGTGCGGCTTTGGAGGAGGAGTTCAGTGTGCTGAAAAGCGGTGAATATTGAAATTGAAGCTCATGCTTGTGCTGGCCATGGCGGTGGTTCAGGTAGGATAATGTAGCCGAAGACCAAGTTATATGGTTGGGCTCATGGGAATTGGAGCCAGCCATGGTGGGGTTTAAATAATTGCTTCTCCGTGTCCTCAAGATATACCTCGGTGGGGAAACGAATTCACGACTGAAACGATACCGGAGAATTTGAAAGTTGGACTTCTATCCAAGTGGAATGTAGGCCCGCAGGGAATACAGATTTACAATCTGCCCACACTGCCAGTGGATAAGTGCTCTTTTACATACTACTCACCTTATCTACAGAAGCGAAGAGCTCTGTCGTGCTTCAAAAAGAAAATTCAATAAATTCGGATCAAGAGCCGCAATATGGGCAAGGCAAACAGCCCATTGGAGCGTTGGGATCATATGAGACCAACATGGATGATTTAAGGATTCGGGGGCGAATGCCATCATCTGCATGGAGGTTAAATATGTCTCAGATTTGCTTTAGGGTTTTCTGAATGCACGTGCGCTCAGGCCATACGATCATCTCAACGTGTGAGGTGTGGCTCAACCAATATTTGCATAGAATATCACTCGGAACGGAAAGCAAGGCTTCACCTCTTTTTGTTTCAAACCACTATTAAATATTACTAACACTATGGGTACGGTATATAATTGCATGTCTAATTGTCCAAAAACTAACAGTAACCTTCTAAGCCTCACACAGAATTCCGTCGGTCTCCACCCAGTCCTCACTACCAACACCAGTGTGCGCATAGAGTACCGAGTTGGGATCACGGAGCTTCTTGACAACATAAAGCCCAGGGTAGTGGGATCCATAGAACGACTGCTGGAAGTTGGGCTCATTATAAGCCGCCTCAGAGAGGTAGGCACCGGCGCCGGGGGTAATCTCCTGGATCTTTGAAAGATGCTCGGTAACCCAGTAATCACGGAGAGCCTCAACCTCTGCCGGTGTGGAGCCTGCCGGAACAATGTATCCAGAGATGACGTGGAGTCCGTTCTGCCTCCATGCAGGGTTGACAGCGTTAAGAGACATCAAAGCACCTGCCTTGTACTCGGGCTGAATACTGAATCCGACAGCAGTGAGTCCAGTGTTGGTCAGGTCTTGGAGGTATGACATAACGCCCTCGGTGTTCTTCTCGAGGACTTTTCGGGGAACCAGACGAGAGATAGTCCCGGACTGAAGACCAGCAGGCTCAGGTCCGAATGAGTAGTACCAAGCATCGTAGAAGCCCTTGTACTGGGTGGCGGTCGCGTTGTAAGTCACTCCGAGGGTGTCAAGAGTTTTGTAAAAGCTTGAGAGAAGGCCATTGACCTGGCTAACAGTCATATCAGGGGCGAAGATGGGGATACAGCTGAGGGAAGTGTTTGAGGTCATGTAGTAGGTGTAGATTCCCTTATCAGCCATGTTTGGAAGAACTTCATGGAACGCAGTCATAGCCTTCCAGAAGTTTTCGTAGTTGGAAGAGTTGAAAGTCAATGGCAGAGTGGTCACCGGAATGTCCTTCCATGTCCTGACGGTCATGCTAATGACAACGGCGAAGGTTCCACCACCGCCACCGCGGAGAGCCCAGAATAGATCAGGGTTTGTAAGAGGTCCAACCTTCCGGTAAACACCGTCTGCAGTGACGACTTCCATAGCAAGGACCTGGTCTGCGGCCATACCGTACTTGGAGGAGAGAGGGGAGTGACCACCACCTTGGATGTATCCGCCAATGAAACCAACAGTCTTCTGCTCACCACCGACAAACATAACGCCCTCGGCGTTGGCCTTGGCATAGGCTTCCTGGACTTCGATACCGGCACCGACCTTGGCTGCGGTTCCCTTATACCCGAGAAGGGGCTCGGAGTATGAATCGTAGAATGTTACATCTTTGAGGTTGTGGGTCCAGAGAGAAAGAGCTCCGCGTGCGGTACTCTTGCCCAAGAAATCGTGACCGGTGTTCTTGACTACGAGTCTGATGTTATTTTTGCGGGCAAAGTTGATACCAGCTTGAACATGGGTGTAATCGGTTACCTAAATGGGTGAGTTAATAAATATCAAGAGAGGAAGAAGAAATGTCTTTATTTTGAATTTGCTTACATTAATAGAGTATGATGGGTAGAAACCCTGAGTACAGCTAGCAGTAGGGTCTGATGTTGGCAGACAAGTGTTATTTGAAAAGAGTGGTGCCATAATTGAAGCCGGGTCTAAGATCAAATATCAATAAACCTCTCCAACTAATAGTAACATTCGCTCAATTGGGAATTATTCTCTTACCAGAAACATGCAGAGAAGCGGACATCCAATTATCAGTAACATATGTGCATTTCTCCGCATCATAGTCGAGTTCTGACTCGTAACATACGGACGCCAATGGCACAACCTTGATCAAGCGACCCGAAACAGTGGTATTCAGGGCCGCCCAATCAGATTCTGAAGGCCACGCTGCATCTGTTGGTGAAATTTTGCATGAAGATGCTGTACGGGGTTTATGAACCGCTGCAGCAGAGGTTATATCAAAAAAGGCAGCAATAGCACCGAAGAGCAGCGGTGTGCTGACACGAATGAAAACCATTGTGGGGGCTAAATAACGAGAGAAAGAGGGTAGGAACTAGATTAATGACCGTTGCAAGTGATTGAACCGGTTTGCAGTGGATGGAGAGCTCCCATCTGTGTGGAAGATCTCAAAGAATATATACTGGTTCTACAAGGCCGGCCACGCGCGTTTTCCACGTGGGGAGGGAGCGGGTGAGCAGGGATAACGAAAGCCATCTTCGAATCTCGCGACGCATCTGCTGCCGGATTCCTTTGATGCCCTAACTACTCCCTAGCTATTTCCTTTTAGTGCAAGGCATCATCCTCGGTACTACTCGCTACGAGAAGCTCAGGTAGAGTATGAGTGGTACTGTAGTCTAAGAGTAGCAGTGAGTGGTATCCACCCCATACCTACTAATGTGTGTACTCCCCCCCTTGTTGTGAATCTAGTTGCTACTACACCGGTAACGAGTAGATGGTATGGTTCCCCCTTGTAATAATTACATCTGCTAATGCGGAAATGTACTTTTAATTTCGATTAACAGGGGCAGCGATGGCTTCATTGCTGGCAACTATCGTAAACGGGGCTTCTGCTAGACGCCATAAGCGTTAGAATGTGGTACGACCCCAATTATTCAATCATTTGTGGCGTTCTAGCATGCGTAATGTTCCTAATCCTAATGCTCTACCCGGAAAAGGGCTTTCTGCAATAATGGTACGGAAAGATTTAGATGTCCCGGAACCCGTTATTTGGAAGCTGTCACGCTGTTGTTGCATATGAGAACGACGGTATCTTCCTAGGCCCTGGTCCTAGAAGATCTCGATCGAATGCGCGCATATCTGCATGTTCCCAATGAACATGACTGAGAAAACTGGAGGTTGGTATGTACGATTCATATAACCATTTTATCACGGCGAGTATGTGAGGTATCTGGGCACTTTACTACAAAGTACGTACTCTAGAGTGAGTGGGTACATATATTTACTAAGGAATCCACCCCTGTCAAAACCGATTATCTATCAAGTCAATCATATGCGCGGTAGCCACACCCTGCCTGCCTGCAGAGTCCCTCTTTTAGATGTACCTTAATATTTGACTTGCGCCTACACTACAGGAAACGTTACCAGGATTTCACACGTCGGAGCATTCCTTCCGAGCAGACTTCATTTTACTTTTCAGATTCATCTGTGGGCAGGGGAGGGAGTACCGGCACATACAATAGGGGCCGACCGACACCTCTCAAAAAAATTCTTAACTCCAGTAAATGTATACGTAGGAGAACGGTGTTATTTGTCCCGATGGCTTGGGCTCGGGCCCTGGGTACAACTTTTGTATGGCTTGTCGTTGGTGGCGCTCTCATGTTCTACTCTGAGAAGACATCGCATCGTGCATAACTCTGCAGAGATGGCAGGTACTCGTAGTTTTTTGACGTTTCCGGACGCGACCACTATTGCATGCCATACAAAAGATAGCCTTGGCGATTTTTTTCTGTGTATGCAATAGCAGTTGCGTCCGGAAACGCTATGAAATTGCGAGTAGATAATGAAAAGTTCCGAGTTCCGAGAAGGTGGGGCAAATGACAGCTTGGTAAGGGTACAAACCTCTACTCGTAGTTGTTTGACGTTTCCGGACGCAACTACTATTGCATACACAGAAAAAACTCGCCAAGGCTATCTTTTGTATGGCATGCAATAGCAGTTGCGTCCGGAAACGCCAAAAAACTACGAGTAGTAAACCAGTAGTAAGTCGATAGTAAGTCTTCGATTTTGTCCCAATTTATTATTTCTCTGCACAAATTATTACTTACCCTGGCTCACCTTTCTCCCCTGATATGATAGAGTGCCAAGCTACATGTACTAAGCTAAATACAAAAACAGAATTATTAAGGCCTAGCAGAATTGCTAGGATACCCCGAACCACCCTGACCCCACTAAGCTTAAAATGGAGTTTCTAATAAGGATGCTGAGCCCGCTCTCGGACCCTGCGGGGTGCACATGTCTCAGGTCGTTTATATGCATGGAAGCGATAGCAGTGCTAGTCTTTAGCTCTGTAGGCTGTGGCATTTTCGGTGGATCCGAAACGTCTTCTTTCAAAGGCATTAGAGGCTTTCAGTTGACCTGAATTTTCATTTTCAAAGTGAAAGGGAAACTCATGCAGCTAAAGTTGCGTCTGCTTCTGCAGCTGACATGTCACTTTCTGGTAAATACTCAATACTAAATATTCCGTCCTCAAGTATTTCTCGGTCTGCACCTGTAGGATGCCCTTTTTATCAATAGTTTAACGCGCTCAAGACAGGCCCTTGGCTGCAGGAGTTTCCTTTTCATTTTGGAAATGGATAACAGGGATCAACTGAAAGCCTCTATTTTACTACACTACTTGAGAGGAGGTGGGCTCATTTCTAGGCAGCAGAAAACAACAATCCCGGTGCCTCAATCTTAGCCATGTAGGTGTAGGTATGGACATACCTACTTCATAGATGTTCTGGATATATAAGACATGGCGTGTGTGGGTGTTGGTGTGCTTTAAGCTAGATTTTCTTACAAGAGATCTTATAGGTGCGCAATGACAAGTACTTGTCCTGGGCAGGAGGTACGTGCTTGTTATGACCACACTCTTATAAATATTTCCCGGGAAAAACAGGCGAGAAAAAAAAAACGCACAGAGATGTCTCGGAAAACACAAACAATAAGCCATTATTTCCACCTTAGCATTCCTCTGCTATATATCAAGGATGGCAAATGCAGGATTTTTGGGTGCGGTGGACATCGAAATTAATATATGGGTCCTTTTGGCACCACTGATTCTCCTCATTAGCAGCCAGGTCTTATCTGCGTGTACGCCCCACTACAGCTGGCTCTTGGTATTAATGCATTCTTCTGGTATGCTTTACCGACGGCCGGATCCTTAAAAGGATTCTTGACGAAAGTAGAATAGTCGAACCACGGAAGAGCCCTAATTGAAGTCAGGTCATCATAGAAGTTTCTATTGACAATTCCATCAACCTCACGCTATTTAATTCATGAAGTCATTGTCGGCTGAGGCTGTCACTAGCTGTTCATCATGTCAACTCGGGAGTTATCCATTAAACAGTGAGCTTTCAGTTAGTAGGTATTCTACTTACTAGGCGTATGTAGGATGGCCCATCGGAGCCAATTACACATATATTTGTTTTGCATACATAATAGGGCGACCTACTGCGTCAAGCATGGTCTACCCCGAAGATAATTGTCAACAAAGTAAATTATTCATATCTACAAGAAAAAAGGATCACCCAATATATCTTCCTTCAGACCTAAAGGGGAGGTTTCCTATCATAAGGAGCTTCTTGCTCAAGGGTTGCGGGAACAGAAACCAATTCCCAAGTACTTTTTCTTTTCCAAACAACGCAATATTAAGCAACGTTGGCCGCGGCAAGCTATATCCGGCGCCCACTCTGTATCGTCGAAACACTCTCCCCGCGCTCCTCGACATCTACCGTGATATCCATAGTCTTCGTGATCCCATTCGGGCCGTAATTGATGATGTGCTCCTCACTCTCATTGTCCTTCGTCGTATGGCTGCCATGGTGGTGAAGGTTCTCTTCATCGGACTTGCGGCACGTTATTGCAACCCTATGGCTATATTCTGGTTCCGCACTCGCTCCTCCGCCGCTAAGTGACCCCAGCGCATACATATTACCTGATTTCTTTGCGGGGCCGCTGAGGCCGCTTATGCCGCTGCTCCCCGTCCTTGAGCGGCCGAACACCGAGGGCAGCACTCGGCCCATCAGGGGCTTGAGTGCCGGGAGCGACGCGCAGATTATCCCGATGTTGTATTCGATGCAGGACCAATTTGAGAGATCGACGCCGTGCCCTGGGGAGGGATGAGTATTAGTAATTGCACGCAGGAAATTTATATGGGGATAATTATAATTTGCGATATATGCATATGCATTGCGGATTAATTGGAGGGGCATTGGCTTACATGTCACATCCACTTGTTGAGAAAGACGGAACAAAAGACTGAGACGGATACAACTCGCAATACAGACACTGCAATCACCAATATCTCCACATTAGCAATCCTATTCCTAAATCCCCCAATCTCCGACAATCAATCAACCGCGCCGCAATGGCAAAGGACAATACTCACAACGCCCCCAGGCCCAAAATGAACCCCAACGCCAATTTCTGCGCCGTCGGCAGCTTCAGCTTCCACAGCGTCGGCAGCGGCAGCACAAACACAATAAAGTCATTCACGATATTGATGATGGCCGTGCTCTTAAAGAAGGTCATCTGGTCAATACACTTCCCACCAGGGATCGAGGTGTCGTAGACAAAAGCGACCGGTGCGCACTGGAAGATGTCGCTGAGCGTCACGGCGATGCCGAAGGCAATTGAGAGCCCGATGACGATTTTGACGGTGCGCATGTATTGCGCGTTGGGCGAGAGGCGGCGGTAGAAGAGGAGGATGGAAAGTCTGGTCATGAGCAGGATGGGCATGTAGAGGATTTGCACGACGAATGACATCTGCGGGTGTTGGAGCGCATTGTTAGTATTCTTGTTAAAAAAAAAAAATCTCTGGAGATAGTTCCGGGAGGATGTGGGTATGATTGAGAGCGGGTTCGGGTATATGCGATGTGTACCTTGAGGGAGGGTGCCAATGATAGGTTCGGCGGAACATCCCACAGATGAAGTCCTGTGCCGTATCGTGTAGCTGCAAAACAATCATTTCTTAGCTTTATGCCCACTCATGCCTTCAATCCACCGCACTGAGTAAAGATATTATCACATACCCATACACCCTAATGTAGTCTCAATCACCGCAAACAACTATATCACAGACCAAAATTAGTCTCTCTCCAGCAAAATATTTTGTAATCCACCATGCAAAAAAAAGAACTTATGTATAAAAAAGGATCCAACTCACCATAGCCACCGAAATCGCCAAATCATCCGTCCCCCAGAACCTCATAATCTTCGTCCTAGTATAAACCCTCGCCGACACAATTAGGAACGCCAGCACCGTCAGCCCAATCTGCACACCCAGCAGCTCGGGCACTCTTGTTTCCGGGTTGACATAGTTTGGGGTAGGCGTCGTCGTTGCCATAGATAACCACTATCTCTCTCCTCTCCTCTTCCCTTCTTCTTCCTTCTTCCTTTTGATATATCGATATCGATACCAATGACCCTATTAGTTATAAAATATAAGCGTTATAATAATTATAAGCGTTATAATAATTATAACCTAGCGTTATACAAGTAGTACTAGTAGTAGTACAAAAGCAAGTTGCACTGCCGATCGCGGGCGTCCCCCTCGAAGTAGTAAAAGAGCGACGAAACACTGGCAGATTTAGTACGAGGCGGTAGAAGAGTCTAAGGATGTGCGAAAGCCCATCTCAAAGCCTGGGGGTGGGAGGGGCGGATGCCGGTGGAATAATAGATATTTATGGGTTGGGTCCGTAGTGGCAGTAGTAGTAAGAAGTAGTGGGTGGTGGGCTCCATGGAGCTACATATATGGACAGCAGCTTATGTATACTTAGTTTATTAGCTGCCATGCCAGCTAACTAGCTAGCTCAATATCTTGATACGAAGTGGGGATGGATGGGTGAATGGATGGGAGGGATGCGAGGAGGGGGGGGGGGGGAGGTGGAAATTCTACAGAAAATTGTGTAAAGTACGTACAGGTACTTTAGGAATGATGTGCCTGATCCCCTCCCATCCTCCAGACAGCACCCCTCCCGCTCATGGGAAGATTCTTACGTTACGCCAGAGGTGGGTAGGTGTGTCATCTCTAGCTCTTTCACCCAACTATCCCTCGATCCTCCATCCATGACCAGCTATCTATCCCATCCCGTGGGAACGATTACGAGCGCCCTAGAGTGGCGTATGGGTAAAGTTTCCGGGGAAACATTAACAAATATTACCCGGTACTGCAAGGAAACAGAAGAGGAATGTCTTGAATTGAGAAGCTAGAGAACCTGCATAGCTACTTTCCTCGTACATACAATGGCAGTCTAGAATACTCTCTAATACCACCTAACCTGCATGTTCGGACATAATTAAAATCATCTGCATTATCATTTTTCTATATTTTTTTCCCGCCATATCTACATATTTGTGCACGTTCTCACTCTAGCTGCTCTACCTTAGAGTGATGGGTGGCGATCAGATCGCTTTCTTCTTCATTATCTTACTACCTCTACCGTAGGAGGCTTTTGAAGTTAACACATACCAATTGTCCCTTGCATGCGTTTTAAAGCACATGTATTTTCGGCAAATCTTCCTGTGTTAGATCTTGGCTTATTTTAGGGAGCCGAGATGTCTCTTCCCTCAACTCCATTGTGCATACATACAGTTTGAATACGCGGGGAACAAAAAAACAAAAAACAAAAAACAGCAATATGATACCTCGGCTGTGGCACTGTCGTTGTTTCTGCTACCTAAAACTCTGCATTAATGCAGGCTTTATCCTTGGATAATCTCATGAAACCATCCCATCTAATAACTGGCTCTCTAATCTAGAGTAATGGTATTGCTCTGCGTAATAGTCATCTTATGATATACCCATACACTTGAAGAGCCTGAGTTAATACCGAAAGAGCACTGGCCAACTGACCAACTGCAGGACAGAGAAAAAAGGGGAGAAAATTGGTAATAGGGGACCTTTAGCGATAAGACTTCTCCATTATCGTACCATTCTTACTACCCAGGTAGGTAAGTGAGCGTTGTCAAATTGAGGTCCACAAGAGTTCTCTGTCAGTACGCAAAATGTGGAGCTGAAAAAAATGTCACATTTTAATTGATGCCTCATTTAATTGATGCCTCAACGATTGCTCATCATCCCCAAGGAAGCTTCGCCATACCCACGCGACATCCCGGCATCGCGGGAAGCGACGACTCCTGAGCCGACCCAACTGAGAGACCACCACGTTACACGACCTAATGAACTCACTAACCACTACTAATTATTCCATAAAGGGTAAGGCGGCATCTTCTGCAGCAGTGCACTCTTGTCTCGGAAATCTTGACTCCAGGGGTGCAAAAGATCGAAACTCTAGATCTTCTCATGGGCCAAGAAATCGGGCCGAATAAGCATTATTTCTAGTGGCCAGAGAAAATACCATTGGTGCTGTCTTAGATAATCCAGCTTCGAGTTCTTTTCAGCCTTTAAATACACTTCGGGGGGTTGGTTGATGGGTAGACCATCCTAACTTTCCATGGTTCCTTCCCGGCCTAGAATAACAAGTAGTCAAATCCTGAACCTCTATCATTGTCTCTCGGTGGTTTTGTATGTGTCTTAGGTTTTTTCTCGTGGTCATGTAAGGTTCAAGTAGAGCTTGCGAATGTGTTACTGTATATGTGACCCCACCGCCTTCCGTGGAGTTAGCCATCTTCTCGCTAAGTCTAGTAACATTCCTTTTGACTCATATGCATCACCTTATTCTTTGAATGACTTACAATACGCTTGGTGATTGTTATCGTTACCTCATAACCAGAGAATGAGACAGAAAGGTATGTTCAGTTAACAAGAATTTGTTATCAACGTCGGAGTATCAAATTATCCTCTTTGAAGCGCCGCTTATGGAACTAAAGATCGTGAGTTATTTAACATCACCCATTATATATGAGTATATTTTGGGGGCATAATACATACGTACGTCTTTCAATCCTGCATGCAATTCAAGGATCTTAGTGCTTAAAGTAAGCCTGGGCTAGAGTGAGCTAGTGAGGTCTATCAAAGACAGCTTATGCCAATCATTTGTAGCTCCATAATCAACAGGCGAAAGCCATTTTAATGCCATGTTAATGCCATTAGCACGCACATACAAGTCGGATCAACAGATCTCTCCAAGGAAACTGTCATTGTGATGTCCGTCAATGCTCGAAACCGAAGTTACAAGGTAGTGCTTGTCTCTAGCACCCGCGCCAAGACTTGCCTAAAATCTTAGGTTTTATTTCAGCTCCCGAGCGAAGCCATCGTGTTTTAGATTTATGCTTGTCCTACAAACAAAGATTACGTCGACGTCGTCTCTGGTTTTGAAATAAAAATGGACGGTCGAAGCTTTTAGACTCGGAATTAGAGAATTAAAGGTGATGGCCAGTATGACATGCATTTGTTGGTATCCCAAGCCCAAATGTCTCCGAGCCTTCCTCCTATTTGGAATAATGACATGATATTTGTCTTGTAGACAATGCGCCTTAATGGGGTGTACCAAATATGGATTCCAAACGTCCATGGCACATTCACCTCACAATTGGTGGCCCCCGGACCAAGCAAACGTGCAATCCCGAGACACCTCCGTGCGTACGTCCTAGGTTTCCGGACTCCAACTACATTCAGGGACAAGTAAATCCAAGGTTACTGCAAGGGTTTCCACATAAGAGAGTCACAGTTTCAAAATTGACGATGGATGGCTGATGATGATCGTGGATATACCATGTAGTAAGCTTGTCTACCCAGGGTAACTCACTGAAACCCACTCACCTATCTCGTGATTCTAGAAGCCTGTGCGTTCGTGTGCTCAAGTTTTTATCTGTATTGAGCGATCGGTGAACGTCCCTAGTTTATGGTTTTGTCTTCCTAGATGAGTGAATCTGACGGCTTGGAAAAGGAAGGACGGATGAAAGACGGGAGGAATGGGGAAATAAGAAGGGTGGGGCTAAAAAGAATTCTAAAATGTTGCCCGCGCGTAGTACGTGCCTTGATGGATATGACAAGTGGAGATTTGGTAACAGCTGGCGGGACTACCACAGTAGGTACTATTAGCTCGTGCCATAGTATGAGAGTAAAAGTGTCGTAAAGTGAAAACCTGCGCAATCTTGACCAGACCACCGAGTGAGAATTTGTGATTATCGAAATACTTAGGATAATGGATTGATTACTGTTATTCTTTGCCTCTGATTTCCCCGCACACCTTCTTTCGCAACACAATATGTAGCACGTGTAGCACGTGTAGCACATGCTTTTGCACTGCCTGGTACCATTATCCCTACCCAACCCATAAATTCGTTTATCTATCGGAATAGATTACTTTCTGGATTTTCGTTGTCGTCCTTGAAAAGAGCCAATACAATTTGACAGTTTGTGTGTATGCAGCTCACCTTTTCGGGTTTCCCGCACACGCATAGATTAGTAAATAGTGCCGGTAAGCTCCGTAGAATATTTATGAAGAGCTCCTTTTCCAGTTTAATACTTTATCTTCCTCGCTAATATTTGGATAGTGCCATAACCGAGTTGAAATGCCAGTAGAATACCAAATAGTGTGCTGCGGACTTCTCTCCGATGGTCGTCGTTCTATCAGGCTATTATTTGATCGCTAGGTCTTCTTATTCGGCAAGAGATAACCGTAGGATAGATGCATAACGGTCAAAACTTAAACACCTCGAACACGGGCGGATAGGACAGAAAACCCCCCGCACCCATCGCAGTACTCGCCTACCAGCATAAGAACCAGAAAATACGAGTGACAAAGTCAAGGATTATTTATATGGAATGGTAACGTTCTAGAATTCCGCTATACTCCTTGACTTTGGCAACAGCATTTTCTGGTTCTTGTGCTGGTAGGTAAGTACTCCCCAACAATATGCCTAAAACCGTGAATAATGTTATTCCTTGACAGGAAAATTAGTAGAGCCGAAGCTGAATAAAAACAATAACTAGACCCGCAGTAGCGCCCCCGACGCGAGAGGCCGCTGCCTCTACACTATCATTTTGGGTCCATGATTGACTTTCTCGGCAGACCATCTACATAATATTGTTGTCCAAAAACATAAAATTATAGAGAACCAACCACTAGTACCTATATAATGATCAGTGACTATAATCTCTACGTGCCTAAAAAGGTTGCGAATCGATCGCAGTAGTACGCACACACCTACGTACCTATACCAATATCAAATCAATGTAAACTCGGCCGAGAGAGGTTCATAGTACTTTCAACCCCTCCAATGGCACCTCCCGAGAGATTATATGGCTATTCTAGTGCTGTATTATACACTGATTGACTGGCCAATCAATCGTATAATCGGGCCTGTATGGCCCACGTGGCCGGTCGCTTCCAAGTACGGATCAGTTATTCCGAAGGATTCTGGCTATATATTGACTCCCAAGTTTTTCAAAGAATAATAATACATCGCAGAGTGTTACACTTTCTTGAGGGCCTCGGGGTATTAACTTCAGAAGAGCTTTTGTCTCGTTAGTCCCATGATGCGGTCTGTAATGACAATGGTACCGGATTTGATATGTACTGATGGATATTGCATCCAGGTAGTAGAAGCCTTCCCGTAAGCAATAAAATGATTCTATTTCAATAGTATATTGCAATAAAATGAGTCTATTTCAATAGTATATTGCAATAGAAGATGATTTTCGAATAGACCGGGTTCCCTTGATTGCTATACAGTGTATGGTAAGCTTGTTGTAAAAGTATGGGAAGTGTCCTATTAGCCGAGTCAGCCCTTGTTTCTATGATATTTCTACCTCACATTGTGGATTCCTAAAGATAATCGGTTCCTAATACAAAACAGGCGTCGTGAAGCCATCTTTTGGTACTTTTTTTCGTGCTAGCAAGGTATCCCCTCTCTCTCAACGGGTAGAAGTATATCTATCGAATAGACCCCTCGGAGGGGGTGATCTATAATAAACAAACAGATCTCCCGTTCTATTTGCTAGACTCCATTCGGCAATAAAACGAGCTCTTTCGCTCACGGGAAGTCGTCTAGTATTCCATAACTATCAATTGTCAAGTCAGCAGCACTTCCACCATGCAGCACCCACCCACAAAACTAGAAATCTGAGAAAATTCGTTGAGGCACCGCGGAGATATAGGTATGCCAACCATAGGCAGACTTTGGGCGCCAAAATGCAAGTTTTGGTGTAGAATACCCCTACTGCAGCGCAACGGAATTTCTCAAATTTTGCGGTATGTAGAAGACGTTGAAGCTAGGTGTTGAGGATGTAGGGAATATTAATGTAGCAATGGAGGATGCGGGCCGTGCCGTAACCTCAGGCTTGGCACACAAAAGTCTACTCTTCATGTATGTAGACTTTGACCATGGTGGGGGTAATTATCAATGCGGGGCGCAGACTTGGAGACCTGTAAAAAAAAAAAAAAAAAAGGGCTGTACCCCTGCTGGGAATCTTTAGCGTCCAATTTCTGCTCGTGGGACGTCGACAGGCGAGATGTGTTCCCTAAGCTAGTCAAGTCCACAGGATAGCACAATCGGGCTGTACTGATGAAGATCTAGATCGATGCAGACCATTAATTTGTAGGTATATATGTAGAAGTTATGTAACTGGTACTGAATTCTTTATTGTTGGTGTCTTTTTTGCATAGTTAACGAATTAATTAACCAATTATCCCCGGCACGTAGCTTGTAGGTACGTATGGGCAACCAGGTGATGAAACCCCAATGTTGCGGCATGAAAACTCCACAAAAACCTCACCAAGATCCCCCCATTTAGAGCACCCTAATGACTACCATATTCCAGCTCTAAAGCAGCTCTGTCTCCTTCTACATATCAATATTCCTTCACCCACCACCTACTTGTATCTCGTCGGTTGCCCGCGTAAACAATATCCGTTGCCAAGAAAAGCGCATAAAGCGAGTGATTTACTATGATTGACGGCCAGCTACATGTTTCCCAGCAGAACAAGATCGAGTTTTGGGTATCACCGGGGAAGAAGCACACACACACACACAAAAAAAAAAAAAAAAAAAAGAGGACGTCTACACAGCAGGTAAAAAAGTGATTAAAAAGCCTATGATATTAATACCCCTCTCTATCTAATTCTAATTCGTTACCCCCGTAGCTAGCTAGCAATTGATCCTCTTGATGCGCACATCCCCTCGAGCTCTCAATGTCCCAAAAGCCAGAAGCGTCCCAATTAATCACTGTTCATGTGCGTGAAAAAAAAAAATTTGCACCCAAAGTAGCACCCCACTATGATACATGTCCTCGTTCATCCCACTCCGCATATCCTTTTATTGTTTCTAATGTTCACGATCCCGCGATAAGGATCATCAACAACGAAAACAACAAAAGGGGGCGGAAGTGACGACCAAGGGACTGAACCAAAACTAAATCATACCCTCTCTATCCCATAGCCAGCCCCACTGCCTTCCTTCTTCTTGTATTGACTTCTTGACGGCGTTTGTGCTTGTAAAACACCTAAAGCCGACAAGAAAGTAATACAAGAAGGAACGCAAGCAACGGTCCATGAGAGAGAGGGCACGACTATTCCCACGCACTTTCGACCACCCCACTCCGTATATCCTTTTCTTGTTCTTAGTCTTTCATGGCCGCTGTTTCAAAGGTCCGAAAAAGAAGAAGAACAATAAAAGGGGACGGAAGTGATGACCAAAAGACTCGTGAATCAAACCGTACCAGACCGCCCCAACTGCCTTCCCTCAGTTTGTTTCCGTTTCTCACCGTCTGTGCGCAAGCACGACGATAGAGGGGGGGGGGGACAAAAAGAAGGAACACACGGAACGGTCTAGTACGAGAGGGCACGATTATTCCCAACCCCCAAACCCCAAACTACTTCACATCGCGCGCCCTTTCTTGTCAGCGCCTACCAATCCTACAACTCGAGATCCCTTAAAAAAAAGGAAGGAGCTGAAAAGGCAAGGAAGGAGCTACAAGAGAAGAGCAGCAAGAGCGAATAGTAGAGGCAAGGGTGGAGAGACAGAGTGAGAAGAGAGAGGTGAGATGCTTGAGAACGGGAAGAAAGAAGAAAAAGAGGAGAAGAGAGGCTTTTATAAAGAAAAGGATTTCAGATAATTTGTGCGTAAGTACAGGTTAGTGACTGCTATTATCGGCCTTGGTTTTACGCACATCAATCCCGCGATGGGTTATTTGTTCGAAGAGACGTGTCCTTCCCACAATGTGCTCCCCTCCGGCCCAGACCACGCCCAGTCACCTACCCATGGGCAGGGCTTAAGCTTTTTCCTCAATCCGCAGCTTGGTCTCCTGCTTAACTCGACCCCCCCGTGTGTGTATTGTAGCCTGAATATCTTCCAAATAAAATAAAAAGCTCGTCATCTCTTTGTGCGTACGTTTCCCCCCGCTGTCCGGCATGCGCATCTTGAGTGAAGCCAGCACCCAAAATACAGACTATAACGAAACATCATGCTGTGATTCCTCCAACAGCTTCCCCCCAATACTCTGCCCCCCTTAATAAACATAAATATCCCAACCGTAATGAGCATAATCAATCAATAAACATTTCAATTTATTTGTTGCCCCCCCCCCCCAAAAAAAAAAAAAAAACGCATGCTCGATCATGAAGCACACGGTTGCGCCCTAACCAGCAGTCGCAAGTGTACGTCTTGGCACACGAAAAAAATTCGCTTTTAAGCGTAGGGTGGGAACGTCACTAAATAGCACTCGCAGAATCCGTCACTAAAAAGCACTCGCTCTTGGCAAAACTGAGACTCCCCATGATAATTGATATTTGAAAATCTTTACTCCACCAAGGGAGCATGACGGAGTATTTTATTAGAGGGAAGGGCACGCAGGCAAATTCCTCGCCTTCTTCTACCCCGCCCTCCCGCTGTTTTTCCTCCTATCAAAAATCAAAAAATGAGGTTTTTGGGGTTACCAAGAAGTGCTTTTTTGTAAATTTCTGTGACAGTGAACGAGCAATTCCTGCTGCTCGGCCTGCAAAAATTTTCTTGCTCCCTCTGCACGCTGTAGAGGCGTGTAGCCCTATTGTGCGGCCAAGATTTCCCACACTGGGCAGTGGGCAGTGGGCAGTGGTTCTGTAGGCCGAGAAACATTTCACCGCAATAAACCAAACCACCACATAACAATTTTCTCCCCCCAACTTCCTACCACGTAGGACGTTTCTTCTTCTCCCTTCCTCTGTCACGTACCAATCTTCCCCCTCCTTGGTCACATAGGAAATTCCCTCCTCTGCCTTCCTCCATCACTTCTCAATCTTCTCCCCTCCCCGATCACGTATAAATCTTTTTCCCCCTCGTCACATACCAATCTCCCCCTCCTCCTTCACGCACAAATCCGCTTCTTCTTTCCCTCCACTACATCACCAGGATCCGAGAAAACCCATTTTTCTCCAATCCCATCACTGCAAACCAGTGCAACTCACAAAACTTTTCACATCACAACATCCCCCTTTCAATCCACCAACTTCCATTCACGATGGGAGATCGCAGAGCCTTCAGAACCCTGATGTACCACGGGGAAGAAGCACTCCACTTGCTTCGCAACGTTCAACCCCAAAATGATATCGAACCCCAGGTGTTTGAAGAATTCCTCAAGCTCCTCCAGGAGATTAAACTTGCTGCTACTCAAGCTGCTGCAGGTTTTTGTAACGGTGATGACCTACTTGAGAACCAAGGGGGTGTTGGTGAACGCAGTCAGAAAAATGTTGATCAACGTAAGAAAAAATCACTCCAAAATCCTTGATCACCACCAAAGTGTCAATGACAGAGAACTAATCAAAGAAAAACTTGAAAATAGCTTTTCTAAGAGCCTCTGCGGCTCCACAGGAACCCTTGGTTCAAGAAGTCCCGGCTCGTAAAGTCTATGGAGGTGAGTCTATAAAAATATTAAATATTCCAACATTAATTGGCGGAAAGAAACAAAGCTAATCGATCCAAAAGCTTATGTGCAGCAACCCTTCCTGAAGGGATGGCTCGAAAATCCTAGGCCTGCCCCGGCACCTCCTGGTCTTCAGAGGGGTCCTATCATTAGATCCAATTCTCCTTCTTTGCAATTGGTGATTGATCCTACCCACTGCGGAGAGCCTGCCCCGGCGCCTCCAGGTCTTCAGAGGGATCCTATCATTAGAACCCGCTCCACTTCCATGGTGATTGATCCTCCTCGCTGGAGACAGCCGGCCCCGCAGCGCGAGATCGCTGTTGGTGAGAACGGGGCTCTGGCTGGCCTTGGTCAAAACCAGCCGAGAGTAGCCTTCGGAGTGCTCCGGGCAGAGGGACGTTTCCCGGCTGCCCTAGGCCTCCTTCCACGCTACCAACATTCGGCCGCGCCGCCTGAACTATCTTCATTTGCAGCGGGCGATAGCTTCGCGACCCGCAGTGGCGAGGGCTTTAGGCGCAGGTGGGATATCGACGAGGATCCATATTGGGAGTACGCCAATGAGGACGAGGCAGAAAGCGCCAACAGGGCTGGGGGTGCTGTTGATGCGGCCGATGACGCTGAAGAAAGCACTGGTAGTGAGGAGGAGAAGGAGGAGGGGAAGGTTGGTTGGAACACTAGGCCGCGTGTTTGCGCCGGGCCCTGCCGTTACTTTTAGTAGTTAGTCTATGGGTCCTTAATTGAAAAGAGTACCGGTACCTGCATGGGTTGGGCAGCGAAGATAGTATTTGGGTACAATGTCGGTGATGATGAAGTTGTAGAAGGTTAGGTGATGGAAGGCTCTCTGTCATGGAAGAATCGAGGTCGGATACATACATGATCCCAGGCTACGACCAGTGCTGTCATCCATGTTCACAAGCTATTAAACGAAGTCCTATAATATCTCGCTTAGTTGGCTCCGAATCTTTTCTTGTAAATATTTACTGCGGCTGTGTTCGTATCTGTGCCGTTTGAATATCTTTTTGCGCAGCACACATCATCTTGAATCTACACCTGGCGGACTACATGATTGGTCGTTGGTGTCGGTTCCCGTTTTCGTCAAGAGTGAAGAAGAAAGAAACCAGAAGAGATCGAGGCCCATCTGGAATATGATTCAAGGAAGGAGAAAATTAAAGGAGCACACGCTAATTTCATTTACTTATGCCAGGAAAGCTACATGTAGTATATAGATGTAAGGCTGTCTCGATTATAGGCATACGAATAAGTCCACGTACTCGGAGACAGAGATAACAGGATCCCATCCTTACTTCATACTCTTGAAATCTACGATCGACGTTTTATTTAAATGTTATGCGTGTTGTGATCCTTTTGATCCCTGTTTGAAACCGAGCTCTTGCGCTGTACCTGAATTCTGTTTATTATCACCAAGCACTGAATTCGCAAGCTTAAGTTCAACGCAAGACCATCGGCTCATCCTACCACAAGATGTAGCCACAACGGGACATGGTCAAAGAGCCTGTGTACTTATCGATTAGGACGTTTTAGGATACTAGAAGTTAGTTCGACTCCATCGAAGAAAAGATGAATGCAATACAGCAGTGGATGACTGACAGCATCATGTCGCGCTGCATGGGTTCTCACTCGGACGCTGATTCTAGCTGCATTTAGTGTTGGTTACCAGATCCCAAAAGAGGCCTTTGAAATCGCTACCATGTTTGGTATCACTACTATGTTTGGCATTACTACTAATATTTCAACCAGTCAGGAGCCAGGCCTCTAAGCCCGAGGACATGGATGCAGGCAGGTATCACTGGCACCTAACCACAAACAACTACGACTTGACTATCTCGGCCCCATGTGCTCACCGTGTTTCTCTGTTTCTCCTTCCCCACCATTCATATCCCGGTGCAGATCCTGCTCCATACCTCGGTAGTTGGTTGTTCAGCCGCAACCTCGGCACCTCCCACAGCTTCATCTCTACACATGATCTCTACACATGAGCTCTCCACACGAGCATCTACAAAACACCAAAAAACCTCCCATCACCACTCCCCCTCCCCCCTCCCCCCACCCCAGCTCCACCCCACAAATCAGCCCACAATGGCCGGCCCCATCCGTCACCCCATCGACCTCCGCTCCCTCGAGTCCTACCTCAACACCCACGCACCCCACATCAAGACCCCCCTCAGTGCACAGCAGTTCGGCTACGGCCAGTCAAACCCAACATACCTCCTCACCTCCACGCCCACCGGCGCCCAATACGTGCTCCGCAAGAAGCCGCCCGGCCAGCTCCTCAGCAAGACGGCACACCAGGTCGAGCGCGAGTACAAGGTGCTGAAGGCGCTCTCAACGGCGGGCGGCGATGTCCCAGCGCCAAAAGTGTACTGTCTGTGCGAGGACGCGGGGGTGCTGGGGAGTGCTTTCTACGTGTGTGGCCCACCTACCCACCTACCTGCCTATCTACAATTGACGCACGGGATGGACAGATGGCTGACATGGGGTGAAGATAATGGAGTACCTCAACGGGCGGATCTTCGATGACCCGTCGCTGCCCGGCGTAGCCACAGAGGCAAGGGCAGCAATGTGGAAGAGCGCAATCACGACACTGGCGAAGCTACACGCGGTCGACCCCGCAGCGAATGAGGGGCTGCGCAGCTTTGGGCGGCCGAATGGGTTCTATGGGAGGCAGATCAAGACGCTGTCGACCATTGAGGCGGCGCAGGCGGCGACGAGGGATGTCAAGACGGGGAAGGAGGTGGGGAAGGTGCCGAGGTTTGAGGAGATGGTTTGTCTCTTTCTCCCTGAATCGTGGTTGTTGTTTTAGGGATGGGCAGGCTGATGGTTGGGGGATATAGATGAAGTTCTTTAGCACAACGCAGCCGAAAGACCGGAGTGCTGTGATCCATGGAGATTACAAGATTGATAATCTCGTCTTCCACCCGACAGAGCCCTATGTGATCGGTATCCTCGACTGGGAGCTCTCAACAATCGGACACCCACTCAGCGACCTCGGTGCGTTCTTTCCCCGCTCTTCCTTCAATTGCCCCCACCACTAACACCGCTCTAGCAAACCTTCTCCTCCCCTGGCAGCTCCTCCTCCCCACCGCCGCAGGCGTCAGCGTCATGAACGGCGACATCCGCTGCTTCCTCCCCGACGCCACCCCCGGGCTGCCGACGCGCGAAGAGGCAATCTCCTGGTACGCGGAGGCCTCGGGATGGAAAGTCAAGCGGAGCGAGATGCTGTGGGGCGACGCATTCGGCTTCGTCAGGAACGCTATTATCATGCAGGGGATTGGGGCGCGGGTTGCGAGGGGGCAGGCGAGCAGTGCGAAGGCGGAGGGGTATGGCAGTAGGGTGCCGGCGTTTGCGGCGTGCGCTTGGAGGTGAGTTGCATATTCCAGTTTTTGGAGTGTACATGTTGTGAGTTGGGAGCTGACTTGTGGGGTAGGTGTATTGAGATGAGTGAAGAGGAGAGAGTGAAGGAGGAGAGGGCGGGGGCGAAACTGTAGTGGTTTCTTGGGGACTTGGATGGGCTTGTTTTCGGTTTTGTACTTTTTTTTTTTTTGTGGTTCTTTTTATGGTAGCGGGTTAATATGAATTACAGATGCCAGATTAATTTTGCTACCTCCCGCGTTCCGCGAGAGAGCTGGTTTGCCTGGATTATGATCATTGAGCGGAGCTGCGGTACTGCGATCATTGACCTTGATATCCCTCTTCCCGTACCGTGATGATGTTTATGGCCATAACGGGGTGCCCCAGGAAGAACAGTGCACGGACCCAGGAGTACCCTGGAGCGGTGTGCGCGTTTGGATAGTTGATGATGTTGAGGCTGGCAGTAATTTGTCGTGTTTATAAGAAAACCCTCGGGACCAATTATCGTACCCTCTACTAGCTAGGCATAAACTACAGTGACAGAAACATGGATAAAACGACTACCGCAGTCATTGGCAATGCCGTACCACTGCCGTACCACTGCCGTATACTTTGTTGAAATACGGAGACAAAACGGCACATTCTCACTGATGCGGTATCAGATTTACCCCCATTACTGATACTGTAGGCATGCGTAAACTTATCAGCTAAAAATCCCAGGCACAATTAAAGACCATATAAACCTCGTCCAGGGTGCTGCTTACATGGACGTGCTTTTATGACTAATTGGTGTAGCAGAGTTGAGGAAGCGTAGTGGGGGCGTGTGGCCGGGGGCGGGTAAGCTGCGGTGAGGTAGATTCTACCACCATCATTCACATCAACACCACTGTCATCTTCACCACTGCCACCACCATCACTCGAACTACATATTCGTTTAGAGCCTCAAGAGCCTCGTTTGCGTCGGGTCATCGAAGGGGGTTAATATGTGGATGCGAGGAGCGGTCACAGGCGATGGTTGGTGGCCATGGTCCGGTACATGAACACGAGGGAGCGAGCCTACATAGTGAGGAATACCCCCGCCCACAGCATGATGGATGGTCTGTGTGGTATCATGCCGCTGATATGGATAGATAGGGAAAGTAATGTATGACTACCGGGGGTTTACAATCCCTTACCAAGAACAGCAGAAGAAATGAACGCTTACATTTTTCTTGTAGTCAGAATACACAAGAGAGAAAACAGCCACAATACATCACAATCGAATCCAACAAAAAATTCATATAATTCCCCCTATCAATAATCTACACTACATAATAATAATAAAAAAAGACGTCCAAAAACACCCCCTCCACCTACCACCCCCCCTCCATCCACCTCTCCACAAACCTCCCCACCAACCCACCCCAACCACATCCACCGCCCCCGCCACAGCAGGACTCCACCTCCTCGTCACCTCCGTCTCAAACTCCAGCCCCTTCCGCCCCGGCAGGTCGTTGTCATACTTATCCTCAAAGAACCTCGTCAGCTTCACCGTCGGGTTCCTCACAGGGTCCTGGTCGCCGTCACGCAGCCGCTGCACCCACTCGCGCTGCGGACGACGTCGAAGTCGAGGCCGGCGGCTCGGAGCGCCGGGAGAAGGTCGTGCGTCCAGGAGAAGACGCGCGGGTTGAGCACGTGGTAGACGGTGGTGGGTGTGTCTTGTGGGAGGGGGCAGGAGAGGCCGGAGAGCTCGAGGATCGCTTGGGCGACTGTATCTACGGGCATCCACGATGGGGTCTATCACCACCACAGTTAGCACACCATACATCAAAAATGAAAAGCCTAAACCACCAAAAAAAAAATTGCAAAGGGCCAAACAAACCTCATCCAGATCCGGCAACACGCCCAACGTAACCGCACTCCTAATCATCAACGGAATCGCCTCCGTCCCACTCCACACCCCCACCCTACTATCCCCCACAATCTGCCCAATCCTCAACACCCTCGCATGCACCCCGACCCCACCCGCCGCCGCACCCACAATCCTCTCCGTCACCAGCTTCGACCTCGCATACCCCATCCCCTGCGCATGCGCCAGCTCCGGCACCTGCGTCTCCCCAATCCTCGCCGGCAGCGGCGTCCCCGCCGCCGCCGAGATCGAGCTGCAGAAGAAGAAGCGCGCCGGCCGCGGCGTGCGCACCGACAGACATAGCTGGAGGAAGTTGTGGGCGCCGGCGATGTGGTGCGTCTCGAACGAGGCGACGCCCATGTTGAAATTCACGGCCCAGGCGCTGTGGACCACGGCCGTGAGCGTGTTGCGGAGCTGCGTGAGTGTCGCTGCGTCGAGGCCGAGGTCGGCGCGGCTAAAGTCGCTGGGGAGGGCGGTGACTTTTGAGAGCTGCGCGGGCGGGGGCTGCAGGCTGCGTTGAGCGAGGGAGGCGTGCACACGGGCGAGTGCCTCCGCTGGCGACGGGGCGCGGACAAGGCAGTAGACGCGCTTTACATTCTCGAGTGGCAGAATCTGCGCCAGGACATGTGCGCCGAGCGAGCCCGTTGTCCCCGTTAAAATCTATCCCCCCCGAAATCCACATCCGTTAGTAACCAGTTCAGTGTCAATGATCGAATGACAGGTAATGATCGAAAATGCAGGTTTTCCACATACCACTGTCTCCCCGTCCACAACGGCGTTCCCGGGCACGTGCGGGTCAAAGACCGAGTATTTCTCCACCAGGCGCTGCATGACCTCGATGTCATCGACAACGTCGATCTCGCTGCCTGTCCGCAGCGCATACAGGTACCGCGCCAGACACTGCACGTTCGGCTGCTCGAACACCACAATCTGCGAGAGCTTGCCGCTGTTGCCGTTGAAGCTCAGCGTCTTCTTGAGCTTGTTCCACACGCTGATGGCACGCAGGCTGTCTACGCCCGCCAAGAAGAAGTCCGACGTTGTTGACTCGAGCTCCACACCCGTCTCTTTGAACAGCGAGAGCAGGAATGCCTCGAGTCCCGGAATGTCGAGCACGAGTGTGCCCTCGGCGGTGTTCTCGAATGCGGCGTAGATGGCTGAGATCTCGGGTTCGAACTGCTTATAGAACGCGGCGCGGATGACGGTGCCCTTGTCGGTGCTGGGGTAATCGACGCCGCGGGCCACAACGCCAACCATCTCTTTCGAAATCTGCGAGAACGACTCTGCACGCGTGTTTGCATCCTCGACCGCCGGCCACACACTATCACGGATCTCATCATCACTCATACCCACAGCATGCTCACTCGGTATCAGCAAGATCCCCGGCACGCTCTTCCCAATGCCAAAGACCACACACTCCCTCACGAGCGGATGCTCCCTCACCCTCCCCTCAATCGGGATCGGCAGCACCTTCTCCCCATTCACCAGCGTCACGCGGTCATCAATGCGGCCTAGATACTTCCACGCGCCCTCGATCGTCGCATGCTTCACAAACAGATCCCTCGTGCGGAAGCTATTCGGCGGCTCGTCCGCATTACTGCACACCTTCGCCTTCCACCCGTCGCGCACCACAACCTCATACGCATCGCTCCCCGCCACGCGGTCCATCAGCAGATACGGCTCCAGCGCCTTCGGCACACGCACATAGTTCCACGCATCGTCGCCCGCCGGCCGAAACGACGTCATCAGCTGCCCTGTCTCGGTCGCGCCATAATGGCCCACCAGGTTGACGCCCGCCGCAACCAGCCGATCACCCAGCTCATCCGGGCAGCTGCTGCCGCCAAAGAGCACAAGCCGACACGCGCGCAGCACCGCCACGCCGCGGGGCGTCTCGGCGAGCACCTTGAGCGCGTAGGGCACGCCGTAGAAGATCTGCGGGCGTGTGTGCTCCATCGCGGTGGCCAGGTTCGCGCCCGTAAGCGGCAGGTTGGGGTTAAAGAAGGCGATGACGTTTCGTGAGAAGACGGCGCGCATGAATGAGGAGATGCCGTGGTTGTGGTAGAGCGGCAGCGTGATGAAGCCGCGCAGCGGGAAGGAGGACGAGTAGTTGAACAGGCAGGCGGCGTGGGTCTGGAAGATTGGTTTTGGTAGGCCCGTGGAGCCCGAGGAGTGCACGATGAAGGCGACCTTTGCTGCTTCAGTTGGTGTAGAGCGGTGGACGGTCAGGCGGGGCTGCGGCTGCTTCGCGGCGTAGGTGTGCTTTGGGATGATTGTGAAGGTGCGCAGGGCGGGCTTGGCTGCTTGTACGGCGGTGAGCAGCGGGGCGAAGGGCGGCGTGGTGATGATGGTTGTGCAGTTTGTGCTTGTGAGGAGGGCGGCGATGGCGTGTGCGGAGAGGCGGTTGGAGAGGAGGAGGACGGAAAAGCCGAGGCGCTGGAGAGCGAAGAGGGTGGCGATGTAGTCGATGTTTGACGGTGCCAGGAGGGCCACTACGGTTCGTTCGCCCGCGTCGAAGGGGTCCTGCATATCACATATATATTAACATCCATATATATACCAGCTAGAGCTAGATACAAAGCAAAACACAACATAGAGTAGTAGAGCAAACATACACCAGGAACCAGTCCCAGGCGCAGATACGCCCTCGCCGCGCCCTCCGCAAAGCCGTCCAGCATGCGCGCCGTGTACTGTACATAATCCGTCAGCCCGCTCTCCGATGCCGGATACGCGACCAGCGGCACGTCCGGCGCGGTGCGGGCGCGGTGCACGAGGAGGTCGTTGATTGTGTAGAGCACATCGCTGTCTTTGCTCTCCTCTGGGGCGGTGGTGGTGGTGGAGGAGGCGTAGATGGGCTTGTCGTGGGCGTGGGCGGCGGGGAGCGTTAGTGCTGCGGAGCTCATTGTGGGTGTTGAAGATGGAGGTGGTTGGCTTATAGCTATGTATGTAGGAGGCAAGGCAGCTTCAATGCTGCAGAATAATAATAAAAAAGTATCGATGTAGGTGAGATGAGATGAGTATGAGATGAGTATAAGATGAGATGGAGAGATGAAGAGCTCAAGATGAAGACAAAAAAGAAAACCAACAACGAAACTCCGCGGCAATGCAGTAAATTAATAAATACACCTACCAGCCTAGCTACTCTCCCTCCCCCCATTCCCCTTCCCCTCCTCCTCCTCCTATCCCCACTACCCCAACCCCGATACTCCAACCAACTAACCAACTAACCAACTAGCTACTGCCCGATAAGCCCCCCCCCCCCCCCAGACCCCAAACCCGGAATTCAACCGGTACCGGATATCGATCATGCATACATAGCATTTCCGGAAAACCACCCCGGTGCTGGAGCTTTTCCGCGACAATCATACACGAATGCGGTAGCGGACCAGGGGGCGGCCCGGATGCGTGGTGGGAGTATCCGGGTAAGGATTATGTACCCGGGCGGGTATTCCTTTTTTTTGTGTGGATTGAGATTGATAGGCCATGGCCGGGGGATCGAGCAAGCTGCCTTAAGCACCTCGGCTTTGGTTAATGGGGGGGGGGTTATCGCGTGTGGGGTAGTTGGTTATATTGGGGTGCATATGGGGGGGGGGGTAGAGGGAGGGAGAGAGCGAGGGAAGATGTGATATATTTGCCCTGTTTCTACCTCGATAATTTACTACTATTTTGACTCTGCTACTATTTCTCCCACTAGCCAGCCAGCCAGGCCAGTGACAACCCAACCACTAAAAAAAAACCCACACTTCAATCATTACCCACCACTACAACAACTACAACCACAACCACAACCAGCAGAAACACCACCAACGATGTCACTCGGCCGCACTTTCACCCTCAACTCGGGGTACAAGATCCCCGCCATCGGTCTAGGAACCTGGGTATTTCCACCCCCTAATCCCCCCCCGCTCCCCATGCATCCCCATTTACTCCCCCCCACGAACAAAACTACTAACACCCAACTCCCAGCAATCCGCCCCCAACGAAGTCAAAACCGCCGTCGAAACCGCGCTCAAGACCGGCTACCGCCACATCGACGCCGCCTCCGTCTACGGCAACGAAGCCGAAGTCGGCGCCGGCATCAAGGCCTCCGGCGTCCCACGGGAAGAAATATTCGTACCTCCCCCTCTCCCCCTCTCCTTCCCTCCCCTCCTCCCACCACCCCCACAGCACTAACACTCCCACCCTAGATAACCTCCAAACTCTGGAACAACGCGCACCGCGCCGCCGACGTCGAAAAGGCGCTCTCCAAGTCCCTCTCCGACCTGCAGCTCACCTACGTAGACCTGTACCTGATCCACTGGCCCGTCGGCTTCGTCGCCTCGCCCGACATCTTCCCCACCGAGCCCGACACGAACCTGATCGCGCTCGACAACGTGCCCATCAAGGAGACATGGCAGGCGCTCGAGCGCCTCGTCGAGGCCGGGAAGGTGCGCAGTATTGGCGTGAGTAACTTTACGAGGGAGAGGATCGAGGAGATTCTGGCGTTGTAAGTCTAGCTGCCCGCTATACAAATTAGAAGCTACGAAGTCTAGCTCCAAGGCTATACGAGAGAGAGAAAGAGAGAGACAGAGCTGACACAAATAAACCCCAACAGCGCCAAGATCCCCCAGCCATAAACCAGATCGAAGCCCACCCCTACCTGCAGCAGCCCCCGCTCCTCACATGGTGCAAGTCCCAAAACATCCTCATCACCGCCTACAGCCCGCTCGGCAACAACATCTACAACCTCCCGCGCGTCGTCGACGACCCGCTCGTCGTCGAGATCGCCTCCCAGCTCGGCAGGCAGCCCGCGCAGGTGCTCATCAACTGGGCTGTGCAGCGCGGGACCGTCGTGCTGCCAAAGAGCGTGACGCCGGCGAGAATCGCCTCCAATTTCGAGGAGTTTGTTGTCCCGGAGGAGGCGTTTGAGAAGATCGCGGCGCTGGAGAGGAAGGGTAGGATGAACTATCCGCTGAGGTGGGGGATTGATGTGTTTGGGGAGAAGAGTGCGGAGGAGGCGAAGCGGGTGGCGAGGGAATGGGCGGAGGGGCAGAAAAAGTTGAAGGCGGAGAAGGGGGGGAAGTAGAGTAGATTTGTATATATATCATGGTGTATTGAGCTCAAGGGCGGAGGTAGATCATCTGTATAATTCCATCTGGGCTTTGGTGGTCTGTAAATTTATTTTCATTGATATCATGCATGCCACAAATCTATACGGTATTAGCAAGCTGGTCAATCATTTCCCAAGATGCGGTTGATAAATATCAGAGCTATTACAGCCTTTGCAAAAACTCGAAGAACAAAACCCAACTATCTGTATGTGACTGATTATAGTTCTGTTAATATCCAACTAGCTTTACGTATACTAATCGTCGATCCCAAGAACACATCTAGGAATATCATTTAGTACAAGCTAGCAGTTAAGGCCAGATGTGTGACCGTGGTACTACTAGCCTCTTTACTCGTCCAATTACCCCGAACCCCGAGACTCGAGCTATCGTTAATACGTACATGATGTAGTCAGCTAGATTGTAGTTAGTCTTCAAATAAAACCCGCATTCCAATCATTGACCCCAATTGATCATAGGCAAACAGCACCTGAGTACTGACCCCACATCGATAGCCATCCCCCCCCCTCCACAAGCTCTCTCCGCATCGCAAACCCCCAGGCCCATCTATCCCCAGATCTTCCAGTCGCACCGCGGTGCCGTGCACCCGACCCCTGCATATCACTGCATGAGTGACACCCAATGACCCGGCTATACCCCACGCCAAGACCACCCATATCCGCGCTACATTTCCGCCCATAAGCAGGCCATTCCCGTCCCGTAGGTCCACAACCAAACACTCACCACACTCAAGCCTTTTTTGTCCCCCCCTATCAGATCATCTCTCAAATAAATAAAAAAGAAATGTCACGGCAAACTCCACGGATAACAAAAGAGCGCCAACGCGTGAGCCGGGCCTGTGACGCTTGTAAAAAGTTTACCCCCCCCCCCCCCCTCTAACCCCAGAACGGGCCCGATCATTGCATCATGCATGGCGCGATTGATGTTCGATTATCAGAGTAGCCATGAGGAAAAAAACTGGATAGAACGGGACTAACGCGTGCTGGGACATTAGGAAGAAGATAAGATGCAGCGGGACACAGCCCTGCGTACGCTGTGTCGAGTGGAGCCTCGAGTGTCTATACAACGCCGAATACAATCGAGGCAAGCCGCGCTCAAAGACGTGGAAAGGCGACACCTTAGGTCGAGGGGGAGGATCTGTAACAGGGTTCAATAGTAGCAATAGTAGCAGCAGCACTAGCGCCGTCGACGGCACTAGAAGTATTGGTGGTAGTAGCATGGATAGTAGCAGTATTGGTAGTAGTTCTACTGCTGCTACTACTATCATTTCCGCTGCCAGAGTTAAAACACACCACCACCACAGCCCATTGCAGATGGCGGATACCATGATGCCCTCCTCCTCCGCCGGGGTCACCACCGCCGCCGCCTCAAACTCTATCACGAACCCCCACTCGCAGATATCCACGCCAGCGGCAAATCATGGTCGTACCTCTACGCCGCACTTACACCCCTCCTCACTCCGCCCTGAGAGCTACTCATCCCGCAACTCTCCGGAGCCCTTCCACACGGACCGCCAAGGCCAATATGTGGGCTCCTCGTCCGGCGTGTCGTTCCTCCTCCGCGTCCAGAAGCGCCTCCACCTGATAAACTCGCCAGCCTCAAACTCGGCAATCTTCCCTAGTGGTGATGGGTTACCCAGTAGCCATGACGCAGCATCGTTTATCTTGCCGCCCAAACAGGATGCTGTGGAGCTGCTGGAGGTGTATTTTAACTATGCGATGCCTACGTACCGATTTCTGCACAGACCAACAGTCGAGGCCTGGCTGGACGAGTTCTATGAGAACTTTGAGGAAGGTGGTTGCGAGAGGGAGAAAACGGCAATATTGTTGTTGATCTGGGCGCAGGCGAAAAAATACTCGGTGTTGACTAAGAGCCAGAAATCGAGTGATGGCGGGTGAGTCTATAATTTCCATACCATCTAATATCAACTAACATCACACTATCAGCGCCCGATACTTCCACGCAGCTGAGAGGCATCTCTCAGCAGACACGGGCCCAATACGCCTCACAAACGTGCAGGCCCGTCTCTGCCAGTGCTTCTACCTCCTGGCCTGCTCCCGTCTCAACCACTGCCGCTCCCTCTTTGGCACCATCGCCCACCTCATCCACGCCCTCGGGCTCCACCGCAAGCCCCGAAAGGCTCTCATCTCCGCTACTACACCAATCGACCACATCGAGCAAGAGTGCCGCAAGCGTGTCTTCTGGTGCGCCTACAACATGGACAAATACCTCTCCGCGGTTCTTGGCCGCCCTAGTATCTTCCACGACGACGACGTCGACCAAGAGCTTCCCTCCGAGGTCAACGATGAAGACTTGCAGCGCGATGGCATAGCGGGCCTGAGTGGAAGGTCACAGTGCATAATGACGGCACCGGTCCTGCACGCTAAGTACGACTCCCATTGAACCTAATCATCACCCATCCATGCATGCATGTGTATAGTTAGTAGTACCGTATTTCTCAAACCCTCCGCTCACAGACTCGGTCGCATCCTCTCGGGCCTCCTCAAGGAGCTGTACAGCATCCACCGCACGCCAATGGCACGAAGAGTCACGATCGCGACGCACTATACCACGCAGCTACAGGCGTGGCGGGCAAGCCTTCCAGCATTCCTCGACCCGGATAAAGTGGAGCCTTCGCTCCTGATCCCAATCTTGCAGCGCCAGAGCCGCATGCTGAGTCTGGCCTATGCACACACGGTTATATTGATTAATCGGCCATTCCTACTGAGCAGTTTTGCAAGTCTCAAGTGGCGGAAAGGCCATGAGGCTGGAGAGTACGAGGGGAATGTCCGCCAGTGTCTAGATGCAGCCATGATCATTGCTAAGATTGTAGACGACTATAGTGCTGGGCAGCAGGTGTTTTCTGCTTTCTGGGTAATTAGATCATGGTCTCTCCACTTTTTGGAATAGTGATACTGATGTGCAGGGAATAGTTCACACAATATGTAGCCTTCTGTGCGGTTGTAATACTCTATGTGTATACGATCCAGCGCAAGCTCGACAGCCCGCTAGTGTGGGAAAAGTACTTCGAAGCGGCCGAGAAGTGTCAAGAGCAGCTCATGACCGCCGCCAAAGATAACTCTCTCGCACAGCGGTACCGCATCGTGCTTGAAGAGCTAAAACTAGAAGCAACGGAACAGACGAGAGGGCAGCGGCAGCAGCAGGCAGTCGATACGTTTGGGATGATGGGCGGGTATGAGGGCGCGGTTTGGACGGAGGAGATTGAGGAGACGAGTCCGAACAGTATGATGGCCGACCTGACGTCGTGGGAGGAGTTCGACTATCTGGTGATGGATTGTATGGGCAGCTCGGGGGCGGCAACGTTTGCAGAGGGCGTTGGGTTTCAGGATGCAGCGGCGTTGGGGATTGCGTTGTTGTGAACTGAGGTTTTGTCTTGACGTATTACTCCTTCTAAAGGAACTGATAGATGCAAACTTGAATCCCTTGAGCTGCTAAAAATATTTCCTTCGAGTGAGGATGATGATGGTAATGATGATGATGATGATGGTAGTGGTGGTGTTGGTGATGTTGATGTTGATGATGATGATGATGTTCTACGATGAAAAGAAGAAGTGAAGTCTATACTAGGACTTGTCTGTTTTGGCCACGTATTCCCGGCCGTCTCCACGCCCAGCAAGTTTCCACTGCTGAGTTCTTTCGTACCAATTATATGTATCTAAGCGGCATGCGCCACACTATGCAAGCTTAACCTAAGGAAGAATTTTACTTATTTTTGGAAACAAAGGCCGGTAAACATCTATACCATGCAGACGAACATGAAGCTCTACTTATCTTTCGACGGTGAGTCGCTTTATTGAGAGGCTAGAAGAAAGGTTACAGAAGGTGCTGCTACTTGTATATGCACAGTGATGGTCCTGCCGATCTAGTCGAGACCTATCTCAGATTTACAGAGCTGCTAGTCCGGTTTATATGAGTTTAAAGGCTTCTGGAAAGGTTTAGCAGATTATATTGATAGTCTAAAAGATTGACAATTTATCTTGCAATCCTCTGGTCGCCCCATATATTTAGGTAATTCAGCCACACCAGAAAAGAAATCGTACTAAATAATAGAACCAATTAAAACTGGGACCATATGTAAATCAGTTAATTTTAAAAGCCAATGATACTGACTACATCCTTGTGACGAGGGCCCGCTAGCTATAAATACCAGCCGTAACCCGAGTTCTGTTTGTTGTTTCAGATTGGCACGTTCAGATCTAGACCGTCTATCTTCTCTTCTAGTATCAGAGATCCAACAATATATACATGAAGTGAGACGCGGGGCTTACATAATAACAGAAGACAGGCCATATAAAATGATTGGAGCTACTATAAAAAAGATCAATAGAGAAATAGCGAACCCCCAATAAATCACACCTTATCTTCATCCATCTTCTTTTCTGGTATCGAATCCTTGACTATATAAAAAAAAGATAAGGTCTGGGCTCAACATCAAAAAAGAGACCGATAAGAAAGGTGGGATTCTGATTTCATCTTCATCCATCTTCTCTGCTAATATTGATTCCTGAACCACATACGAACAAATATGGTTCAGGGTTCAATATCAGAAAAGGGATCGATAAGAGAAAATTGGGACGATGCCTTCATCTTCACCCATCTCCTCTTCTTGTATTGATCACTGGACCACATCGAGAAATATGGTCCAGTTTTCAATAGCAGAAAAGGGATTGATAAGAGAGAGGCGGAACGATGGCTTCACCTTCATCCATCACCTCTTCTGGTATCGAATTCTAAGCCACACCAAGAGGTATGGTCTAGTTTTCAATAGCAGAGAAGAGATCGATAAGAGAGAGGCAGTATGATAGGAGGAAGTAAGAAAAGAAACAAGAGGGCAACCCAGGACAGGTCTATTTAAGCAAACCCTGTAAAACTAAATGATTCGCCGACGTAGGGGTTAACCCTGCCAATGTATTCTTGGCGTCAACAGTTACTTGATAATTAGTACCGGTATGTCCACCCACCAGTGTTACATGTATCCCTAGAAACAAGTACAGGAATCCATTCGACATCAAATGCCGTCAAAAATATAGATAGATGTGTTAGGATTATCTTTTGAATCCAGAAATGTTGTACGTAAATACATTGTATTAAGTTCAATTAATACATCCTGATCAATTCATGTTCTCGTGGATAAAGCAGATTACATTAATACATGTGTTCAAGCAGCTAGACCACCCCTGCGTTTCCGCTTCTTTCGTGTATTCTGAGGCACGGCATCTTATCTCTTATAAACCAATTCTTTTATAAGGGCTGACAGCCACATAGATTGTACTCATACGACTACATGTATTATTATTCTTTGCAAATACTCTATTGATGTCTTGACCCTCAAGTTGGATGATCACAAAAGGGCCGAGTTTCTGGCCCAGATATATGTAAGCTTGTCAAACTAACAATCGATAAATGATACTCCCAAGATCGATCTAAAGTGAAATACATTCTCGAAACCACCCGGTACCCCGGAGTGAACGATGCTGAGGGCGGGGCGCAAAGTAAATGGGACATCGATAATTCATACTCCTGCAATTTCCCGAGTGCTCCATAGTGACGCACTCGAGGTTACTCCTAGCACGTGACTGCAACACGACAAAAAGATACATCGCAAACATGTTCAAGACAGACCTCACGGATGTACCGGCTTATCAGTCTATATATCTGAGTCTGATAACCATATCTTGAACAAAGCCACAAGCACTCTGATACATCACATCATCATCCTCTCTGGGATAGCATCCACACGCTAACCAATAATCACAGCTCCAGTGTCGCCAATCCCGAGTATCGATATATCTAAGAAGTGCACTCCCCCACTGCTCTCACTTTACTTCTTCCTGCGCGTGCCGCATTACCGATCCAAAGATTATCCTGCAGAAGCGAAAGATCTCACCTATCACTCAAGATTGCACCATGGGCAAATCATATCTTGAAACCGAATTGACTACGATAACGATCGAATGGGACACGATTGACGCCAAACATGGGCATTCGGCGGACCACGATATCGATGGATAACACAGCTGTAAACACCGCCTTCACTCTAGAACTTGCGTGATAATTCATGACCAACGAAACTAATGCGAACCTCAACTAGCTCGATGCAAGCCAAGAAAGCACATTGCGAAACACAAACCATGTGTCGATCTCTTCAACACAATTGGCTCCATCTTCGTCTTTTCTGCTTCCACCCGCATCCTACGTGTTTTATCTTTACCTCCGGATTCCGCCACCCCAGCAGAGCCTCATCTCTTTTTTTCTGCACTTACAAACCTGGCCTATCTGGTCAAGAGTGACAGCTGGTATGGCAAAACTCAAATCCAGATATCGAATCAAGAACCCATCAACACATTACATTCAGGTGCAGAAAAATTGCCGGCCTGCACAGTATCCCATTTGTTTTCTGTGCTTCTAGACCCTAGGGTGGTTCCCAAGTAAGGCTGAGTGAACACACAAATACACTCAAAGGGGACAGATAAGTGTTCCATTGCTGATTACTTAGCTACCGACATATCCACACACATGTTACCAATGTGGGGGCTCCTCCCTCACTGGATCAGGGCTGAAGACGCGAAACTGTGCTACTCTAGATTGCCTATCCACATATCATCGACGAGCCTCACCCTGTCCTGTCTCGGAAAAAATTGATCCGGGGACGTACCAAAAGAAAAGAAAAGAAAAGAAAGAGATCTGGTAAGATCCAAAGTTTGACTACATACATACATCCTCTACCTAGTACCTAGTCTACATATTACAAAGAAGAAGAAGAATCTCGGAGACAGAGATAAGTAGAGTACGTACCGGATAATTGTTTGGAATAGACCTACTTGAACAAGTATCACTGCCGGCACCGAACCTCCCCGGCTACCGGTTTGAGACATGCAGACAGACTTGGTCCGTGCTTGAGACCATCGAAATCCGGGCGGCTTTTTCGGCGAAGAACGGTTGATTGATTGCCGTGATTGATTGTGGTTCTCGCTACTAGTAGAATAGCTAGGAGGAGTGAGTAGAGCAGGAGCCAGGCATAGTTACGTGGGTGGTTGATTCTGCATGATGTCAAGATTTCTCCGATTCGGGCGGAACGGAGCGAAAGCACACAACAACTAAGGCCACAAATTTTCAAGGCAATGAATGGAGTGGATCAGATAGGCGACCATTCAAATACCAAGATGGCCACAGCTTAGAAGGTGTGCGCAGAAACAAGCATCTTAGTAGGGGCCAGCAGCTAGATACATGGCTCTTCTCTTATCGATTTCAAGGCAACTATGGGCGAGCGGTGAAAAAGTCCGAAGCTTATACCCATCCGTACAAAAATCTTTCAGCCGTCAACCAGTGTTTTACTCCCAACCAACCACGACAACCACCGCTCTTACCGACTCGACTCACAATCGGAAGAAAGAAAATCCTTCGATCGAACGTCCTATTGATCATCAAGTGTACAATATTCACCTTCAGCTGTATCGCTATCGCAGATAACATCCCAACAAATTTTTTTTTTCTCTTTCCTACACTTGTTTTCCACCCAGCCAGCCAGTGATAACCGCGCCCCCCACAGCACAGCCGCGAGTGAGGGCTCATGATGGATCATACATTCTCACTCTTACACCCCCCCCCCCCCACGCTCTCCGCCCGACCGGTGTTTGCGCTCGTGCAGGATGTGGGCCATCACTCGACAAAATTTCTCATTGGGGCGAGAACCGGCAGCACGCATTGCATCTTCTTATTCGCGAGGTTTCATGCATGGCATTACACTTTATTCGATTTGCTACCTTACACGTGCATATGTACCACCGGTCCCCATTGAAATAAAAAATTTCTAAATATAACACCCACAGCCATGCAGCCGGTGAAGTAGAAAAGACACGGAGAGAAAGAGATAAATAGAGAAAAATGGAAAAATATCTAGCTTATATATGTAATGTAATTGATACAAAGGGAAAAAATAGTTAAAAAGCCGGGTTTTGTGAAAGAAAAAATTCATCACACATTATGTACTCGTAAAGGGAGAGTATATGTATGCATATATATATGTATACGCCAGATCCAAAAGGGATAAATAAAAAAAAGCGCCTAGCTGAGCTGAACTGGCGGAACCTGGGACTGAAAGTGTTAGATAGTGAAACATGCCGTCGGCGATAGGCCGCTATGACGATGATGTTGGCGTTGATGACAAAGGAAAAAAGTATTAAAAGGATCGTTTTTGTGATCGAATGAATGAGAGTGAGTACTGAGTGAGTTGACGATGAAACAGTTTTGTTGTTGTCATCCCCAACCCTCAGTTGTGCCGTGTCGCCAAGTTTTCCACATAGACGCGTTAAGAGAAACCCACAATGGGGAAAATATCGCCGTAAACAAAGGAAAGGGAAACAAAAAAAAAAGTCCACCCCCCTATAATGAACCTCCCAAACAATTCGATATCCCCAGGGCCGTGAAAAAGAATACCCACAACCGGCCGAAAATTTGAAAAAACAATGGAAACAGAAAAGAAAAGATTAAAACGGCCAGCCCCGGCATCAGATCTTCTTTTTCAGAAAAATCCCCGCCCAATGATAATGAGAAATAATTGAAAGAAAATGAATGGAAAGGTCCGCCATTTAGGTTTCCTCCTACTTTTTACCAAAGCCCCTGAACCAGCCCTTCTTCTTTTCCTTTAAGCTGGCCGCCGCTATACTCGGTGCCTTTTGCTTTTCCACGAGCACAACCGTTGCGGGCTTGCTCTCGCTTTCGACAGGGGTGATTCGGTAACGCTCTCTTGTCTCTGAGAGTTGTGGTTTTGTGGTATTTGTAGACACCAATTGCGGTGATGACCGGGACTGCGGTGTCCGTGATTGTGATGGTGGTGTTCTTGACTGTTGACGCGGTGGTGGCGTCCGTGACTGTGGTCGCGGCTGTGGTGTCCGCGATTGTTGACGTGGTGGGGGGACGACATTGCTACTTGCTTGTCGCGGTCTGGCTTGCTGCGGGCGAGCCTGCGGTTGCGGGGATTGTGTTGGGCGCGGGGATTTCGTATTTACCCGCTGCGGGGGCGGCATCGAGGATGTTCGCTGTACAGTTGGTGGTGGCGGTGGTGGTGGCGGTGCGGCCTCAATGGCTAGTCTTCGTTGCCCCTGCACCTGCGGGGGAGCGGTACTCCTTCGGTCACCAGCTGTGAGCCTTTTTGGCTCTGGTGGTACCTCTGCCGCCGTCTCCTTTTCCTTCTCTACCTTGACTACCGCCCTACTCTCCATACCCCGTCCCTCCTTCACGGCGATCATATTCTCTACTCGGGTCTCATCCATCTTCTCCCATAGATCCCTTAATCCACCCTCACAGTTTTCCAGCCCGTCCTTGCACCCACCACATAGCCTTACTGCACACCATGTGCAGTAATAGCTCCTCTTCACGGGGACCCCACGGCCTTCGAACTCCATGGCACGGCACACGGCACATAGGATACTATGCTGCTTGTTCCTAAATGGGGCCCACGTGTGGTCCACCGCGCAGTCGAGCTGTGTCGTATGTAGTGGTGCCCATGTGTGTTTCGACAGATCCGGAGGTGGCATGTGAATTGGGCTTGGCGGGCGTTGTGGTGGGCGCTGGAAGCTGGTGGGGCGTTGGCGGGGTGGTGCAAGTGTGCTGGAGGCGGGGTCGACAAAGTTGACACGTTTACCGGCGGGGAGGACATTGGTAGATGAGGCGGATGATGATGCGGGGGTTGGGGGGCCGCGGCTGTAAGGCTCGGTATTGGTGCGGATGGAGAGCTTTGTCGAAGACTTGGAGGAGGTGGAGTCTTCGGTGAGAGGGGGCGTTGAGGGGCCCGGACGCATCACGGAGGGCGGGACTGATGCTACCGCTATGGTTGTTTCCGGGGTGGGGGTGCTGGTGGGCGTGATGTAGTATGATAGCTGGGTGCTAAGTTCCGTGGCGGGTTTGTTGAGGTCAATGTGGGAGGGTCTGGTGGTTGGTGCAGACTGCGGGAGTGACGAAGTCCTGGAAGTGAATTTTGCACTTGCGGTTGCCATGGCGGGGTGCTGCGTGTCAACGGTGAGCGTGTCGGGGATAATGGGCGGCATTGTTCTTGTCATCATGGTCGTGGTGGCGGGTAACAGTAGTGGTGGCTGTTGGCATTTCTTCTTCTTCACTTGGATATGTTGCAGCGGGCAGTGGTTCCGATGACGTGCTATTTTTCTTCTTTTTCTCCTCTTCTTCTTCTTCTACTTTCTGCTGCGTCTGGACTGTAGGATTCTGGACCGTTGTGTTCTGAACTATTTCTTTCTGAGCAGTATTCAGAACTGTGGTATCCCGACGAATTGCAGTATCCCGACGAGTTAGAGTATCTTGAAGTGTAGTATCTTGAACGGTGGTAGTATCACGACGAATTGCAGTATCCCGACGAATTGCAGTATCCCGACGAATTGCAGTATCCCGACGAATTAGATTATCCTGAACTGTGATATCCTGAACTGTGGTAGTCGGAGTAGGAGCAAGATCTATAACCCCCGTATCCAACAAAGGCAACGAGAATTCCAATGGCGGTGCAGCAACAACAGGCGGTAGTAGTGCGCCTTTACCGTGCACGACAAGTCTTGACGGGCTTTTTTTATTACTATTATTATTATTTGTCGCAGTCGTGGTGGACCTTCTTGCACTTCCGAACGGCAGTCTCGACGAGGATGAAGAAGCGGCGGTAGTACGGGAGGAGGCAGTAGGAGAGGCAACAGCAAGAGAAGAAGGGGAAGGGGTCCTCTTCAATATACTAGTAGTCGTCTGACTCTGACGTGGTTTCGACAATCTCTCCACAACAGATAAAGAAGAAGAGGTTTGTGTGACGGCAGCGCGGGCTGAAGAAGAAGACGAGCGATTACTCGAGGGGTGCAGGTGGTGGATCTGTCCCTGGGCCACTGGAACGCCAACAGACCCGCCAACCCCAGCCGATTGGTGCCGGCTCTCATCGCCAATCGAAACGTTCCCCTGCGTGGTAGTAGTGGAAGTTGTTCCAGTAGTGCTACCGGAGGCGGAGGACAAAGTGGTGCCTGTGGTGGTGGCCGTGGTGCTGGTGGTTGTGCTAGTTCTATTTTTTCCACCGCCAGTCGATGAACCCCCGCGCGTCAGGATGTTGTTGAGCCCGAAGCGGCGCTTCCATGACTCTGATCGCTGGAGTTTCGTGTTTGAGTCTGCACTATTCTTATTCTTATCTTTAGCAGTGATGGTAGCTGTACTAGCTACACTGATGGTTGAGGCTCTTGAGGACCTAGTAAAAGAGACGAAACTCCTCCGGGGTTCTGCCGGCTGTGACGATCCTTCTGCTGCAGCCACTGTTTTGGACTTCTTCAAGATAGACCGATGCTTCTGCATTGCTGGAGCTGCTGCTGTCGGTGTTGCGGGGGTAGTGGCGAGCCCATCATTAGTACTGGCACGAGCACTGGTGATGGTGTTTGTAGTTTTCCGAAGTCGACTAGAACCGGTGGTGCTGCCCTCGCGGGCGAGGAGAAGAATGACGGCATCAATTGCAACACAAAACCTCATTCACTCTACAACGAGAAATGAAAACAAAAAACAAATGGGTATCGTGAATTGTATCTTTTTTTTTTTTTGTTACTTTTTGTCTTTCGTCTCTCTTGGGTATCAATTCTTCGAACTCTTCCTCCTCTTGTTCTTCACGTAGGTATAGAAAATAGTAAGTAGTAGGGCGCCGGTAGATTAGGCAGGTAGATTTGTATGTATGTAGTTGGGTTGGTAAGGTATGCCAGTACGGTACGCAAACAGCCGGAAGACCTTTAATTTTCCCACGTTTTCCGATCAAATTAAAGTCCGATTCTTGGGTTTTTCTGTATTCGGTATAGAAAGACAATAAAACAAATATTGGAGGAAGATTGAAGGAGCGATGAGGAGGGGGGCGGTGGAACGAAAGGCGGCGGTGCAGATTGCTAGGGAGCTTGTCTGTAGCTAAAATTAAAGCGAGAGGCTGGCCGGGTGAGATATCCTAGATGCGGTAGCAGGAAACAAAACAAAACGCTCGAGGTTTATGAACGGGCTTCAATGCTGTAACTTTTGAAAAGAGTGTGAGAACGACAGTAGGGAGGTGTGTGGGCAGTATGTAGCAGTATGAAGGCAGAGAGAAAGTGGGCAGTTACAGACAGCAAGCCAGTAGTAGCGATACAAAACGATCGGGTCTGGGGTCGTGTCTATTGAACGCGCAATACAAAAAAGTGCACAAAAAAAACTAACTTACCACTTCCAAATGGAAATGGGCCGAATACGGCACTGGCTGGCTGGTACTGGTAGAGCTCGGGCTTTGAGCTTTCCACGGTTCTTTCCTTCCATTCCTGCTAGGTAAGCTACCCTTTCTGCATACGAGAGACAAACCCTCTGTTCTCTCGTCCAGATCAGTCGTTCTCTCTCTACCAAAAACAAAAAAAGAGGCTGAAATCCAAGACAGCCCCATCGTGACGTGGAGTGCCGAGGCCACATTCGTTCGCTGCCGAAGAGGCGAATTGATTAACCCCCAGATTAGGATCTTCAAACACGGCTGAACCTCTGCAGTCCATCTAAATTAGGGATGTGATAAGATACCCGCCGACCAGGGTTTTTTCCTCTCTTCTCTATGGTCGGTATTCGGGTGGAAGATACAACCGACCACTACAGTACCACGAGGGAGCCGAAAGGAGGAAGTATGATGAGATAGATAAATAGATCCGACAGAATCAAAACAGAACTCGCTTGAAGTCGCGTATCAGGGTCCTTCATAACTTCTCCACATCCAGAGTAGATAAACAGAGCTCAATGCCTATCTGTATGCTACTGAGACCTCTTTTGTGTGCTAGGTTTAGGTACACCATCGTCCTGCATGAACTTTGTTTCTCTCTTCCAGGAGACCACCAAAACCACAAAACTTTTGTTACTCGTCGCGCCGTGATTCCGTAACTCAGGTACTAGTACTCTAAACCATGCTCTCTACAAACTAGAGGTACCCTGCCTACCCCAGTTATCGTGACATCACAGCCCCTTTCCCCAAAACAGACCCTGGCCAGATTCTCCCTCTTCTTGGCGATCCACCCAAATGTTAAAGGGAGAACAAAAGCCCCCACCCACATCAATCACACACGGGCCAACTGAATCATTGACAACACAACGGAAGTACCCCCCTCTCATCATCCACCCATCCCCTTCTTCTTCTTCTTCTCCTCCTCTTGCTTCCTCCTTCCTCTTCCTTCTTCTTCTCAAGGCTCGTCTCCCAACTCGATGCATGGAGCATACCGCGAATCGAACCAACAGATCCATGGGCATCTTTGTTGAGTGAGATGTGATTTCGAGGCGTGACATGCATGACAGTGCATCTACTCTAGTCCATTATGCCCCGGTGTCGGACGTATCTTTATGTACCCCTAGAGTTATGTGCCCAAGAAACAATATTCATCCATCACTCACCAACGATAACAACTTTACATGTCTTGAGTGACAAACATAAACTGTCTCCGTCCAGGTTAGGTTAGGCTAGCACCTCGATTTAGATTGAGATCGCCCCTTTTTTCTTTTCTCGCGCGCCAGGCCAGGGTGAAAAAGAAACATGGGCAACGAACGAACAGGAACAGGCCAGGAACAGCCGTCACTCCCTGGTTTATGTTGACAACTGTCACCGTGGACCTGTCACTGATAACACGAGACGCCATGTTTACGGAATCTTTCGTAGTTGGGCATGCCGACTCACACCATAAAAGGAAGAATCAATCTGCTTTGAGTCATGACAGGAAAACTACATATCTAGGCTAGGCTACGAAGTTAATGTCTGTAAGACTTCTACCTCTAGCCGAAATTAGCCTTTACGGATTAAAATGATATCGTGAGCGCGTACCTGCGGCGAGTGAGACTTTATGAAGACACGGACCCGAACACTTTGACTAACACTGGTGGGTCTTGTTTGGGCATTGGTTTTTCGACGAATATTGAAATAAGGTCCTCGTCTAAGCGAATCTACGCGAAGAGGTTAGTTACTGCGGATCTATGTACCCTACAATACCTACTACATAATGAATGTAATTCCCCACCTGGTATCTTCAAAGTCTTAATACTCTGGGTACACGCATACCGACGAATCGTGCAGCCTGGCCTATGGCGGGAGGATACTGACCATACTGGGCTTACCGGTTCTTGCTGTAAGCATTCCAACAGGGACAAGGAAACGAAAACTCTCCTAATGGACTTGTATTCTGCAGGGTGCATGCATCATGCAAGTAATGTATTGCAAATATGATCGAGTAAGTAATACGTACTCCTCTATCCTTGGTACCCGAAAGTAATCTGTAGACTTGACGAACGGTAAGTTGTCTTGTCCTGTAAAATTGAGCAGGTTTATACATAATTCAAGTCCGCGGAACCTTGCTCAGCAAAAGCGCGATCCTTCAATTCAGCGTTCTAGGCCATTGCAAAGAAGACTAAATATCGCTTGCCATGTAATCTGACTTACTTTTCAAAATCAAAATGCCTCGCTCATTGCTCCACCAAATCATTATTCAGAAAGCCTAGAGTGTAATCTCATCAGATAGTCGATTACCGTTTAACAGCCTGTTGTGCTCCTCCAGCACATGTAGGAATGCACACCTCCCTCGTTTTTGCTCGTGCAACTCCATTGTTCCCGCTTATGTACTCGTGCCGGCATGTGGTGAGTCTCAGCCGGTACAGATATCTGGGAGTCAGGTAGGATAATCAGCCGCACAGGTCACGGTGGCGGCCCTTACCAATCCTTAAATTCCCCTGCCGGGCCGCGTCTGGGCTTCTCGAGTGAGAGTCCGTGATGAGATTGGAAGTACATGTTATCTTTTTATCTGATTTCGCCCTATCAAACCTGGCTGATGTTGCCTGGGAGACGTGAAAAAATTACTCTGCTGGTTAGGTGACGAGCCTTGGAGGCCTGGGAACTATACATGCCATACATATATATCGTCGCTGATATGCATCCACTTTAGTGAACATATTTTTTTCCATTGCTGATAGGTCTCAGGCTCTCAGCCACCCGGCGCCACATCATTCGTGCTGATCAGACGATGCCCAGCCGTTAGGCTACACACATGCGTAAACCTGTGGGGTGCAATCATTTGTGGACATGATTTCCCACCATATGGCAGAGGTGCCGTTGGGATACAGGATTCCAGATTTGTTCCGAATCCGGCGTGTACGATCGAGCGTTGCATACCGTTTTTTTCCCGTTAGAAGTTCTCTATCGACTGTGGAACCTTGATTTGAGGCAACGTCATTTTTGGATTTTCATATATACACGGAATATTAAATCCGTATTTTTTGTCTATGGACTGATGAACCTCAGGTAGGTAGAGTAGTGTGTGTATTTCATATCATGTGAAGAGCAGAGCATGTTGCTAGCCGATGTGGTACTTCCGGATTAGGCATCGGACCAGCTATAAAATGGCGCGTTATACATATAAAAGCTAAATGAGGAAGCAGAAGCTTGATATCAGTCGATTGCTTTCCTATCGCAGGAGTGTATACCTAATTCAAGTTTTTCAGATTCTGAAAGTCTCTCAAATGGAACAGACACTTCATGATACTCTCCAGTCGTAATGGGCCCTCAAGAAAGTTGATGACCATTCACTACAGGCTCCGCTTAATTTCGACTGAATGCGATACACGGCGAGGAGAGGTGTACAAGATACCAGTCTATTTTCTTCCACAGCTGCGAATGTCGGTAGGACTAAGATTTCCCTTCCAGAAATGGCTTTGGTCCGGTGTTCTTTGTTTGGCACCACGCCAGCAATCGTCCGGTTTTATTTGATTTGGGGAGGTGGGACCATGTACCAATCCAAATGACTGAGCTCGAGCGTATGCAAGGGACAACCTTGGCCCAACATAGCAGGCCCATACAATCAATACTCCAGTATGGAGAAGCTCCTTGAGAGTATAGATACCTGTAGATAGGCCATTGGCCTGTCGATTACGGGTAGTCCAGTGTATAACTATTGTACAACTTATCTTTATTAAACGCCGAGTGATATTTGATGATTTGTATGTCCATCCTTTACGAGTGCGGGCAAGAACTTACTGGCCCTTGATTTTCAAAGTCAGTCTCATGATTTGATATCACTGGGTGGGTAGAGAGAACCTACTAGGAATGCTCTAAAAGCTGATGCTTGTAGTCCACACTGTCCCGCGTTTTTAAGACTGACATGCCACCAGCCGAGCTTAGCCGAATAGTGCTGTCGTAAGATAGAGCCTCAAAATTAATGAAGACGTAGTCTTTTTGCACGGCCACACATCTGCTGTAGATCCAATCAAATGAATGAAACAAAGCAGCAGCTGTTTCAGTTGCAAATACAGAGCAACCAATAAACTGCTGGAGGCTCAAAATGGCACTGGTAAGGACAGCTCATTAGCGAATTTGACCAGGAAAAGGCATGTAGAAGAAGAGTATAATGAAGGAATAATAGTTGTTGGGTGGTTTTACAGCAGCGATAGAGCGGGGTTATGTCTAAGAGCAGCATAACGACGAGAGAGGAGGGTTCGAGTACTTGGGTTGATGGTCCAATGACCATAGGGAAACTTTGGCTGAATTCTGAAGATAAGAGCAGAAATGCACTTACATATGTAGGGAAGGTAGGGAGTGAAGTTGATGTGTGGTAGGGTGAAGACTTTGAAAATGACGTATGTATCTTTTGAGACTACACACGTGACTCTTATCATGATAAGGCCTGCAAGGGCCAGGCCGTCTTCCCTGTGGACGGCAGGATTGATAAAGGGCAGGGTTGAGATGATATGATCTACCTGCCACTCATACCGGAAATCTTAATCTGACCTTTCAGAGAAAACTGAGGGCGGCTTGGCGCCGGTTTTTATCTTTGGAAAAGACGCACCAAATAGTTCAATGCTAAAAACTACCTCCTCGCATATATATTTCTCACTAGACTCGTGCCAAACTACCTCAATTTCTTTCATTCGGGGTTCAGAACTATATGTACTTATATGTGCGTATATTATGAAAGGCCATATGGTCAATACTAATGCAGTTTTGCTACATTCAACGTTGGTACCCGTACTCTAACTTGCTGCATGTTATTCAACTGGAAAAAAAGAAAAAAGAAAAAAATGTATAGGCTTTTATAGCATCATGGCGCAGTGGAAGCGTGCTGGGCTTATAATTCGGAGGTCCCCCCGATCGAAATTAACGGGGGTGCTGCTATTCAATTTAATCTTTTTAATTTAAGCCTGATTATATATGTGAGATATTTACCTTTTTTAATTAGGTATTGATGAAAAGTATAATATCTAAATTTATCAGCTTTACAGTGTCTATACTGACGTTAAATGATTTCTAATAATTCCCTGCGCTGATCATGATCAAGTCACCGGAGTGAACTTCGCAAGGAAGCCTTCTAGGCTTTCCTTTTTCCAAAACCTGAAGTCGTATAAATAAGTTTAATACATATACGTGAAACCCTCGATCTAAGCTTCGTTTTATAGCTCACTTTAACCAAAGCACAAGCCCCTTTGGCCGAGTGATAATCAATGATTTCGTATTGCAAGGAAGGGTAGTTAGCCGAGCGTATGCTGGTCCATAATCGATCTGGTTTTAGACTTTGTTACAGCTTCTGCTTTTTGGGGGAAGAGACTACTATGTAGTGACTTAGAAGATTGGAAATTGTTTTACCTCCAGCCGGCCACGGCGCGCATTTGATTGAGGCCAATAGCGGAACTTTGGCCATGGGTTTTTTGAGATCCGTATTATCTTCCCGGTAAAAAGCAGACTATAGCTAGGTTTGAGTCTAGGTATATACGGCGGTATCAAAAGGGTCGAAAAATCCTGACTATGCGTAAAACCTTTTGGCTTTTTGGGACGTGGTTTATGTATCGGTCTTTTTCTTCTCTGGAAATGTGGCCTTATTTTGTGTGAATTTACTTACTTACCCCAAGACAGCATTCGAAGTAGGCCAAGTAATGAATGCTCTTCATTTTCAGAATTTTTTCTTGTATGCGGTCCCACTCTAATCCGGAAATGCTGCGAAGTTTATTCCAGGGTAGCGTTCAGAAGTTGATATAAAATAAACCTCTCGGACGAGCAAGTACATGTAGCTTTTAGAGAATCAATCAAGGGGTGTGATATGCATTACATACAGAGCGATTAATCATCCGATATATATGCAAGGCGGCACCAGTCCCGGGGTATACCTTTAATCTCCAACTATAAAACGTGCGAATTAGAGTCTTAACCAGTACATGATGCTTAAAGCAAGGGCCCTTGCAGTGTCAAAGCTGCACAGAAACTTCGCGGAAGGCGCTCACAAACCACTTATAATATTTCTGGGTTGAAGCTGGTGCATGTGGCTTTCGAGATTTGCGCAATTAATTGCCATTACGCCGGTGTAAATACCTGTATTCGAGCTGGAAGGGCTGAACCTAATATCAGTCAGGTTAGAAAGTAAACACAATGCTGAGAATTCCCGAGAACGTACGCTGGCTCTACCCCGCCAATGTAATCCCCCCGAAAATGGCGCTCTTTTCAAAAGGTTCCCAAGCAGCAATCCTTTTAGCTCTGTGAAGTGGAGGATGTGAAGAGGGTGTATTCGTCTATGTAGTCATGAACTGCTACATTCGGATAGTTCTGGCACTAGAACAGTGATCGAATAGAAATTGACTTGACGTGGCGGGCTTTAGTGCGGGGGGCCCCTCCTTCGTACGTGTCGCGGCGGTAGTATCGGGGATGGGCGTCACTATAATGCGGAAAGCCCCCTTTCTTAGCTATAAGAAGTACCGAGGGATGGGTCCTAGAATGTTTGTTAGAATAGCATGCTAGATAAATAAGTTAATTTACGGGCCACAGGTCTCGCCCACTACCTACCTCAAACTCTGGTCGGATGCTCAGATCATACTGTTATGCTGTCCCCTATATCGCGGTCTTAGCCGCTATACTTACTAATAATGATGATTGAAGAAAACCGGACAGCTAATGCTGCTGATGAGAACAGTTTTTGGCGATGTTAGTGAGCCACCGGAGTGGCTTGCTTGATGAGCGGTTTCATCTCGATCATCAGACCCGTACCAGATTCTTTTCCAAGCGGCGGCCATGGATTATTTAGCAGCCGTTCGACAAACCGAGCCTGGGGAAGGCTCTGTACAACACCGAAGTTGAAGCCTGAAGCTGATAGTTGTTGGCGTTCTGACGTTTTCCAGGGGTACTAGAGGCAAGCATGGTAGCCATTAAGGAGTGGGGAAATATTCCAAGGATCATACCACGAGTCTGAGCATGAAGGGCCAGAAAAGAAGGAAAAAAGGAAGAAAGGAAGAAAAACAAATACTTATCAGTTGGCCCTCCTCCTCACGAAGAGGAAACATTAACCAGTGGGAAGAGCACCTAGATGATTGCCGTCCCTTACTTCTTAAACTCAATACTCCTCAAGACAACGATGATGTTGCTATTAGAGCTCTGGGTGTTACTTGCCGCACATTTTGCTGAAAACGACCGCTACTCTTGCTGGTCTAAAAGCTGGATTTATTACGCGTTTTGTCACTTTGTCACGATTACAGTTGAAGACTTGTTGGACTAGCAAGATACTAATTTTTTATTTTGATCTTGAAAGATTGAAGATCAAGACAAAAGAGGGAATTACGGAAGAAAAATTAAGGGGAAAGAAAATTAGAAAAGAGAACCAAAGACACCGTTGAACACCAGCACAAAAGAAATACCAGATGCCGTAAATAGTACCAACGATCGCACGCCCCAGGGAGTCGAGCCCAGCTTTGAAAATCTCTACAGCAGATGTCAGGAACCGCCAACTATCAAAGTCGAAGGGGAAAAGTAGGAAGGGGGAAACATACCGTTCGCAGAGATATCAGCACTAGACTCAAGAGTCCTTGCTACCTCAGTTCGGTCCACCGGGCCTAGTAATGATGATATATCCATACTGGGCGTTGCCGAGGTTCATTCTTCCACCGGTCGAGACGACTGTGTGGCACTGCTCCATGATGGATCCAATGTTGGCGAAGAGATCGTCGCAGTTGTGGGTGACGGGAGTGGACCAAATGCGACGGTCCAAGTTCTTGGGAGGGCAGATGCGAATTTCGGAAGTCTTGTAGTTGAGTTTATGACATTCGGTGGCCATGGCAGGGAGTCTTGGAGGGCTGAGATGGCAGACAGCAATAAACTTTGCCAACAGGTCGTGAGAGTCAACGAGGTTGGGGTTTTCGCCAGGAGTCATCATGCGGCAGTCGGCGACACCTGCTTGGGTGAATGGGGCGAGGAGGATGAGAAGAGCAGCGAAGATGGTGATGCAGTTGAAGAACATTTTGAGATTTGTTTGACGGAGAGTGTCCTTGTGAAACTTTTTTGATTGAGTGAAAGGTTCTTAGTAGTGGAGCGGCTGCGTAAAAGGGAAAAAAATTGTCTAGGAATGGGGAAAGAGAAGAAAGGAGAACGACTATTTATACATCTAGGTTTTCCTTGGCCGTTAGATGTCATAGTATGGGACCAACGGTTTTTTTCTTTTGGTTTACCAGCTCTTGGTGATTTCGTGGGTACCTCTTTGGGCTGTTTGTGGGAAACGTATCAACACTCACTTTGGCAGCCTCCAACTGAGTTCAATGTAAGTAAGAGCTTAAGGCCTGAATTGATATCTGGGCGCTAAATTCATTGTCATTCAACCTATTCTAGTTGGGGCCTATAGTGCGTGGTGTAAGAAGACACATTTTTTTAAATTTGTTTCTACACTTTCCCTTAAAGCCACAACACATCTGCTGTTACACAGGAGATTGTTCTTCCTACCACAGAGACTACAAACTTTAAATTATCCTTGTATCTTTTTTTGGGCGGGGGGCCTATTTCACTGAGTGTAAATTTTTGCGCTTTGCCTTGTGCACATGCCTGCAGCTGTTCTCCAAGCTGCACATGCGCATTTTTGGAGGAAACCACTGCTCGTTAAAATTCTCCGCCATTCTTCAACTATCTAGGTAGTTAAAGTCGATAGTTTGAACGGTCACCAGGTGGGGGTTACACAAACCCCGAGTGATGTTCCATGATTCTCTTATTAGTTCAGATAATCCCTTAAGATTGATTAATCGCCGGGCATTGAAATCTCGAGTTTCTACTTTTATCTTTAAGTCTATCCCAAACGTGACCTCGTCGTACCGGGCAGTCTAGCTAGTATTTTGTGCAACCAAATACCACCCAAGAAGCTTGGGGGTGGGATCGAGCTCATCATAGATCATGTAGTCTAAGAGACTAAAAACTCCCTCCCAGTTGCGTATATGACTCTATATACCTTAGTCAGAGCAGCTCTTTCTCACGCTCAATAGATCGTATTGATGACGTGTACCACCACGACCCTCTCACTTTCTGGTACACTTGATGTAGAGTAACACATGATAAGAAATGACACTCTTCTACGATCCAAGATCACACAGATTAAAACTTCGGGTTCTTTTAGAAGAACCCGTCCTCTTTCACAATATAAGGTCCAAACTACATCATATGATAGATATCTTAGTTACAAAGAATGACTTCCGAATCATAAGTTAAAGGCGGGATTCCAAAACAATCTATTTGGCTATTATGATATAAATGACTAATTGTATACGTAATGAAAGATGCTATTCGCTAATTATATATATAACTAATAAATGATAAAGTCCATGCTCCATAAACCATCCCCCAATTGAAAACAAATAATAGTTTAAATCGATGCCATCATATCCGCACTGTAATCAGCGTCCGCCATATATGTGGGCTCTTCATAATACGCTTACTCGTGTCAGAAGCACCCTAACCAAATAATCCGCCTAGAGACTCAAGTATACCTCCAGCGTCAGCCCCGCCCATTAGATCCTCTCCACCCCCACAGTCACCACCATAGTCCTCATATCCGCCTGTATCAGCGCCGTACTCTTCATAGCCTCCAGTATCAGCAGCATATTCTTCACCTCCGCACTCACCACCAGTACCATCAGCAACGTATTCCTCACCGGTATATCCTTCCTCTGCATAGCCCTGGTCTGCACCATAGTCACCAGCAGCATACTCTTCGCCACCAGCGTACTCTTCTCCAGCATACTCTTCTCCAGCATACTCTTCGCCAGCATACCCTTCCTCTACGTGTCCACCCTCAACGCCACATTCCTCTCCACCCGCATATCCCTCTTGAGCATATAAGGCATTCGGATCCTCGTAAGCTGTAGTGTAATCGGCTCCAGCATTCGGATCCTCGTACGCGGCATATTCTGTGCCCGCACCTGCATTCGGATCTTCATACGCAGCAGAGTTCTCATAACCAGCGTTTGGATCCTCATAACCAGCATTAGGGTCCTCATAGCCAGCATTAGGATCCTCGTAGCCAGCGTTGGGATCTTGGTAGCCAGCGTTAGGGTCTTCATAACCAGCATTTGGATCCTCGTATACTGTAGTGTCCTGGTATGTTGCGGTTTCCTCATATGTAGCATTGTTCTGACATGTTGATGGGTCTTCATATACTGTAGTATCCTCGTAGACTGTTGTTTCCTGATATGTTGTAGTATCTTCGTACGCGGCCGTCTCCTGGTATGCACCTTGGTCTTCATAACCCGCACCAGTTGCTTCAGTAGCCGCAGGATCTTCGTAGTACTGACCCTCTGCTGCTGGGTCTTGGTATCCCGCATCTGTTGTTCCGGCAGCTGCTGGGTCTTCATAATACTGGCCATCCGCTGCAGTAGGATCTTGATATGTCGCAGAGTCTTCGGCGTAAGTCTGGTCTTGAGCAGTGCCCTGGTCGGCATAGGCCGTTTCTGTGTAGGTTACTTCGGTGTAGGTAGTTTCTACGACAACCTCCTCTTGCATGACGGCCTCTTCTTCTGCGGCAGGCTCTTGCTCTGCTGCGTACGGATCTGCTCCCGCACCTTCCTCGGCATACGTGCCATCATTTTGTGCCATTTCTCCCTCCTGACCTTGCTGGGGGTCCTGGGCTTCATCCTGCGGCGGATCTTGTTGGGGGTCTTGCTGCGGGTCCTGCTGCGGATCTTGCTGTTGTGGATCTTGCTGTGGATCCTGTCCTTGTTGTGGGTCTTGTCCTTGTTGTGGGTCCTGTCCCTGTCCCTGCTGCGCTTGTTCCTCCTCCTGCTGCTGCTGCTGCTGTTGTTCTTGCTGTTGCTGCTGCTGTTGTTGCTGTTGCTCCTGTTGCTGCTGCTGCCTTTCTTGCTGATTCTGCTGCATCATCATCCTCTGCGCACTTTGCATCATACTCTGCTGCATCATACTTTGCTGCTGTTGTTGTTGCTGGTTCTGTTGCTGGTTCTGCTGGTTTTGCTGACCCCGACCCATCATTATCCGTTGGGCAGCAAGACCAGCACTCTGCATCATATTCTGGCGGCGCATCTGAGATTGTTGCTGTTGCAGGAACTGTTGCTGCTGCTGGATACTCTGCTGCTGCATTTGCTGTTGCATCTGTTGCTGCGCGAGTTGCTGTTGCTGCTGCTGAATTTGCTGCTGTTGAATCTGCTGCTGCTGTGTGAGCTGTTGGTTCTGCAAGAGCGTCTGCTGCTGTGCAAGCCCTTGATTCTGTGGCAGAACTTGCTGCTGTGGCCCAGTCTGTTGGGTTTGCAATGGCACTCCACGGCCAGCTCCCGGTCCCATGGGAGAGGAATTAAGTAGCCCAGTAGGAAGATTAGGCATACTAGGCATGCTAGGTAGGCTAGACCCACGACCTATAGGTGAGGTTCCAGCTCCACGACCAAGTGGTTGCATAGGACCTACCCCACGCCCAGCAGATTGAAGACCTAAGCTTTGTGTCATGGGAGGTTTACCATTCCCGCGTCCTGCTGGGCCGTGCTCTGAGGCCTGTGTCGTTCCAGCCTGATTGAGTGGACTTGCGCCAGGTGTAGGTGTTGGTGATGGATACTGTCCAGTTCCACGCCCCATAGAAGGCATTGGAGTTTGTCCTTGTGGTGCCGGAGGTTTTCCACGTCCAGCTGCTTGAACGGGGCTTGGACCATGTGCATTAAGAGGTTGTGCATAGGGAGTAGGACTTTGCCCTGTTCCACGTCCCATCGGGGTAGCATGAGTTGCTCCACTGCCAGCTGGATGCACAGGGCTTGGTCCATGCCCAATAGGAGTATGAACTACACTACTACCAGTAGGCATTGGACCTGCAGAATCATGTGCTGTGCCTCTTCCTCTTCCCGCTACTACTCCCCTCCCGGCACCTAAACTCATTCCACCTCTTATCGTTGCTCTACCCCTTCCTACAACCATCGTAGTCTGTGCCGGCGGTGGGGCCCCACCGAAATCGGCGTGCAAGCCTTCCATCTGCTGCTGGTATGCACCCTCACCCTGATTTACTGGAGGCGGAACGCCACCAAAATCAGCATACTGGTTTTCCGTTTGCTGCTGATGAGTACTTGGACCCTGGTTTTCTGGAGGAACACCACCGAAATCAGCGTACATATTCTCTGTGTGGTCTTGTTGGGCATTAAATGCCGGTTGTGGGTGCTGATAATCATGTGTGTTCAATCCCTGTTGTGGTTGATAATCTTGCGAATTAATCATTGGCTGTTGTGGTAATGGGTTTTCTCCACTGATGGAGGTTGAGATTCCTCTCTCACCCACTACTGGGGCGCCTCTACCTCTTCCCCTCCCTATAGCTGTCCCTCGGACCGGCCCACCCCTTCCTCGGGCTGGTCCTCCTAGACTACCACCTCTAAGCATTTTTCCTGCGGTTGGACCTGCGACCATTAAGATCCCTGTACTAACGCCGCTGGGGTCCATACTAGCTATAACTCGGGCAGCCCCCATAACACCTGCTGTCATTGGTGCGCTCAAGCCACCTCTCGCTTGTCCGCCATCAGCAGCGCCTCTTCCTCTGGACGCAACTCCCCTAGTACCCCCTCTTCCAACGACTATACCACCTCTTGCTGTGGCTGTGGCGCCGCCCCTTGCTGCTACCATACCGCTGCCCGCTCTACCAACTGTGCTGCCGCCTCTTGTAGTCACAGTAATTGCTCCTCTAGTGGCAATGCCGCGACCTCTTGCAGCCACCACCGTGGGACCTCTACCTCGGATCATGCCCCTTGTACCGCTACCCATCACCCCGGAAGACTGCAGCTGCGCTGGGGCTTGTTGAGCTTGCTGAATTGGAGCTTGCTGAACTGGAGCCTGCTGAGTTTCATACTGGAATTGTGGCTGTGGCTGAAGTTGAGGTTGAGGTTGAGATTGAGGTTGAGGCCGAGGTTGCTGCTGGACTTTGGTCGGAACAGGCTTCTTCTTTGGAATAAGGAAGCTGCCTTTCTCCTCGAAGGCCTTCCTAGCAGCCATAGCGCTAGCCTTCGCCATAGTACTGAAACCCTCTGCAGCTTTCATAGCACCAGCAGAAACTGTGTCTTGCTTTGGTGCTTTTCGAGGTCGCAGAATCGAGGTTGAATGAGTTGATCTAGTTGTTGTCACTGTTTTATGGGGATTAATTGTGGATTCGAGGGTTAATGGCCGGTATTGAATGTGAGTGGATGATCTTGGGAGTGGAGTGGTTGTCTGCTGACTCGTGAATACGGGCATAGATTGCCTGTTTTGGAGGGTATTTTGTTGCTGTGCTTGCTGCTGAGGTACTTGTTGTTGAGGTACCTGCTGCTGATACACCTGTTGCTGTGGTGCCTGTTGTTGCTGATTCTGATACTGCGGGACAGGCTGTTGCTGTGTTTGGTGCTGCTGCACCTGGTACTGCTGCTGAACCGGGTGCTGCTGCTGAACCGGATGCTGCTGTTGGACCGAATGGTGCTGCTGCTGTACATTCATATTCCCCGTATGTGGAGTCTGGCTAAGATAAGTAGGGCCCGCACTCTGTGGAACAGCCTTCCTCGGCTTGATAACGTTCAGATTGCCATAACTAGCAGACTGAGCTTGATACCCAGCACCCGGCGTAGCAGACCTCATACCGCCATACTCCAGCGGTGTCTGCGTCATCGAAGCCGCCGACATCACCGACGACTGGCTCGGGCTCCTAGTATGCTGCAAAAATGGCACATTCTTCGGCCCTGGTGGCACCTGCGGCATAGGATGCTGTACATTCTGGACCTGTGAGGTTGCCATCAATTGCGGAGGCGGTGACATGGTAGGCACTCGGGCATTCGGCGTCTCGTGGGGTTGAGATACGGGGGGTGCGCTTATGCCGCTGGAGACGGTGATGTCTGTAAACATCCTGTCTTCGTCTGCGAAGCCTGTGAATGTTGCTGAGAGCTTTGGGGGCTCATCTTCGCGCTCGGAGGTAAGCATTAGCCCGGTTTCGAACTTTGGTTGTTGCTGTGGGGTAGCAGCAGCCTGCGGTGGGACCTCGCTTCCGGCGACTTCAGCGAATCCGAACGGGTGCGGTGTGGCTGTTGCGGAACGGAGACTTATGGGTCTGCGATGCGTGCTGAGAGGTGAGACGGGAGTGTGAATGGGATCGTATGTGGGCTGCTGTTGTTGCGCATACTGGTGTTGGGGGACGGGAGTTTGGCTCATTTGTCTCTGATGTTGTTGGGACCATTGTTGCTGGTTCTGGTTTTGGGGCTGCTGCTGCTGCTGCTGCTGCTGGTGCTGGTGCTGTTGCTGTGGTTGCTGATATTGGTTCTGTGGGCTCATTGCGGGTGCTATGATTCCGCGCTGGCCATATACTGGCTGCTGTTGCTGCTGTTGGGAGTACATGCCAATTGAGCTTGCTGGGGGCGTTGGGAGCGCTTGGTTTGGCTGGGCTGTGACAATTACAATCATGGGATATCAGATATGCTCATTAATTCGAATACTAGTTAGAGGGCTCAAGAAAGAATCATAGTAAGAAATATAGGTCTTCAAATTACTTCAAACACAACTCTATCGTATATGCAGCTATTCACCCCTCAACAACCTCATCCGGATAAAAAAATATGAAAATAGAGACAGAGAGACAGAGAAATCACCACTCACGATGGTCCCACGACACCACTCCCGTTTCTGTATTATGGAAATAGTACTTCTGCTGTCCCTGATCCCAGTATGCCAGCCATCCCTGGGGTACCACCGGTGGCTGCGGTATCTCAGATTGTCCTCCATATGGGCGTGGTGTACTTGAGAATCCTGGCTGTTGCTGCTGCTGCTGGTTCGCCTGGTTTGCTTGATACACTGGGTCCACTACCGCAGCGGGATACTGCGGATCGGTGAAGATCATCTTGCGACAAAAAGTTGGAGTTGAAAGCTAGAGAAAGAGGTAGTATAGTGGAGACAGATGTTCGATATCGGCCCTCCCCCAAGAGATAGAATGGGTATTCCGTGTATTACTGACTGTATTCGACCTAGGCACAGATGTGATAAGCTGAGAACTAGTAGGTTGATATGATAAGTACGCGACCGCCCAGGTTCCGACTGTGAGAACGAAAACCACACTTCCACAACACGAACACGATAGAGGTGCAAGATCTCTCACAAACGACGAGACGGAAGAGCTCCAAAGCCGAAAATGAGGAGAAGGAAGAAGGAGAAAGAAAGAAAAAAGAAAGAAAGACCCACCGGTCAGAACAACAATAATTCGCATCAGCCCAGCTCACAATAATGCGGGGCTTAGAAGCTATCTGTTAGGTACATACTTGAGAGGTACATGGTGGTACAGGCATTTCAGCCGCAACCTGGTGATCCTCCATCCCCTACACTCTCCGCCTTGGTGGAAGCCGGACTGACAGCCACGGCGTTTATGGGTTGTTTCGAGATTTCATGTGTCCTGCTTTGAGGAGTGGGAGGTGGGGGTGTGGGATTGTTGATTGACTGACTGAGCGAATGCTAGCACCGCCGTTAAGGAACATTAACCGAGTCCTCGGCAAGGCTTAGTTGCACCTCTGTTTTCGCCCTTTCCCTTATGCTCTCTGTTGCATATTGCCGGTATCACGAATCCACCCAGCGCAAAAGTGCAAACAACAATCTCCTCATCCTCAGCGAGAAGCCGACATACATCCAACGCACCATGAAAGGAAACCCCATTCGAGGGGGAGGCTGTGTCACCGTCGTACAGCTGCAGCTGTGGATACCGCGGCGTGGTGGTACGGGGTCAGGGTCGTACAAGAAGTGGGTAGTTCCGCAGGGTTATTAATAGATGTAAATGATCGTGATTGGTGAACATCAGGGTTAGGGTCTCAACTGTACCCCTTAGGTACGGTGTCAGACAGCCGGCCAGAGCAACCACCGACTCCCCTTCACCCCATCGACTTTCAACAACGCAACACTTGTCCAGAAATAATGTTCTTTTGTAAAATGGGTCTAATCATGGTTGTAAACATCCCCATAAAAGGGGATTTAAAATAATTAAGAACTGGCTGCACTATGACCTCTCAAACATTTGGTGCAATCTGCCCGAAAAAAACATAGGTGTGAAATAATAACTTTAATAGCTTTATGCCAAGGCGGCCACATTAATTGGGGATAGTTTTTACCATATTGGGATAATTAGATGATCATTATTACCCGATTAGGACTAGTTTCTGGCTTGAAAAGAACATGAGGGTTGATTTTGACTGTCTGGCGCTGTACATGTAAGTATCTACTCGTATTTTTCGGACGTTTGTGGACGCGACTAATATTGCATACCATACAAAAATACGCCAAGCTCATGATTTTTGGTGAAGATACGAGTATTATTTTCGCTGGATCGTATGGCTGTGAGTTGGTTGAGACATTTAATATTTGTTGAGAACCCCCCGTGCGGGCAATTTTTGGTGGGGGTTCTGGTTTCCTTTCTTTTCTTTTTTGGGGGGATGGTTTGGTGAAGGCCAATACGTACTGTGAATATCAATGAAGCCGCTCATTTAACTTGCATACGTCTTCATCTCATTCCATTAGAAATGAGGTCTCGATCTCCAACTAGCTACAAATCCCAAATATCGACAAGAACCGATACTCATCCTAGAAGTATAGTGCCGTAATTCCGTTGCAAAACCTATGGGCTAGTATAGTACTTATGGGACTACATATAATCATACATACACACATCCATAACCGTAGTGGTAGTTCCGTAGAAATATCGCCGAAATTGATCTCCTCAATCGAATGAGAATATTACAAAGTGGTGGTGGATCACGTAATATCACTCGGTTTTGTTGGCGAATCGTGGTTTTGATTTGCTTGCATGATCATCGTCGCCGAGGGAAATGTAAGAGCGTTTATATGCTCAGAGATTTATACCAAGGAGCTAGATATGTCTGACTCTATCTTGACATATACTACGTTGTTTTTCCGCAGATTTTAAGAACTATGACCACTCTCTGACGTGACGGATAGCTATGTAGAATACTGCATGCGCCGGATCCCAGGGACACTCGCACCTGGTAATCTCAACAGGTGAAGCTTTTTATTGGACCGCTATTTAAAGAGACATATAATAAACCAGCTGTTAGCTTGCACTGCTAACCTTAATTCGGTGATGATTTGTGTCTTGTGCCGCCCTAGCTAAAGAGCGATGTCGTATATGCTGGTTGCCCCCCCCCCCCCCCCCCACCATTGGTATTGAAGATTTTATAAACCGCACCCATGCATGTTGAAACTTAAGATGCAATCGTTCAATAGAGTTGGGTATGATGTTTAGGCGCCTTGCACACCCCCTGCTCCGATCTGTCTCCAAAGAGCGCGACACAATTTTCAAAAGCGTACGCTCAACTATAAACCACCACAGTTTATACCCGAGTAGTGTATTCGATAGAACGCAGTACGTCTTTTACACATTGTCGGTATTCCTATACGTGCTACTGGCCATTGCAATATGCCCTTGCTAGATCTTAATAAACGGTAGAATGTCGGACACTTACTATGGTGTCTATCAACAAACCAGAACAGGTCAATAAAAAGTATATCTACCTATTCAACTCTTTGCGTTAATTAAGCTTACTTGTCTTTTTACTTTAAAGGGAATCAAGAAAGAGAAAAAATACAAGACTGGATACGGCAGGCCTGGAATCAGCGGGATTGTAAGATATAGATGATATGTGTTCAATATGTTTTCTAATATATATAATCCTAGTTTATTGGAGGATCTCAGTATTCTTTGTCGACAAAAGTTTAAAAGTCGAGTGAACTTTTAAAACCCTAAAAAAAAAACACCTAAGGGGAAGTGAAAAAGATATGCGCCGTAAGGGACTCGAACCCTTCCCAGTTGCTTACTCTGCTTCCCGATAAGGATAACAATGGAAGGCAACTATGCTACCCCTGCACCAACGGCGCTTGATGATTTTCATTACTTTTTGCCATACCTGAGCTAATATAAAAAACTTACGCTTGCGCTAGGACAGACCGGGAACAGCCGGACCCCCGGATCGCGAACTTGACGTTTGAGAATTTGAGGCCGGAGGTTTCAGTATTGTAAACACGTAGACTATTTTCGTTGATACCGCAAAAACTCGAAAATTGGCTATCTTCTACAACGATTGGTTGAAGAGTGTAGATCAAGTCCGTTAATAGCAATTTCGATCTCATATGCACAGCCAACTCTTCGAGTTATAGCGGTAGTATTATGGTAATAAATCAATCCAATAAAAGGAATGATTTACCACCAAAGAGCTCGTGGTCCGCCCATTTAGGAGAAATCACATGTAAATTATCACTATCAAGCTTTTCTAGTTATAATTAAGCATTCCGTTATAGGTGACGAAATTGATTGTACATAGTTGTTCTCGTTTTCATGAGACCTCATTTTGGGATTGTGGTAGCAACACGTGGCCGGACAGAAATCTAGTACTGTCCGCCGTTCTTGCCCTTTTCAGTTGCGAATACCATAAGAAAGAATATCTTAATGACACGTAGTTCTCATAGGGTATGACACCATTGGTGATTCAGAGCCACAACCAAAACTTCATCTAGTACTATGCGAGGGATACCCAGATAAACTCCGACCAAGATCGAACCAAGAGAACATCGGCAATATGAAGAGATTACGATGAGATAGGTCCCAGATATCTCAAAACACCTAATGTGATCGCTAAAGAGGATCTACGAAGGGCGTGGCACCGCTCAAAGTCTTATTTCGAGAAGATCGACCGAACCCAGAGCCCGAAACATGTTTAGTTCAAGACAGCATCACAGCTGCCGCTGGGGTCTTGAAACCTTCCCTTTATTAGACCCTTTGCGCTGATAGATCCGGAGTCTTTTTTGACAGACTTAGCATTAATTAGCCAAGGAACTATAGATCCAGCCTTGCATTTGACTCCCAGAGAGTTGGTAAATCGCCTAATTAGACTTCCACTCCTTCTATTCTTTGTAGAATGACCAAATGATGACCTTTTTCTAAGAGGATTCTTTCATGATAAAATTCAGATGTAACTACACCTTCTATCAAATTCTCAATGATTTAGCTAAGGTGTTGGTGGTAGAAGAAAATTATTTACTTTGGGGTTGAATTTCCTCTCACCAAAAGGTGGATAATGCTGATCGGTGGCAAGCAACATCTGGCTCTATTTCTTATCTTCGAAAATCAACGAAAATCCATATAACGCCAAGAGACAAGGAAGCTGGATGCATCCAGCGCAAAGGGTCTATTGTCACTTATGGTTGACTTTCACATTTTGGTCTCTAAACATTCCCAATTAATTAGTCTTTTTAATCGGTGCCTTGAATATTAGTAAAAGAAATTGGCCTTGACCGCTTCTCAAAGCTGTTTAAGTCCGTTCCCCTCCACCGGTTTACCTTTTTTTTTTTTTTTTTTTTAGTGCGTGTATGCGTGTGTGTGTGTGTGTGGGGGGGGGGGGGGGGGCAATTAATCCGACATCTTATTCCAAGATAAAGAGGCCCCTTTGTGCCCAGTGGGGTGTGGGCTTATCCACGGGGGCGAAAATCACCTGTAGTTGCCTCTATTTTCCCAGAGAGGAGGTATTGCCCCAAGTGAAAAAGGGGCCGAGCTCTGGCGGCGCAGAATTTCTAGAGCTACATATTTTCTTGCGAATGCCATTTTTGACACGTGGTTGAGTCATGAGAAATCACTCGGTGTTTCGGTGGGGGCCAACCAGGCGCAAATCTTCAGACAGTTTACTTCACATCATCTATCAGGTACTCAAAGTAGGATCTTAAAAATATTATATCTGTGATATATTACTCTACGGACCCAGCGGTCCGGTTAACGGACTCCTCCGTCCAAAGGGTATGTATGCACTCGAGCTCCCCGGACTTGACAATCCCTAGCTCTTCATTGGCCCGCAC